TTGGAATTACATTTAGCCCAGATTTATGAAAATTTGTGACAATGGCTTTAAGAATCTTCAATAAAATACAAGGGTTAGTCTTAGACCAACTCCTGATGGGAATAGGTCCATCGTACATATTTCACTCAGAGACCGTAGCAGCAAAGAAATGTGCAGAACCAGAAAAGTGAATTTTATTCTATCTGACAAGTCCTAAAGTAGAATTTAATGAAATAACCATAAATCAACATAAATACATATAAATAGTTATTTATGGAAATAGTATTATGTAGCCATGAGGGCAGTTCATGTGGGTCTATTTCTGGCAGTGGAATAAGATAACAGTGCAGGGGCAGAAGTGATTTAATTCCGCATCTGCCAACCTTGTGCATCTGGGATTGCATGCTGCTTACATTAGTTATGGTGGTCCTCGCTTGACAAGCAGCAAGAATCTTGCTACATAGTGCTTTCAATGGTAAGCTATGCATTATTTGCTGGTTAAGTTCCAGCAGTACGCAACCCACACTTGGAAGTCCCCAAGCCTTGGCTCATGTTCACCTACACCTTACACTCTCTAGAATTAGGTAAGCAAGGTGTGTTCCTCCTGAGAGAGAGAGAGAAAGAGAGACAGAGAGCATTGTATTCCAGACAAAGGGAAATTTCCGTGTGTATGGTGAAGCTCTCAAACTAGTTTGGATACTCTTAAGCATTCTGATTCCGCAAGTGCCAAATACTTGCTGACCAAAATAAAAGCATTAGAGTCTGGCATTGGTAGACCGTCTGTTAGAAATTCTTTTGTTCTCCAGAAAGTTCGATTTTTTTAAAGCAGGCTTTGTGATGGCAAGACTTCCTCTTTAATTCACATATACTTTTTTTTAAAAAAAGTTAGTTCCACTTTAGCCACAGGAAACAGTCAGTCTCCAGATGACAATTACTTTTTTTTCAAAACCCACAGTCGGTCTCATCTCTGGCTAACGTATGAAGCATTATAGAACCGTGCAAATTCAGGTAATTTCAGATCAGGAAATGATCTCAAAATCACAGACAATGTATATGTGCACAGCAACAACAACTTGCATTTGTACAGCACTCTTCACAAGGGACAGCATGCACAGCAAGTCTCTGGTCAGTATCAGAGTCCTCCTGCCTCCTCCTTTTCATCAAATTGTTGGTCAGTAATACCTCCAAAATGTTGGTCAAAATTAAACCAGATTTTATTTTAAAGCATCTCCCAAACCAAGTACTGTAATCATTCCCTGTCACCTATGAAGTACAATCACCTTTTGTGCTTGATTACGAAGTACACTAAAGTGGTCAAAAGTTTAGAGGGTAATCTTGCAAACTAAATTTAATGCAAACTAAATCAAAGGTCACATTTGTACAATGCTTCCACCCCTCCCGGCTCCCCGACACAATAATAAATTTAGATTATTTGGGATTCAACTTAGTTCTGTTTTACTGTGCACTGCCAGTATCAGCAGCAAAACAACTTCCATACAATAAAAACTTCAGTTTTGAATAGCATTACCCAAAGAATTTCACATTTGATTTCTCCTGACAAATAACAGCTACAGTTAAGCCTTGTTTCAAACTTGTGCGATTCGGCAATATTTTGATTAGTTTGAGGCTGTTGTCCTGAGTTCAGTGACAGTGCATTTAGATGCAGTTTTAAAAAAAAGCAATTTGTTATGCTATAGTCATTTGTCTAACTCATTTGTGAACTGTAGCAGGAATGTACCATCATGACTCACCATCTCCAGCCTCTGGATTGTGTACTTGCAGTAACATAGAACTGCTTACTTGCAATACCAGTCTGGCAGCTCTAGTTAAATGTCTATTAAGATTGGATGAGGATCATTTATGAATTTTAATGGCAGTATTGTGAGATCATCCATTTATGTGAGGAGCCAACTTCTGGTTGTCTTGCATTAAGACATTAATCTAGTAACTTTCCAAATTTTAAAACAATCATTGAGAGAATATCTATAATTCTGAAATTCGCAATGTGCTTCATGTGTGCAGACTGTTTTTTTTAGGCATATGTAGCAGTTGTTTTGCATACAGCAATATCCCACAAATAGTCTCAATGTGAATGACCAAATTTTTTTTTAAGGTATATGTGAATTAAAGAGAACAGTCAGATGGGGTCTTGGTTTAATGTCTCATCTGAAGGACGGCGTCGCATCTGAAATTGCCATAAATGTGCAATGATGCAGTGGCAGTTTAAACAGGCCTAGAGTACGAGTTCAAGTTGCAATATGGGACTTGAACTCACAACCTTCTGTCCGAGAGATGAGAGCACTTCCACCCTGAGCCGAATTGACAATATAATAGAAATATGTAATTTTGAAATACCAGTGGCTTCATGATTTCTAACATAGATGTGAAAATGTGATGATTTTCATATCAGATTCAATGTAACAAAAAATAACACAATTTCAGTAGATAATTCTTGGCTTTAAGTGCTTCTTTGCCACCGTTTTATTATTTGACCAGCAGGCGGCGCTCGCTTACCACCCGGTATTGTTATATCTGCAATACAACAATGTACTGTACCAAAGTGCCTGACTTCACAACAGGAAAACTGGAACATAATAAATTGGTGAAACAGGTTTGAGATTGAACAATCTCCTTCTTGTCTATATTCCTAAGAAAAATCTAAGCATTCAAAGTAAGTTTAATAATATTTTCTTTAAAAACATCAGAGGTCAATCTGGATCTGAACAAGATTGACAAGTTAATACTTCAGACATGACCCATCATGAAATCTAAAGGGCCACACCAATCATTAACATATCTTACTCTTTCCCATGTTGATTGGATTTCCAGCATTTCCTGTTTTGTTTCAGATTTCCAGCTTTCTCAAGCCGTATTTTTATCACATTTGCTCATTCTACTTTGCCTTATGAAACTTTGTCACTATGTTTTTAAGAAATCGACAGGATCATTTAGAAAAAGTAAGCTGAAAATTTAGTTTAAAACGATAGCTCGATAAACTAGTTTGTTGAGGTGCGGAAAGAACAAAGTACCGGCAGTTTCTGACATTGGAGACAAAAACACAGCATTTATAACGAGATTCATAAATATCAATACCTATCAATAACTGAACATTCATCACATCCACACATGGGAACTCTGCTCTGAACAATTTCCTTCCGGGCAGGTCAGAGCAGAGTTTCCGTAAGTTAATGCAACATGCATCAAGTTGTTGGCAGGACTCAAAATGTATTGAAGCTTTTCAAATCCTGTTAAGAATACTGCACTTTTGTCCCCATTGTCTGATAAAAACGGATCCTAAAATGTAGAACAACAACCAAATTACAGTATGCAGAAGTACAAGGCCCCAACACAGAAAGGGATTGTGAGGTCCTAATTGGAACAGAAAAGACTGAAGGCAATCTGTGTAGATAGCCATTGATATTCTGAGAATGTGTTACAGCCCACTGCTTTCATGCCAAGTCTCACTGGTTTTCTGTGAATGCAACTATTTACGCTGTTTAATCAATTTTACTGAAAATTTCCAAAATCTCACAGTTTATTTTGAAGTCTACGAATTAAGCACGTTTTTGTATTCACAAGAGTAAGCTGTGCACCATTAATTTCACTGGAAACAATCCATGGATTTACATTTCAGAAACTTGTGTACACAAGAAAACTAATAAAGTAGAGAGAGGCACGTGGAGTACAAGTCTGATTGTAGTATGACAACACTGTTCCTGTTGATTTGCTTGTATGAAATCTATTTCTGTGCAAGTGAATTGCTTTTAGTCCTATTGTGCTCTTTAAATAAAGTGCGAATACTGCTAGAATTGTAGCAACACCCTAATCCCGCTGTTGTGTGTTGAGAATGTGAAATTAATCCATGTTCTTTCTGTATTTGAAGGAAGGAATATGCAGGCCTGTAGCTCAGTGGTTAGAGCACTCACCTCGCAAGTGAGAGACCTAGGTTTGATTACCGGCAGGGCAAAATCTTGTGCAAGTTTCCTTACTCCACACGCCTGATAATAATCCCTCAAAAAATAATTGGCCACTTCAATCCACGATTGTTTGTGGCACACTGCTGTGCACAATTGGCTGCATTTCGCTCATAAATATACAGTCAATTCACTTAAGACATTTAAAGCGCTATATCAAATGCAAGGATTATTATTATTTTCAAATTGAGAATCACTCAAGCGTTTAATATACTTCTGTTTACGATACTGTGTTATTTGCTGCCCTAAAGCAGACTTTAAATTTTGCATCCTGAGGCACAGACAGTGATGCTGAAGTGCTCTTAAATATTTTTTAATTTAATCTCACATTAACAAGTCAGAATGTAAAATAATTTCATTAGTTAAAGCAAATAGTGTATCATCTTAGTTATTATTATTATTATCATCATCATCCAGGTTCAGTGGTAGCACTCTTGCCTTGGAGTTGGTAGGTTTTGGGTTCAAACCCCACATCGGGATTTGGAATCACATAGTCTCAGCTGACTCTCCAATGCAGGGCTGGGAGTGTGTTGCATTGTTGGAGGTGTTGTCTTTCAGATGAAACATTAAACCTAGATCCTGTCTGCCTATTTGGGTGGACACTAAAGATCCCACAGCACTATTCTAAAAGAGAAGGAATTTTCTCCTGGTGTCCTGGCCAACAATCCCCAAATAAAATTGGTCACTAACTCCTTGGCTGGTTATGGGACACTGCTGTGCACAAACTGGCTGCCTCGATTGCCCACAAAATACACAGTCAATCCACTTTACAGTATATCCTGCTTTGAGATGTCACAATGACATAATGAGGCTCTGCACCAATGCAAAGGTTATTATTATTATATACAGTCAATTCACTTTACAGTGTGTTCTGTGAAGCGCTTTGGAACGTCCTCCCAATGTGAAAAGCGCTATATCAAATGCAAGGATTATTATTATTATTATTAATATCGTCTCTGTTTTCAGGTTCAATAATATAGTATTTTGAGAATATTACAAAACATGTGTAGTGGTGCACAGCAGTACACTAGCAGAACTGTCACTTACTTTCTTTCTTGCAGGAGCGCAATTTCATTCCGGACTTTGTAGTACTCCTCAGCTAGCCTGCAGTGCTGCTCGAATACCAGCATGGACTCCTTGGAGCTGAGACATGGCTGCAGAGGCTAACAGGCAGAAAAGAAATTAGGTACCCCCCTGCCCAATGTAGATCACATCTAATAGGCATTTTTCCAATTAGGCTAAAAATACACTGGACTGGCAAGCACATTGCTGTACTCCAGCATGGAATGTGGTAGGATATTAAATAATCCATGCTGTCTAGGGTAAGAGCCAAATTCAAGCAAGGTATGTCCCCAAAGAAAATCTGGGAAAAGTTGAAGAACGTCAACCCAAACTGCTCTTGTGAAACTTCCAGGTCACCTACTTGCAATCTTGGTGTAACTGGGTGATTGCAGCTGGGGAGAGGATCAAAATGGGAGAGAAGGGATAATGACATGGAGCAATGAGGTAAATCAACAGTACTCATAGTGCTCCCAGAGACTGAGGACAGCAATAGCAACTGCATGTATATTACATAGAGTCCTTTACATTGCAGCATTGTACAGTGACAAAATTGGACACTGAGCATAGGACAAGAAGGAGGTGACCATAGGCCAGGTCGAAGAGGAATGTTTTCAGATAGAATTTAAAGAAGAATAAAGTGGGGTGTGTCAAAGAGATTAAGGCAGGGATTTCCAGAGATTAGGGTCATATAATAATAATAATAATCCTTGCATTTGATATAGCGCTTTTCACGTCGGGAGGACGTCCCAAAGCGCTTCACAGAACACACTGTAAAGTGAATTGACTGTATATTTGTGGGCGAACGCGGCAGCCAATTGCACACAGCAATGTCCCACAAACAGTCGTAGATTGAAAATGACCAATTTATTATTGTTTTTGGTTTTGGAGGGATTATTATTAGGTGTGTGGAGTAAGGAAACTTGCCCAAGGTTTCGCCCTGCCTGGAATTGAACTCAGGTCTCCCGCTTGCAAAGCGAGTGCTCTAACCACTGAGCTACAGGACTCCAGGCATAGTGACTGAAGGCTCAGTTACCAACATTCAGTTCACCTTCACAGTCCCCCACACAATGAGATTTCAAAGGCATGGCACAGGAGCCAAGTAGAGCCCATGCACTTCCACACAGCTTGGAAAGGAAATCAAAATCAGAGAGAGAGAGAGAGAGTAAGACATCCCAGGCTGTTCTCATGCACCTGCTGCCAACTGATCACAGAGTGCTATTGACAGAAACCTTGGAGCATGGCACCTGCCCAATCTCTTGATGGAATTACAGTGTGTGGCACAGGGAGGCCAATGAAAGGTATCAGGGAGAAAATAAATACCAGTGCAAATTTAACTCAAAAATAATGGCAAACATACTATCAACACTTTAAAATATTAATTATAAATTGAGTTAATTTCAACAACATACAGGCCAAACACAGTTCAACTGCATTTTATTGTTAGAGTAATAAAATTAGCAGCTCCGGAGCTTTTCGGTCTAAATTAATCATGCCTCAGATATTGTTGGTTATCATCCTGCCCAGTTGGAAATAACCATTGAGTCATAAGTATTCTAAACTTCATCTGTGAGACCCTTTTTACTTTTTAAACATAGCTGACTTTCCCTCTTCAGTTCAACAGAATATCAAAGACGATAGTAAACTATAGTATCTGGGTCTGGCTTAATTCGGTGATCTCAAACTCATTGAACATGCCATCAGATTTCCTTGGATCATCTTTTCTGATTTTGTTTATTGTCACAAATTACTGTACTTGCACAGTTTTTCACATAACTGACCGTCCTCCGCCTTCGGAATGGAAAGCACCCTGAGATGCTACCCTCCATGGAGGGCGCTATATAAGTGCAAGTTGTTGTTATTGTTGAATGACACTCTACAAATGTAATTTTTTGTTGTTGTAACTACATATTACAATATAAAATGGACAATTTCATTCAATAAACAGTGGGGTTTTTCTCAGGATAGAAGATTTATTTATGAGAATGTAAGGATTATTTTTAATTTATTTTTAGTTTCTGAACATTTTAGACATTAGTGGCTGTGATGAAGCATAATGGTAAGAAGTTACAGAAGTGTGCTTTGAAAAACTTCATCATTAATGGCGATTAATCAGCTAAATATTATTTTTGAAGCTTTTCAGAATTGAGCCGTTTCTATTCCCATTCTATTCTACTCTCATCGTAAGTCACGAATATGAATGTTCTTAGAGTGACAGGAAGTTGGTTTTTCCAGTTGGTAGTGTTAACAATAGCTAGCATTGAATTGTTATTTTACATGTAACCCAATATTAACAGTGGATCCAATTACTGGAATACTGCGAGGTTTCAAGACTAACTTTGACTTCAGGAATGTTAATACTGTCATAGTCATAACCAAAATTATTTATGCCAGATTCCTGAAGGAACAGTATGTGATGCATATAATTGGCAAGAATCTAAATACAATGTCAAGATTTCTGTATTTGTAATAAACTGTAGTTTATTACCACTAAACGGCATCACAATTTGGCAAGTCAGCCTTTCAACTTCAAGCCAACGTCCAAATTTGAGTAATTTTATGTGTCATTTTTTTACTGAAACATTTCCAAAAGCAGTTTTATGATCTTTCTCAAATAAATTCCAACAATATTATTTGTCTTTTTTAGTTTAAATACAGTATTGCCAAGTTAATTGGTTTTATTACCAAGCCAATCATTTCTATTTATTTTAGATCTTTACATTTATTTATGCAACTGTATCAATATTGGCCTGTTTATAAGTGAACTGGCCCTATTGATTATAGATTCTTGCTGAAAAGTAAACCTGACTAAGAGGGTTACCTCATATCCTCTTTTTATAATCTGAATTCACTTCACTTAAATACTATAAATCTCAAAGAAACACAAATTGGGATTATGGTACATAATGGTTTCTGTAGTGCTGGGATTAATAATCCCCTTCTATTTTCTACTCAGCTTCTTTAACATGCAAACAGACAGTAAATCAGCTTGATTTTTATACAATGTTGAAGGTGTGCTGCTTTTGAGGTGCATAGCACTAGAACAATATAGTATCCCTTACCTGTAGATGCTGATCAAGTTGCAGATAAACACTTGGTATAAAATCATCAGGGATATTCAGCTCTGAAGAAAGACCATATAATGTAAACTTAATAATGTTGAATTCAATGCAAAACAAATAACTCTTAATTGTTTAGTTTTATAAATTCTGCTGCTTATACTGAACTGAATTGAAGTAACGATATCATACACAAGGTGTAGAAGGCAATGGTTCGGCAACAGGATACTTTATGGCACAGTAGAACATAGCTTTGTGCTCCGAATTGCCAATCTCAACTTGGCCACGAGGGACAGATGTACTGGGTTCTAATTTACGAATGGTGTGAATCACTTGTAAATATAAGTGCGCAGAGGGAATTACAGATGGCCTTCATTATGTGATTAGGAACCAATGAAAAAGGATTACATGTAATTCTGTGTTTGCACATGGTTAACACAATCCACAAATTAGACCCCAGAGTGGAGACCTGATGCTTCCCCAACTGTTTCCTCATGAGTGACTGAATCAAAAAAGAAGCACCACTGGCAAGGGCTGAGAGAAGGTACATGCACAAGGGACCTTAAGAGGAACAGAAACTGACATTGAAAATGCATAAATGTGAATACTTTCTTTAAAATTGATCTTAAGTTTGGGATACATCAGAGAGTTTTTATAACAACATTGTTTTGGAACAAATTCCTTTTACACAATAGAACATAATATGGCTCCTCCTACAGATGAGTAGTTAAGAGACCATTGTAAGGTGTAGCATTAAGCAATCAGATGGATCCAAATTTGATTTATTGTGTGTGACAAACGAGCTCCAAGTCGAGGCTGAAAGGGGGAAAATACACAGGCAAAGTTCTTGTTCCTGATCAACATCCAAATAACGAATTCAAGATCCTCATCCTCACCTACAAGGCCATTCACGGCCTTGCTCCCTCCTACCTCTCCGACCTACTATCCCCCTACTTACCTGCCCGTACCTTCCGTTCCTCTGGCTCCGGTCTGCTCCACATCCCCCGCCCCAACCGCCCTACCATCGGTGGCCGGGCCTTCAGCCTCTCAGCCCCCAGGCTCTGGAACTCCATCCCCCAGTGCCTTCGCCTTGCTTCCTCCCTTTCCTCCTTCAAGGCCGGTCTCAAGACCTTTCTCTTCACCTCCCCTCTCGACTCTCTACCCACTCCTCGCTCCCTCCCTTCCATCACCCTGACCATTTCCCTCCTGCTCGGGTCCCGACCCAACTGTCCAGTGCCTTGGGACGTCCTCCCAACGTGAAAGGCGCTCGATAAATGCAATCTTGTTGTTGTTGAATAATGATCACATGCGCATGGTAACAGTGGGTAATAATAATAATAATTCTTGCATTGCAGCGCCTTTCATGTCAGTACCCAGCACTCAATCAGCACTTCGAGAGGGGAGAGGAGAAAATTAAATGAAAAATTCTTCTATTTTTTAGTAACAAAATACATCGTTACAAACTGGGATCTCAGTCTGGTGTTACTCCAGCACTTTCCATGATAATCATGTCTGTCTGTTTTCTTGTTCAAGAAAAAAAACAGAACATCTACAGCCCTGGACACCTGCACCACTCATAAAGTAATCATTCTTTACTGTCAATGAGCTTCATCTAGCGAATGAACCTCCCCAATCTCAGCTGGTTATTTGGGAAGGGCCACATTTATGCACTAGTCTCATTCCTCCTGGTGGACGGACTACATTTGGAACATTGATGAACTTTTGTTTACAAACTGGTCCATCCCATCCTCTCAAGTAAAAGAGATAATATGAGCTGGTAAAGAAAAATAGTTACTTTCAAAAATCATAATAAAATCATAATCTTATTCAATTGAATAGTCTTGACTATTCAAACGCCGGCTAGCCAGACGCCTCAGTTCCTCCCTAGACAACCTGCAGACCATTCAGAACTCAGCCCCCCCATGTCCTCCCCAATATTGGGCTCCGCAAGACTACCACAACCACCCTTGCTCAGTTCCACTGGCTCCCCATCCCCCAGCAGATCAAATTCAAATCCCTCCCGGCCTCTGTCACCTCCTGCAACCCATTGCCCCTGCTGCTCCCTTCCCTTACCCAATGGTAAGCAAATAAGCAATCTCATTGAGACTTAACAGCACATTCATTCTCTACTTATGTGTAATAAAAAAAGTTATAAATGGTTGGGAGAGGTACAAGAAAGTGATTGAACCTTGTGGACTAATTGAGTTTTGCTGTCAGTTGTTATTATGTCATCAGAACCCCTCAATTCAAACTCCGCAGCAACCACATATTACTTGATAATTATATTATTCACTGCAGTATGCTACATTTAATCATTTCAAATGATTAAATGTAGCATACTGTAGTGAATTCCCAACTTGGTGTGTTGTGGGAAGACTCTAACAGAGCAGTGGTACTTCAGTTAATAACGTGCAAAGCTGGGTAGAGTACCTAAAATAATAATAATCCTTACAATGCCTTTCACATTCAGACGCCAGCTCAAAGTGCTTCACAGGATTTACTGTAAAGTGGCTGTGTATTTAGTAGATAAATGTATCAGCATTAAACATAAAGAGCCTGGCCACGTCCTTCTCTAGAATTCACCTGTGTACCCAGTAGAGGGAATTCTAGCTCCTTTTTATTCATACTGAGGCCAATTATAGTCCCAACTGCTGCCACAGCTGAGATCAGCTAACTCAGCAAAGCCTAGCAATCAAACCTGAGACCTTCCTGGTCTGTATGGCTCTGTGCCACACCATGCAGTGGAATTACCCATTGAGCTATTTGGTGGTTCATCAGTCTACAGCTTTTAGTAAGATATCTCTCACACCCTTCACCTGTCCAGTGGGAATCTATTAAATGTATTACAAACGATTGAACACATCTACAAAGGTTTTCTTTTATACCACTCAGAAATACTTTTTAAATGTTATAAGGCATACAAAAATCTTTTGTAACCTCTGGTGAATTCTGAGCAATTAGTCACGTATCTTAGCAGTGAACTGCCACAAGCACATGCATTTAATTCTTGGCCTTCAGCAAGAAGGTATTCAGACTTTCATTTCACAAGACACTGTCACACCATGAGTTTTTGATCATTGCATTAGGAACACTTTAAAATCAAGCCTGATTTTTGAGATATCAAACACAACAACCCTTTCTTTCTTACCGAAAATCATTCTCAAATATATAACCGGTTTACTTGTTTAGCTAGGTTACAGATTTTCTTACAGAGCTGAGCTGAGAATAGATCAGTATTCTAAAAACAGATGGATGAATCATATTCCAGATGGCCAGTATGGTGCAAATAATGAAGGTCTGTAATGACAACAGTACAGTTGCTGTGGTAATGTTACGAAAGACTGACTGTAAAATATGTTGACAGGGCTGAAGACAAGAGAATAATTTGAAATTTGAACATCGAGTAGAATTGTCTTCACAATACAACCTAGTATTGTACATCAGAGACATATTTTGCAGTCACTTTAATAAGGGTTATTCATGAGTTGCCAACAATTTTCTCAAAACTTATTCAACAAATTACTTAACAAGGCAATGTTACCTTGTACAAACTTTTAATTTTAATTCTTGGAAATGATTGTGTTCCAGGGATGTGAAACTTTTCAAGTACAAAGAAGCAAAAGGCTGCTTCATTAGTAGATGGTAATGTTTACTACTTATAAATCTGCATTTTCCATTGAAAATAGCAAATAAAGTACATTATTCATATGGACATGCAGTCCTCCCACGGAGAAATTTTGGAGAGTAGCTGAGCTTGTTCCCTAGAGTTCTTTAGCTTCAGCTACCATCAGGAGTCGAGAGGTAAAAGTTTGCATTCAACAACAATAACAACAAGATTACATTTATAGAGCGCCTTTCACGTCGGGAGGACGTCCCAAGGCGCTGGACAGTTGAGTCGGGACCCGAGCAGGGGGGCAATGGTCAGGGTGAGGGGAGGGAAGGGAGGGAGTGAGGAGGGGAGGGAAGGGAGGGAGCGAGGAGGGGGTAGAGAGTACAGAGGGGAGCTAAAGGCACGGTTGAAGAGAAAAGTCTAGAGACCGGCCTTGAAGGAGGAAAGGGAGGAGGCAAGGCGAAGGCACTGGGGGATTGAGTTCTGAGAGGCTGAAAGCCCGGCCACCGATGGTACGGTTAGGGCGGGGGATGTGGAACAGACCGGAGCCAGAGGAACGGAGGGTACGGGCAGGTATGTGGGGGGATAATACGTCGGAGAGGTAGGAGGGAGCAAGGCCGTGAATGGCCTTATAGGTGAGGATGAGGATCTTGAATTCGATCCTCTGGGGGATGGGGAGCCAGTGGAGGCGAGCGAGGGTGGGAGTGATGTGGTTGCGAAGCCTGGTGCGGGACAGTACACGAGCTGCAGAGTTCTGAATGACCTGCAGCTTGTGGAGGGAGGTGCCGGGAAGGCCGGCGAGGAGAGAGTTCCCGTAGTCCAGCCTTGAGGTGATAAAGGCATGGACCAGAGTTTCAGCAGCGTGAGGGGTGAGGTAGTGCCGTAGTCTGGGGATGTTCCGGAGGTGGTGGAAGGCAGTGCCAGCTGTGGCGCGGATGTGGGAAAGAAAGGACAGCTCAGGGTCGAACAGAACACCGAGGTGCCTGACTCAAAACATTTTGCAAGAAGCAAATATAGAATATTAATAATCATTGCTTTGATATGGCACCTTATCAGGTCATTGAAACGTCCCAAAGCACTTCACAGAATATACTGTAAAGTGAACTAACCGTATATTTTGTGGGCAAAACTCAGTAGCCAATTGCGCACAGCAGTGTCCCACAAACAGCTGTGGATTGAGTGACCAAATTATTATTTTTGAAGGGATTATTACCCCCAGAAAGCGAATTTGCCAATTGACAAACAAGGAGGTTCCTAGGTAAACAGAGGTGTGTGTGTGGAGTAAGAAAACCTTAAGGTTTCACCCTGCCCAGGAATCGAACCCAGGTCCTCTCGCTTGTGAGGTGAGTCCTCTAACCACTAAGCTACAGGACTACACTGATTATTATTGTTGTTAGATGACTCTCTCTCCCTCTCAGTCACTTTGTCTCTCAGTCTCTCTCTCTCTTTATATATTATTGTCGTATATGTTTCTTTTCTGTCCGTTTTGCTAGTCTTTGTGTTTTTGAGCCTCTGAGTGCGTGCTTGAGTGTGTGCGCCTGTGTGCACCTATGAGTGTGTGTGTGAGGACAAACCTGTGTGTTTGTGTGTGTGTGTGCGCATGCCTATGTGTGTGTGTTCACACGAGTCTGTGTGTTTGTGTGCACGCACTGGTGTGTGTGTGAGTGCGCGTGCGACTGTATGTGTATGTTTGTGTGTGTATATGGGACACACTAAGCGCTCTGGGATGCCGCCTGGTGTGGAGGGCGCTATATAAATGTAAATTATTGTTGTATGTGTCTGTCTGTCTGATCAAGGATATGAGCTGTTTCCTCTTCACTACCTGTTTATTTCTATTGTCTTCCTAACTTTCATGCAGTAATTCAACAAAAATATGGAAGTCAAAGGTGTCTTGCATCACATATCTCTCCCTAAGTAAACTTAAATAATTCTATCCTATTTAGACCAATGAGTGGCAATGGGAGCAGCCAAAAGTTGCACATGCATGAAAATATTCTGGTAAGATGCCCACCTCCAGTCCTTCTGGGAGGGGATCATGAAAATTCCTTAGTCTGTGACATCTAAAAAGTACTCCAGCAATGCCACTGCTGCGTGCCCGCTGGCAAAAGTACCTGCAACAAAAAGAGTATTTTCTCCAAGGAACTCCATGTACGTCACACAAAGCTTTGGCTCGGGCTCGAAATCAAGTCTTGCAACTGTGCTAAGGCAGTTTAATTGTGGGTGCCTTTGCCAGCAGCCATGTAGGCGTGATGCCATCAGATCACTTTAGAGACACTCATGATCCCTGGCAGACCCAACCCCACACATACTCAGCTTAGTGTTCACTCACCCACAGTATTTGCTCTGAGCAGTGAGATGGTGTATCCCACAGAAACCGAGCAAATCTAATGCCCCAACAAGAAACATGTGGTCCATTGGAGAGCTGCCATCAGAAAAATCGATGACAAGCTGGGTTGTAGCATGGCAAGCATTGGAGGGGCTGAGCTTGCAGTTTATAGGTTTACTCCATGTAATCCCCACTCCCCTGCAGGACCCTCTTTCACTTGTTCTATATTATTCCAAAGGAATAAGATCAGCTATGTATTTTAATGTACACTGTCTTCCCAATTACAACAGGGACCACAGTCTGTCCAGGCCAGGTATTCTTTGAGTTGGTTTTACTTTCCCCTAGATTCTGCTCAGCCCCCTCAGAGGCCCTGGACCCTGCTCATCCCTATCGATTCAATCAGGCACAGAATGATTACAGTCCTGCCAATACAAATAACATCCAAGTATACAGAACTCTGCCAAACCACAATGGGATCAGTGTTGTTGTATCTCTTAATAATAATAATAATAATAATAATCCTTGCATTTGATATAGCGCTTTTCACATCGGGAGGACGTCCCAAAGCGCTTCACAGAACACACTGTAAAGTGAATTGACTGTATATTTGTGGGCGAACGCGGCAGCCAATTGCGCACAGCAATGTCCCACAAACAGTCGTAGATTGAAAATGACCAATTTAATTATTGTTTTTAGTTTTGGAGGGATTATTATTAGGCGTGTGGAGTAAGGAAACTTGCCCAAGGTTTCGCCCTGCCTGGAATTGAACTCAGGTCTCTCACTCTTAATAGGTTTCTTACTCCACCCCTCTTGATTCCAACCCCCACCTTGGGTGATAACCCTTAACTGTCCAGCACCTTGGGACGTCCTTCCGACATGAAAGGCACTAGATAACTGTAAATTGTTGATGTTGTTATCCGTGTCGTACCTAACATATAAGCTAACAATCAGTATTATATAAAACATTAGAAGCCATGCAAACATCACTATTTTCAAAAATATGAAACAAACACTATTGAGAATGTTCCTAAATTGAATTCCTTTCCTTATCTAATGCCCCTCTTCTCAATTTGGAAGCAAATAAAATGAGATAATGATATCAAAGTTACCATGATAGAATACTGTAACTTACATTGTAATACTTAATGTCTTACCTCTATGATGATATACAGCAACTTGCATTGATATAGTGCATTTATATGGTGTCAGTCACAAAGGAAGTGCTTATGCGGGGGTTGGACATAACAATTATGTTACGGTAGCATCACACAGAGTGTAAAAATATATGCTTAAACATGAAACTGAAAGCGTGCCAATGAATTAAATAACATTCTAATGAAACCACTTGGGCAGCACTGATGTCACATATTGATATCAATAAGATGAATGAAAATGTTTGCCTTTTATATATATAATATAATATATATATATAATATATACATATATATTATATACGTATATAGTAATTCTCAAATTAGGGGATTCAAGTGTTCAGACTATTATGGATGAAATCAACTCTTAACAAACGAATAACTTATTGAGCTCATTATGAATTTAACTAGTTTAAGGAATGTACTATTCAGGTTTGAGGAATTCAATTATTCAAACTACTGTATATAACGATTCGGCAATTAGAGAATGAACTGCTGTACTGTACTTCTCTTAAGTCCCAGAATTGTTTTCTTAAAACTTGTAGTGAGCAACAGTGCTAGTATCATATTTTACTGATTCAAAGTAGTTGTATTAAGGTCCTTATTATCTCTCTATGAAATACAGGTGCTAAGATCTGTATTCATCCTAAAAATCTAGTTTTATATTTTCAATGACCGCTAAATGAAATTAACCTTACAAGAAGAGACACTTTGATACCAATGATTTGAACAGTTTGTTGAACAAAGCTACATCAGAACTTTAATCGATTTGGTTTGGGATGAATTAGGAAAATGCCATGAGCATTATCTTATTGCAACTATATCTTTTACATTGATACTTTGTCCTTATTTGCAGACCAAGATCCTTTATACGAAAATGTTCCAAGTTGGAATAAGAGATGGCCATCCCCAAGGAAGTCCTGACCTTGCCCATAAATGAAAGAATAATAACCTTATGCTGTATTTGGTCCTCCTGACTTGAAAGGCGCTATACAACTGTTATTTGTTGTTGGTATAACTCCTTCCATGTCAGGAGGACATCCCAAATGCATCACAGGATTTACTGTAAAGTATAGTGACTCTGTATTTGTAGGCAAACATGGCAGCAAATTAGTGCACAGAGACATGCCACACAAAACATGAAGCAAATGACCAAGACTAGTTAAGATTCATTTAAGTAGATGGTTTATTTGATAAATGCAATGTGGAATCAGAAGCTCTATTTGCTCCATCAGAGAAAAAATATCATAGATATTTTGAAGGCAAAAAATATTGCACAGTGTGTCCATCCTTCACACTAGCACAGTGTCAACACCATTCACAGTAGCACAGTGTCAACATCATTCACACTAGCACAGGGTCTACACTATTCAGCATCAGCACAGTGCCTATGTAGTTTAGTATTAATAATTGTACAATTGAGAGTATCTGTTACATGTAGACATTTAGAATATATTTAATCTGGGAGGAAAAGGTGGCAAATGATATTATTACTGATGATAATTATCAAAACAAACAAAAATGTGGTCAAAAGCAATCAATAGTTATCACTGGCCTCTAATAATCTTCTTATTAACTGCTATTGGCCACATTTCTGAATGACATGAGCACATGTCGGGTTATCCAATTGATAGATGACTGATCCACAGGTACGATGCCACCTGGAGCACCCATCAAAATGGTTGAGCCCAAATCTGCCGGCCCACAGATGGCTACATTAGACTGCCAGTTAGCAAGATATTGACTTAATCAAACAAAACATGTTCAAATAAAACTCAACTCCATGGCATAAACACTCTGATGCATTTGTATGTATGTGTATGTGTGTATATGTGTGTTGTGTGTATGTGTGTGTGTGTGAGAGGTGGGGGAAGGAGGGCTCTAACTCGAGAACCACTTAATAATTAAGGGAATGACTAATCTCTTTTTTGAATGATGACAATTACCATGACGCTTCAATTTTCACTCCAAAGTTTCCTTTAACCTTTGTCTATCTCTTTGACAGCTTTAGATTTTTTTCTTTTTATTCTCCGCCCGTGAAGCTACTGACTCGTATTATGTAAATTCAATTAGTGTCCAATACCACATCCCAAGGGTCAATGTTCATGTACGAGTACAGGCAATGAATAATATCAGGGTTATATGACTGTGGTGGGGGAAGAGTCACCAATCTTACGCTCATCTGACATCCACATGTACGCATGTTCCACCAAGGGTTGGTGATCAAGAGCATGATGCCTTCCTCAGGTCAGGAGCATTGCAGCTAATAGTGGCAACTCCTCCTGAATTCCAGTTGAAATAAGATAATTTAGCACAGACCAGGATTGAACCTGGGACGTTTCTGGCCTTTATACAGTATCTCAGGTTTACAATAGTTAGTTTCTGTATCAATTAAATGAGTGGGCAAACTCCACTACAGATTTTTAAAAGCATTGTAAAGGATTATCTAAATACATTGTGAATTATAACAGCGTTTCCCTGGTAAGGAATCCGAGTGGGGATTCCACATACACCATGCCAACTCATGGGGACGCCACTCCGAAAGTGCATCGCATTGGAGTGGAGTTCCCACGGCTCAGCATGACGTACTTCAGTTTTGAAATCACCACATAGCAGATCCCAACGTTATACGAAGGATACTGCGACATATCTGAATTAATATTACAGACTGAAAATGTTCACTTACCCGTCAATCCATCAAGATTTAAGGAAATGTGGACAGGTTTTTCCGAAGGTAGCCTTCTTGTGGTAATCATATGGTCAATGGTACTAGGCTGACTATAGTTTCTGCTCTTTAGCTGTGAGGAAAAGAATGATTCTCCAAGTTACTGGCAGCCTGTGAACATTTAGTTATTTTTTTACATTCAAAGTAATTGAACAATATCTATTTGTCCACCTCTTCATTTTCAATAACAGTTTTCAGATTTCACGGCACTTCATCTAATATTCTTTTTTATGTTACATTTCATGAATGTTCAAGATAACAACAACTTGCATTTATATAGCACCCCTCACTCAGGGTAGCATCCCAGAGCGCTTTAGATAAGCACATTTAGATACCAATAAGCAAAATAAAAGATATAAATAGGCAATAAAGTTCATATAAATTGTTGAATAAGTACAGAATTTAGATTATAAAAAATATAATACCTTTGAACCATATATGGTACAGAGATTGCTACACCTGTTGACTTACCTTACACAACTCCACACCTGCCGACGCAAGCTTCTGAGAGGACTTGTTTCTTGCCTGGTCTTTGCCTTTGTAGAGCATTAAAGATTAAATGTGAGATAGAGCACCTGCTGCATGGCAACAAATTGACAGTGTAATAGAGGCTGAAACAGCTGCTAGGACAGCATGCTGTTACCTGCACTTCCCATGGGTTCTGGACTCCCTGAGGCCTGGTTTCAATCAGCTGTACTTTCCCTTCCCTATAAAAAAAAGGCAGAGAATTTTATTGACTCGCACAACACAGAATAAAGTGTTTCTCTCTGATGCCTTTCTTTCCATTCTGTTCACATTTTAAAAAGCTTTAAGCACAAACAGACGGCCTTAAGCTAGAAGAATGTTGTCAGCATAACCCTGCCTGTGTGAGCCTGCTCCAGCAAACTCCTTTAAACAACATGACTCCAGTCAGTAAAAATGTCTATGACCCCAATTAGCTCAGGGTGACATAGCCAGTTTGGACTGCAGCTGCAACAGTACGTAACTGTGCCATGATGCCGTTTCCCAAACTGAGGCTGAGTGAGTCTGTGCTTCTGTACAATATGACAGAGGAGCAGTATGCGAAATAGAAACAAACAGCACTGAGTGACAGTAAGGGCAGGTGTCAGCCTCATCTGACATGAATATCCTTGCATATAATTTGGCATCTTTTCTACAACTCACATATCAAATAACCACAGTTTGATATACAGTAGACTTTTATAGAACAGACTGCTCAAATTCCAACAATCATTTTTCACCCCATGAAATGCCAGTAAAATTCATCCCATAAATCAATGAGCAACTGGTTCAACTACTTCTCTTGGAAATCTGCACAAAATGAAAGAATTACCAGCAGTTAAAACAAATAAAGAGTAAGAGCTAGCCGGGGAGATTAGTGATTAATCCTTTTTAAAAAAATCTTGCAGCTATTTTTAATCTTTTTTTGGTATTTTCTGCCTCCTTTTAGATTGCCCTCCGTTGCCTTGCCAACTGAGCAGATGGACAACCTTCTAGCAGTGCCACTCTATCTGTCAATGCCACACTGTGAGAGGTGTGCAAGAGTTTCCCAGAGTGACTTATCCTCCAGTTCCCTTCTATCCCTATGGAGAAGCACCTGGCCTACCCTGACAGCTGCTTATATTAAGACCTCACTGTGTCAGACCAACCATATGACCCTACAGCTATTTCCGCAACAGGTCCCAAAAATAATACAAATGTTTTATTTTTCTTAAGCCACACCAGATGAGCTTTTTCTCTATCTCCTTATATTCTGTTGTACTCACAATTATTTTATAGGAGTATAAATTTGGAGTATAATTTTTTAAACAAATCATATGATTTTATTTCCAAAAAGCTGACTGTCACCTCCTTTCCTCAAAGGAATTAGAAGCATGATTCATACATTTGAGCAACTGCACTGGCAAAATGCATTAAATAATTGTTACGAGATTCATACATTCTTGGCAAGACAGTTGTTGGCTGACTCACACCGAAGAAAGAAAGTTGTTACTAAGTAATAACTCCTTTCAGGCAGCTACATAGTGACACCAGTAATTTGCAGCCTTGAAAGGGTTTCAGCTTTTTGGGAAAATTGTTTACAGGGGAGAAGAAACATTTAGGAAAAATTGAAACAGTAATTCAAGTATATTACATTTTTGTTGTAGGGAAATAGGCAATTATTTTGTGTAAATCAAGGCCCCACAATAGTGTGAATGGCCAGTTTATCTGCAGGATTACTGGGCAGTTCAAAAGGGAGAAACTTCCTTCTCATTTTGAGTATTGTCACAGGATGGCAGTGCTCACACCAACGATAAAGTGTAGATAGATAGTCTTTGTTGAGTTACACTGAGTAATTACTGAAGATAGAAGCTCTTAGAGTCTGAAGTTTAGTCTTTTGGAAGTTTGATCAGGTCTTGCCAGAGATCAGCTACTCTTTACTGATTCTGGTATTACTATAAAGAATGATGTGGAATAATAGTATGTGAGCTATTGTAGCACTCAAAAGAATCCAAGGGTAGTGGAGTCCCGTAGCATAGTGGTTAGAGTGCTCACCTCTCAAGCGAGAGGACCTAGGTTTGATTCCTGGGTGGGGAGAAACCTTTGGCAAGTTTCCTTACTCCACACAGCTCTGTTTACCTAGCAGTAAATTGGATCCCAGTTGTTAGTTGATTGGCAGATCGCTTTCCGGGGGTAATAATTTGGTCACTCAATCTATGACTGTTTGTGGGACACTGCTGTGCGCAATTGGTCAATCCACTTTACAGTATATTCTGTGAAACAGTTTGAGACATCTCAACAAAGTGATAAAGCGCTATATAAAATGCAAGAATTAGTATTATGATGAATAGACTTTGTCAAAGGTAGTCTTAAAAAAAACAGTTGAAGTGAAAAATGTTACATAACACTTTTCACTTCAGGAGGATGTCTCGAAGCACTTCGCAAGCTGACTGGATACCTGAGCTGGTGGGGGATGTTTAGCACATCTCACACCACATTTTTCAATCTCGTTGAATATTATTAGAGGTAATTCATGTGGAAATAGTAATAGGAAATATACACAAAAATAAAAAATACATTCATAAAAAAGCGCAACAAAATTATATGTTTTCACCCTTAAGGGATTCTCTTAAACAAGACTTCTTCCAGAGCATCTTTTTTTCCCACCCCATTAGTTGTTTAATCTCTCTCCGGTAGTCTCCTTGGGTACAGTTCTCCAAGCACCAAATTCCTTTCAGTATCTTGCTCAAATGAAAATTATTCAAGTGTGAACCTTGATTTCCCGTCTTTCTTCCCCTTCCCCCAGCTCAGGCTCCCAGTCAACTTGTGAAGTGTTTGAGACATCCTCCTGATGTGAAAAGTGCTATATAAATGTAAATTGTTGTTGTTGACCAATGAGTGTTGCCAAGCTATTTGAACATGAGGATATTGCAGCTGATCTCCAAACCAATTCTCGCCAAGGGATCAAATCTAGGGCTTTCCTAATCTGTATTGCTCAGCTATTCACTGAATCTAACAGGCGATTTTTTTTGTTGTAAAATCTTAATTGAGGTCACAGGAGAAGAAGTTTCTTTATGTTTGTGTACATTGTAATGAGATGTGGGTATGGAACAGATTTCCTTTTCAGGCACCCAAACTCAGTATCAAGGAATGCTAAACCCACCTATAACAGAACTTCTGCAGAGTTGTTCCTCTGCTCTGCCTCAATAAAGTCCTTCAATTCAAGCCTCTGATTATTATGCATTCACATTCATTTTCATTAGTATGCAATAAAATAGTTGTTGAAAAAAAATCAAACTGCACTGATCACAAGAGATGCATGGATGAAAAAAGTCCTTTGGACATTTGACCCAATCCTTTCAACAACAACAAATCACACTTGTATAGCACCCTTCACGTCAAAAAGACATTTCAAATCCAAAAGGCAAAAGGATAATGTCCCAACCCAGTTCACCACTCTGTCCACAGGAGCAAACTTCTTAATGACGATAGAGTCGCATAACAAAAAATTAAATGACCCCAAGGTTTTTTTAAAAAAAACAACTTTGTACATGGTTAAATGCAGTACCCATAAATCTGAGTGACACATGCCCAAAACTACATCTACAAACATATACAGTAATTTGTAAGTGACATATTGATATAATCTTAACTTTAATCACCAAAATATTTTTTGCATTATTAGAATATGGTTTCATTGTAAAACCGCTTCATAAATATTAAACTTGTGCTGATAGCCCTCCATAGATAATTTTTGCTTCAGACCAAAACTGTCTTTCTCATTTATCCCATTGGATCATGTCTGCAGAATGCACAGCTCCATTGATTACCATTTTCTTTACAACAGCATTATTTGCAAATAAAAATAAATGACTCCTTGTTTAAGTTATAAAGTACAGTCCTGGTATACAGTTGATTGTTAGCTACAATTAAAAAAAGAACACAATTTATCATTTTTAACTAACAGTGAAAGACTGTCAGATATTGCAGATCAGACTAGGTAACTGGTAATGCAGTACTTTGGCTTCAGTACACAACACTCCTGAATGAGAATACTGTAAAAGGTCAACTGATTTTACTCAGGAAAGTTAATGAGATCAGAATAATGTGTTCCAATTTTCTTACCTGCCTTCTTCGTTTTGTCTCCTTTGCTTTTCGTTTTTCTGTCTTTTTCTTCCTCGTAAGTTAGCAATGCAGTGCTGCAAGAACTCAATCTGAATTAAACCACAGAGAGAAGAGCGAGAGAAGAAGCAAAAGATCAAATAGTCACCAGGAATGGCTCATGATGCTGAGTACCTCGATTCGGCTCCCTCTTGTGGGCAGACGCAGAACCGACCTATAATGGGGTACAAATCCTCCCTTGTCCAGACTTACTCTATTAACATATCACACTGTTGAATTCAGTTTTTACTTTTGAAGCCTATTTTGTGTATAATTTACAGAAAATGGCTTCAAAATTAAAAACTATTTAAGAATTTGACAAATTATAGACACTGTAATGCTACGGGTCATGACCCAACTGTGCAGCGCCTTGGGACGTCCTCCTGACGTGAAAGGCGCTTTATAAATGGAATCTTGTTGTTGTTGTACGTTTATAGAGCAAATCTAGACCCAAATAGAATTTTACCCTATATTATAGATATTATTTAGTGCAACTGATTTGAAAATCCTGCTCTTACTACTTGGTTATTATCCTCCAATTAATCCCCTTTGGTAAACCATACAAATTGATGTAATCCGATAAGTGTATAAGCACCAGTAAGTTTTAACTTGTTGATACACATTGTTTGCATAGTATTACTATGGCTATTATTCTCATCTTCAGTTTACAACAACAACAAAATTACATTTGTATAGCACCTTTCATGTCAGAAGGGCGTCCCAAGGCGCTGGACAGTCAGTGTTTCGGACCTGAGCTGGGGGAAGGTGGAGGCCATGGGGGGATGGAGGGAGGGTGATCGAAGGCGTGGTCGAAGAGGAGGGTCTTGAGATGGGTCTTGAAGGAGGGAAGAGAGGGGGCGAGGTGGAGGGGCTGCAGGATGGAGTTCCAAAGGATGGGGGAAGAGTGACAGAAGGCCTGCTCGCCAATGGTGATCTTCACCTTCAAAGCACTCCATGGCCTTGCTCCCCCCTACCACTGTGACCTGCTAACCCCCTACCAACCTGCTCGTTCCCCCGCTCAGCTGGCTCTGGCCTGCTTCACATCACTTGTATTTATTCAGCCAATAAATTAAGACAGCCCAAAGTGCTTTACAGTGTCAGGTCTTAAAACTGATAAATCTCCTGGACCTGATGGCCTACATCCTAGCGTTTTAAACGAGGTGGCTACTGAGATAGTGGATGGCTTGTCTTTGATCTTCCAAAATTCTCTGGATTCTAGAACGGTTCCCATTGATTGGAAGATTGCAAAAGTAACAACACTATTTAAGAAGGGTGGGAGAGAAAAGATGGGGAACTGTAGACCAGTTAGTCTGACATCAGTGGTAGGGAAAATTCTTGAGTCCTTAATTAACTATGTCGTTATGGGATTCCTGGAAGACCATAACAAGATTACGCAGAGTCAACATGGCTTTACAAAAGGGAAGTCATGCTTAACTAATCTTTTAGAGTTTTTTGAAGATGTATCTAGCAGGTTAGATAGGGGGAAATCAGTAGATGTAGTATATTTAGATTTTAAAAAGGCATTTGACAAAGTGCCACACAAAAGGCTATTGCACAAGGTTAAGGCCCACGGGATTAATGGGAACATATTAGCATGGATTGAAGAGTGGCTATCGGGTAGAAAACAGAGAGTAGGGATAAATGGGTCATTCTCGAATTGGCAGGATGTGACTAGTGGAGTGCCACAAGGATCAGTGCTTGGGCCTCAGCTATTTACAATTTACATCAATGATCTAGACGAGGACATTGAATGTAACGTATCTAAATTCGCGGATGACACTAAACTAGGTGGGAGAGTAAGCTCTGAGGATGATGCAAAAAGATTGCAATGGGATATAGATAGACTGGGAGAGTGGGCGAGTAGGTGGCAAATGGAATTTAATGTGGGGAAGTGTGAAGTTATTCACCTTTGTAGAAAAAATAGAAAAACAGATTATTTTCTAGAGGGGGAGAGATTAGATAGTGTTAGTGTTCAGAGGATTTGGGTGTCCTTGCACACCAGTCTCAAAAAGTTAGTTTGCAGGTGCAGCAAGCAACTAAGAAGGCAAACGGCATGTTAGCGTTCATTGCAAAAGGTTTAGAGTACAAAAGTAGAGAAGTCTTGCTGCAACTGTATAGGGCCTTGGTGAGACTGCACCTAGAGTATTGTGTGCAGTTTTGGTCTCCTTATTTAAAAAAGGACATACTTGCCCTAGAGGGGGTGCAGTGTAGATTCACTAGGTTAGTACCTGGGATGAGGGGACTGACCTATGAGGATAGGCTGAATAAACTAGGGTTATATTCTCTAGAGTACAGAAGAATTAGGGGAGATCTTATTGAAACATATAAGATTCTTAAAGGACTGGATAATAATAATAATAATAATCCTTGCATTTGATATAGCGCTTTTCACGTCGGGAGAATGTCCCCAAGCGCTTCACAGAACACACTGTAAAGTGAATTGACTGTATATTTGTGGGCGAACACGGCAGCCAATTGCGCACAGCAATGTCCCACAAACAGTCGTAGATTGAAAATGACCAATTTATTATTGTTTTTGGTTTTGGAGGGATTATTATTAGGCATGTGGAGTAAGGAAACTTGCCCAAGGTTTCACCCTCTGCCTGGAATTGAACTCAGGTCTCTCACTTGCAAAGCGAGTGCTCTAACCACTGAGCTACAGGACTCCACAAAGTAGACACTGAGGGACTGTTTCCCCTGGTAGGAGAATCTATAAACAGGGGTCACAGTCTTAAAATTAAGGGTCAGCCTTTTAGAACAGAGTTGAGGAAACATTTCTTCACTCAGAGGGTAGTGAATTTATGGAATTCACTACCCCAGAAGGCTGTAGATGCTCAGTCCTTGAACATCTTCAAGGCTGAGACTGAGAGATTTTTAAAAAATAGAGGGATTAGGGGATATGGGGATAGGGCAGGTAATTAGAGTTAGGTCTGAAGATCAGCCATGATCTTATCGAATGGCAGGGCAGGCTCGAGGGGACGAATGGCCTACTCTTGCTCCTAATTCTTATGTTCTTATGTAATTTCTAATGCTTCTACTGACTGTTTTTTGCCAAATGAAAATACAGCAGATATTATGAATGATCAAATGATCTAGAGGATTGTTGGCCAGGATGCCAATCATTAAAGCTTATGTGTGGGCTTGAATGACTGGAAACTCAGTTACATAGTCTGGTCAAACAAACCATGTATAGAATACGGAAAATTACACACCAATATAGCACCAATATTAACAATGGATAAACTCCATCCTTATAACAATGTAATACTATTTGTTTACATTCCATCTGCTACCCCTTTAAAAAAGTATTTTCTTCCCCCTTTTAGGTCTCAATATAGTTATACAACTGAGCATGGCATAGAATGGTGCTGCACAGCCTCTATACTTCTTGGAATCCACTCGTGGAGATGCTTGGACTCTATGTTTTGAACTGACAATGCAGTTGAATTTTGAGCCTAATTTACTAATACAGAATGAACAATGTCTCAACACACTATTGGACAGTATGTTGATACATCAGCATACTGCACATCTTCACTATCTTGATTATAACACTGCTGGTAGTCGGGTCCCACAAGGAGCAGCTCTGTCTCAGAGCAGTTTGCCATAACTGGAAGATACGAGTATTTTTCCCACAACAGTAGTATTGGAATATGTGTAGTTCATTGCAATTTTTTCTCAAATAATGGCAAAAAGCTACATGCAGCTTCTGGTAGGCTTTTAGATGCTATCCCGCGTGAAGGGCGCTATATAAATGCAAGTTCTTGTTGTTGTGGACTAATGCTATCATACAGACATGGTCTCCTCGCAAATGTAGAAGAGTTGAAACAACCGGCTCCTGTTGCTGTGGCTGGACTGGCAGTTGCTCTGGTGCCTGTTGCTGTGGCCGGACTGGCAGTTGCTCTGGTGCCTGTTGCTGTGGCCGGACTGGCAGTTGCTCTGGTGCCTGTTGCTGTGGCTGGACTGGCAGTTGCTCTGGTGCCTGTTGCTGTGGCTGGACTGGCAGTTGCTCTGGTGCCTGTTGCTGTGGCTGGACTGGCAGTTGCTCTGGTGCCTGTTGCTGTGGCTGGACTGGCAGTTGCTCTGGTGCCTGTTGCTGTGGCTGGACTGGCAGTTGCTCTGGTGCCTGTTGCTGTGGCTGGACTGGCAGTTGCTCTGGTGCCTGTTGCTGTGGCTGGACTGGCAGTTGCTCTGGTGCCTGTTGCTGTGGTTGGTTGCTATGAGAGTGGCCAGACATTAAAATACGTTTTAGCCCAGTCATCAAAATACTAATGTAGCCCAATATTATGTGTTGCCTACTATGGGTAGCAGAGTGGCCAATTCAGGTGTTTGCTTTTGAAACTGTGTAAAAAATCTTCAAAGGAAAAAAAACCCACACATTTTCCAGGTTTAAATATATTTATTAAACGAGGCAGCGTCCAAAGCCGTGTTTCCACTCGAAGCGCAACCACACAAACCCGCCCAATTGGGCGTGAAGCCGCCCAACCCGTCCACCTCAGTTCCTGCGGCGGCGCTGTGCCGCGGTGTGTTGTGGGAGGAGCGCGGCCGGCCTCAGTCACGTGGGGCTGATTAGCTGCAGACGCTGGTCTCTCGGCTCCGGTAACAAAGCTCCGGTAACATGGCTCTCCACATCCCCAAAGCGCCGGGCTTCGCCCAGATGCTAAAAGATGGGGCGAAGGTGAGTTTTGCTTAAACTCCGAATCAGAATAACGACCTGAAATGATTTGGCAGAAGTGGGTTTCAGCGCGCGGTAATAGGAAGGTTCTAGAAAGGCCGAGTGATTAGGCGGCGGCGGCGGCGGCGGCCTGGCCGACACGAGGCGCCATTAGAGCTGGGGGAGGGCGGGCTCCCGGCTCTCGGCTCTCGGTAGGTTTGCTCACCACAAACCCAGGTTTTAGTTTTTATCTTGTTTAATGTTTTCGCCTGTCCCGGTCTTCCGTGTGGCGGGGCGGAGGCGCCCGCTCCATGTGCTCGGCCGCCATTACAGCAGCCGTGGAAATCTTCATTGTCCCACTGGGGGGAGGGAGGGTGTCCAGGACATGTGAATAGAGCCGCCTTGAACACCACCCGAGAATGGGGCACTTACTGGCCAGGACACCGGGAGAAGCTCCCTTTTCGAGTAATGGCCACGGAATCTTTAACATCCATCTGAAGAGCCAGACGGGACCTCGGTTTAACATCTCATCTGAAGGACCGCACCTTCGACAATTTAACCCGAGCACTGCTTAGGGAGGAAACTGGGAATGTGTTTAGATGGTGATTGCAAAACACTACCAAGGGCTTCAACCTACAACTTTCTGACTCAGGCGAGAGTGCTACCACCGAGCCAGGCTGACATGGGTGGGGTCGCAGATATTTTGCAAACAGTTGCAATTCATCATTTAACGGAAACGGCCACGCACAAAGAATGTCATCTAGTCTGTGAATCCTAGGTTTTCTGGGACCAGTTTTGAATCAAATATTGTTGGGTACTAAATATCCTAAGAAAGCTAAACAAGTAAACATATAACTGGGCGTTTTGTAATTTTCAAATATTTTGTATTAGCACCAAAGAGCTTCTTGGTGCAGGTGCATATAGTCCTACAGTGCAGGACTATAACAACACCAAAATTATATTTGTATAGCGCCTTTCACATTGGGAGGACATCCCAAGCGCTGGACAATCAAGTATTTTGGACCCGAGCTGGGGGGAGGGTGTGGGGGGGAAGGAGGGTGATCGAAGGCACAGTCGAAGAGGAGGGACTTGTGATGGGTCTTGGAGGGGACAAGGCAGCAGGACTGCGGGATGGAGTTCCAGTGGGTGGAGGGTGAGTGGCTGAAGGTCCGTCCGCCAATGGTGATGCAGGGGACGTGAAGCAGGCCAGAGCCCGCTGAGCGGCGGGAGCGGGTAGGACTAGGTAGGTCTCTAGATAAGATATCAAGCTACACCATGTAAATAGTTTACGTGAAGCCCTTACATGCATTGTCTAACATTTGTGAATAGATCTTGTAAAAGTGTTATTACAATATTTAAGCTAGTTGCTTAAATACAGAGGTTTTTCTCACAAATACAGCTCAAGGTCCTGGTCCTCACCTTCAAAGCCCTCCATGGCCTCGTCTCCCCGCCCCCCCACCTCTGCGACCTCCTAACCCTTTACCAACTTGCCCACTCCCTCTTTTATTATCAGTCAAAGAAGCTAGGCAAAAATGGTACAAATGTGTCCTCTCCTGCACCAGGCTCCGTGACTCTTATCACCTCCATCCTCAGCCATCCACTGGCTTCCCATCACACAGAGGACACAGTTCAAGATCCTGATCCTCACCTTCAAAGCCCTCCATGGCCTTGCTCCCCTCAACCTCTGTGACCTGCAAACCCACTACCAACCTGCTCTCTCAGCTTAGTGGGCTCCAGCCTGCTTCACGTCCTCCGCCTCACCTGCCCCACCATCGGCGGACTGGCCTTCAGCCACTCTGCCTCCACCCTCTGGAATTCTATCCCGCAGTTCCTCCGCCTTTTCCCCCTTCCTTGCCTCCTTCAAGACCCATCTCAGGACCCTCCTCTTTGACTGCTTTTGATCACCCTTCTTTCCCTCCACCCTCCCCGACCCCCAGTCAGTTCCGAAACACTGACTGTTCAGGGTCTTGGGACGATGTCTCCTCCCGACGTGAAAGGCGCTATACAGATGTAATTTTGTTGTTGTTAAATGCAGTTTAACAGTTGGTTTCCATATCAGTGACTTGACAGCTAGCTGACTAAACATAGTGACTGAAATTTTCTGTGATTTGTTTTATCCTTGTACTCTACCTCTGGACTACTAACTAAATTCTGTGTCATCAGCTCTTTGCATTATTTTGAAACATAAGAATAATCTAGATGCAAATGTCATTTTTTGCTATTTTGTGTGTCTGCCAACCTCTTGAATTCGGTGTCTTACACTGGTGTCCTATTCTGCGGAAAAGTATAAGCCCAGGCAGCAAATATCAGCTTGTTTTCCAACCTGAATTGAAGCCTTTACAACTCAGCCTGTGTTCTGTGTTATCCACTATTCCCACAAATCCACTTTTTATTGAGGTTAGTGACAATCAGAAGCAGCTTGAACAGAATTGAAATTATTGAGTGACATGATGGATCAGCATCCTCCCCAGTCAGTCTATTCATTGTCTTTCAAGCCCAATTTCTTAAACTACAATATTGAGATTTTAAATCTTATTTCTATACATTTTCGAAACTTTATTCATTACTCTTATTTTTAAATTGAATCTTCAGTATTTTTGAAGCACTCTTATGAGGCAAGTAGGGAGACTAAGGTCTACTTTATTTACTTTCTGTCATTGCCTGTTTTTTAATACTGTAGAATGCTTTTCTCCTGGAGCTATTTGGAATGCCTTCAAGTCTAACATCATGCAACATCACTGGCTTTTTTGAATGTTAAATATTTTTATAGTACTGCTACTACCCTTACCTTTCATTTTGTTTTCCTTTTTAAACAGTAATGTTTAGAAAAAGCTGAAGTTGATATTCTAGACTTAAGCTCTTTCCTAAATTTGTAGCAGATTATGTGATGCAAGATTTGTTTTGATTTCTTACTTGGTTATAATTTTAATCACCGGGCTGTGAGCTAACAAACCTCTACATTTTGTTCAGCACTATTCTGGCATGGAAGAAGCGATTTTCAGGAACATTCAAGCTTGCAAGGAGTTGGCTCAGACCACCTGTACAGCTTATGGTCCAAACGGTATGTTTTTGTTCTATATATGTTCAATTTCATATATTTGGAGGAAATGTATTGCCTCACTACTGGTAATGTAAGACTTAATAGATAATCCATTTTGCAGGGATGAACAAAATGGTCATCAATCATGTGGATAAACTTTTTGTGACCAATGATGCAGCTACCATTCTACGAGAACTGGAGGTAAGCAGTTTTATTGATTTGTTTTATGTGAGGTATGTTTTAATTAAATTATAGTTCTAATTTTATAAAATAGTTGCTTGGGATTGAACAGTGTTAGGCTTATAAGTGTGATTCTGGTGTGTATGTATGTGTGTGTATATATGTATATATTGGACAATCTTTGTAATGTCTCTCCTTTTAAACAACCGGAAATAAAAATTCAGAAATGTAGCTGTTTGAATCTGGGTTAAAAAACTAATAGGAAACAGTAATTTGAAGGTCCTTAATTGTAACTATTTTTGGATTGCTTGTATTTTTTCCGCAGTTATTACATTGGCACATTTTTCAATTTGTTTCTTTTTTAATATTAATGTTATTGCCTGGTGTCAGTGTGAGTAGTGCTCCTCTTACATTGGGAAATCCTCTTATGATTAATTCACCTCTTGAATTCCCGGACACAGGTTCAGCATCCTGCAGCTAAGATGTTGGTGATGGCTTCCCACATGCAGGAGCAGGAAGTTGGAGATGGTACAAATTTTGTGCTGATTTTTGCTGGTGCTCTTCTTCATCTTGCCGAAGAGCTTTTGCGAATGGGTCTTTCAGTCTCTGAGGTAAGCTTATCTTTTTAACAGGTTGGTCTTTTTATGGATTTGCTATATTGAAAATATTGTTTTAAAGGAACACGTATATTGTTTTCATGCGTGCAGAAACTTATCACAATACTTAAGAGTATCTAAACTAGGCAAAGTTCTACATATGTATGCTACCAAAACATGGAAATTTTCCCTGTGTCTGGAATGGAATATGCACACCCTCCCTGGTGACCTAGTACTGGTATTTAATTAACATTCTAATTGTACATGATATTTCAAATGAAGCCTTGTTGGTTGCCTGTACATAGCTTGGGAAACTTTTCCTAAGTCAAAAATTCTTGCATCATGCATTATAGTACTTTATTGCTTTTGTTTATTTAGAATGGTACTTTACAAATAGTCTAGAAAATATAAATCTATTGTTTTGAAAGTTGTCTGATCAATTATTTTGTGACTTGTTCTAAGTCTATTCTGACCACCTTTTAATGACTCCAATAGTATTTAATTCTTGAATTTAATGTACATGCTAATGTAACATTATAGGTAATCGAAGGATATGAAGCAGCCTCCAAAAAGGCTCTAGAGATCCTTCCAGGCTTGGTGTGTTCTTCTGTCAAAAACTTACGAGATGTAGAGGTGACGTCTGTTATTCGAACTGCTGTTATGAGCAAACAATATGGAAATGAAGAGTTTCTGGCCAAGCTCATTTCGCAAGCATGTGGTATGTGTTGAATTAGCCTTTTTTAAAAATAGAATTCTTAACAGTTTTTCAGCGGTTTAAAATGATTTTGTTTTAACTAGGAATAGTACTTTAATCCTGTTACCTCTCTTGTGCTTGTTAATACAGCATCTTTGTGAAGGTTTTCACACCAAAAGTACCACTACCTTTGTAAAGATTGGGTTGTATTTGATTTTTTTTTCAGGATCTATTTATTCAGACAAGGGAAATTTCAATGTGGATAATATCAGAGTTTGCAAAATTCTGGTGAGTCTTTCAGGACCATTCTTCATGTATGCATTGTGGATTAGTTTGAAGCAAAAACTTTCTTGCACTAAACAATTTCACTGGGCTTAAAATGTTTAAAATATAAGGAAATGCATTAGGTACACCATCTGTATTGGGCTTGTCACACTGAAGAATTAAGACATTTTCTAATTAGTACACATCAAAAAATTCTAGAATAATTTTGTGTTTTAGTTACCAAGAAAGTGTTATCCAAGAAACTGTCTTGGATGGAGACAATTTTTCATCATGGGTTTGCTGGCAAAGAATAATGATGAATCCATTTTTCCTTGCAACAGATTTATAGCAACATTGCTAGGCTCCTGACATTTTGTTACTTCTACAACAGCTTGTCATTCAGTGAATGACAAAAGCCAAAGAACACCAATGACGCCCTGCATCCATGTTGAGATGCCATTTGCTTGTGTGTGCAAGTGATCTTTCTTTCCACTTTCCTGTTTCCTCAGTGATAATAATTTATTATTTGCTTGTGTTATGCAAGTGATGTTTCTTTCCATTTTCCCTGATCACTATTTTCTCAGTAATAGTGTGGAATGGGTGAAAACAATTCTTTGCTTTGAAACATTACTCCTGATAACTGCAGTATAACAATAGCTTCCATTTATATAATGCCCTTCACACATCTTGGAGAACTTGTATCTATATCAGACAAAAAAAACTGGACCAGACAAAAAAGTAATGTGATTATCACTTCTGCATATAAATGTGTACATTGCGGGTGGGGGGAATCAATCAGTTAAGTTGTGAGCCATTTTATTTGTATATTTGTAGGGTTGTGGTATCCATGCCTCATCAGTGCTCCATGGAATGGTTTTCAAACGGGAGACTGAGGGAGATGTAACCTCAGTCAAGGATGCTAAAATAGCAGTATTCTCTTGCCCTTTCGATTGTAGGACAACTGAGACAAAGGTACATTTGAGTGGTTTCTAATTGGTAATGTTTTGCGATGTCTATGTTAAATCTTGATTAATGGAATTCCATCTTTGCGCGAAGAATGAGGGTAAATTAGATCATCTCAGATAAGTAAAATGTTTTCACCAATAAAACTTTTAAAACTACTTCCATGGTTAATTGTTGTTGAAGATGAGCGCAGAGGTATAGAAATCCAGAAGATAAGTTCCTTTCTTATGATTTTAATATCTGTAGATGTGTAAACTCCTTGTACATTGCCTCTGAAGACAAACTGATAATGCATGAGAAATCTTGTTTATTACAATAGTTTTAAATAGTGAGTGAATACTGTTGATTTGATAATGATGGATTCTGTTTTGATTTGATATCGTTTCATCATTTGAAGGGTACTGTTTTGATAAAAAGTGCAGAAGAACTGATGAGCTTCAGTAAAGGGGAGGAAAATCAGATGGAGGTCCAAGTGAAGGCTATTGCAGATGCTGGAGCTAATGTTATAGTAACAGGAGGAAAAGTAGCAGACATGGCTTTGCACTATGCAAACAAGTACCAGCTAATGGTGGTTAGGTAAGATGTGAAATGGTTTCTTCATCAGCCCAATTGTTTCAGAAAAAAATAACAAATTGCATTAAATAGTGTTTTTCACATCGGGAGGATATTCCATGGGCCTTGGACCAAAGCTGGGCTTTATAAAGTAGAATAGATTTGAAAAGAAGTGAATGGTACACATTTTGGAATTAAAGCTCAATTATTCTTTTGATTTAAAAAAAACATGCATCCATTTGTCTGAGCAGCTGTCTTGTTTTCTCAGGTTAAACTCCAAATGGGATTTGAGAAGGTTGTCCAGAACTGTTGGATGTACAGCGCTTCCGCGTTTGGTAGGTAGCGCAAAAAAAAATGTAAAAGTTGATATGTGAATTACTTCCGGTAGTTAAGGTATTAACAGTATTTGTTCCACAGACTGCACCGACTCCAGAAGAAATGGGACACTGTGACAGTGTTTACTTGTCAGAAGTTGGTGACACACAGGTGGTGATATTTAAACATGGTAAGATTTTTATTTTGAGTAGAAAGTGCACATATAGATACCATGTTGCTCCTAGTATATTTGTCCCTGTAACAATATAATTAATCTCAAGTTTGTCCTCTAAAAACATGGAATTGTTGATTTTAAAAGGTGCTTTTGTGTCATGTCATGAGGAAACAATCGGGTTCCGGGTCCACTTCTGGCCTCTCGATGAGTTAGTCAAGCATCAACACTCTATTTGACATTTCTATTTGTTTAAACATTTGTAATGATTTTTACTGAAAATTTTGGCTTATATTTTCATGGCATTGTAAGTCTTAGAAGCGATAGGTCCAACTTTAGATCATTCCAAGATTTATTTGTGTAAATCCAGCTGGAGTAATGGGTGTTTAAAGTCTTTGAATAAATCCTTTGTGTCCTGCTTGTAACTAATAGCCATCATCGTGTCTGGCAAGTGCAAAAATTAAAGTGGCATCCATCATTGCACAGGTTCTGAGATTGGTATCTTTCTTTGCAGAAAACGAAAATGGTGCAATTGCCACAATGCTAATCCGTGGTTCGACAGATAACATCATGGATGATATTGAGAGGGCAGTGGATGATGGTGTGAATATTTTTAAAGTTCTCACAAGGGTAAATTTTCCTCTGTATTTTTATAGTTGATCTCGGCTATTGCTATATACTTAAAACTGCAATATATTAGCCCCAGATCTAATGTCTGATACAGCTTCATGGAGGTCAGCACCAAGAAGGCTGCCATCTCCAGGCATAAACCTATTTTATACATTGTGAATGTTTAAATTTCAACTAGGTGTTCAGCCCCATTTTTGTATTTCTGCATCTAATGTATTCTGTGGTCCTCTGTACCTTCTGAGTACATCATAGTGAACAGCCTGACTGTTAGTGTAATCACTGAAGACAATCACAACCAATCTTAAAATCCCACCGCCTTGTCTGCTCCAAGACCTGTTTCAAGATTTTCCTCTTTAGTTGTGCTCTCGGCCACCCTTCCACTTCTGTTGATTCCAACCCCCAGCAACGCCTTAACTGTCCAGTGCTTTGGGATGTCCTTCTGACATGAATGGCACTATGTAAGTGTATTTTGTTGTTTGCAGGATAAGCGCTGTTTACCTGGTGCAGGAGCAACTGAAATTGAACTGGCTAAGCAGATCACTACTTATGGAGAGGTATGAAACCATGCCATTGATGTTTGAAGTTTTTTGGTTTTTTTTAATTCTCAATAGGAATTCCTAACTTATTCTTTACATTACAGTCATGTCCTGGTCTTGAGCAGTATGGGATCAAGAAATTTGCAGAAGCATTTGAATGTGTGCCACGAGCTTTGGCTGAGAACTCTGGCATGAAGGCCAATGAAATTGTTTCAAAATTGTATGCAGTGCATCAGGAAGGAAACAAAAACATGGGATTTGATATTGAGGTAATTCATAACTTAGTTATTCTGGTGTCTTGCTTTGGAACATAGAATTCAGACATTATGATACCTGCTCTTTGAAACTTCTGAAACCTTTCTGCCTTCAAAATCTACTGAAGGTTTTTTGATCTTGGAAGTGACATCTGTGGCAACTTTACAATCTGGAAGTCAACCATTTGTATAGTCTAAAAATTGGAAACATTCAAACAAAATTAAGTAAACATTGGTATCAGATGAAAAGTTAAAATGCAAATATCCAACTTGAAAACCCTAGTTTGATAGCTAAATGATCTTTCCTCAACTTGACTTCTTAATTTTTTTTAAGTGAAATACATATTCTGATCTATACTATAATCTCATTATTTTTTATTCTAGGGTGAAGGTTCAGGCCTGAAGGATATGCTTGAGGCTGGAATACTGGAGCCATACCTGGTTAAATACTGGGCAATTAAGCTTGCTACAAATGCTGCTGTGACTGTTCTAAGAGTAGATCAGGTGAGTGATGCTATCCATAACATCAAGGTATTTCAATTCCTTTAGATTTTCCTGCACAATACAAGACTTCTCCAAATGGATAACCCACAGGTTTCAAAAGCTGGATAAGAAAATATATAGTCTATAACAAAGTGACAAACTGACCATAGAATATTGTATTATAATTATTAAAAATTGAATTATCCATTCCAGATCAAATAGCCGATCTGAGAGCGGGAGAATGTTTATCCAGATTCTGTGGAATTGGGTGATCATTTAACCTTTTTAAACTGAATATCACTGTTAGGACTTGTTCACAAAACAGGTATCTTTAGTGGCTGTTCATCAGGTTGATTTCCAGTTTTTGTGTTTGTTTGGGTTTGAATTTATAGACTTTTGAAGTCTATATGTTATTCCTGTCCATATGTATGGATCTTGATTTTATTTTAATAGTAGTTTATCCATGTAACTTCAGGTTATCATGGCAAAGCCAGCAGGTGGGCCCAGGTCCCCCAAACAACAAGAGCACTGGGATGATATACATGATGGACCTGATAAATTTGATACCCAATAAGTCAGGTGTTGAGTATATCACGACTTAGAAAGAGTGTGTGATATATTGATCTTAAATGTGCATGTTGCAACGTTTGGACAATCTGAATTCTCATATTAACTTTACCAAACACTTAAATAGACCAAATTTAGTATAGTCTTTCTCAGAAGACCAGGTGTAGCTTTGGTAATTGAAAGAAAAATCTTCATAAAAAGGAAATTTGCAGAAATTAATACAATTCTATCTTTGTTGTAGTAAACATGACACAATTGTTTGGCTTCCACACAATACACAAGCTTGATTTTTAGTTTGGAACTGTGCTTGCATTGAATCCAACTAATTCTTTCAGGATGTAATTCACTGATGAAAAGTTGTTTTAGGATGGCTGCTACTTCTCGATGAGTGAATTGGCCTTGTGATGTCTGAAGTTAAAATATAATTATCTTGGGAGAAGATCATGGGCAAAGTAAACTGGCGAATAATTCCATCCAATTTAGCGTGCTTTTGAGAATCGGACACATTTGGTTGCTTAAGAATTTTAATGCACTGAAAATCTTGTCTTGAGAAGAGTGGTATATAGTTAAGCACTACCATGTATTTGTTTTATTATAACACATTTTTGAATTGTTGACTTTGAAGCATGTTTTACGCTTGTTGTTTATTGTGCATGCTTGTGAAAATCTATGTGCAGGGATGAGTAATCTGGACATCACTGTAAATACTTTTTTCCTCATAGATAATTATGGCAAAACCAGCAGGTGGACCCAAACCTCCAGCGCAGAAGAAAGACTGGGATGATGACCAAAATGAGTGAACAGCTCTGTGTTTGATGACCTAAAACTATTGTACTTCATTTCCAACTCCAAACCTGCATACAAATGTACTCGACTGAGGAGAAATTGTAATGTTTAGCACCAGTTTGAACTGTTCTGTTTTATTTATACAGTTCTGTTCTGGTATAAATTGCCACATGGTATTCAACAGTCTGTTGATTTTGACATTGTTCTGTTCAATAAAGACTTGGACTATTAAACACTTGCTCATTTGTTTCACACTGAGAATCAACTGTTTCTGCACAATATCATGAATAGATTTTCTGCTTTCTGTTGCAGAAGTATAATTCATTCAATTCTCACTAAACTACTTGCATGGAAAATTTTACAAGATAGATTTTAAATATGTGATCTGAGTGCAGTAAGTCTGAAAGTAGTAAAAGTGTTATTAAAATAATATGACATTTTAGTACTTCTAAATTTCCTTTCAGGGAAGTGGTGCATGAGGATAAAAAATAATTTGTAGTTTTGAGTTCATGTGTAGGTTTAACCTAAAACTTCAAAACCACTTTCTAAAGCAACCAGAATTGTAAACGGTGGCCAAATTAATGTTGATTTAACAAAATAAAGAAGGAAAATATACAATTGTGGACAATGCAAGCAAAATAATGAAGATTGTATAAGGAATGTGTGTTCAGCGAGCCAAATACCAATTGCAGTAAAACTCACAGGTTTTATCAGTTGGAACCATAGTATTTGAACAGCCAAGTCAACATGGCTTTACAAAAGGGAAGTCATATTTGACAAATCTAGAATTTTTTGAGGATATTTCCAGTAAATTATATAAGGGTGAATCAGTGGTTGTGGTCTATTTGGACTTCCAGAAGGCATTTGATAAGGTGCCACATAAAAGGTTAGTCCAAAAGATAGGGGCCCATGGAATTGGAGGGAGCATATTAATGTGGATTGGGGAATGGTTAAAGGATAGGAAACAAGAGTAGGGATAAACGGGTCCTTTTCAGATTGGTGGGATGTGACTAGTGGAATGCCACAAGGATCAGTCCCTGGGCCTCAGCTATTTACCATCTACATCAACAATCTAGATGAGGACATTCGCAGATGACACAAAACTAGGAGGAAGTGTCAACACAGGACGACATTAAAAAAATGCAGCGCGACATATATAGGTTAGGTGATTGGGCAGGTTGGTGGCAGATGAAGTATAATGTAGAAAAGTGCAAAGTCATCCACCTAGGTAGCAAAAACAGTAGAGCTGGTTATTTTTTAGAAGGGGAGAGATTGGAATGTGTTAGCGTCCAGAGGGATGTGGGTGTCCTTGTACACCAACCACAGAAAGTTAGTCTGCAGGTGCAGCAGCAATTAGGAAGGCGAACGGTATGTTAGCATTCATTATGACAGGATTAAACTATAAGAGTAGGGAAGTCTTGCTGCAACTGTATAGGGCCCTGGTGAGACCACACCTGGAATACTGTGTGCAGTTTTGGTCTCCTTACTTAAGGAAGGATGTACTTGCCTTGGAGGGGGTGAAGCGTAGATTTACTAGGTTAGTACCAGGGATGAAGGGGATGAGTTACGAGGATAGGCTGACCAATTTGGTCCTATATTCTCTAGAGTATAGAAGAATTAGAGGGGATCTTCTAGAAACCTATAAGATCATCAAAGGGTACGATAGAGTAGATAGTGGGAGATTGTTTCCCCTGGTTGGAGAAACTTAGACCAGGGGTCACAACCTTAAAATCAGAGGCCAGCCCTTCCCACTGAGTTGAGGAAGAACTTCTTCACTCCCCAAAGGGCTGTTGACACTCAGTCCTTGAACATATTCAAGACTGAGATAGATTTCTTATTGCAAAAGGGATTAAGGGATATGGGGATAAGGCAGGGTTATGTTATTAGCTGGAGTTAGATCAGAAGATCAGCCATGATTGAATGGCAAGGCAGAATCGAAGGGCCGAATGGCCTACTCCTGCTCCTACATGTTATGTTATATGACATTAAGGCAAGGTTTCAATATAGAAATTTTCAGACCTGCCGAAGTTTTGACCCAGCAGCCAGTAAATTCAGTGACGGTGTTATGAGTTACACGGTTGTTAATACGACCAGTGAGGATAAATTTAAGTGGATTTAATAAGAAATTCAATGGGATTTAGGTGATTATTTGATATATACAGATTACTTAACTGAGTTTTACTGTATTACAAATGCATTAACAGTCAAACTCCAGTAACCCTAATTCCCAGAATAGTATTTTGGGGGGATTAACATTGAAATTGTTGCCTTTATAAACAAAATATACTGTTTGTTTGGAAAAGCTACTCCAGTTGTCATAGATTTTATGTGCTATGAATGTTCAGTCCTCCAGGTTTTTACCATGCAATTGCACAAACTTTGACGTAACTGCTCATAATTCTAGACTTTCAATGAATACCAGATGAACCAAATTTCAGACATCTCCAATCCATTTATTGGTTGATACAAAGAATGTGATCTTAACAGAGAACCTTACTCCCAGGATCTAACCAGTTGTTTGAAGGAAATGGATACTGTATCAGATTTGGAGGCACACCTTAGATTTATTCCAGACAGAGCCACATACATAATTTTTGAACAATTAGTGCCTAAAAAAGCCTCCCAACACACTATGTAATACGTATCATCTCAGGGAACAAGTAAGAATGAACATAACTTTGACTATCCACCAATTTCTGGATAGAGGTACTGACTACATCAGTCAGTCTGATCAGAAATGTTTCTATGTAAATTAAACATATTTGACAAGGCACTCCCCTGGCAGTTGTAGGTCCCTCCCAGGTTTATCTGCCATCCTCTAATCTCTTGTGAGAACAAAGAATAAATTAACAATGATTCCCAAACTTTCAGAAAGAAACTCTGTATTATCTAAGATTTCGTAAAGCAAATGCTAACTGCATTTATATTAAAATATCCCATTATACTAATTTCCTGAAAAAAGTAAATTATTTTCATGTTTCATCCATTTTAGCTTATCTGAGCTACAGAAGCACAAGTAAATCCTCCCGTGGTATATCCATTGGCTTTTGTTTAATACTTCTATGATCGTATCTTGCTGATCAATTGTACGAATACAATTCAAAGCGCTCGGGGACACTTGAAGGGCGATATATAAAATACAAGTTGTTCAATAATTTTACATGGGGATTGACCAGTTGGACTTCTGTTGTCTTTTCCAGTCAGTCATGAACAGGGATATGTCCTTAATATCTGGTTGTATTAGTTCGCCAATTTCATTCTATCTTCCCTTTGTATAAGATTGTTTTATTAATAAAGCAATCTTCAAATTTATATTTCACATAGGGAGGGAAGATACTCTTAAATAGATAGATACTGTTGCACATCATGTCTGTCAGCCAAAAAGTAACCAATAAATATTGTTTTATTTTCTTTCTCTTTGACATTACTTTCCTATGGCTTCTCTCGATTGTCAGGAGGCTCTACATTATTGCACTATTATACATTGACAGAAACTATATTGGTTTTAACCTTCTCAAAACAAGCAGTTATGAAGAGTTTTCATCCAGTTAAACCTAAGAATTTTCATTGTGGTAAGAGTAATTGGTCTCATCAAAATAACCAGCTATCATCCTCATTTGCACTTCCTTTAGAACTATTATTTAAATCAGGATGGTCCAACCTTTTGGCAGCTGAGAGCCAGATATTGGATTTGAGAAATGTCCGTGGGTCGCATAAGCAATATTTTTGTATTTCCCTTCCAGAAACATAACCCGTAAGAATCATATATAGAAATCCTAGGTTTTAAATTGTGGAACTGTGTTGCTTAATTTCATTATATTTTAGTTATAATGCAAACTTTAAATAGGCAATGTAAAATATCATACAAATTTTAAAACAATAAATAAACCTTGTAGGGTTTGATTGAATTTGATGAAAAGTACATTACCCCAAAGAATGAAAATTGGTGTAATAATAATTCTTGCATTTGATATAGCACCTTATCACATCTTTGAGACGTCTCAAAGCGCTTCACAGAATACTGTAAAGTGAATTAACTATATTTTGTGGGCAAAATACAGCAGCCAATTGAGAGCAGCAGTGTCCCACAAAGTCGTGGACTGAATGACCAATTTTTTTTGAAGGAATTATTTATCTCTGGAAAAGCAATCCGCCAATCGCTTTTCCGGGGTTATGGAGCAGGAATGTACAAAGGCAACAGGTATTAGTTAAATGGGATGTACAGGATAGCCTTCCAATGCCCAACTAATCTTGCAAGCAACCGAATGCAACTCATGAGGATCAATTCAGTTCTGAATTAGTTTCTCTTGCACAGTAGCGGAGACAGTGGGAGGTCATCAGGGCTCATGACTCCTCCCCCCACCCACCATCCCTTGGCCCAGACTCACTTATCTGTACTTTATCGTGATCCCTTTTGTCTTTTTCAACTACCCAATGACTAACTGATCACAGCCCCTTATCCCGTCCCTGACCGACAACCAATTGCCAGTCAAAGGCTAGACAGTACCCACAGCCCACCAATCAGAGGCGTCATGGGGGAGAAGTGTATCCAAGTTCGCCAAATACTGATCCCCAACACCTCCAACTCAATCCTTTGATCCTACATCTGATCCTGCTCTTGCAAGTGTCACTGCTCCTACGTTAATAATTTACATAAGTGATTTGTTGTAATTGCTTGTTGCATAATGAAGTTGTGGCTGGATGAAATCACCCCCCCACCCCCGGGCTGCATGCGGCCAGTGGGCTTCCAGTTGGACCATCCTGATTTAAATCAACAGAATACACCTTTCATCACAAATCGATCAATGTGAGTTTTCAAAATAAACATTGAAGTACTGAGCTAGGAGCTGCTTTCACGTTAACTTTGCTGGTGAATTGCATTTTGTGTTAATTACATAGTGTTTTTGAATAGTTGAAAATTAAAAAAAGTTTGACATTTTAAAATATAGCAAAATAAATACGATTCTTACCATAAAAAAAGTACTGCTTATGTGAATACATTTTATTGCCCAATGTGTTTTTTATGGCTTTCTTTCAAAACAACCAAAACATTTTTTGTTTAATAAAACAAGGCAAATACATTTCTTTTTACTAACTATAATACTATTCAAACGAGCACAAATTAGACATCAAACACTGTGGTTGATTGTACCCAGTTCATATACAATAAGCAGTTGTCTACAGAGTCTCATTTTTAATAAATGTTGCATAGATTTATATAACTTAGACACTACACTAAATTTCAGAAGAAAATCAAAGGAATCAAAAGAAGTGCGAACCAATTGGTAACCGTGATGTCCACTTCACGAGTGATAGTTAAAGAATTCTCTCATAAAACAGGAGGTAGGCTTGGGCACTTAGCACTTTAGTCTGAGGCACTGCTTGCATGTGTGCATCGCTTATATGGAACCAGCTCCCTTTGGATGGCTCTGCTTCAGTCACTGCTAAAATAAAACAAATGCAACATGTCAATGAATAGAAACAAAATGGATATCTCAACTGGAACTACATCTCAGTTCCCAAAAATTGAGCTTCCATTCATTTTGAAGTTGCTGACGTTAGACTTGATCTTCTGCTTTCTTAGCTCTAGTTCCTCTTGCCATAAGTTCAAACTTTCAAAACTGCAGTTCATGTTCTCTCTCTCTCTCAAGGCTCTTCACATTCATTAGTCCCAGTTTACCAAAGTCCAGATTCTCCCAATACCGCAGCAAATCAATGATGTGCTAACCTTCAATTCCCCTCACAGTTTCTTACCTCCCTATCATTAACCACTGAAGAAAATAAAACAAAATTAGACAATAGTTGGGAATGACTTTCACCCAGATGAAAATTTGCATCAAAACACCCTGGGGAGCTCAGGCAGGTGACCCTAGGACATGGGAATGGAAGGTTCTGGGTTTGATTAATAAAGTGAGCCCTTTTGAGGGTAATAAAATATGAAACTGTTCAATAGTCCAATGAAAACTGGATCCTAGATGGACCTAATCTCACCCAAAATTACAAAACAAAATTATGATATACAATCTGTTGGAATTGGTGTTTTTTCTTCACATCAAGATCTTTCCAGACAATCAAATCATTAATAGGAACGATTAATATCATTTCTATGACATTAATCATTCAATGGGGGGAGGGAGGTGATTTCACTGCATGAGTGTTCAAGCAGGAGTGAAGAATAGATGTATACATGCATTGTAAAAAGTAGATATATACTCAACTGTTTATTTCTCAGACTACATTGACATTTTCAGGTAACAAATGGTATTTACAAAGTAGATGTATACACTCAGCACATTTTAAACTTTCAGCGGTGACACAGAGTGATATGTAAGACATTTATTAATGCTTTTTCAGAACGTTTAAGATATTTGCACTTACCTTTCGGTGTATCTGTATTCCGCACATGTTCAGAGAGCTGACAGCTTGGAGTGCGTACCTTGACATAGGCAGTATAATGTCCAGACCTCATTGTGCCACTGTGCTCTACCACACCATATAGGCTGTACAAAACCTTCACACACTCTTTTGCCACATTCTGGTGGATGAAATAAAAGATTTGATGAAACCTCTCACTCAAAAGATAGCCTACTATAAAAAGGAAAAATGTTAAATTATAATAATAGCAATTTGTTTAGTAAAGCTATCTACTCTCTGGCATGTTTATCATGTGTCAGTCTGGCCCAGTGGTAGCATTCTTGCCTTAGAGTCTGAAGTCTGACAGAGTCGTGACTTGGAATCACCTGATTTCTTGACAATCAAATGCAATGCTTGGGTTGTGTTGCATTGTCAGAACTACTGTCCTCCAGATGAGACGTTAAACCAAGGTTCATTTGCCTGTTCAGGTGGACAGAAAAGATCCCATGGCACTATTCAAAAAGAGAAGGGAGATTCTTTCTGTGTCCTGGCTAACAATCCCCCCAAATAAAACTGGTCACTCACTCCATGGCTGTTTGTGGGACATTGCTGTGTGTTGTGGGACTCATTGCCGTGTTTCACCCACAAAATACACAGTCAAACCACTTTACAGTACATCCAATGAAGCGCTTTGAGATGTCTTGACAACTTGATAAGGTGCTATATCAAATGCAGGATTATTATTATTGGTATTGATACTTGGACATTAAATGCATTTTTACATGGCTTTAGCCACCTACTCATAACAAAACAACATAATGGGAGCTTGTTTCATTGTTACTATTAAGTATATTTCTATGTTCTTTCTGTAATGTAGACAAAATCTCATTAAAATTGAAGTTCATACCAGTGGTGACACAGGTCATACCAGCACAAAATTAAGGACCTGCACCTTTATAGCTTTAAGGTCAACAAAACTATGTAGGTGCACAATAATCCAAGGCAAACTGGAACCATATTCAGGTCTTCAAACCTGCAAACCAATGCCTCAATGGGTAGGGTGATCCAAGTTGACCTCATCTCATCCAGAGATTACAGAAAAAATAACCTGTTGGTATTTGTGCTCTTCCTCCTGTTACAAGTGTTCAAAGGTGACTATCAATAGACTAGCTGTGCCAATTCCCAAAATCAAATATAGCTTGTTTTCACTTCACTGTATTTATCCACAAAATATACAGTCAATCCATTTTACAGTATATTCTGTGAAGTGCTTTCAGGCGTCTCAACAACATGATAAGGCTCTATATCAAATGCAAGAATGATTATTAGTTTGTACCTGAAGCAGGACCATTGGGGCATAAGTGTCTGTGGAACATGCACAAGACACCACTTTTTACAAAGAAGGTGTAGGGACAAAAACTGAAGAAGACAAATTGATCCTTATGTGAAGATACAAATATACTGTAAAACCATATTGAAATTTTACTTTCTAAACGTACCTTGCAATTTACAGCACAGAATGGAGCAAGATCAAGCACTTGTGGAAAATGGATGTGCTTGTTTACTTTACGAAGATTAAACCCCAACTAGGAGGAACAAGAAATTTAAGTTTAATTCTGGTTTAGATGTTCCACAGGGAAAATAACAAGGGAAAAGTTCCCCATCACAGATATCTCAAAAACTGGAATACGTAGACACAAAAAATTGTCAGCTATAGCACAGACCAAAGCAACAGTGTTGTCAAGTCACTTATCAATACCCTGCAGAAAAACTACTTGCACTGCAAGGTGATGCTTATTTATTTATTCTGCCACATACTTGGTTTAAAAGGTTCTTTTACATTTTTGTTAGCATCATGATTGTTTCAATTTAGCTTCCCTCTCTGCCCATCATCTCTCAGACAATACACCAATTATGTCCACAAGGCAGTTTGTATAAAATGCACACAAGCCACTCAGTATTGACCAATTCTGGAATGGCATAACTGGTAGATTATCTGAAGGCCTCCAGTCATGAATTATGTGCAAAGGCACGCCCAGGTGCTGTGCTAGCTTTTCTACTTTATTTTTTAAGTGAATATCCACGTCTAAACTGCAGGCAGTGCATCATCTACAGCTGATGCTGTGTTATTGAAGTAAGAACTACACAAGATCCCTCAAATGCTTAGGAACCCGGATATGTTTAAAGGGCAACAAGAATAATTCAGAAACTATTATGAAAACACAATTAAAAGATAATTCTGAATCTGTGGATGGTCACTTAACCAGAATTCTTGGGTGTTTGCTCCATAGATTATACACTATAGGTTATATGCATGATACTCAAAATTATTTTACGGAAATTACAGTAATTCACTGGCAACAAACACAAATTGTATACAAAACTACAAAAACACCAGCTACATGGGTGTAATGTAAAAATAATTATTTGAATAAAAATTACCTGCTGGAATCTTTTCAAGTGAAGTGTAAGAACTGGAGGAGCAGATGAAATAAGCATTTGTTTTTGGGCATTCGTGTAAACGTTCTGGTCATCTGGAAACATTAAAAAAAAAGAAACTAGAGCAGACATTTAGCTGCATTCCAATTAAGTTAAATCCTTTGGAATACTGAAAATTATTTTCAGGTCTCAAAACACCCATTTGCAAAGCAGTTTTTATAAATCTCTAATGAATATAAGAAACTGTAGACATTATTTTTTGCAAATTAACTAAAATAATGGAGAAGCTGTTTAAGAATAAATTAACAATATACAGCACAATTTGCCTCATCTGCAAATAGAGCCATCATTTAAAGAATCCTATTTGACCATAGGAGGCATCACAACCAAGCCCAATACTGTCCTTGTCGAACACCCCCTCAAAATTTCCGGCAAAATTCTCAGGATAGATAGGGAATAGGAAGAAGACTGATTTTTCTCTTCCTAATAAAGCTGGTACCTGAGACCAATTGTTCCTCTCTCCCTCAAGCCATTATGGCTCATATCTGTTAATATCACACACCTGGACCCTAACCTGGGACATGCATAGTCTCTATAGTGTAGCTACTCACTCAATAAACAGCTCTGTAAAATACTGCTGGTGTTAGCTATAGGCTTACCAGCCTGCTTCAATAGTAAATGAAACCTTTGCAAATCCGTGCCCTGTCCCTTGTTGCTTTGAGGTCAAAATGAGAAACGTCGTTGCTATACCACTATTGTTCGTTGGATCTGAACCTCATCAGAAGAAAGACTGACTTTGGTTCGAACACTGGGATTACCACACAGAGGCAGAAAGAACACAATGCTTGCAAGCCTTAACTGCAAACGTTGGTGGTGTTTCCATAAGGGGACGTCCCCCTGACATGAAAGGCGCTATACAAATGTAATTTGTTGTTGTTGTTGTGCTGATCTTATTTGCATTTTAGTTTTTCCTTCTAAATTTTAAATTCACCCGAGTGTTTTTTTCCAGTTGGGAGAGCTAGAATGGCCATTTAGATTGAATATTGTCACCTCATTCTTTATGTGTTGATTGTTGACTATAATACAGCAAACCTAAAATTATTCCATCATGGAAAACATACAACATTGAATGAGATTTCTCTCTACAATATTACTACCATTTGGATTGGTCTTTGATCCACCTTGGTGCATACTTTGTGTACATTCTTCACACAGCAGTTTATTTGCTCCAGTAAGTTTCTCCTCCTGGGTAAAATGTCGTAAACAGGCCCCAATGGAACAGTCCTGCAAATTGACTATTTCTCGGTTTGCAAGCGTGCAAAATGCTCTCTCTGGATCCAGACAAACCACCCGTTTATCTTTCGTGGAAGACAGAGGATGATGTGTATTTTCAGATGAGTTTTCACAGTTCTTAAAATCTATCATTATTTCATCATGATTCACTAAACAATCGTTCAAGTTCAATTTATTCATATTATTGATCATATCCTCTTCATTTGGACAAAGTGTATTAAATCGGTTCTCATTTACTAGGTTTGAGTTAAAGATATCTAAAGAATCATTATTGGAGATAGGAAAATGATCCATTTGCACAGTTTCACTTGACTCCTCATCCTCATTTTCTGCCTCAGCATTTTCTTGGCTTAGTTCTTTGTTACAATCTTCAGTGCATTCATTTAATGTAGTCTCAAGACACTGGTCAGAAGATAAATTGCCACATGGGCTCTGTTCTGGCGAGATCTCTTCCTGCACAGAATGTGAATTGAGTTGCATCTTGTCCTCTGAAGACACATCTTCACTGCTCTCACCCTCATCCAAAAGATTCTCAACAGTCGACAAATCACTGAAATCAAGAACTTTTGCCTGCAGCTTTTGATTTCGCCGCTGAGTCTGCAAACAAACCAAGTTGTAAAATATTTTAGAAGAAGCTGAGTAATAAAATAGAATCTTCATGTTTAAGTTACATTTTTAAAAATATCATGGCAACTGCTTACATTGTGACTGAGGTGAATGCAAACTTGTTAATATTCTTGAACTCTACATGGCAGTATTTTTCCCCTTTATTCAAACTCCCATTTCCTTATTTTCCACAGCAGTTATGCAGCTTCATTTGGCAGGAGGGTGGGTGAATATGGGTTTGAGATGGTTCTTACACCCCTATATGTACTTCCACAATATGGCTCGCTTCCCCCTCACAGAGCGTACTGGGTAGCCTCTGTGTTTAAATAATAATAATCCTTGCATTTGATATAGCACTTTTTCACGTCTTCTAGACATCTCAAAGCTCTTCACAGAATAGATTGTAAATTGAACTGACTGTATATTTGTTGGCGAAATGCAGCAGCCAATTGCGCACAGCAATGTCCCACAAACAGTCGTGGTTTTGAATACTCACTAATGAATGCAAGTCTCTATAAGTAGGTGTAACTTGACAAATGAGTTCTTCCATGTCGAGATACCACCAAATGCTATTTAAATTGAAGCAAATTGGAAAGCTTCAGTCAATTAGAGGTTTATTTTACACCTCTGTGACCTAGGCCGTACCTGTTTGTATATTGCCTCCTTCTTTGATTATACAGAAAGCCTGAGTACGCACGGTTAAGTAAACTCAACAGAATTTTATTATAACTTTGATGAAATCCACAACCCTCGGCATTAAATCTTAAACAACACGATAAATATCAGCAAGCGCAACTACCAAATATTGATCACACTTAAACTATGCACGCTAGCAGCCACTTGTAATAATAATCTTGCATTTGATATAGCGCCTTATCACGTCTTCAAGACGTCTCAAAGCGCTTCACAGAATATTCTGTAAAGTGAATTGACTGTATATTTTGTGTGAAAAACACAGCAGCCAATTGTGCACAGCAGTAATGAAGTTAATGTAAAGCACATCAATCTCTGATTACTACTGATAAATAGTCAAGAGCATGTATCTTTCATTGTTATTATCAGATAAAAGAATGAGCGCCATCTGCTCGGGGGCGTTTTTTCCTATGGGCATTGAGCCCCTCCCTGAATTTAGGGTACCCAATGCCTTTTTTATGGTCCAATCAGATCCTCCCCCCAGTTCCCCTTTAGGTGACAAGTTCACTTCCAATCCTTAGTTTGCATATTAGAATGGTAAATTACCCGCAAATTGTTGCAACCAACAACTTTGGAGACCTGATGGCAACATAAGTTTCAAAAAACTCCAAATACATAAAAAATGTATTTAAAGGGCTACTCAATATATTTATAACACTCATGCGCCAGTTCTACCGAACTTTGGCACTTTCCGAGTTTCCCTGAGCGCAATCGGTAATTACTAACCTCACTCACACTGACTAATGCTTTTAGCAAACACATAAACTTTACAGAATATATTTTAAACAACAGACAGGCATAAAAAACAAAGTTGTGACCGTGACAGGTTGTTGCTTTGAGCAATGTAAAAAATTTATGCAAAGAGTGCAAACATGCTAGTATCTAGGATGCTTTTAGCATCACTTTAGGGAATTGAAAGAATGAGCTGGATAACTACAATAATTGGTCAGCAAAATATTTTGTAAAGGATAAATTCACTTTATAGATATAAAATTACTTAACTGGGAGTTTTCTCAGGTACAAAGAATATACATGCGTAGCCCCAAATTACTTGATCTGTAGATGGAATATACATGGGTAGCAATGAGAATTTATTTAAACTAGTTTTCGATGAGGAAGGGCTGATTATTTGGGAAACAGATTTGGTAAACTTAATGAAGGAGATGACATATGTTGTGCTTCCTGCACACGGTATGTATGCACAGTACACTGCAACTTGATGACCTGGACGTCAGCCATTTTTCATGCTTGCTTATTACACAGCCTCAGATATTGAACTCAGAGAATCGTATTATAATGGGGTTGTACCCTACTTGGCAATTGCTATCAACCACCACCTCAATGAAATTAAGATAGTGATCATTTTGGGTTGTACTACAGCAGAATTTGATTTACCTTGGCTTGCTTTTTAGCTTGTTTCTTTGCCTTCTTTTGTTGATGTTTAGTGATGCCAGTTGAAACGTCACCTCTGTTCTTGGAAATAACATTTCCATTGATATATTCACTGTTTTCATTCTGATCATCTTCAGTAGTTTTCCTCCCACCTTTCCCCAGTGATTTTTTCTTATCAATCTACATTAAAATATAAATTTATTTAAATCTACTGTACTTGTCATCAACATTTAGTTTACTCCTTGTATATAGCACTTAGAAAGATAGGGTAAAAGAAAAAACACTTCAGATGAACGCCAGCTTTTTATGACAGGAGGGACAACCAAGAAGAACACTGATACATGATGCAGAGTGAAAAAAATGTCAGATCTGAGGACCACTATAAAACTTGACTTTCACTGACAAAAGTAAGGTGTTATAACTAGGGAGAAATAANTTTTTTTAAAAAGCCACAAAATATCACAATAATCAAAGGAGTGCAAAACATTATCTTACCTGTACATCCAAAACAGGCAGGGACAAGTCTAAAAAGGATTCTTTCACTAAAGTGACCTGTAAAAATAGGCAAAGTATGGTTAGTGTTTGGTATGCCCTCATGGATATATTCATAGATATATTCATAACAGAGCTTTAATAAGCTTCATAAAAGAGTGAAACTATTTGAAAAGAGAAGGTAGATTCTACTAGGCTGACTATTCTCTAGCTAAACTGGATATTCACTTTATGGGTGTTACAGCTTACTGAATGTTATATTTTATTAACCCAATTTCTATTCCTAAAACTGTCAGTACAATGATTTGTCGTCCATTACAATTCCACGTTCACTGTTCTTATTTGAAACATTAGCGAAAATCTCACCGTTTTACATTCTTCACACATTATCGTACTAGTCAATGCGCCGCCAAAAATCCGGTCCACAAAGTTCTGTGTGGATCCTTCCTTCTCATACACTAATTTGATAAAGAAAATGGATGAATACTGAATTTTAATGATCAATGATATTTTTACAGAAATTGTTTATATTCTGCAAAAGCAAGACGTATATTATTTCTTTGCCTCTAAAATTAGCTATTTCAATATTACAAGTGTTTCATTAAATATCACTTTTTCCACATAATACATAAAAATCACAGCTTGCCATCAATAAATATACACGCACTACTGTACAGATCTCAAACTGATTGCCATAGATGTCCCATGAGATAACCATGATTTAAGCAGGAGTCAGAACATAAGATTTTGTGAAACAAAATTGCACGTAGTAAACTTGTAACAAAAATCAGGAACAAAAGTGCTACTTGGTATCTTTTCTGAATTTCTATTCTTCTCAAAAGTTTAGGATTCTTAAAAGCTGAATATGTGCTCCTAGTTACTTTCGCAATAGAAACACAACTTCTTCTCAATAACACGGCATTTAAAAAGCTGCTTTTTGATATGTATCAAAATAGCTTGAGCAGGAATTATTTTGCAGCATTTTGGAAACAATGAACCATTGTTGCATGGATATCTTTCTTTTGCAACATTCACAAGCTTCCTGGAACAAATACTATTTGAATGTTTGTACAATATAAATTGCGCAGTATCTGATCAGCTGACCCACAGATAACCATTCACTCAAGTATATTTTCCAATTTTACTAATTATCCCAGGGTTAATCCAGGAGGACCATGTGGGCAATTTAGTGCTCCCACGTTCACCATGACTGAAAACAATCAACTGAGAATAAATTTAGGAACATCATGGTTTGTACAGCTGAGGTAGTGAGCTATTGAGCGAGACCATGTATCCTCTACAATGTATATACTAGTTGTACCCTTTACAGCTGCGCTTGCAGCCAGTTTCATTGAATCGGCTTTCTCTCTTTCGTCTGCCATTTTTATTTGTCCTTGAAAGGCTTGATTTTCGCTTTTTATATCCCTTAAGATTAAGAAAATGTGCTGTTTGAACTCGTTACCATTCCTTGTTCACATATTTGCACGCATATCCTGGTTGGGAGAACGCCTGATTGGGAGGACTCCTGGTTGTGTCTCTACGGCAATTGGTTAGACAGACACAGACAGAGATCGCCTTTATTAGTATAGATATATCTCTCTAGAAGAGTGTGTGACCTCTGTTGCTACTTTGTTGCAGAATACCATGCATACCTTTTGGGGCTTAATTAAAGCATTTTTTAATATATTTTAGCTCATCAATGATAGGATATCTCCAAAATAAAATATGCCCCTGACACTCCCCTTGCAATACCTTTCCGATGAGATATAAATCATGTATCAACTTCAATCGGTTATTGCATTCTTGGCGGACAGATAATAATAATAATAATAATAATAATAATAGACACATACACAGATATTTTGTCTTGATTTGTATAGATAGAAGATAGATGAGACATTGAGATACATTATGACATTACCTTTAACAGTTTTCCTGGATTCTTCATCTTCCATCATTTCTGAGGAGTAATTTAAGGCTATTAAAATGCCAGCACCTATACGCTGAGATCAAAACATAATGGAAACATTTACTTTTCAGCTGTTTTTCGGCACATCCGTTCCTGAAACTAACTGAATAAGGCAAAGTGGGCAGACCGATCATTAACAAAACACACATTGAATGTTTCATCATGTAATGTAACATGCTGTATACATATGTATGAAAGTTATTCCAAAAAAAGCAGATTTATTTATAATTCTATATTTCATGTAGTGTCTCACTTTAGGAGGAAGTCTCAAAGCACTTTGCAGGATACTGTATAGTTACTGTGTATTTTGTAGACGAACGCGCTGAAGGGAGTACGAACGCCAGTACTAAAAATGTTAACGTGAATAGTATAGCTCTTACAAAGAATTTGCCATGGGAGCTCAGGTTAGGCGAGGCCCCAGGTAAAGCCGATTTCCCGCTCGCGCCACTTCCGCGATCCTAACTCTCCCCATGCCGTGCAAGCGCGAACGGTGATGTTTTGCCCACAGAAGCAGTAAAGAGTAAATAGCGTGCAGGGGCCTCCACACTGTGTGTACAAGTTTGTAGCAAAGAGGGTGGGGGGGGGGGGGGGGGGGGGGTTGTAGAGGAAAAGTACGCCTGTAGCAGATTACGCTGAAAAAGGGCAGCTGCACTTTTCTATTGGCCCAGATTATAACTGGCTGAACTACTGTATTAATATTTCTTAACTCGATGAGCATGAATTCCATAAAGTGCATCTATTTAACTTCAACTAAAATATATTTTGCTACAAAAGGTCTCTTTCAGTTTAGAATTGATTTGTGTGAAATTATAGCACATCAACAACGTTTTAATCATACTACCACAATTTACAATACAGTAAGTTTCTTAAAGCCACTTGCATCATGACAACTCACTTACTTTGATCTCTTCACTTCTCATTCCATCTAATAGATAACGAAGCAACTCCTGACTATCCTGCTGTTGAAACCCCTTAAATCGTATTGCCCTGAAACAAAACAAAGCAGTAACAAGTTTGAAAGAAACCACATAATGGTATTTGGCCATAGCTCAGACATCCGTTAGTCACAACAGCATACATTCCCCACTCAAGTGAATATGATTGAAAACATCAATGTGAAATAAATTTAAAAAAGCTCCCTTTTCTAGATTCACATTTCATATCAGTAAATTAATCATAATATTGAAAATGGTGTTCAGGTTTTGAATATACCTATACATTTTTCAACTATATTTTTTATTGTGGTTATATTTATTCCTACGTCGCAATGTTTAGTTCACATTTCTAGGATTGTTTCTCTGCGTCCACCTAGACAACTTTCAAATGTGCAATCCAGTGTTTTCAGAACAAAACGGCATTTAGTTTGTTTTTAATGCAAAATATTTGTTCTTGTTCAATGAATTCTGTAAAGTTTAATTATGTCTGAAATTAAACAAGCCTCAAAAATGTAATAATTCTTGAATTCGATTAAGTTTTTTGAAACATCTCAAAGACCTTAACAAGATTTATAGATAAAAATATTTTTGTTGATGAATACTCACTTTCTGCAGACCTGAGTGAACAGTTCCTTTGGGGTAACAACATTTTTCTTAGTATCTTGGATGTCAAGAAGAAACTGACACATGGCTGATGTCAGTGGCCCCGGCTGATCAACCTGAATTTCCAAGGGACCCTGATAAATAAAAGTAAAATCCATATTGCTTACAAAAATATTTATTCATAAGTATTGCAGCCAATATTTTATTGTCAAAAGTCTCCCCATCCTTATTTTCATATATACATTATTTTAATTTGACACATATTCTCTTTCATTACCACAAATTAAAACTTAGGAATGAAGCAAATGCTTCCTGAGCTTTTCAGGAAGCAATTCACTTTTTTTTCCAGAATTGTAAATACATTGGTAAATATTGAAGCATGATCTAAAACTATAACCAGCTGCTCTTTTCCCATTATTAATGGAACTTTATTTTCCCAAGTTGAGTAAATTTGCAAACATTTCATATCTGAGAGCTCCATAGTAGGATTCTCCTACCCAAAAGTTCACCTACCAGATTTGAGTCACTGGGTGGTACAAGTGTAATTGCAGTCCGATTCAGTTTTACCTCTTGAATCAACTCATTCAGAACATAGGTCTGTGATAAATTCTGGATTAGAAAAAATACATCATCAGTTTGTCCTTTTGAATTGTTCCACGTGGCTACAAAAATTAAAAACACATTTGCTCTGAGAGCAATGTTGTTCTACATAAAGTGATAGATTAACATTAAAATACAGGTCGAAGTGCAGCTACAGAGGTAGAATCTAATGCACTATTCTACCTTCGAAGTGTAAAAGGGCTGCTGACTTGTGTTTTCTGGCTTGTTGAGCTGTTTGATTTCAACAGATGTATGTATAATTACAGTAACACTGTCATGCTACAAATGATTTCTACTGATTAAATTAATTACACAAAGTTACTTACTGAATTTTTTATTAATTTGTTTATCATATTGCTTATTAGAAATTTCACTGTCAACAGGATTCATAGTGTAGAAGAAAACCCTTAGCTTTGGGTATTCTCAAACTTGTGGCAACTTCCAAACCTTTGGCAATATTCTCTTAAGAACAGATTTTTATTCTTGTTTTGCAAGATTTTATTACTTTATTCATCCTTTTCCGCGATCTCCTTCCTTTCCAGTCCTCTCTCTCTTTTCTCTCTCCCCCTCATGCCCTCTCTAATCCTGCTATAATTGTCCTTCCAATTATGAGCCCTGTTCTCAAAGCCCGACTCTTTCACCACCTCGCCTCTCTCTTCATCCCCACCATGTCAATGGACTGATCATGCCCTGCTGACTCTCTGCTCGCTCGCTCCTAGTCTCGATGTGCACATTTGGGTGCTGCCCCTGACTCGAACTGTCATCCCCCAAATGCTCCCATAATAATAATCCTTGCATTTGATATAGTGCCTTATCACGGTCTTTGAGCCGTCTCAAAGCGCTTCACAGAATATACTGTAAATTGACTATATATTTTTGTGCAGCCAATTACAAACAGTCGTGGATTGAAGCAACCAATTTATTATTATTATTTTTTGAAGAAATTATTACCCCTGGAAAAGCGATCCGCCAATCCTAACAACCGGGTTCCTATTTCATCTCCCTTAACTCATCCATTCCCCTTCCTGCTGCTCAATGCTCTGTTTTCTCCTATCACCGTTTGAAAAAAAATCTCCCTTCATACCCACGCTACTGCCCTAGTCATGTGAACTCTTGCCTCTCTGGACTTCCTCCCGTAACAACCTATTCACCTTGGTCACTCTCTTCCGCAACTCCATTTCTGTCATTCTTGACACCCTTGCCCCAGTCACCAGTCTAGTCCAGTACACTCCCCAGCTCGGGCGCAAACCATTAAAATGTCCAGCTCCTTGGGACGTCCTTCCGACGTGAAGACGCTATACATATGTAATTTTGTTGTCGAGGTTTACATCAAGATTTACACCTCCCTCTCTAGCTCAAATACTCAGTATCATGTATCAAATACTTGCATTAATCTGATCACAAATAACTGCACATTCTCTAAAATCCAGAGAGTTTATTTCAACAATCTGAAATTACCTGCATCACAGCATTAAAAAAACAAGTGTTGCCAAGATTGCTGAATCCTTTTACTGGTATCTGTGTAATCGTTTGTGTTAAAGTATTTTCTTGTTCAGGCTTCTCAGATTTTGTCTCTTTTTCCTCTGTCTCTTCATTCTTCTGTTCTTTTAGATTTGTTTGAGGCAGTACAGCTGTAGTAACAAGGAGCACAATTCACATGAAACACTTAAAATATACGAAACTTCCTGATAACCTTTCAAATGCTGTGGATTTGCGGAAAGGAAATGCTTTCAGCAGCTGAAAATTAAAGATCAAGACACGACTGTTTGTAGGACACTGCTGTGCGCAATTGGCTGCCGCATTTCACCCACAAAATATACAGTCAATTCACTTTACAATATATTCTGTGAAGCGCTTTGAGACTGTGATAAGGCACTTTATCATGTGCAAGGATTATTATTATCATTTATACAATACATGCTCTAAAATGCTTAGTTTAATGCCAATTGAAAAGACCAAGATAGGTACTCACTTTCTTTGGCATACTTAGCAGCAGTTCTTTTTCGGATGTATTCTATGGTTTGCCCCAACTGACCCTTGGCTCCGTAATGAACTTCGTCATCACACAAATAGCACCTGCACAAACCCAAGCCAAAAATGTATTCAACCCAAAGATGAATTGCAATTCCATACTTAGCTTTCCCTCAACTTCCTACCTAACATCCTTGTTGTAACTGTTGAATATTGCAAATGGGAGCTGTGCACTGAATGTACCTAACAGTTGTTAAAAAAAATCAGCAGATAAACTGAATTTCTTACTGTGAATTCTCCAGCTGGTTACTGAGCATTCCCTTGATGCCATTGAACAGCTGACTCATTTTAACAACTAAACTTTAGAACCATAGAATTATACAGCACAGGAGGCCATTCGGCCCATTGTGTCTCTTTGAAAAGAGTTATCCAATTCAATCCCACTCCCCGCGCTCTCCCCATAGCCCTACAAATAATTATCTACTTCTCTCTTAAAATTTGTTATTGATACGGCTTCCACCACCCTTTCAAGCAATGCATTCCAGATCCAAACTCGCTGTGTGAAAAAATTTCTCCTCACCTCCCCTCTGTTTTTTTTAACAACTATTTTAAATCGGTGTCCTTGGGATACCGATGCACCCGCCAGTGGAAATAATTTCTCCTTGTTCACTCTATCAAATCCCCTCACAATTTTGAAAATTCTGTAGTCTCCTCTTAACCTTCTCTACTGCAAGGAGAATAATCCTAGCTTCTTTAGCCTCTCCTGATAACTGAAGTCCCTCATTTCTGGTACCATCCTAGTAAATCTCCTTTGCACCCTCTCCAATACCTTGACATCCTTCCCGAAGTGTGGTGCCCAGAACTGAGCACAGTACTCTAGCTGAGGTCTAAGCAGTGTTTTATGAAGAACTTTAAAAAAGTATTGAACCCACTTCAGGCCCAACCATTTTGATAAGAAGAGGGTGTTACTCGTGGCCTGACAGTCATAGAATACAATGTCCTACAATGAGATTGAATCATCAGTGATAAATAATAAATTATCACATATAACAATTGTCACTATGCTGGCCAATAGACTACTGCATTAATTTTCTGAACTGTTGTAATCATTGTTTAATTAGACATTCACAAAATATTAACAAAATAACAAAACCCAGTTCACACACTGATCAGGTTCTGCGCTGTCTACCCCTCCCTTTCGCTCAGTTGGCTCCAGCCTCCTGTAAGCCGCTTGTCCCCTCCACCATCAAGTAATGCTTTCGGCCACTATGTACTGAACTCTCTGCATCAATGCCTCTGCGTTGCCCACCTTCAGATCACACCTGATGATTTTTCTCTTTCACTATGCTTACAGTCACCTCCCCTCACTCCCTAGCATGGCATCAAGCTCTGCCCCTATTAAGCCCTTCAAGACCTTACCTCACATGGAGAGCATTACGTAAATGCAAGTTTTTTGTCACTCTAAAATCTACTTCACTGAATGAGACGTTAAACCTACCAAACACCCCAGTGATCCAAACTAAGAACAACACAATGGGGATCTGAATGTAGCTTCTCGTAATGCTTAATAGCATGCTGTTCTTCTGATTCCCTCCCACAACCCTGGAAAACAAAATCATAAACGATTGCAAAATTGTGCTAGCCCAAAGAAAATCATTATGCTGCACTTACAATGGGGAGAGAAAAATACATATAACAGGCCAAAATGTTTTGTGTTTTAATACTTAAATTATTTTGGGCATAGAATTCCACTTCCACCAGTTAGGATAACAGAATAATTGATAGGATAACAAAGTAGCAAAGGATTCAGCTTTAATTAACCATTTGAGCTATTTATACAATGCAATTTACACTTATACAGCTCTTTTTTCATGTCGGGAAGACATCCCAAAGTGCCCAACAAAGAGACGACTCCTACACTGAGAGATGGATGGCACAGGACTGGAAACTTCAAACAGTCAGTTTAAATATACATTAATTTTATTTGAATGAAGAAGTCAAATTCCATTTTTATTATGGGAGATTTGGGGAGNTTTTTTACATCAAATTCCAAGTTCCAGGGATTATTTCATAATAGATTCATAATAGGTACTTTTTCTCCCTCTTCTAACAGCACTGGCTTTTGCTAGCAAAGGTCTCGCACACAATAACTGCCCTACCTAAGCAGCTATTCAGCACGGAAGAGTCTAGACGAGGCATGGGCAACTTTTTCAGCTGAATACCAAAAATTCCAAAAATTTTAAATTAACAGGCTTGGTGATGAATTATTTTTCAACAAAAAAATCTATTTTGGAGATCACACATTTTATTGATTTAGGAGAGGTGTGGGCCGGGGAGAAATTAAACAATTGTGCAGAAACACCAGATTTGTGATTCGTGCCACGAATATTAAAGTCAGCACTTTCGTATTTCGCTTAAATGTCCTTATTGGAACATAAAGGACTGTTTAAATAAGTCCCATAAGACACAAAAGAACCTAAAGAGACTAAACAATACCCATGTGAAAAAGCAGATGAAGCAGAGATCCACGACATTCGTTCACAACAGCACAAGTTGTTTTACACAGAGCAGCACAATAATAAAACAGCGATTTACCCGATGTCCACACTTCAAGCACAACCAGACCGTGGGACTTTCATCAGATTCCTCTTGTTTTTGGTTAGTTTTAGAATCACATTTGCAGTCTTCACAAGCCTTCCACTGACTCTGGGGTAACAGCTTCTTAATCTGGCTGCAGTCCAATCCCCTACGAATGTGCTCACACCGTCCTACTATAATAAATCAGAAATCATGAGGTCAGCGCTGAAAAGTTACAAAGAGCAAAGAATTTACTGCATTTTTAAATGGAGTTTGAAACACACCATATCAAGCTGCTTTAATGCCTTATAATAATAATCCTTGCATTTGTTCTAGTCCTTTTCACGTCTTCCAGACGTCTAAAAGCGCCTAGTATATTCACAGAAGATAGCAATTACAAAATGATGAAAAAGATTTTCTTGGACAGAGAAAAAGAAATAGTAGTTGATGAACGAATGGCCCATATCCATGCTGTGACGTTCTTTAATCTATGAAATGCAAGCATTGCTTCACATTTCAAAAATGTTACACAACTGCTATTTTACAATGGCTAATACAAGTGAATTGACTGAATATTTGTGGACAAAATGTGGATTGACTGAATATTTGTGGACAAAATGTGGCAGCAAATTGCGCACAGCTGTGTCCCAAAAACAGTCATGGATTGAGTGCTCAAACCACTGAGCTACAGGACTCCACATGTAGATGTGAATTATAGTTTTTAATTCACATCTACAATGTAAAAGGTATTTTTGGTGATGTTACAATGGAATATTTGTAGGGAAATACCAGAATTTAAGTAGTATATCACTGCCAGTATTTTTTAACAACAACAACAAGATTCCATTTATTAAGCGCCTTTCACGTCAGGAGGACGTCCCAATGTATACATTTAATGTATACATATGGATACTTTATCCTAACTACTGGTTAGTGGAACACAACATAAACATTACATAATTTGGTCATGAGTATATTTCCTCTTTTTCATCCTTACAGACACCACCAAAGAATAGAGTATTGCTGGAGTATGGATCTCATTTTCAAGGAGTTCCAATTACAATGAGTTTTCAATAAGGCCAAATTAAGTAAATAAGAGATGTAGCACATCACCAAAACATTGTACTCCATTTTCAAGACTTAATTCTGAAGGACCATAAGAAACAATTTTGAAGCTATTGGCAAGTGATAAAACACTTGTTCCAACCACCATCTCATTTTTGGATGCTTATAAAAAACAGAGAACAACCAACAATTCATTCAAATTCGACTGTAATCCACATATTATTTAAAGCAGTTAACTGATCTGATTATTATTTGCTGATTTAGTAAAACTACATCTTCGAGATAGGGTACTCCTGACAGAAAAGAATAAACCTAAAAAAATTAAAATAAGGAGTGGTAGAACTAGACTTTGTGGTTTAACCCCACTCTTTAATTTACAACAAACATCATTTATTACCCAAATTATCAGATGATTCATCATCCTGCTGAGAATTCCGCTTCGTTTTTTTCTTTCCCATTTTAGTGGTGGTCCAGAATCCTTCAACCAAAATGCCTATGATACAAAAACACCATTCAACGAACAGGGACCTGATAAAAAGAAGACAACCAAAGGGAACATTGTCAGAGAAGCCAAACTTGGGATGAGACGTTAAATTAAGGCGATGCTTACCTATTCAAGTAAATAATCACATGACACTGTTCAAAAACAGAAGTTTCTCCCAATATTCTGGCCATCAATCATCCAGATTGGTCATTGCCCACGATTGCTTGCAACAACAACATCTTGCACTTATATAGCGCCCTCCACGCAGGGTAGCATCTCAGATCGCTTAACAATGGCACAGCCTGACTCCGAGCTGCATGTTTGCCTACATATATAAAAGCACTGTGCTCAATAGCAATTACAAAATGATGAAAAAGATTTTCTTGGACAGAGAAAAAGAAATAGTAGTTGATGAACGAATGGCCCATATCCATGCTGTGACGTTCTTTAATCAATGAAATGCAAGCATTGCTTCACATTTTAAAAATGTTACACAACTGCTATTTTACAATGGCTAATACAAGTTAATATGCTGCAACACCAATTGGGCATATATGAGATTTTAAATCTTTGTCAACTGTGATCCAGCTCAATAATCCACCAGAGTAAATATCAAATCATGACCTATTTTAAGTATACAATGCATTTTAACAAAAGTCAACGAATGACAAAGGACTGTGGAATAATTCTAACTTTTGCTGTCTTAACATGTAATGACCCAGAACGGGCTTAGCAACTGGAATACTCTTTTTTTCCAGCCATCAATTCTCATTCCAGTAGAGAAGAAGTTTTGAATAAAACGAAAGGCTGCACTATGCTAATTAACCTAACCAGTAATCAGCAGGAATGTAAAGTCCATGATCATCTGTCCTAAATTGGAATTTTATGCTGAATTTACATTCTCAGAGTATAGTTGTTTTACCGTGGATTGAATAACGAGGCTAATTTGAACTTCCTGCTCAACTTTGACAAAAAAACACAAGATCTCAAAAAACTAATTTGACACTGAATATTAAAATCCCCATCCTCCTATTGGTTCTTTAACCTCTCTGAAATGCTTGTCAGGCCTGGCTCTGGACTAGTTTTTTTTTAAATCTTTTTTTTGATCTTTATCCATAGAACCATAGAAAATTATAGCAGAGAAAATTCAGCTCATCATGCCTTGTGTTGCTCTCTTGACAAAGCAATCTGCTTAGACCTAAATGCCTGCTTCCCACACACACCAAAACTCCCATTTCTATTTCTTCTTTCCACCTATTACTTGGGACGTCCCCCCGATGTGAGAGGCGCTATACAAATGTAATCTTGCTTTTGTATTACTTCTTAAAAATTATGGATTCTGCTTCAACCATGAATCCAGTTAAAGCATTCCACATCTATCCACCTCACTGTTTAAACACTAGTACCCAGCCCAGACTGACTTTACCAACTCTCTTACACAGCTTTACCAGTTCTCTAGACCGCGCCTGGATCTGCTCAGTGCTGCACTCACTCTCTAGCCCAGGCCTGGCTCAGTGCTGCACTCACTCTCTAGCCCAGGCCGGGCTCAGTGCTGTGCTCACTCTGTAGCCCAGGCCTGGCTCAGTGCTGTGCTCACTCTGTAGCCCAGGCCTGGCTCAGTGCTGTGCTCGGTGTGTAGCCCAGGCCTGGCTCAGTGCTGTACTCACTCTCTAGCCCAGGCCTGGCTCAGTGCTGTGCTCACTCTGTAGCCCAGGCCTGGCTCAGTGCTGTGCTCACTCTGTAGCCCAGGCCTGGCTCAGTGCTGTGCTCAGTGTGTAGCCCAGGTCTGGCTCAGTGCTGTGCTCACTCTGTAGCTCAGGCCTGGCTCAGTGTGTAGCCGGGGCCTGGCTCAGTGCTGTGCTCACTCTGTAGCCAGGGGCTCCTGGCTCAGTGTGTAGCCGGGGCCTGTCAGTGCTGTACTCGTAGCCCTGGCTCAGTGTGTAGCCGGGGCCTGGCTCAGTGCTGTGCTCGGTGTGTAGCCGGGGCCCGGTGTGTAGCCGGGGGGGGCCCGGTGTGTAGCCGGGGGGGGCCCGGCTCGGTGCTGTGCTCGGTGTGTAGCCGGGGGGGGCCCGGCTCGGTGCTGTGCTCGGTGTGTAGCCGGGGCCCGGCTCGGTGTGTAGCCGGGGCTCGGTGTGTAGCCGGGGGGGGCCCGGCTCGGTGCTGTACTCACGCTGTAGTCGGGGTGATGATGAAGATGATGATGATGGCAGTGGCGCCGCTGACATGACGCGCGGTGACGACGGTGCGAAAGGAGCGACCAACCGACAGTGCGCGTGCGCGAGTGGGAGGGCGGGGCGGGGGGGGGGAGGAGTTGATGAAGATGATGGCCGCCCGGAGTCCGGGGAGTGGCGGTTTATTCCGCTGCCCCGTCTCGGGTGGAGGTGACAGCCACAGCAGCGGGTGAGGGACTGTCCGGGGGGTGAGTGGCTCAGACCTCCACACCGCCCGCTCTCCAGGTCACGGTGTACCGGCGGCGCTGCCTCTCCCTCTCTCTCAGCCCGACAGCCCCCGCGCTCCTCCTGCTGGGGGTCAGCGGCACACCAGCCCCCCCCCCCCCCCCCCACTGTCCCCCCCCCCCCCACCCCCCCCCCCCCCCCCCCCCCTCCCCCCCCCCTGACCCCCCCCACCCCTCACCCCCCCCCACTGTCCCCTCCCCCTGACCCCCACCCCTCACCCCCCCCACCACTGTCCCCTCCCCCTGACCCCCACCCCCACCCCCCCACCGCACCTCACCCCCCCCCCCCCCCCCCCCCCCCCGACCCCCACCCCCCCCCACTGTCCCCTCCCCCTGACCCCCCGCCACCGCACCTCACCCCCCCCCCCCCCCCACTGTCCCCTCCCCCTGACCCCCACCCCTCACCCCCCCCACCACTGTCCCCTCCCCCTGACCCCCACCCCTCACCCCCCCCCCACCCCCCCCCCCCCCACCCCACTGTCCCCTCCCCCTGACCCCCACCCCACCCCCCACTCCCCTCCCCCTGACCCCCCCCACTGTCCCCTCCCCCTGACCCCCGCCACCGCACTCACCCCCCCCCCCCACCCCCCCCCACCCCTCAACCCCCCCCCCGCCACCACACTCATCCCCCCCTCCCTGACCCCCACCCCCCCCCCCCCCCTCACCCCCCCACCCCTCACCCCCCCGCCACTGTCCCTCCCCCTGACCCCCGCCACCGCACCTCACCCCCCCGCCACTGTCCCCTCCCCCTGACCCCCACCCCTCACCCCCCGCACCCCTCATCCCCCACCCCTCACCCCCCCACCCCTCACCCCCCCCCGCCACCACACCTCACCCCCCCCACCCCTCACCCCCGCCACCACACCTCATCCTCACCGCCCCTCACCTCACCTCAGCCCCACCCCCCATCTTCACCACCTTCATTGTGCCCTACACAAAATATTTAAATGATTTACTTAAATCTCATATATATATATATATTTATACCCCCATTGACTCTCATTAAGTAAATACACAAGTACATTTACAAATGTCTCAATCATCTTTGCAAACCTCTGATTGTATCTGAGTAAGTCCACCTTTGTTCCTGAAGAAAGAGCTGTCTTCAGCCTTCCCAGTGGATCAGTTGGTAATGTTGCTGTCCATTGTGGTATTGAGGCAAAATCTATCAAATCTATGCTCTGCACTGAGTTAGTTAATTTTAACTGATCTAGTAATAGGTAATCTATGTTTGGCTTCAGTGTCGGTATCTTTGGGCTGGGAATAGAAAAATCAGCCTTCTCATCCTGGTTCTAGTCCAGTAACCTCAGCGTTGATATTCTGTAAGGACAGGATCAGAGTGTTCAGCTTTGGTGCCCTACACAATAAAATGGGGTATGGATACTCACTTTCGAGACAATTTCAATACAGGAAGAATTGCCACTTGTTTGAAGGATCAGAGACTAGCCAACACCCACAAAACATGAGTCAGTGCTTTCAGAAAAGGAGTGAGAAATTAGAGGTGAGAGAAGTGCTATTTTCACAATAGTGTGTGGAAACAAATGTGTCAGTGCAGGGTGGATAACCAGTCTGAAAAGCAATGCATCATTTTCATCACAATTGGATTGGTTGTAAGTAATGATGATGCCTTTCAATGCAATTTATCTTGCCACAGTGTCTGCACATATAAAGAAAAGGTTTCTCAAGCATCTATTTTTTTTCTATTAATTTGACGCACCTCTGATGATCTGGGATTATATCGTAGATAGAAGATGAAGAAGATTGATCAGGACTGGGAGACTCAGAATAATCACATGCCATTTTGAAACTGACCCAAGATGAAAGCCAAATTTTGGAACCTCCAAGTTTAAAATTTCATAGGTGTAGAGTTGGAATGCATTTGAAATGTAGGGAGTGGAAGATTCCCTCCACTGTAATTAAAATGTATTGTGTTTTTGTACTTATTTGTTCCGCTTCTCTCCGATTTGAAGCCTGGGCTACCTTACCAATATCTCCACAAATGGGGTATAGTTGGGTATCCTTCAGTGGTATTGGTGGGGCTTCATTTCCCTCTAACAGTTGTCAAATAGTTTATTGTATCAGTGACATAAATTCTACATAATCATTTTTTCTTATAGAGTGCATGACCTTTTTATGTGTTCTAGCTAGTTTACCATTTCTCTAAGAGCCATTTTTTGAAAAGTTTACAATGACAAGTGCAACCAAAGCCGAGGCGCAAATCTGCGAGCTGGAGCTCCTGTTCAGCATGTTTCCCAATGAGCTTGTGTTGGATGATCAACTGGCTTTAGCAGAGCTCAGAGAATATGTGCAAGGACGGACGCTGAGCCCTCCTACTTCAAGAGTACAGTTTACAATACACCTCCACCTGGATGCTCCTAATGTCAGTATCATCATATATGCATGTAGTGTATTATTTAGCATTTTTGAATAAGTATTATTTCAAAATCAAGTTATTTTTCACTTTTCAACTGAATTATTATTGTTGTTTTCAGGTGGTGTGCACATTATTGTGTGCATTTCCCCCAAATTATCCAGAGGAGTTACCAGAAATTTCTACAAGGTACACTCCAGAGTACACAGCTTTTTAAAAAAAATTCAAACCATTATGCTGTAAAAGGCCAAAAGAAAGAATTATAAACGTTTAGTATATTAGTCTCTCTGTGAAGTCTGAATGTAAAGCATTTCTAATTTACAGGATTATTTAGCAGTGATGGTAGCATTTAGAGTTCAGCAACTTTGTTTCTTCCTCTTTTCCTCAATGTCATCCACCATCCCCAGCTGAATATGTGATCTGTTCCCATGTTCCAATTAATAATACTTTCTAAACGGTCACTGCAGACTGAGTCACTGAGATCAGCCTGGGATGATGTATTCCCCATTTTGGGGGAATTGCAGTCACAGACTTTAATCCTGCCTTTTAATTCCTCAAATGGGGCAAATGTTAATCCTACCAGTACGCCAAGGTCAAACGGCAACTGTCATTCCATAGTGCCACTACAATGATCAATCTGGGTTGAATTTCAATTGACAGTGTAATAAAAATAGATATCAGTAGGGCTAAGATTTCCTTACATTAGGTAAAATTAGATACCTTTCACATCCCTGAGCACTTATCTATAGATATGTTTCAATTTACCCCAGTGCCAGGAAGGGTAGTATTCAGTATTAGTATTCAAAATATTATCATATGTGGTATCTGGTGATCCTGCTGGCAAGTGCATGTGTGAGCATGATCTCCCAAGAGCAGAATGGGGTTTGGTTTACTGTCCCTCACTAACTAGAATAACATGAAGAATGATACTTGGATGAGGTTCAGGAAGACTATTCATGTTTGTGGAACTGTATTCTTGCCAGCATGTTGCATTTTGCTTGCTTCAAGAGTTGAGTGGAAGAATACGTAAAACTAGTTTGTAAACACTCCTTGCACTATAAATGTCTTAATCAGTCTAAAATAACTTGTGCTTTCCACTTTCCAGATCAGATGCTTTATACAGAACGCAGCAGATGCAGTTAAATACAGATCTCCGAGAATATTTAAGAGAAAATTATTATGGAGAGATGTGTATATTGAATGCAATAGAATGGCTCAAGGACCATGCAGCCACTTACATAAACAATGTTGTTGCTCCAGTTGAAAAGAAACAGACAGCAAATAACCTAAAAGATGCTATTTGTACTAGACTTTGGATCTACAGTCACCATATCTACAACAAAGAGAAGAGAAAGAATATTCTGGAATGGGCAAAAGAGCTTTCTCTTACTGGCTTCAGTATGCCAGGCAAGCCGGGTGTGGTTTGTGTCGAAGGATCACAAAGTGTTTGTGAAGAATTCTGGACAAGGTGTGTTTCCAATGCATTATCATTTGGTTTCTTTATAATAGAGGTTCACAGAGCCTTAAAATTGTTTTCCCCCCAAATTTTACGTTTTACCCAGTACAAATTTCAGACAGGAGTACGCTATTGGTTCATCTAATCCAAATATTCAGTTTCTCAAATGATTCTTTCATCTCTATCCAATAACCCAGAATCCTTTTAATTAACAGGGTGTATTTTGGGTGGGGGGAAACCATACAGTGCAGTCATTTAATTTGCTCTTCTTGGTCCCTGAGAGATTGGGTTTGTGCCTTTGGCCTACCCTTAGGTCTTCTCCAGACTGATATGATGAGCCTGGGATCTTAACAATTTGTGCATTGTCGGCACAAACCCATGTGACTCCACTGTAATATGCTACTACACTTATCGAGTGTCCTATAATATATTTCCATTTCTCTGCAGACTTCGACGGCTGACCTGGCAGAGAATTCTTATCCGTCATAGGGAAGATGTTGCTTTAGATGCCACCAATGGTGATCTGGATGCCAAAATTGAAACATTTCGCAAATTCACAAATTTTGAGGAGAAAATATTTGATACACGTGGTAGCAAGGGAAATCATATGGACCTGGGACAGCTTTATCAATTCTTAAATGAAAGCGGATGCCGAGATATCTTTCAACTGTACTTTGGTGTTGAAGGAAAATCATCTTAACAAGATGCTCACATAATTTTGTTTACCCAGACGATAGCAAAAAATCATAAATGTGCACTTCTATGCCATTGACATTTATCACATACTCTTATCAGGGGCAGTGACTGGAAGTGCAATTGTATATTTTTAAAAACTTGTTAAATAAATGTTTTTGTATTAATCTGTTCAAAAAGAAATCCTCTTGATTTTGTAGCATTTTAAAAATTATTTTGTCTTTTATGAACTCACCAAGTTTTTGGTAACGTTAAGAGTTATTTGGCCAGATGTATCTAACAGCAGTGAAGAAGTGCCAACTACAAAGAACAGCAAGTGGCAATACTGCTTAGCTTGCCATTGAAAGCACAGTTTGGCAAACTGCTTGTCCAGCTGGAACCACCCTACCCTGTGTTGCAGGTTTAACAGTTGCTGAGCAGAAGGAATTCATGCCTTGATCAGGCAGGTTGGCTGACCTGTCATCAGCACCCGAGAGAACTGGACCTACCTGACTCAAGAATTAATCGCCCGAGAACTAAGATTTCTTTAAGATTTAAGATTTATTTAAGATTTAAGATTTAAGATTTGATTCTGACATTTTGTTTCCAAGCACGTCACCTTGGAATCAGTTTAGCTCCAACAAGATGCCACTCCCCAAAAATAACGTAAAGAGTATCCAAGCCAGACTGGATATTTCATATTTGCCTCAACTCCCCGAAATTCTGGAACTCTCTCCCTCAATCCCTCCGCCTTGTCTCCTCTATCTCAACCTTCAAATCCCCCTAAAGACCTTCCTTTTTCATTGTGTTAAGAGTTACCTCCCCACTCACCTCCCCCTGGCCCCTTTTCAGACTCAGCCACTGTGAAGCTCTCCCGATACCTACCCCTTGGTGAGGATGCTATATAAAGCAAGATATTTTTGTTGCCACCAATCATGGAAATGTTCCTGTGTCTGGAATGGAAGTAAACACTCTCTCCCTGGAGGGACCCACCATTAATTTTTCAATTAAATTTAATTCAAATACATATTTTTTTGGGGGGGGAACAGGTACTGTAATAATAATCCCTCCAACATCAAAAACAATAATAAAAATTGGTCATTTTCAATCTACGACTGTTTGTGGGACATTGCTGTGCGCAATTGGCTGCCGCGTTCGCCCACAATTACAATTACAGTCAATTCATTTTACAATGTGTTCTGTGAAGCGCTTTGGGACGTCCTCCCGACGTGAAAAGCGCTGTATCAAATGCAAGGATCATTATTATTATTAATGTGATAATGTAAAGAAAGTGGTGGGCAGGAGGGTTGGGGAAGTGGAACTAACTGCACTCGGCGCTGTTGCAGTCCGGGGGCCTGAGAGCGGCGCACACGGCGGGCTGTTGGCGCAGGCGCAGTGAGGGGCCGAGTCTGGTGCGTGTCGGACGGTTGGAGAGTAAACGGCCGACGGCGGCGGCGATGGGCGGAAAAAACAAACAGAGGACGAAGGGCAACGTGCGGGTAAGAGAGAGGCGGTCCCGAGGTGCCGCTGACCTGGCGCCGCGCCCCCCACCCCACCCCACCGCGGGTGTCCGGCTGCTGCAGGTTCCAGGCCTGTCCCGAGACCCTGTCACATTGCAGCGGACGCTCTGCTGCGGAGAGTCAGCCCGGACCGTGTGAGGGCAAAATGCGGACCTGGGCCCCGGAACCCTCACCCTCCGCCTCGGAGGTGAGAGTGACAACAACTGGACCGACCGGTCGGGCTGAACCCGATGGCATTCTCACCTCTGAGGCAGAGGGTGAGGGCTCCGGCCCCGGGTCACGAGTTTGCCCTCACACGGTCCGGGGTTGACCTTCAAACAGACCTGTGAACAGCAGCCGCTGTCTTGGCTCATCTCAGCTGCTGTCTGCACACCGCGTGCAGTTGGGCTTCCACGATAAAACGAGTGGATCTGAAGTTACATTAAAAGTTCAGCCCCGACTGGTCCAGTTGTTGTCACTCTCATCTCTGAGGCAGAGGGTGAGGGTTCTGGCCCCGGGTCGGGATTTTGCCCTCACACGGTCCGGGCCGTCTCTCTGAAGCAGAGCCTCCGCTGCAATGTGACAAGGTCTTGGCTTTTGAACGAGATGGCGAACCGGGGTCCCGTCTGCCTGTGGTCATTAAAGATCCCATGGGAACTGTTCAAACAACAAACAAATAAATTGCCTTTACACAACTCATTTCACGTCGGGAGGGCGTCCCGGGCATTGAAGGGTTTGCCCCTAAGCTGGAGATTGGAATCGAGAAGGGTGGAGGCCGGGAGTGGGGATGGGATGGGGGGGAAACGACTGAACGCACTTTCGAAGAGAAAGGACTTGAGATGGGCCTTGAAGGAGGTAAGAGAGGGGGCGAGGCAGAGGAGCGTCTGGGATGGAGTTTCATAGGGTGGCAGCAGAGAGGCTGAAGGCCTTGTCGCCAGTGGTGGTGCCGGCACAATGGGGGATGTGGAGCAGGTTAGTGCCCGCCGAGCAGAGGGAATGGACAGGTTGGTAAAGGTTTAGTAGATTGCAGAGGTAGGGAGGAGCAAGACCATGAAGGGCTTTAAAGATGAGGTTAAGGATCTTGAACTCAATGCTCTGGGGGATGGGGAGCCAGTGAAGCTGGGTGAGTATGGGTATGATCGGCTCACAGAGTTTAGTGCGGGAGCAGACATGAGCGCAGAGTTCTGAATATTCTGCAGCTTGTGGAGGGAAGAATTGAGAAGTTTGGAGAACAGGGAGTTAGCCTTTCAAGCCTGGATGTAATGAAAGCATTTATGAAGGGAGAGATAGTAGAGGAGCTGGGGCGATATTGTGGAGGATGGCAGAACGGGTAATGGCACGGATGTGGGGTTTAAAAGACAGTCGAGAGTTGAACTCACCAAGGTTCCATACTGCCTCAGTGAGGTGGACTGTGAATCCATGAATCGTGATGCTGTCATTCAAAAGAGAACTTTTCTTCTGGTATCCTGACCATCAGTCCCCCCAAATAAAATTGGCCACTCATTTCAGGAATGTTTGTGGGACACTGTTGTGCTCTATGGAATGGAAAGTTGCAGATTTAATTCCAAGTTTGTGTCGTCACTAGAATTAGTTTCAGGGCGCCTGGGAGACAGGAGAGTTAATGAAATGGATTTGTTTCTCTCCTGAATATTATCCAGAGATCCTTGCTGGAACAACAACAGCATTTATAGAGCATCTTTCACGTCGGGAGGACGTCCAAGGCGCTGGACAGTCGGGTCAGGACCCGAGCATGGGGGAGGGGTGGGGTAGGGGTGAGGGAAGACAGAGAGGTGGGAGTGCGACTGAAGGCGCGAACAAAGAGAAGGGTCTTGAGACCGGCCTTGAAGGAGGCAAAGGAGGAAGCGAGGTGAAAGGACTGTGGGATGGAGCTCCAGAGTGTGGGGGCAGAGAGGCTGAAAGCCCGGCTACTGATGGTAGGGTGGATCGGGCGGGAGAGATGGAGCAGACCGGAGTCCGCTGAACGGAGGGAGCGGGCCGGTTGGAAGCTGTGTTAATGAGAATGTTGGGTGAGGGCAGGATTAGGTTTAACTTTGATGCCCCTGAAAATACCCTGCCAACACTCACTGTAAAGGCTTACTGATGGATAATGGCCACTTGGCCAAGGTAGTGGAGAGTTCCCCACACTTGTTGAAATGGGCTCTGATATCAGAAAAAATTAGTCAAAAAACCTTATGACGAGGAAAAAGAAATGAACACTGGTCAGCTCAGCTGAAGATGGTGACAGTGAGTGCAATTGGGCTTATGAACTGTGAGGGTATGCCATTGCATTCAGGTGTAGAAAGCTCCTTCTTGTACCAATTTATTACAGTGAGTTCTAAATAATAAAAATAATAATCCTTGCATTTGATGTAGCGCTTTTCACATCTTCTAGATGTCTCAAAGCAATTCACAGAATATACTGTAAAGTGAATTGACTGTATATTTGTGGGCGAAATGCGGCAGCCAATTGCGCACAGCAATGTCCCACAAACAGTCGTGGATTGAAGTGACCAATTTATTATTTTTTTTCTTGAGGGATTATTATTAGGCGTTTATAAATGCCTTGTTTGTGCATATGTAGCAAAGTACATTTTCTATCAGACTCGGATGGCAATAGGGTTTGGTCTCTGGTGCTTCTTGACCATCGGGTGTATCGCTGCCCTCTCAAATGCTGAGGTATATCAGGCTATTAAATAAAGAAGTGGTTAATAGTTACAGCATTCTCGCTACTCATAACCAATTTCAGAGACCCCTTCTGGAAAGCACACGTGTGAATATAAGGTGAAGACAGGATTGGTTTTAGCATTGATTTCCTTAACAGTTAAATAGCCTGACCCTGTCGAAGCTCACACATGAATAATGACTACCTGGGCAAGACACTGTAGGTTGCCTCACCGGTAGGATAATACCTCAGCGGAATGAAAAAGGAAGTAAAACATCTTTTGGAAGTAAATTTGGCCAGAAAAAAATACCTCTCATAAAGTTTTTTTTAAATAAAACAATTCTTGATATTCTTATTCAGTAGTGTGCAGAAGTTGAAAATCTTGCAAGTTAGTTTGACTCCAGTGGTACTTTCATAATAACAATTCTTTTGTTTTGTTTCTATAGCCATCCAGCAGCAGTAAAGCAGCTGAGCTGTTGGTTAAAGACAAGGGAACAGTTCCAGGTTTTGTTGGGTTTGGACCCTCACAGAATGAACTGGGATATGTTCCTGCAGTCCAAGGCTTTGAGGAAGTGGATAATTCGGTGGATCCTGATTTTCGTATGGTTCTGCGCAAAATGTCCAAAAGAGATGCAACTACAAAACTAAAAGTATGTTGGCTTACTATGGTGCCAATCTCTTCAAATGCTGCTTTATTCAGCAGTTCTTTGTCAAAACAATCTCACTGTTTACACTCTCTGTAAAATTCCTTTTGAGGCCTTCTGCAAGATAATTTGTGGGGAGACAAGTGATTGTCATTTATGCCTTTATTTTCTGTTGACTTTGTTCTTGAGGAAAAACAATCTAATTACTGGACATCTGAATGAATGCTATAAATATGGCTCCTTGGTCAATCTGTGTGTATAGTTTGTAGTGTGTTATAGGACTCCTACTTAATCCCGCCAGCTTTCTCTTCCTTTCTTTGATTCCCCCAGCTGATAGTGTATCTTGTTCAATAGGGATGTAAATAACATCTGAAACTGGAACTTGAACTTGTTTGAGTGACACAAATGATGTATCATGCCAGAGTGTAAAATGTACACCTGCTAAAATCAACTGTAATTGAAACATAGTAATGCCCATTCAGTGTCAGTTAATTTGAAAGCTAAAACCTCAGTGTCTATCACAAATTAAAAGGAAAATTAAGACTGTTAGCAAAATACCAAGAAAGAGAACTACTAGTATTTTCACACAAGCCCTATTTGTGTGTCACTCAGTCAAGGTTGATTCTAGTACAATACAGTACAACGGACAGCTGTATTGTTCGAGATGTCAACCTTCAGATCAAATGTTGAAACTAAAGTCCTGTATGCTTGTTCTTCAGTTGGCTGTTAAAAATCCCATAACATTACTCGAAGTGAAGGGAATTCCTTCTGGTGTCCTAGCTAACTACTATCCGGATACATTGCTCTTTGACCTCATGGCTGTTTGTGGGACCTTGTGTACAAAATCACTGCCATTTTACTGTATTTTAAAAAAATATTTACCAGTAAATACTTATTATTATTTTTTTTTTTCTCCTTAAGGCTGTTCAAGAATTTGGGGCAATGTGCAAAGAAAGGGACCCTGAGACTATAAAAGCAGTTCTTCCTTATTGGTCAAGGATCTACTGCAAAATATCTCTGGTAAGTTTCTGTGCAGTTTTTTATATCTCTGAATTGAATGGGCATCATCATATAAGCATGTAAGTGAGAGTCTGCAGTTACTGGGACTATCAGCACATTGAACTCACAAATCACTATTAGAATTAGCAGCATTGTAATTACTGACATTGTTATTCTTCATATCATCTTAAAAAGGTGTATTTTTACCCAATTGTAAACCTTATACAAACAATGTGTGTAAATTGTTCCCAAGGCTAAACGTGTCACTTATGGTGTACATTAGCGTGGCTAAAAGAATGTTTTTTGACCACTGTTATACAAGTGGCAGTGAAGCTATAATGTAGCAATGCGGAGCAGGAAGTTGGATTTATCTTGCCTGTTTCAAATTGCTTTCAATTCAGCTACCCCCTCCCCCCATCCCTCAGCCTAATTTTGGTATTCTGTACACGTGTACACCTACACCGTGCACATGTGGTTACTTATTTGGGTTTCAATGTTGATCTCATGATTGACCAACATTTTTTAAAAAAGTTTAAAGTTTCTAGGGTGTCTCTTAAAAAGATACTAAGCGAGAGCCTAGTGTGATTTGTACCTCCTGTGTTTTTACTGCATGAGTATGAATTACTGTGCTCCTGAAACCTCCAGGTGATTTCAGGATCTGGCATCAGTATTATTTGCATTGTTTGAGAATATGTTTGCACTGTACATTTGCAGCAAATTCCACACAATTTGCTCCCAAAACAAAACTTGTATAAATACAGAATTAAAGGTATAATTATTTCACATACCAAAATGGCATTTTTTTTTGCTGGCTATTGACTGGCAAACGTTCAGCTCAACCATACAGGAGGATTGTTGATTTTATGCTTGGAGATTTGTTTTTCAAAAAATGGTGGTGGGGTGGTCCAAGGCCAGAAAACCAAAGTTTGATTTTTGACTTTGAAATAACTTTAGATACATGAGTTTGCAGGTGTGTTGTTTGTTTTGCTATTTATGTTGCTGTGGTCATATTTGTCTCTCATTGATTATATAGATGCAACAGAAATGTTTATAGAGAGGGCTTAGCAGGAAAAGTGATACATTAAGAAGACAGAACTGAAGGGAGTGGGGGAATAAAGAAAAGCAAATGCAAATTATAACTTATACTGTATGCTTCTGTACATTCTGTCACATCGGAGTCTTGTGAATAATTCATCAAACCAGTCTACCTATATCCCATCTGTAACCAAATTATTGGTTAGAAATACTTTTTATATTTAGCAAATATTACCAACTTCTTGGAAGATCAGAGACATTCACGTTTAGCAACCTATTACTAACCTTGATTGAATGCTCGGCAGATAAATATTATATTTGTTTATGGATACTTCAGTAGCTGTTAAATATTGTCACTTGTTTTTCCCACTAAGGACCACGACCGACGGATTCGAGAAGCTGCTCAGCAAGCTTTTGAGTTGCTGGTCTTTCAAGTGAAACGGAATTTGGCACCTTACTTGAAGAATATTATGGGATACTGGCTCATTTCACAGTGTGATACATATACCCCTGCAGCCTCTGCAGCAAAACAAGCATTTCAAGCTGCTTTCCCACCACCTAAACAGCCGGAGGCAATGGCTTTCTGTAAAGAAGAGATTACGAATGTAAGTACAACTATATCTGGGATTGCTTGATACTCCTCGGAATCTTTTAATTCCCAACACTAATACCGCCTTGATGAACGCAAAGTTTCTTAAGAATTATCACTTCAAGGCTGGATTATGGGAACTCTCTCCTCGCCGGCCTTCCCGCCACCTCCCTCCACAAGCTGCAGGTCACTCAGAACTCTGATAACAATATAATTTATAAAGGAAGGAATGTTTAGTTAACGCTGAAGACAATATTTTAAAAAAGGACAATTTTTATTTTTGATGATTATCAATTATCTGAACAATGGAGTAGATAATCTGCTCTTTACCTGCAGCAGTTCATTACAGTGCTACCTTGTGGCAACATTCAAGTAACTGCAGCAATTGTAATAATAACCCTTGCATTTGTTACAGCGCCTTATCACGTCAGAATGACATCTCAAGGCTTCACAGATTTACTGTAAAATGAAGTGACTGTGTACTTGTAGGTAAACGCTGCAGCACAATTGCACACGGCAGTGTCCCACAAACAGCCATGAAACAAATGATCAGTTCTTGGGGGGGGATTATTGGCCACTATACTGGGAGAAATTCCCTTTGCTCTTCGAATAGTGCACAGGATCTTTACACCAGGCAGACTGCAGCAGACAATGTAATGAAACGTAAACTATCAAAACTTCAAACTGACTTTTGTACCCAGTAGCCGAATTTAAAGAGAGTACATCCTGTTATTGGAAATATGGAAATTAACTTCTGAAAACTACAGTCATCATGTTTATTTCAGTGCTGATACTTGTGTTAAGCTGTAGCTTGGTTTTAATTTGATGTAAGATATGTTTTCTGACTAGCTCCAAATTTTCTACACAGATTCTTTATGATAATATCATGAAAGAGACTCCAGATACACTCAGTGACCCACAGTAAGTTATTCTACTTGGAGAAATTGTTTTAGAAGTACAGTGATGGTGGTCTGAAAGGTACACCCCTTTGCAAATACATTTGTATCTACTCAAGTGTGAAATTAGGATGTAGAATGCATTACCACCAGTAGCCTTCAAAGCTGAGTCTGTTATGACATTTGAAAAGATTTAGATAAAACATTTGACAAATTAACAGCTTGCATTTATATAATGCCCTTCACGCAGGATAGCATCTGTGGATGGAGCATATAATAAGTACCATCAATATGGGTAATCATTGACTATTTTACTTTAATTACATTTATTACATTTTCAATAATAATAAAATGCAAAAATCAGTGTTTTGAAAAAAAATCATTGTGCATATTACAGAGGTTTTTACATCATTGTTGATTTCTGAATGCTGAGTTCTAATTTAACTCTGTGTAAATTAATTCTGAATTGCTGTTCATTTTTAGAAGTGTTCCAGAAGAAGAAAGAGAAGGCAAATATCAAAGAGTTGTGACAAGCTCACTATTGGCTCTAAAGAAGCTACTTGATCTGCTGCCTGAAAATGAGTGCATGATTCTGAAAGATAGACTGATGGAACTTCTATCTCAACCCAAGTTCTGGAAGTACAGCAAACATAAAACCCCACAGGTTGTAAACTGTTGACTTGTCATTCTGTGAAATAACTCTACCCACCCACTTCGCTCAGCCAGCTCCAACCTACTGCACCCCCCTCTTCCTCTCAGTTCTACCATCAGCAGCCATGCTTTCAGTCACTATGTCCCGAAATTCTGGAACTCCCTGCCTCAAACTCTCCACTTGCTCCCTCTTTGCTAGTCATCAGTTCGCACGGGAAGAGCTTCCTCTTTGACTGCGTCTATGGTCACCTTCCCTTTCTGCCCAGCTTGGCATCAAGCTCTGCCATTGTTAAGTGCTCCGAGACCCTAACCCTTGGGAAGGGGAAGGGTGCTATATAAATGCAAGAAGTTTTTTAGCAGCCAAATATTTTTAATAGTTTTTGCACCTTTACTTTATCTGTCTGCAACATTAGAAGCTGCTTGTGATGCTGCAGTATTTGACCAGGTTTTTCCACTAATAGTAATTTTTATTTTTGTATTCCTGCCCTAGGAAGCTGGTTTAAAAAATGCACTTATAAGTATATAGCATGACCTGTTTATAAAAGGTCCTTTATAATGTGGGCTCATAAAATTAGATACAGTGTAATGATTGACCGTGGGTACAGTAATTAAGTGCTTTTATCATTATTTTATTGTCTGCCTGAATGGAGCATATTGAGGCAGTTAATCACTTCAGGAGAAGAGGCATGATGGCTTGACCAGACCTGTCCCATAAGACAGCACCTCCAGTAATACTGGGTGCCAGATTTAGACAGTTTGCTTAGACTGTTTTAACCTCTTGACTGAAATGTGTCAGCTAACAATGATGGAGACTTCGAGAGAGAATTGCTTTTTTTTGTTTGTTCTGGAACATTTTTACAATAGACACTTTTTTTCCCCCCATTTCCTTAATCATCATCACACCAAAATGTATTTTGTTCGCATTTTTCTGTTTTATTTTTTAATCTCGATAGAAAGAATTTGAATGCTCATGTAAATGTTCTGATCTTTGTTTTGTTAGATCCGTTCAGCTTTCTTTGAATTGATTGTTGCCTTTTGTCAGCATCTACCTGAGCTGATGAAGGCTGAAGCTGCTAAAGTATGCTCGGCAGTGCTGCTGAACATTGATGATTCTGACCCTGTTGTATGTCCGTCCATTTGGGAAGCAATACTTTACGTTCTCACCTGCATTGAGGTAAAAATGAAGTGTTATAGTAGAAAACTTAAGAAGTGTAATTTTTGAATTTTAAGGATTTCATCATCATTTTGGGTTGAAATAAAGTTGAGGCCATATCAATAAGAACAATAGAGGAATTTTTAAAATGGTGACTACAGCTCTTATTGTAGAGCTTCATCAAACCACGATACAGAAAATCTAATGAAATAAAAATATTTCAAAAAGAGCAAGATTCATATGTTTGCACCAAGATTACATGAGAAAAGGAGTCGACAATTAGGCCGGACTCAGCCAAGATGCATCTGCTTGATCCTGAGACCAAAATAAGGAATGCAATAACTTGGGCTAGGGCGGGCTTCAAGTGTCAGTCAGCACAGATCACATATTAACTTGAACTTCAAAAGTTTGAGCAGTTGTCTCTAACGGTTACATTCAGTAAGTCCCAGAGTTTAGAATTTGTGACACTTGCTCTTGCTGAATTGATAATATTAACACAACCATTAGGGTGATGAACTGAATGGGATAGTGTGCCGACAAATAATGTATTGCCTCGAGAGCTGAAAAAACCAAGACAGCAACACACACAGCTGTATTTCCACATTCTTTGTCAGTCGGAAAGGCCCATATTGAAGCTTCATACACAGTCTCATCCGTCCATATTCAACTGCAGAGATAACTATCAGTTGCTGATCCAGGGTTATCATTACATGCACTTAAGGATTGTACCCTTTGACATATGTCTGTTAGTTTCCTAGCAACCACCAGGGTTTGACTGCAGTTCTCAGCACAGTTGCATCCAGCTGCACTGTTTCTTAGCCTCCTGCAAAGTGCATTTTTAAAAGTTATAAATTACTTACAAGAACACCGTAAACCAAGTTAATCAAGTTTTCTTTAATTTTCCAGAACCTGCCAGGCCAATGGGCTCTGGAAGGAAGGTGGTGTGATGGGAGCATTCATTCTAGCTGCTATGTTGACAGCTTTATACCACTTTATAATATTGTATATGCACATTTTGCTATTATGTTCTTGTAATTTCTATCTTGCACCAAAGCCTGTAGTCTTGCACCTCTGGTACTAGACATTATTTTGTATTCTCATATCTAATACTACTTTCCCTTTGTTCTGCATTACCTATTGTTTTATTAAAGCTCCAGACTGTGCTGTAAGCATATTGCATAGAATTCCATGGAACATATGGCATAGAAACGGGCCGCTTGCCAGTGTTCATGCTCCACACAAGCCTCCATCTCTCTCATATCCTTCTATTCATTTCTCCCTCATACATGCATCAAGTTTTCCTCTTATACCTAGTTGTTTATTATCATTAATTGTTTGCCTTGGGACGTTCTCCCGACGTGAAAGGCGCCATACAAGTGTAATGTGTTGTTATTTCTCTTTAAATTATACCAATGATTAAGATGTAAAAGAATTGTTGAAACTGCCACTGGTTTCTTTAAAAGTGTAGGAGCATCATATTTACACATGGTTTGCATTCTGTTCTATTTTTAGTTCACTGAGTACATAATGAAATATTTTTTAAATTTTTTTAGGATTGCTGGAGCCATGTAAATGCGAAGAAAGGAGTTTTGCCCAAATTATGGACATTGCTTAAAGAAGGTGGCCGGGGCTTGGCGACTGTTGTCTATCCTAGTCTCTTGCCATTTATCAGCAAACTACCCGAAGAAGTAATTGGATCAAAGATGGATTTTTTCACCATTTTCTTCAGTACATTTAACAAAGGGTATGATTTGATTATTGAGTGCTTCCACTAAGGTGATGCTTTCTAAATGCTTTTAGTGGATGCTCAACGTAGTGTTTGAAGTAAAATATCATTGCCCTTTCAATTTGACCAACAGGATATGGGGATCAACTGCATGAGGCTTGAGATTTTGTTTTTAAAAGCCACAATTAGAACAGATCACATTTTTCACAAACTCCACCAATTTTAAGCTCTCCCTGTCGCTACTTCGTGTGAAGGAACTATAGAAATGCAAGTTGTTATTTGTAACCAACTAATTTTTAAAACAATATTATAGTTATTATTAATAATATCTGGATGTTTATACATATACCTAACTCACCACTCCTTATAGCTTGTCACTGAGCTCTTTTCCCTAGGAGTGACGAGTTATCAGGAGTTTATTGTATTCCTGTTGATCGACACTCTGCCACATCTAAGTTGTTCCAAGGGTGAGGCATGGTAATATTGTTTCTTTGTTTGCTCCTTGCCATCCAATTCGTTTTCAGTAAACAAGTAGTGAACCATTATGATGCATTTTCCTGGAGTATTTGTTTAATTTTACATTATTCATGAAATAATCATAACTGTCATGATTCTATAATCAACAATCTTTCAAGTAAAACTTCAGAAAATTATGCCTTTGGTCCCTCACCAGGGGCACCATTTTGCACATCATCACCTGGCAAGCTCAGGTCAATACAAATACATATTCTTGTCCAGCACTTGGCACCTGTTTCACAGGCTGTACCGGATGAGAGTGACTCGATATTGTGCTTATCACTTCAGCTGATCTGGAGGCAAAGTGAAGGGAAGTAGAACGTGAGAGATTCCTTAACTGTCTTAACACAATTAAATACATTTTTTAATAAATGGGAATAAGCTAGATAAACATTTTTAAAAATTAGTCATTTCTTATTTCTTACATTTTCATCACATTTTCGGTAGGGGACTGTAATTAGAATTTTGAAACTTTTTTAAAATCATGCTGAATAAGGTTAACTTTTGATAGTGGTTTACAGACAGTTTTGAGAATCTATAGAGTATATGAATACATAAGAATTAACAACAGTATGTGTTTTAGTCAATGATATTTATGTATTTATGCCCTAAGGTTAGTGAGCGATCGTGCAGCAGTAAGCTGCTCGGAGAGTTCAGCAATTGTAACTGCATTTATGGAATGCTTGCGCTTCACTTTACACCAGAACTTGGGAGAGGATGAAGATCAACATAAACTCCAACAGATGTTAATAAACGATCAGGTATGTAAGGAGATCAGTAGATATAGAAGAAATGAGCATTGAGCACCACTTTATATTGAACACCACAAAATAAACTGTTAATTCACTTTACAGTATATTTTGTGAAGTGCTTTTGAGATGTCTTGACTTGATAAAGTGCTATGTCAAATGCAAGCATTATTATTAATATTATTTGTGCTCCATGTTATACATGCTCCGCATGTAATACCACCTTTGACTTTTTTTTATTTTCTCCCTTTCTTTTCCATCTCACTGTGCCTTGCACTGTTTCTTACTGAGAGTGGGCAGCAGCCTGTTTCCAGGCAGATTCCATTTTATATTGGCCATCGGGAAGTGTAGGAAGGATGTTCCAACAACAGCATAGATGAGATTCCTGTTTTTGCTTTGTAGAACTTTTGGCCTACTTTCTACCACTATGATACGAGCCTCCTAATGTACTTATTAATTTAAATTTGCCTTTACATTTTCTTTATAAAATATATCTATTATGGTGGGTGTTCTTAGTCTCTATGATGATTGTTCAGTTCTATAAGGAAACAGAATGATGCCTGGATTGAAGTGATTTAGTGAAGAAGCTAGAAAAGGCAAACTGAGGCTGTACTCTCTTGAATAAAGGAGGTTAGGAATGATCTGATCGAAGTGTTTAAGATAGTAAAGGGAATTGACAGAGTGGATAAAGAGAAACTCTTACTTATGATCGCAGAATCCAGAACAGAGGCATATAATATAAAAGCTAAAGGTAGATCTGATAGTAGAAAAATCAGAAGCTATTTTGAACCAGAAAGTTGTGGTATTGTAGAATTGAAGAACTGTGAATGCAAAGTCAGTGGAAATGTTTAAGAGGGAAGTAGATAAATATTTGACTTGTCAGGGTATTGGGCGTAGAGAGAAACGGCAGGCAAGTAGTACTGAGTTACAGATCGACCGTGAACTAAGAAAATTGCGGAGCAGGCTTAATGGATGAATGGCCTATTTCTAATACTACATTCTTGCAAGCTAATACTACAGTGTTAGTAGCTGGATTATTGGCAAACAGTTAAATATTTACTCAGAAAAAGTGGAACATTTTTTAAGTAAGGAATATAAATGTCTCAGAAAAAAAGAATGACTGCTGTTCTTGTTTAATTTCTGAAAAAAAATGTTTTTCTTTAGCTATTGCCCCTTTTACAATTTACATTGAAGACCCCCAAGCTCCAAAATGGGACATTCTGCCATCTAGTAGATATCCTTACCTCTTGGGAAAAACGAGTGGATAATCCTGAAATAGAAGAGTGCGCAGGTGCATACAGAAAACTGCTGTCTATCTTCTGGGATGGTCTTTCTCAACTTTGCTTGTCTCAAGTCGCCAGAATGGATACGGATAAAAATCTTTTAGATGGTGTCTCTTCTTTACTCCAGTTTTTGGAGAATCCTGTGAGATCTAGAAAACAGTCCGTGAAAAAGAAAAGAAGCATCAGATTTCTGGATGAAGCCGAAACTAAAGATGGTGAAAATAACATTGCAAATCGTATAGCAAAGAATGTGCATGGATGTGAACAGCTGTCAGTAACTTCTAGGCTTGTTCAGCAGAATAGCCCTTCCAGAACTGAGCCTTTGGAAAGCCTAGTCCATGAACTTGCCAAATTGGCCATGACATTTATCAAGGAACAGAACTCAGAAAAGCATTTGGAGTTCCTCATTGGACTGACTAGCTTATTTCCATCAAGGAAACTATTTATTGTATTACTGGAAAATGTTGATCCAGTGAGTCCTGGGCTTTTCCTTGAAACAAATGATGAAGTAAAAGCCATGGCGAACAATCCTGCTGTACAATTTCTGTATCAGAAACTAATCTTCTGGTTTAAAGAATCGAGAGCTGATTTAAATTGTTTGGTTGATATGCTCTATAGCGTTCTTCACTGCTGCAACAACAACCAGGAAAGGAAGGTGATACTGAACCAAATTTCCGAGGTAGGTGTTGAATAGTTAACTTTTTTGTTAGTGTTACTTTTTTAAATGTTAGATTGACAGGATTCAAATTCAGCCTATCACAACAATTATTGATTGAAATAGAAGGAAATATGGTTTTGTAACTTGGTTTGTGCAGTTTAATGACTGGCAGGATTACAGGTATCTATGAAGTAGGTACTCATTGTTTGATGCTAACTGAGATAACCTCTAACTAGTCTTTCAACTAAATTGCTGTTGGATTAAACTGGGATCTTTGGGAATCAATCATTAGAGTTGAAATCAATCAAGAGAGGATCAACTTCAAGATCCTCACCCTTGTCTTCAAATCCCTCCACTCCTCTGCACCCCCTACCTCTCTGACCTCCTCTCTCATCACAACAGTGCCCGTTGCCTTTGTTCCACCTGGTCTGGCCTCCTCCTTGTCCCCCGAGCTCTCCACTCCACCCTCAGAGGCCGTGCTTTCAGCCACGATACCCCGAGGCTCTGGAACTCCCTTCCTCACTCCCTTCACCTCGCCCCCTCTCTTCCTATTTTCAGGTCTCTGCTGAAGACCTTTCTTTTCGACCGCGCCTTTGGTCACCTTCCTCCCCATGCCCCCGGCTCGGCCCTGGGGTCCGTTACTGTGAAGTGCTCTGAGGCGCCGCCCAGCGTGGAGGGGGCTATATAAATCCCAAGTTGTTTTTAAAGAAGAGAAAGTTTCAGTACAGCAGGAGGCCATGCTGCTCATCAAGTCTGTATATAATTCTGTGTAATCAATACTGGGTAAAGATAGTGTTCTGTAAACATTGCTTGGATAGATTAACCAGCCAAAATTTAAATGATGTAGATTGTAAGATTCGATTCATCTGGGGATTTTATAGTTACCTTTGGCGGTCAAAGAATTGCTAGAGTTTATCACTTTAGATGGTCATTCATCTTTCTCAAGGGGTCAGTGGTGACGAAAATTATATACTTGATATTCAAAAGAGCAAGCTTGATGGGTAACTGGACTTCTTTTACCAAAAAAAATTGGTCACTCAATCCACGACTGTTTGTGGGGTACTGCTGTGCACCATTGGCTGCCGCGGTTCGCCCCCAAAATACACAGTCAATATATTTTACAATATATTCTGTGAAGCGTTTTGAGTCATCTCAATGACGTGATAAGGCACTGTATTAAATGCAAGCATTATTATTATTCCAAATTCTATGTTCCAGTCTTGCTAAATCATTCTTGCTTCTGACCAATATGATCCAGTTTGACTTTCTCAATGAACTGCCTGAATGATACTGCTTCACCAATATGATGGACAATGATAGCTAAAAAATTGTGCTAGAGAGATAGTCATGAAAATTATTGAATTAGTTGTGTATGCCGCAAATACAAAACTGCATCAGTGACATTGATTACTTTGCAGTGTGGCCTTATTAGGAGTATCTCCTCATATCTTTAACTGCCAAAGGAAAACCTTCCAGAAATCTCTTGGATGTCACAGAAGCACTGCCAAGTAATGTTTTCTTGACAAGATGTTATCTCAGAATTTTCAATGCTCTTATTTTATTAACATTTTAGAATATATTTTAATTCTGTTGCACATGTATGCTGGAATTTCCAGTGCCTAGAATATTGCATGGATGTTGTGTTAATACAGTACAGTCAGTACCTTTTCATTAAGGCATATTTACTTTTTCTTGCAGATGGAATGTGGGTGGCTTATCTTGCTTCAGATCATACAAAAGGTATCTTTTTTATTTGTTGCCCTTAAAGTTTTGAAGCATTTCATGTATTTTATCTTATATTTTGCATTGGAAGCTAAGTGCACACCATCAGCCATAAATAAATGTTTGATATGAGAGAATTAATGTAGTAAACTTTGAATACATTTTATGAAAAAGATAGATCTCTGGACTGCACTGTTAAAATCAACCAAAGGCTGAAAAATATCCTAGTAGTATAATTTGATAACTACCTTTTTACATTACTGAACAGCACCCAAGCTCAGTTTCTGCTACAGAGGAAGCTGTTCTGTTGCTGTTTCGATGGAGACATTTTAGCCATTCATAGCCTTAAACCTATCATTCTTAATTCAGACATCGTCCTGGATGAGAGACAATTTTCTCCATTTGAATGTTGATAAGACCAAGTCCCTCCTGCTTGGCTCCACACCTCAGGTGCTGAAAGCATCACTCTTCATGGATGCACTCTCCACCTCATCGAGCCAACACAGAAACTCTGTGTCTTATTCAATGCTCAATTGTGTTTTAAACCCCATATCCATGCCATGACCCGTTCTGCCTTCCTCCACCTCTGCATCATTGCCCAACTCTGCCACTGCCTCTCCCTTCAGGCTACCGAGACCCTTATCTTTGCTTTCATTACGTCCAGGCTAACTCCCTGCTTGCAGAACTTCCCAACTCTTCCCTTCACAATCTGCAGGTTATGCAGAACTCTGCAGCTCATGTGCTTCTACCGCACTAATAATAATAATAATAACCCTTGCATTTGATATAGCACTTTTCACGTCTTCTTGACACCTCAAAGCGCTTCACAGAATAGACTGTAAAGTGAATTGACTGTATATTTGTGGGCGAAACGCGGCAGCCAATTGCACACAGCAGCGTCCCACAAACAGTCATGGATTGAAAATGACCATTTGTTTTGTTTTGGAGGGATTATTATTAGGCGTGACCACTAACTCCGTGACCTGATCACCCCTATCCTCAACTCCATCCCAGAACGCTTCCGCCATGCCCCTCCCTTGTCTCATTCAAGGCCTGTCTCAAGACCTTACTGTTTGACTGTGCCTTCGTCATCTTCCCACCCCCACTCCCCCTTGCCCTCCACCCCTGATTCCAATCTCCAGCTCGGGTACAAACCCTTCAATGACAGCGCATTGGGCTGTCCTCCTGATGTGAAAGGCGCTCTATAATTGCAATGTGTTGTTAACATAAATGTGATTTGAATAAATCATTGCAATTCCCTAATGAAATAACATCCTAGTATTTACACTAACTCCAAATTAAAAAGAATTGTGCTTTCTCTTTTAATTCTTGTTTCACATAAGTTTTTTAAATATTGATTGCTATCTTATTTGGGGAGCTATTTTGGAGAAGTTCCTATGCCTCATATCTGTGAGAGATGACTCAGTTTTGCTAGGTTGTTATTATAGCGGATGCTTGAATTCAGGTAGTTGATCTGGTTGAAACTGCATACTCATCTCTTGAATTTCTAACATTACATTCAGGCATGTGCGGACCCTGCAAAGTATGCTGCTGTTTCTGATTGGCTGAAAGGAGAAATACTAGGAGAGAAGCTGGTTGTATTGACAGAAGAACTCTGTACAATGGGAATAACACACAGTACGCAACCAAACGATGGTGGCGCACATAGTTGGATTCTGCTTAGCCTGGCTTTATCTAAACGTATTAATAATGGTGAGTACACAATAGGTACTTACCCAGTGAAATGGAGATCCCTTAAGGGCTTTCTTTGCATTACCAATCTATCTCGAATTGCAACTGAAAACAAGTGCATTCTGAGTCTTTGGAGCACTTATTTTGCCAATAATGGATGATTAGCACAGAAAAGTTTGTTGAATAAAGAAAAGTTTGTGTTTACTCACAAGACCTCTTTTGCAATATGAAAAAACAACGTATTCTTCATTTATGATGGTATTCCCTCAGTTGGTAGAGATTGTTCTACATCAGATGATGAACCAGGCCCTGAACAAGCTTAAGTTTCAACAAAAGTGGCACTGATGATTGTCTGATGTGCTATTGTGAAAAATCAACATTCCCAATGTTCCCACATACTTCATGTATGCACGTGTGGAATTATCCAACAACATTGCATAAAAAGAAATGGCTCGTAATTATGGAAGAATAAAATGTCAGGCATACTCTTCAAAAAGCTGGCTCAAAATACTGTTGTTTCTTTCTTCATAATAGTATCTGGTATTTTATTGATTTCATTTGTTTATTGATTTTTTTCATAAAACACTATTTTGCCTGTTATTTGTTTACATTTTATTTGGACGAGGGGGAATGGTCAATATTGGTAATCCTGTATTTCAGATTTTGTTGTTTCTTTCTTGAGCTCCAACTAATTACACAATCACTCACATGTTAAATGTGTAGCGACAAGAACTTTTAACAGTTGATATAGTACAAATTAAACTGGGTGAAAATTTTACATTCATTGACAATTTTCCAAAAGCAAGGATGATTCATTTTAGGGTTCCAATATTTAGATCTCTAAAACCAAGGAACATTAAATATTTTTTTACAATTTCTGAATAAACTGTTTCTTACCCTGCTTAGAATGGTTGATTTTGTATTTTGTGAGCCTGGAAGGCTGTAGGTAGCATTTGAAGTTTCTTTGGGGCATATATTTTTTTAAAAACTGAAAGAAATCTTAACACTTAGACATAATATTACTTTACCCCAAAACCTTCAACTTATATATGCCATTTCAGCAATGTTGTTAATCAGTCATTTTCTCTTAAAGCAGTCTATATTAGGTGACATATGAGCTGTTCGCTATTATGGTCTTATCTCTGTCTTATTTTGTATAGATCTGCTCCCATTTCTGTCTGCAGCTCACCCACTTGGGAAATACGAGAGATGCAGTGTTTACTCTATATTGTAACTCAATATCTCACATTTCAAACAACAATCATTAAAATGTCACACCATCTTTTCCATCTGTCAATAAATTCAGCAATAGAAGGTCACTTTTTTAATCTCGATTCTGCAGCTTTAGCACAAAAAAATCTGGAATAATATGTAACCTTTTATATTCCTATTTGTTATTTAATGCTGGTAGACTGATTGACAGGACCAGCATAGTAATGAGTACTTTCAAGCACCACCATAAGGCTATTAATGACCGGAACTGTAAAATGAGTAATCAAGATGGCAGGTTGATTTCACTCTTTTTTCCTGCAGATGCCTGTTAAATGTAGTTATTATTTCTCTTGGGGATCCATAAAATTAACTCACAGATATTACTCTGTTGGCCACTGTAACAGATAGATCGACCACTATTGACGTAATGCCCTATATTTATGGGATAACTAAATTCAATGTAAAGAAAGAGTGGAAGGGAGGAAACTAAGAGAACAAATCTTTCATAATGGGTTTGAACATGGCAGTCTGCAGAGCTTTCTAATTCATTGTGTTGAATGTACTCATAATACACCAATCCAGATTGATTTAATGTTTCTCTGTTGCCCAAGTGGAAAATGTACTTACAAAATGTGTTCTTTTTGTATGTACATGCAAAAGTCATCAGTAACTAGACGTATGTTAGCTGTGACATCTGAACAAAGAAGTCCTGACGTGTGGATCATGAAACTGAAGAAGAAGCAAAAGGGGATAAAAAGCAGCTTACTGAGAAGTTCCTGTCATCCCAATACCTCTCTTAGTGTACATCGATTAATATAATAATAATGCTTACATTTGATATAGCTCCTTCTCACATTGTTGAAGTGTTACAAAATGCTTCACAGGATAGTGAATTGACTTTGTATTTTGTGGGCAAAACACTGTGATTGAACTACTAAACTGTCCTGCACTTGAGAAGTTCACAATATCACTGCAGAAATAAGAATATCTGATGGTGCTTTTATGATGCTTATCCCAGGATATTCATTCATCTATCATCACAGATTTTATACAGTAGTGCTAAATCCATCAGTGTTATCTTTTTACCATTTAGTGTGTTGCATTTCAAGAACATCAGATTATGGTATCAAGAGGTTCAATGTAACGAATAACCTGTAGTAAGTACAGTGTAACCAGTAATACAGCATTTGCGATGTGACATAGTATTTAATTTTACTCTTTTTTTTAACAGAATTCTTGATTGCTGAAGTTTATATAGAAAGGATAATTGAAAGACTACATAATGCCCTATCCAAAGCGAATGACTTGTCAAAAACTGGAACCCAGGAGCCATCGATTTCCTTCGTTTGTGATTTGGCTTCTAATTTTTTCTGTTCCATAAAGGGCTGTTTGCAAATGTCATCAGCTGGGGATCTTCTTCTCACAATCTTCCAGCTCTGTGCCCAAAGCCAGGAGAAGACACTTCTCTCAGGTGAAGCTCAATATTATTACATTTGATTTTATATATTTTCAAGCATATTTTATTTTTTATATTTGTATTTTAATTCTCAGCATGCGTGATGGTGTCAGAATTGCCTCAGATCACATTTGCACTGCAAGATTGGCAGTGAATTGACATTTCTTGGTGATTTACCACAAAATGTCTAATATAAACGCAGCATCAAATACATTGTGGGAGTAGTGTGTGTACATGTACTGAGGTGAAAGTACGTTGCATTGATTAAAATGATTATTTTAGCAGTGCTTTTGAAGTTGTGCCATGAGCTTATTCATTCTATTTAGACTTAAATATAAAATTCACTGTTTCAGTACCAAAATTAAATGAGATTCTTATCATGATTTTGTACAGCATGCATATTTTACTGGCATCCAAAATGTTTCATAGCAAAGCTTGTATTTTGTAATCAGCTTTGCAAAATGTCATCCCATTGTTTGATCGATGCAAGAAATGTTTCGGGTGTGGGGTGGTCAATCTGGTTTCATATTATTCGTAATGTAATGAATTTAGTTGGATTGGATTTACGTTATTTAAAGAAGGATATTCTGTCATACAGTAATGGTTTGTTGCTGTCTGTTATCCACTTACTGCCCATTTCTAACATTTTTAAAAATCTTTGAGTCCATCTATGTATGATGAGTAAATATTTATAGTGCAATTCACATGACTGAAATATGAATACTTTTATTTTGTTGTAATACACATTAAACATACAATTACACACAACATTTGAGTAAAGTACCAATATTTTAAAATAATTACTCAATAAAATTCTTCAGTCTTTTTAGTCCTATAGCTCGATAGGAATAATTTACAAGATTGCCACTTCCACATTTGTATGTAACTGGATCCACATGCATATCTATATATATATTTATAGTATAATTAGAAATGTAACTCCTCTTTCATCTTCCCCCACTAAAAAAAGGCTAAAGATTGCCACCTCACAATTTTCTAAATTATAATTTTTTTTCTTTACTTTTAGCACAATAACCATTTAAATAGACACCAAATTTGAAATAATTGTAAAGTACAGCTTTATTATTACTTCGTAAAACACAATACTACGGGGAGTTTTTGTAAATTATGAAATGGACCTGTTGGGACAAATGGCCTGTTTCTGTGCCATATCATTCTATGTAATTCTGTCATTGATGTAAAGCTTCACTTATGTCTGAAAACCAGGGAAGCCAGTTGTGAAACGATAGGAGCAAGTGATAGGAGAATTAAGGTTGTGAGATGATTGAGTTATATTTGTAGCTCTAGTGGAGGCTGCTGCAGAAAAAGCCCCTTTATTACCAGTAGTAATTGAAGGTAATTATGTGTGCCTGAAATTATTTGTCTTGTGTTTGTGATTAACCCTATGGAGTGATGAATTAGCTTCAACAGTGCCGTTGGACCATAATGAAGGCCAAACATTATGTGAACAAGGCATGATAACTCCACAGACTTTCACAAGTTAAATCAGATACAGTATATTTTACGTAAATCATGACTGACTGTTCATTGCAATGTTTTGTTAAAGCATTTGTCTCTTGCTCCACTTGTGCTCATCTCGAGAAATATGTACTATAGTTTACAAATTATTCCACTTAGAGCAGCAGTAATTTATTCCTGCAAACAAGCATTTCAAGGATACAGAGAACAGCAGTGCATGACAAGTATCAGCTTGTTTTGGTCCTACAGTGGTATGAAGAAAATAAACTACTATCTTTGGTAGGATTCTTCAATGTGCAAAGCACATATAAAATTCTAATTTAACCACGGAAGGGGGGTTAATAGCATCCCATGCCATGCAGTAAACATACATTGGTCTTTTCTGACAGTGAAGATTATGACACTTGACCAAAAAAGGCTTACTTGATTGCAAAGCTTTGTATTACTATTTGAAGCCAAATTAGTGATTTGAAACATCATTAATTGCACAACTAAAATTTCTGCATTTTAATAGCAGATCTCAGTTACAATTTGGCTGCCCTTTACTTGTAAACTAATGTTAAAAATCATTGTACAATTATCACTACAGATAATATATCAACATTAAATGGAAAGGCAAGTGCAAATAAATGCAATCTTATTTTCTACTTTGACACAAATGATAATTTTTTAATTAAAATGTTACTATCACGGATGTACCACAAGTTTAAGCAAAGCCTTCAGAGTATATAGGACATTTAAATTTTTCCTGAACCTTATCCATATTTTTCCTTATCCATATTTTTGTCATTACTTATGAAATAGACAAGTACAGCCATGTCACTTAAATATGTAACTGGAGTTATTTAACTGAACCCCAGATAATATTAAGTGCACTTTGCCACTATTTCTCTTGCTCCACTAATAGTTCAGAGACAATTGAAGCAGGTCCCTATCTAACTGACAGTTATTTCAAATGTGAAATAACCGTAAGTGGCAAATTATGTTGGCTCCACGTTTTTTGTATTTTAAAAGATATAATTACTCCTTATGAATTGGCCCACTGATCATCAGAAATAATTTGTTTCCCAGACAGTGTCAATTACCAGGAGCCTGCTGAGAATGTAGAGCTGAAACAGCTTTAAGATTGTTTTGCTTATAGATGGAATTGGTCACTTGGAAATATGTAGAGAAAATGTTGTGTGCCATGAATCGTGTCACAAAGAATGTTGTCCTTTGATTATGTTGCACATTCACATTTGGTTAAAAAGTGTGATCCTTCTGTTATAACGGTAGTGAACAGGTGAAACTGATATTGTATGCATCCCAACAGAAATATAGATTGTATTCCTCAAAGAGATGGTAAAGGGATGTTTGTCCTTGATAGTTCTATTCCTAGATGGCACAGAACATGATCTTTGTAGAAAATAAGCGCTGGGAGCAATAGAGTGCCTGTAGAAAAGAGAACAGAAGAGAAATGATGTTGAATTCACAGAAGTGGCTTTGTCTTGATGTTTCTGTGGCAAACTGGAGTGCTGGCCCTGTGATACAATGCTGGCCCTGTATTTGAAATCCTAATTCCTTTTTAAGTGAGGAATGACTGCAAGAGGTTGCTATGGTTGTGCTCAAAAAAAGCAAATGACTGTTTTAGTGAAGAATCTGGATGTTCACCCATGCACTACATAAGCTTTGCTGTTGAGCGGTTTTCCCTGGCACACATTTTTATTATGTACATAATCATTTAAAGTGTTTACTCATGTTATTCCTAAACAGGTCTTTTCAAATTTGGTTTGTTTAAACACTTTGTGTAAAATGATTTATTTAAAAAAGGGTAATTGTTGGCTTTTTTCTTTAACACCCTTTCCTTGTGTTGTGCATCAATCCACAGCCAAGGGAATGCACAAATGACCTTTTCCTCAGACTTTGTCAGTGTTGCTGTGGAACCAAATAGATAGTAGATCCACGAAAGTGACTCAAGTTACATGATTTGTGACTTCCTTTCTGCTATGGCGAAATGCCTTTTTTTTACTTTACACCACCTCCATATAGCCCAGTTGACAGCTAGAATGAACTGTATGGGAAATTAGCACAAGTGTGAGCCTTGCTATCTGTAATGCCACAGATTGTTTCCCTGGTGCATTAAAAATCATTTGGCAATAGGTTTTGGAATTGGCTTTTTTAAAAGTCAGATACAATTGAGATTTGATCAGGACACTGATTCATTTCCTGTATCTTGTACTGTATTTATTTAATAGAGTAGATTGAATCATGGAATATTTTGGTTGCTGGAGGGGTGTTCCAGTTAAGAAACTTATATGTTTCTTTAAGGTGGACTTATGCTTGTTAAGAAAAGAGATGACTGTGCTGGCAACATTAAATCTTTATCATGCTGTCAATTGATGACGAATTTCGGGTCTTGTTCAATACAAGTTAGATTGATAGTGAATATGCCCAAAATACTGTAGTAAAATTTGATCAACATATACATTTTGTAATGTACACAAGATATATATGCGATGTACATAATTTGTGACCTAGATCACTGAAATTTGGATCTGTAACATAAAAAAAGGGTCGTTCTGATCTTGAAGAGCAACTGTATCATAGTCGTACATGGGCTTATTCTTTGAAACATATTCAAATCTAATACATAATTTTTGTCGTCTATCAATTACAGTTATTGTATAACGAGCGTTCTAAAGAGCAACTTGAGAAAGCAATCTCCATTACAGGGAAAATAAAAACAGTGAATTCTGAAATAAAGCAATTTTTTCTGAAAATCCACAGCAGGTGAATCTACATTTGAAACTGACTAATGTTTTGGGTAAAACGGTCATCAGTTTTGATAGGAACATAGTGATATGTTGAACCAGAAAAAGCAATTTGGTCTGTCTGCCTGGCTGTTCTTGGTTTCAGGGATCTACTCCAAAAGTTAATCTTTCTTCAAGTACAGATGTGGATTAAAGCGCTGTGTGTTTATAACATTTTTGTTTTAAACTACAGTATGGCTTCTTGTTTTAAACTAAATACAGTCTGGTTTCTTGTTTACCTGATTCTAAAAGGGTAGCGGACCTTTGCGGGAGAGTTTAGGTCGGATACGTTTGTTTTCTCTCGTAGTAGACCGTTTGCAACCTGAACATCGAATGACACGGTTTACTGATTCACTGATATCTTCTGCTGGCTGTATTTCTGCCCAATGTGCAAACTGCTGGACTCCTAACAAAGGAATAAATGAATCCGTCAGGGTTTGGTAGCTTGACCGTTTCTGTGACTGAAAAAGCATTATCAATCCAGCAATGTCAGCAAAGGAACATATGCAGTAGCTGTTACTCAGCAGATTACCATTCTGTAAAATGTTAGCCTTAGAAATGTGGCTGTTAACTTCTAAATCCTAACTATTGAATGAATCGAATCTAACGAAAAGACGCTAAACATAATGATTAAGACATTCATTTAACTTTGGATCAGTATCAAGTGCTGCCTTTGCTATAGCCACAAGATGATTGCTTTCAAAAACTGATGTTATTCTGTGTGCAGTAAAATTATTTAGCACATAATTTAAAGTGTCATTTATCTTAAGCTGCATTCATAGTAATTATAATTTGCATTCAGTGCACCGTAAAAATGTTACTTTTTTTGTTAAAAATGCAGTACTTACCTTCACATTCTGTAGTCATTGTTATCAATAAGGTTAGAAGAAGAATGATGTATTTAACGTTCATTATTTTGATGAATGTGAAATTCTCAGTTACCAATACTGTAAAGAAATGTTCACCACCATATTTGAGATAATCTCTATGACTCCCTTCATTGAATACCAGCAACAATTTTTGCTTGAGCCCAGATTGAAATGATCTGCAGGCAGTTTCACTGTTATGTGGATAGCAGTTCAGTCAATCATTCAGACCACGTAGATCACAGCCTATTGAATTAGTGTAATGCACATTAAACCATGCCTCTTAGTTCTCCTCGGGAACTGCAAACCATTAAAACTCCTATGCCTCTGCTTTGCCAGGTTTTGCTGCAGTGGAAATGCATGTTAATGCTGACGGGTTATCTATATAAAACTTAAGGGACTCTGCATTTGCCAGCACTAAATAACATGAATTTTTTTTTATTAAAAAGAAGGATTTCCAGCATTAATCTTATTAAGTAGTTGATTTATTTAATTGTCAAGGATAAAACTATTGAAGAAACATAAAACAGATTATTGCTGTCTAATGCTGTTAACATATCTGCCAAGTAGTATTTTAGATCCATTTGTCATGCTGCAAGACTAACTAGTTTTCCATTCAGTTATATGGAAAGTGAAATGGCAAATTGGAACCTTCCACTGTGAATGGGCTTTCACGTATCTGAGTTTACTATAAGGTGGATTTGCATCTTTTATCATCATTTTCTTTTGTGTTTTGCTAAGTATGGTACAACCCAGTTATATGGCGATTCACTGGACCTCGATATTTATTTGCTCCAAATATCCAAAATGAGTGTGCCGGCTCCATTGGTACTTCAGGAAGCCAGCCAGCGCACGAATAGCTGACTTCCACTAATGGTTGTCACTAATGCCACTTCTTGCGTGTTACGCATGCTTGGCGCACATAGAGTGACTCCTGAGACTCAATAACCCAAAGATCAGATAGTGTGTTGCTGGTATTTGTGTGTACGAGCTAGCTTTTTGAAGCTCTGATGGAGCTGACCAGCTTTCTGTACATATACACAGTGAATGTGGAAGTCCTGACTGATGATTGTGTCCCATTATGGTGCTGGTTATGATTGTAAGGACCCGAACAACTGTATCACAAGGGAGCTGCAGTGCATATCATATGATGTGCTGTACGGCTTTGCCACTTATTTCATTTTTTATTGCTGTGTGTGTATGCGTGTGTATGTGCCGATTGATGTGAGTGCGTGTTTTTTCAATTGGCTCCCATAGCTGTATGTTTGTGTGTCTATTGATGTGTGTGTGTATACCCATTGCTATGTGTGTGTGTCCATTGCTGTGTGTGCTTACTGTTTGTGGGACACTGCTTTGCGCAATTGGCTGCCGCGTTTCGCCCACAAATATACAGTTAAACGTGAAAAGCGTTATATCAAATGCAAGGATTATTATTATTATTATTTTAAAGCATTTAAGATGCCTACTATATGAGCATTCAGAAGTTACTGTCATCGTTTACCTTGCATTGACTGCACAACTCAACATTTAGTCATTTCATAAAGCTTTATTTTTCATCCTTGATGTCGTTAAATTGGGCTTATGTGTATTTGTCTCCCTTTTATTAAGCCCTGTTTTGGGGTGAGGGTCATTTTGTGCAACTTATGTATATAGTGGCCTTCAGTTTGATTATACAAATACAAATATAGCCAAAGTGGTTCATAGTGCAAATAACATAGTTCCAGTCTTGCATTCACTATATAGGTCTGCACATATTGCTACAATACACTAATTGTCGCAAATAACATTTCAGCAAGTTTACCATTTATGTATGTAGCTGCTTATTTTGCCAGGGAATTTTTGCAAATTCAGGTATATTGTGTCCAGGAAAATACAGTATTTATATATAGATGGAAACTCTTGATTAAAAGTGTAGGCCTTTATTGATCTCACTTGTCATTCTAGAGCTTGATATCTGCTGCAGATTCATTTGTTCTTTAATGCTTATGCAATTGAAAAGGTAATCTTGGTTTTAATCCATCTAGAAAAATAAAATATTTATAGTCTTCACAATGATTAGTATTTGATTTCAGTAAAATTTCAACTTCAGTGCTTTATTGAGTATTATAATGGTGTAAACAAATAGGTAAACTGAGTTATATGCTTTGATTCATTTTCTTTGACTCCCAAGAGAGTTTTGGATGATTCAGGTCCTTTTAATTCATTTTGCAAGGTCACGAAAAGTTTGAATGAAGAAGGCACTTCAGCATGTTTGACGTCATCCTTCCAGAATCGCCATCCAACTGCCCTCCCATTACAGTATTAAGCCATTTCTTAAATGGCTGCATTCTCATATCTTATATTGTCCTTCCTGGTAATTTGTTCCAACTGTTGATAACAGCCTGTGTGTTTTTTTAAAAACTGCTTCCTGATGCCTGTCCTAAAATTGCCTCTCACAACCTGTGAACTCTTATCATGTTGCTTTAGATATTAGAAAGTGTTGATCCAGACTTGCTTTTATCTTTTTTTACTCTCTTAAGTACGTCTATAAGGCCCCTAGTGAGGCTGAAGAACACTACCTCATCCACTCATTCTTAACAGCGCATCCCTCTGTCAATGTGCTGAGCCTGCACATGTCATTTATGTACACTAAGTCTTAGTACTCCCATTTCAACCTCACTCTCCTTGTAACTACTCTGCTTCCTTTTAGCCAGTTACTAATCCATGAGCATGCCTTATCATTAAAACCCAGTGCAGTTTTTTTTAAAGCAATGTCTTATGTGGTTATTTATCAAAGTTCTAGACACATTGTCATGTGGCTTAAGTTGTGTTAAGGCCAACATGAATTTGGCCTGGCAAAATATATCTGTTGTGTGGCTGGAATGTATGAATTCTTATTCTTACATTATTCCACTTTGCTTCTGATCATTTACTTCTCCTATTATTGAAGTCATGCTTATGGACTGTAATTGACAGGTATGGCTGTCACCGTTGAATATGGAATGACATTGGCTTGTTTCTTGTCATTTGGAATCTCTCCAATGTTAATTGATTTTCTCACAAATCTTCTACTTTGTCTCTTTAAGAACCCTACTGTGTCCATCTTAGAGGATTTATTGTTCTTTCAGGTGCATTGAGAGCCTATCCAAAAGCTGTGTGTCTATAATGTCAGTTCTGTAGCTCATTCAGTGTGTATTGAATGTTTGAACAGGATAATGTTAGTGTTCTTTCTATTGAAAGATCTCTTAGCTGTAGCAATTTCATTAGGAACGTGCAGAAAAGAGAATTATAGGCCATCTGGCCAGGAATACAGTCTTCTGTTTGCTTTATTTTCAACTCCCTTTGGGTTTCTTAGAATTTTAACTTCCTTTTTTTACAGACTCAAGTGTGCAGTTATTATTCACTGATTTTCTGCTTCATAATGGTAGCTACTAGTGAAAAGACTACATCGCCTTTTACACTCAATGGATTTTCAATTTTATCAAAATATCAAGCATTTTTCCTGGTTTTAAGACCATTGTCGAACATTATTTTGTTTCAATTCCACTTTAAGGTTTTGATAGAATGATTCATCTGTACAGCTTATTAATAATGTTAACTGCCAAAATTGTACCCAGTTTAATTATACTTTTCATTTTAAAAAGTAAAAATGTGAATTAATGGCTTTCAAGAATAAGACATTGTATTTTAATATGTCATGTTAAATATTCATATAAATCCAGTAGATTTTGAAAGCATGTTGAACTACAAATTACAATCTTTATTAGTAATTAACCAATGAAAAGGTTGATAGATTATTCTGGAAGCTTCTTTGTTGGTTAACTACACAATTAAGGGTACATGTATGTGTTTGTCACTTGGTTAACATACTGAAAAAGAAAGTTGGGTTTTAGTTTTTATTTAAAAGATTATTCATTATTCGTTTTCCTAGATGTTGAACTACATAAACTACAGCAAACCTGGTTACTGGGATTAACATCATTGATCAGTCAACAAGGCGGATGTTTTAGAAGAGATGGTTTCTTTCATAACTCTGCATTGTGGGTGAAAAAACAAGTCCAAACATCAGAACTGGATATCAAGAGGTATCATTGATCATTCAATGCTTCCTTTAACTGCCTTTGTGTTAAAAAAATGTCTGTTCTAGTGCTGTAAGGATTCACCTCATAGATATTGGTTTCAACATACCTGTGTTTAAAACTACTGTTCAGTTACATGGCAAACTTGCTTTGGTGAAATATTGTAACACCGAATACTGGAGTTCTAACATTACAGTGAGTCATTATGGGTGAGAAAAAACTGTTTTGTATTCTGCGTTTGTGATGATTCCAATTATCATTCTCAAATTTGCAGCCAGAAGAACGAAACAAAGAAAGTGAATGAGTCCAGCTGTAGTGTGATGATAAGAATGTTGCCCCCAGTTAGTGGATTTTTCATTGCTTTCAACTATTTTATTTAAAACATTGTCAGGGATCAAAACTAAAATATCGTCACCATTTTGGAGGCTTCTACACTAATTAGAAGAATTGAATTTTAAATGTGATTTACATTGAGGCTTTTCAATTTGAATTATTATTATTAAAATAGTCAACATTCATTTATATATATTTATATATATTATAATTTATATATAATAATTTATATATTTATATATATTATATATATTATAATTTATATATATTATATGTAATAGTATAGTACTCAATTACACAGTTGTCAGATTAGGAGACTTGGCTTCAGATCCAAATCTCTATCATTTTTACAAGAAAGTGTCAAGTGAGTGGAGCATTGAGTGAAGGTGAGGTGTTAACCTTCAATAAGGGAGGGGTATGATTCCAGCACTTCTAAAGAAGAATCATATCATCCTCTGTGGAAGTAGGCCAGAATGTCAAAACTGCTCTGTTTAATTTCAGTAGAAGGCAATAAAGCTGGAGGAAGTGAAAGCAAATTTATTTTTCAAAAAAGTTAAAATACAATCCAAATATTTTTGTTAATAAAAGGAAGAAATCAGACCATGCGATATCAAATTTCAGTCATACAATATACATAAATAATTGTAATAATTTGTTATTGATGCCTTTGACAAATTACACTTGGTATACATGTACTGTACCATGAATTCATTGTTAATGGGCTGCACAATACCTGATTGTAATTTTCCACAAATGATTTATATTTGCAAAGTCCCAATAGGTGATGCTGTCATGTTGATGTGAATTGACAGGAATTTCAACTAATGTATTAAAAATCCTGACTAACCCAGCAGCTTTAAAGCAATGCAACTTAATGCTGTGCAGTCTGTTTTCGTCATGAAATACATTGAAATATTCTGTGAAACAAACAATGCTGAGGGAGATAGACTCATGTCTGTCACCTATGGGTTCTATTGATATTCAGAATTCACTCATGCTATGTATTATAGTGTGATGTTTTCGTTTTAATTTTTGTGAGATGTACTTGTATTCTCTTGCTGAGAAGTAACGTTGAAAAAACAATTGAATTTAAAAAGCTAAGCTAAGGTCAAAAACATGTGCTATTCTTGATGTAATTAATTTATTTTGGGGATTCTATTGTGTCATCAGACTTTTGCAAATGCAAATAATTATTGAAGCATTTAATTATAAAAAATATTTTTTTTTGTTAAGCCTTCAGATTCTTCTTTCGTGTGTTTGTGTTTTGCTCGATAATCTTCTCAAAGCCACCCAGTCTCCTGGTCATGTTCTACCAACTTTCCTGGAGTACATGGTACCGAATAAGTCGGAGTGGGAAAATCTGAGGCAAAAGCTTAATTCTCAAGTAAGAGATAAATATGCAGATTAATGTGCAAAATAATATGTACAATTTCACCTACTTAGCACCAATTCATTTTTTTAAATTTGGCTTACTATTAATTTCATCACTGGTTACAATTTGTTTACTCATTTCAGGAAATTAAACGGTCTGTGGATCAACCTGGTTCAGTTGGTAGCACTCTCACTCACCTCGGGTTGAGAGTTCAAGACCCAAGTTTTGAGCAGTCTTGCTGACACACCAGATTAGACATTAAACCAACACTTATTTTGGTAGAAGTTAAATCCAATTTCAAATTTTGTCATGGAATCTTTTAACATTCAACAGAACAGACAAGTGGGTGCTCTAACATCTTATCTAAAAGATGGCACCTCTAACAATGCAGCACTCCCTCATTGCTGCAATGGAATGTCAGCTGGACTACGAAGTAAAGTTCCACATAGGGCTTGAACATACTACACTTTTAGACCATACCGACTTAATTTTCTGCGTAAACACATTTTTAAATTAAACTTTCAACTGTAAAACTTAGTTTGATATTCTATAACTTGTATAGTTTGGGCTTTGTTAATTATTTGTTAATCAAATGTTTAAATATGTTAAGGTGCTTGACAGTAATTCTGTTTTGAAATAGTTTTGCTTGGTTCTTTATTTACACATAGTTTTCTACTTGTATATATCCTTTAGGATTGAAACCTACATTTTTATAAACAAAACTCTAAGAAGAGCTTGCCTTTCATGAATTAAAAAGAAAAAATGTTTGCTCTCTGAATGAAAAAGTTCTAAGTGTGTTTAAAGATCGATAAGAATATTTTTCCTGGTTAACAACTAAGTCTTCAGTGTATGCTTGGTTTGCAGTGGCTGAATAAGGTGCTTCTGAAAGGACAGATAAGTCTGAATCGGGATGCCTTGTGCACACGGATTGATAGCCATTCCTCTGAGAAGATACCAAATCACTTATGTGCTGCAGCTTTATTAACTCAAGTGGCACTGCGAATACAAGAGAACAATGTGTTTGAAGAAAAATATTTGCCTCTTGTGTGTACACCACAAAGTAAGTTATTTTGCACATAACATAAATATATAATACTATTCTGTTAGGAGATTGTTACAATTTGAACTATTTATTAGTGAAAATGCACGAGAAACATTTTTGATAAACAATAAATTTTTGATAAGGGGATGCTTCAGTGGGTTATTTTAAGTGCTAGTTAGTATTTGTGGGAGTAGTTTTGAAAAGATCAGCAAATTCTACTGAGGCCTGAGCTAAAACTGCAAACTCATTTAATTTAGGATCTATAACAATTTTTTTATGAATGTACTACCTTTGACCTATACAATTTTAAAATAAACTCTCTTGACTTTTATGTTGCACCCTTAGGGATACATCCTAACATTTTGTATGCTGTTATAACTACATTTGCCCACAACCTTAAACCCATCACCTCTTATCTTACTGTCATGATATATCAGAAAACTATTGTTAGGGTTTCTTTCTCCAGATTTAGCATTCTTCATACTATATTATGGTGTTCCTATATGATGCTCTCTGAGACCAAAGATCCTTTGAACATTTAGTTGTTTCTCATAAGTTATTTCTAACAGTAGGCATGAGTATCAGGGCTACCTCTAAAGGTTGGAAAGTCCTTAAGATGTGTCAACTAGACCTGCAATGCAGTATTGCAGGGTTTGCCTGACCAGACCACTGCACAGCTTTATATAAACCTCTGTGGTTAACACAATTGACTTGTCAATGTAGCTATGTTTGAAGCAATTTTTTGGACTTGGGTGAGCAACAGGTCAACTAATGCCTCTAATTTATTTTCTGTTTCTCACTTGGTATGTTTGTCTCATCTATTGAGTGTGCGTATCTCCTATTTTTATTTTTTTTATGCAGTACCTTGCATGTATCCATTAAATATCATTTGGTAGTGATCAGCCCAGGTTCATGCCTTGTCAGTGTCTTTTTGTAAGAACTTGGCTGCTTCCTCATGACGTTCAATATTTTCTTTTAAGTATTTATCACAGTTCCCTTTTAAATGCTTTAATAACTCTGCTTCAACAGCTATAATGTCAGATGGATTCCATTATAATATAGTGGTTTGTGTCAATAAAATCAGATAGGGCAGGCTAAAAAAAAGGGATACTGCACAGAGATTCCAGGTTGTTGATTCGGAGACTTGAAACCAATGGAGCCTGATGAGGATTGGGGTGTATGTAGTTTGGTGCAGATGAGAATACGGGTAGCAGACTTTTGGATTAGCTAAATGTTAGCTGGAATTAGAAGATACCAGTTAATAGGAAGACTAATGCTGCCAGTTGGAGTACAAATCCAAGGACTGGAGACAATTGAAACCTAAATTTTGAATAAAAAGGTAGAGTGTGAAGAAACATTTGTGACTTCAGAACCAAAGCACTTTTCAAATGCCGACTTTTATGCACGCGTTCTTAGTCTAGCATTTTTTTCAAGATTCTTCATGATATCTTCAGGGTTGAATGTTATCTTTAATTACCTTTGAATTGCTCACAAATTCACCATTGAGCATCCACTGCCTCCAACAGGAGATCATCAAGTAATGCATTCTCTCACAGTTCAGGTTACAGCCTCATCCCTCTGACAAGTTTTGGAAGATGCATCCTTGACAGATTTGGGAAACAACATAAAATCAGTAAATTTCCAGTCAAAGTATCAATATTCATGTAAAAGTCCTACTTATTTGTATGGGGTTAATAGATGTACGGATGACTGTAAGCAACTGCATGTGGTATCAATCATACTTTGAAACTGTATTTTACATTTCTCACATTTATCAGAGAAGGCATCAAAATTACTCAGTTCAGTGTTGTAAGAAGTAAAAACCACTAGAAATTCCCGATGTTACATTAAAACTTTTGTTTAACTAGAGTTGCGTGTCTTTAGTCAATGTTTTTTTCTCCAGCTAACATAATGTTTTGTTTTGGGGATTGACAGTTGCTGCAGAGATGATGTACTCCTTGCAGTGGTGTGAAGAAATGAAGGACTTCTGTCCTGTTTCTGAATACTGTGGACTGCTTCTTCAACTTAACATTACACATGATAGGCTAAGAAAAGCATGCAGTACATTGGATGAAACACTCTTCAACAGGTAAAAACAAATGCTTAAATGGAAAAAAAAATGTGCTTGGGTATTTCGCATTTTTGTTTTTGAGAGGTATAATGATTATTTTGGTGAACCTGGAGAACTTAATTTATAGTTTTCTTGAAAAATATTATTGTATAAAAGCTTCTAATAAACCATTATAGAAAGCTCTCTATGACTCTTACTTAATTGCAGTGGCATACAATGTACAATGCCAAAAACAATTCAGGGCCATGACTTGTATATGAATCTGACTGTACTGAAGGTTCCATTCTCAAAGTCATACGTCTTTGGGCTCACAGATCGCAGCATTAAATTAGCAGTTTATTCTGCATTTTAGTAAGGCTGCGATCCCCTTAACTGGCACCTCCAGTGTTTTGCGAACCAGAAAACTTCAGGACATCAGCATTGAGTGTCAGGGGTTGGTCCATGTCCACTATACCAGATAATTTATGTTTGATACTTAAAAAATCTTTTTAGACCACAAATTTTACCACAATCCCCCTAATAAACATTTGATTTATGAATGAATTCAGAAAGCTAGACATGTACATGAGTAAAAGGAGATTGTCTTTTTTGCAAATAGATCACTGGAAAGTGGTTTGCTGTGGGCTTTAGCTACTTCTCAGTTTATCTCCAAAATCAAGGTGGACGGTGATTATGATTTGAAACGATTGTATGGCACAGTTGAAAGGTAAGACCTTTATTCTATAGATTCTGAGCCCTATGAACTATCACTTTATAATCCTGTTGTCAGAAAGAAAACAAAATATAGTAGACTAATGGTGCCAAACTTGTCTTTGGAACCCTGTTACCCTGTTAATTGTAGGCGTTTTTTTAAAACGTTTTTGAAAAAAAAGTAGCATTTGAAATGTTTGTGTAGCTTCACTGAACAAGTGAAGGTTTTGATCCAACTTTTCTTTTATCTGAAAAATCTGTTGTAGTTTTATTGTTTTCTCTCTTCAGATCACCTTGTTAAATAATTTGAATTTATATTTTTCAGATTTTTCCCTTTGACTGAAGCCAATCTGCATACTATTCAGAGTATTGCTCCATTTATTCTCCAAGAAGATAAGGAGCTTCTTGTGGTCCAGTCTGCTGCAAAGCTTTCTACAAGCAAGGGTACAGATATCACCAGTATTGATGGCAAGTATTTTAAGTTTTCAAAGTCACAATGCCCTTCTTTAAAGAATGACTCCACAATCAGGAATCCTTTCATCACTTCCACATTCATTTTTGTTTTGAAGACTCATAATTCATATTTCACAGATTTATTAATTCATGGAAAACGATTCCTTAAGATGGTTGCGTTTTAAAATTAAGCAACAAATAATTTCTTTATGCCTTTGATCATCTCTAAATTCTCCCACTTTGTATTCATGGTGCAAGACTCCACTTCTGAGTTGCTTTGAGATGTTCTTTTACCTGATGTGCTACATAAATTCAATTTGCATTTTTCAAAGTGATTTTGAAGAATGTATGTTACTAATTGTGTTTTTTAGTTATGAGTATCTAACTGCAACTTGAAATTGATTTGAAATTTATTTTATTTATTTAACTAAGTTATCCTATTTATGTTGTGTAACAGGAGGATTTGGGTGCCTTGCTGTTCTCAATAGCTGCCTACAGAAAGGAGCCAATATGGATGAGCAGTTGTTCGTAGATGTGCTAAGCACAATGATGAATTGGAGAAATAATGAAGAGGAAATATTCTTCTTTGACGGGTACCCTTGTTATATTTGTAAACTTTGAAAGTTGTATCACTCTCCGTCCCTTCATACTTTTAGAGTTGGAAACGCTAATGTATTACTTGAAAAAGAAGATTTATAGCATCTCTGGCTCAAAACAAAATAGCTTTTCAATTGTACATGTTTTAAATCAGATCATGCTATTTTTGAAATAAAATGGCAATGTCAAAAGATTGTATTGTTTCATTGTAGTTGCAAGTGATGGAGGAGATTCTGGCTCTGAAATGATATGACTGCAATTTGAGCATACAGGAACCTGAAATATTTATGGCAAATTAAAGCATGTTAGAAGGTGAAATTTATAACCACACTTAAAAACTCGAAGAATTAATTATAGTGTACTTTTTTAAAAAAATTCAGAAGTTTCATTTCTGGTGGACTTCAACCCATACTATCTGAGTGTTTTAAAGAATTTGAATTTGCCCCAGTCCCGTAAAAATCATTCTGTTAACCCAAATAAGTTTACCTCAGTAATTCGCATAATTTAGGCTCTGAGTCCCAACATTGTTCACATATGGAAGAAAATTGGGTGTCAATCTTAAATAGCTAATTGGGAATGACTAACTGATGTACAAATGCAATTGCTCTTAAATGTAATACAGGTCAGAAAAAGTTTTGCCTAGTTTTGACCCAGGGCTCAAATGTTTTTATATAATGTGTATAATTGAGACATTGTGTATTTCATTCTTTGAGTGGACTGACGAGAATAATTCTTACAGTCTCTTTCAGGAATAAAGGTGCTACATGTTATTCACTAATTTAAAAATACGTTTTCACTTGCGTTTTAGATCATACTTTCAGCAGAGATTTTTTTGCAAATTTTTTAACATCTCTATTGTTTCTCTCCAGCACCTTGGAAAATCCCAAACCTAATCTGCTTGGTATCAACGTGGAAATTCTACGCTTCTTGCGACTGTTGATCAAGTATTTACCATCTTCAGTAACAGCTGAGCAATGGGACTTTGTTATGTGCTCTATGTTAACCTGGTTACAGGTGAGTTCTAAGAATAAAGCAACTAAATAAAGTAAATTGGTTCTAAGTACAAGAGAAGGTGTTGAGCACACCCAGTTTCAGTTTCTGATATGAATGCAATGATGATGCTTAATGATGCAGATTATCACAGAAATAGAAAATCTGATATTTTTAATTACTGCTAAGCATTGATGATGATGTAGCCTGCTGTGAAGACAGGCAAAATTATTTCTCCAGCCCTATTTTTCTCCATCTTAGGTTTCCTTAGAGATTGGGTCAGGCTAGTCACAAATCAGTTGGTTGGCTGGCTGGTAAATCATGCGTCAGTCTTGCATGATAGAAACTCCCCATGTTCTCTAGTAATTAAACCATTCTGTATTAGAACTTGCAGCAGCATTAGTCTGTTTTTACTTGTGTTCAGTTACCCTTTAAGTCCGTGCAAAGTACTGTATTAAACTGGACTCTTGGTGAACTCTCCTCTTTACAGAATAACTTATTTGTGCATGCAAGGCAATCAGAATGATAGAATATACTGTTCCATAGTAATGTGAATTTTTTTTCTCTGTTACAGACCGTTTGTGAAACAGTTACGCTTGAATCTTCCCCCCTGATGCTGCTTTTTGCTTGCCAAAGTTGTGGCATGCTATCTGACCTTAGCAACATGTTTCAGACCCTAACACCAGAAATAAGTAAGAATGTTCCGAGTTTTCTTCCCAGTGAATGGAGTGATTTTTTTGTAGAGGAAGCCTACAGTCAGCTGTTGCCACAGCTAATAAAAATCCTAGGTAATGACATTCATATGAATCAAGTGTGAAAGATATAACTTCTGTTTCTCAACTTCTTCGTCAAAGAATATTAATTCAAATCAAGTCTAGTTGTTGGAAGGATGATTTCTTATTGTTCATCTTGCACATACTGTCGAAATAAGCCCAGGTTTTCAGAAGGGCAAATTGCCATGAATTTATTCCCTTTCAAATGTTCTTGAAATCAATATGTTACAAGAACATCTGTGTAATTGGTTAACATGGTTTCTTCTTCATTCTCAATAATTTGATTACATTACTTACTGCATTTATGCATTTACTATGTTTTCTAATTGGAAATAAGTACCTTAATTCCTTCTCAATGGATTTGTTACATTTTAAATCTATCCTCCTGGTGGTGGGGGTGGAAGAGGTAAGCGAGGTCTCTTTGGAGCTGAACTGGCTCCAAGATGACATGCCTGGCAATGGAATGTCGGAATCAAACCAGCCCTCTGTGGTGGTCTCGGTAGTCGGTTCCTGAGTCAGACTGGTCCGCAGTATTCCAGGGCACTGCTGTGTAGTTTTAGCTGGTTAGATTCCAGCAGTACACCAACGCACACACACTCTGGGGTCCCCAAGCCTTGGCTCTTGCCAACCTGCGCCTAATACTTTCCGGAATTAGGTAAGCAGGATGCCTCCCTCCAGGAAGAGAGTGCTCATTCCATTCCAACAATCTATCTCTGAGATTTTCATGTGTACGTGGGATACATGGAAATCTCAGGTTGATTTGGTTATTCCTAAGCATGGTGATGGGTTTCTGCATTTGTCAGACACCCGGCTGACCAACAAAAAAAATTACATTTTAAATCTTGTTTGTATCTCCCTTTATGGCTGTCTTCTGTGCACGTCTAAGCATCTTTAGTGTTGTTTAATCAGATAAAGTTGGTTACACTGAGCGATCGAATATAGTGGGGAGTGAGCGAATGAGAAATTTTGATTCATGGAATCAGTGGAGGGCCAGTGTTACCCAGAATGGATGGCCAAACTTGATGGTATTATTAAAATATTTCTTTAGTCGGACAAGCTGGGTCATTGGATTGGAAAATTGACTCAGTTCTGAGCAAATGAGCAGTGTCCAGATGTTTCATCAGAGAATTGAATGGTGAATTGCTCCTGGCCTTTCTCACTCAACAACCAGTGATCAGTTACAGAAAGATACTGGCAGAAGATTGCTTATCCAGTCCATTGGTTAGGAAATACTGTGTTGGATAGGGGAAGATCAGAAAATAGGTGTTAAATCTCTCTTTTGGTTGTACAAACTGCCTTGCATATTTTATTGCTACAAATTTCTTGCAGTATTCAGTGAAAACTGATTCCTTTTGAATGAGAACAAAGACAAAACAAAGGATATCTCCAAGCCTGGCTTCTGACAATGGGTCAGAGAGCTTGAATTATTCTCCTTAGGCAATAAAAGAAAAATTAAGTGGAGATGATTGAAGTTTAGTTTTTTTTAATAAAACGATAATATAGGAGCTTTATTCTTTGCACTGAATCTGAAATGAAGCCAAGGGGGCTATAATTTTAACATTAAGAAACCGCTAATGAGGAGTTGGGAAAGTATTTTTTTGAATTAAATTGCCAATTAACGCTGTGAAGACTGAATTCTGTAGACTTAATTGGAAAAAAAAGCTGGAGAGGATTTTGAAATTAAGGTGTATGACCTTGGATGTAGCTCAAGGTTATAATTACTTAGACCAATGTTCTCTATATTCCATTTATAAGCTGATTTATTCAAACTTTACTTTTTTTGTTGTTCCTAGAGGATCGTTCTGCAAAGAAACCCCTAAGATCAATCAATCAAAAAAATGCATAATATTAATCCATGCCTACTTTTCCACCAATCAAATTTATCCTCTTTCCTCCTATTACAATGTTGTGCTCACTCACAGAGGTTAAACTGATAACATGCCCTATTTTATGGGAGCTGCATTTAAACAATTGTGCAAAATACCATTCACAAACAACAGAAAATAGGTTAATTTATCTATAAATTCTTACAGGTATGTTTTTACAGTTCTTTGTAAATACCAAAGGTACAAAGACTCAGATTTATGTAAGAATGCAGCACTTTAAAGCAGTAGACATATTCAGTACAGCCCTGAAGCAACTGGTGTATTGTTCCATTTTAAACCAAACCCTGTTTTAAAAACTTATCCCGTGTTTTATTTCCTGGGTTGTACTCTGATATTCTGCCTAAACTCCTTGGGTAATGTGGGAACTCAATATATTGCGATTTATGGGCTCAATCCTGCATCCCACTTCTTGGGCCATTATAGTTTGTGGGAGTACCTGGTACACTGTGCTGTCTGCCAAATTCGTGCATTATCCTTTTTTCATTTTGATGAGCTTGGTTCTCTTATTACAGAGACTTGATTTTTTTTTCTTCTAACCATTGAACAACAATACCAACTTGGATTTATATAGTGCCCTCCTAAATTAATAACAACTAAATTAATTAATTCTATATATATGATAAAGTTTGAGATATAAAAAGAAATTTGTATATAATTAACTGTTTGATTTCTTTCCCAAATCCTCATACAAGCATTTGTAACATCTGGGCTTGACTATGCAAACACCCTACTTGCTGGCCTCCCCAACTCCTCCCTTCAAAGGTTGCAGATCGTCCAGAACTCTGCAGCCCATGTCCTCTCCTGAACCAGGCTCCGTGACCCTATCACCCCCATCCTCGCTCGACTCCACTGGCTTCCCATCACACAGAGGATAAAGTTCAAGATCCTGTTCCTCACCTTCAAAGCCCTCTATGGTCTTGCTCTCCACTACCTCTGTGACCTCCTAACCCCTTATCATCCTGCTCGCTCCCTCCACTCAGCAGGCTCTGGCCTGCTTCACGTCCCCTGCCTTGCCTGCCCCACTCTGCCCCCACCCTCTGGAACTCCATCCCGCAGTCCCACCGCATCGCTCCCTCCCTTGCCTCCTTCAAGACCCATCTCAAGACGCTCCTGTTCAACCTGCTTTCGGTCACCCTCCTTCCACCCCCCTGCCTTCCACCCTCCCCAATCCTGACCCCCAGTTCGGGTCCAAATCACTGACTGTCCAGCACTTTGGGAAGTCCTCCCAACCTGAAAGGCGCTATACAAATGTAATTTTGTTGTTGTTCCTGTTCCCTGAGGTCCACCTACCTTTGCTTAAAAGTATTTCCTTATTTGACAACAAATTGAAGATTTTTTTAATATAGTCTAACCTGCTTGGATTTTCAGATGTATTGTGCATTTAACCTGATGCATACTAAGTCAGCTTCACTTTTACAGTAGATCTGACTTTTGTTTTAACCTTGCAGATCAGTGCAAAGGAACTCTTCTCTTCCCCACCTCGACATACCTACTGACTGCTTTTGGTGAAGCTGCTGCGGTTACTCCGTTGAAACAATTGATTAATCACAGTTTACCAGCTAAACTTATTGCTGGTCAGAGTACAAATCTCCCCGATAAACTTCAGACACTTCTTAACACGTTTGCTCCATTACTTCTCTTTCTGGCTCGACCTGTACAAATTACAGTTTACCATCTACTACACAAGTAAGTAAAGCAATGAAGTATTAATAATAGCTTAATATTTTTTCCTGTTTTTCCTGTATTTGTCATTTGAAAGTGAATTTCAGTAACTGCATTCCAGAAATGGTAACAGCGAAAGGCTAATTCTGTTCTAATTGAATTTTTTGTTGCGCTGATTACATTATTTTTACTGGTATCCGAAGGCTTAGTGATTGGTTCAATTGCTCAACAAAATAAAACTCAGTAAGTTCCCACTTTATTCCTGGTCTATACTGAGATACATATATATCTATATATATATGTATATATATTATATATCTATATATATCTATTATATATATATAATATGAAAAGATAACTCAGTCTTGTTGGCATTCGGGGCTCCACAATTGGCTTCAAACCCTCTGCTTACAGGGAATATTGGCCAAGGTTCCCATTTATGTGTGCTCTCCAGATCCCCTGCTTGGAAGTCCGCATATCAAAACTTACAGTCGAGGTTCGAACATGAAGAATATTCGGGAAACTACTGGCAACTGGTGCTCAGGAAACAATACCCTAGTAGATGTAAAAGGGAAGCCAAACAATCGCAGGAATGGAGGAGCGCCTCCTGACAAGAAAATAAGCTAGAAATTTGCATGTTTTCCAGTACAAAAGAGCATTTCACAATCTTTGACCTACTGCCATATCTTTATCTTCCCTGGGCCCAGTTTTGAATCATTGTCTTTCACTTCAGCGCATTCCGAGCTGCTGGGAAGTGGGCAGGAGTGGTGCAGTTTGGATGCTGTATTGTAATAATTCCCTCCTGCTGAGAAAGAAACTTGCCTTCATTCAGGAACTATCCCAAAAAGTCGAGTTAAAATTGGAATTCTACATGTAGAGTTTGGCCAATCTTCCACAGTACCATTTATTGGACTTTTGTCTTACACTGTTGAGTAATTTAAATAGTTGATTTGAGTACAGAACTGTACTTTGTTTAGGTTCTGCCCAATTGGTGGCACTGCTGAATAATTTTGAAATACCTTTTCCCAGTTATAGTGCAAAGTAGATCAAGTACACAGTAAAATTATAGTATTACACTGATATTAGCATTTAATGCTCAAATGTGAAGAAATCTTAAGTTTCTAATGTTATTTTAGTTCAAAAGTCTGATCCACATATTGAAGGTATGATCCTTTGGATTCTCCACCAGATTAATTGTTCATTATTTCATTACTGTTCGTGGAATATTGCTGGCAAAAATTAAGTTATGGGGTTACATGCACAACTATTACTAAATTTAAAAGTAACTTATTGTTTGAAGCTCTTCAGACATAATAAGTAGTTTTATAAAATAATAAATATAACCCTTACATTTGGCATAATGCCTTTTTATGACCTGAGGATGTCTCGAAAGAGCTTCAAACAATATACTGCAGAGTCACTGCATTTTGTAGGCAAGTACTATCACTGTTTTGCAGTTATCTGAAGACCAGATTTGAGACTCAAAAATATTCTAGTTCAATTTGTACAACTTTTGATTTAATTACTTACAGTGAAGCTGTTTGAGAAGGCTAAGTCTAATGCAGCAGGTGCAGATGTGTAAAATCTATGGTGCACATCTCCAGTCAAATTAACTGCAGAGTAGCTAAATTAAGGAGGTTGCATTTCAGGTTGAAAATTCCTAACATTCAAAGCTGATGCTTGGCTGTGAAATTACCTTCAAAGTATAACTGCAGATGATCTGTGCTTAACCCAGTGTGGTTAAAAATAGTCCGGCAATACAAACATTATTAAATAAATATTAAATACTGCATGTATAAATTATTTTGGGTACTAAGTTGTGAGTGTGACAGAGCAAAAGCTGCCCTAATTCAGCACTAAATTGGCCATCTCCCTCAAGGATAGACCAGATGGCTGATGTAGGAAGTAGAAAATTCACTGTGAAGTTGAGACGAGATGCATTGTTCAGGCAGATTACACAGAGCTTTGGTTTGCACTTTACTGTTGCTGTATTTGATTTTGGCATGCTTGATGGTTGGTATTGGAGGTCCATACGTGTTCTATTTCCAAGCAACATCCTTCACTTTATTTCTATTCTTTTACTAAATTAATAATAATAATAATAATCCTTGCATTTGATATAGCGCTTTTCACGTCGGAAGGACGTCCCAAAGCGCTTCACAGAACACACTGTAAAGTGAATTGACTGTATATTTATGGGCGAACGCAGCAGCCAATTGCGCACAGCAATGTCCCACAAACTGTCGTAGATTGAAAATGACCAATTTATTATTGTTTTTGGTTTTGGAGGGATTATTATTAGACGTGTGGACTAAGGATACTTGCCCAAGGTTTCGCCCTGCCTGGAATTGAACTCAGGTCTCTCGCTTGCAAAGCGAGTGCTCTAACCACTGAGCTACAGGACTCCACGTTTTTTTGCTGAAATAGATCCCTTTTCATATAATTTTTGGACTTTTCTGAATGATGTTATAGGAAACCAGCTCTATATTCCTTACAAATTACTATTTTTTTCCAGTCACTGCCCCTTATTATTTTTCTTTTATTAATAAATAATCATGCCTACAGTCACTAAACTTCACAAAAAATTCCTTAGCCCTTTGAGAGGTTTAAACAATTTAAGGTGCTATGTCAAATGTAAGCATTATTACTGTTGTAAACTGAAATAATCTTTGAATTTTTTTTATCTAATGTGCTTCTTTTAAAAATGAACAGGTTAATGCCAGAGCTGCCAGTGTTCGACAACGAGCAACTAAAATCTTGTGAAGACAATGGGAATGATGAGGAGCATGCTTTGTGAGTAATTCTTGCACTCATTCATCTTTTTAATCTTGATGCATATAACAACAACAAAATTACATCTATAGTCTTCTACCAGTAGGTAAAGATAGACAAATTTGCATTAACTGGTGCTTGGTTTTCATGAGTATGGTGACTGTTCTTGTTCTGGTACTCTATGCAGCAAGGGTCTCCTTATTATTTAAAGGCAGCAGTATAAACACATAAAGATCTATTTGCAATGCACTGCTTCAGTACTCAGACAAAATCTCAGCATTAACGTTGCATGTATTCTGTTGCCCTTGAGCACAATTGATATTGTATAGAAATGTGCTCATGAAGGATTTGAATTATTTGTCAAACTTAGATAAAATGTGGACAGCAATGCACCATTAACATTTTTCTCTTCAAAGTTCATTATCCTACACTTTACTTGCTTTCTATCCTGATCTAGTTAGCTAAAACTTCCTCATTGGGCATCATTTGCTTTAGGTTCTTGGGACCACCAGTTGCCCTTCAATTCACACTCATCTATCTCCCAATTTTTCAAAGCCGTAATATTTTAAATGCCTCTATCAAGTCCTGCCACCACCCTCTGCCTTCTCTGAAGAGAGAAAGTCTTAAGGTAGCTTTTTCTCATAACTCTGCTCCTAGGTTCTGAAATTAATCCAGTATCCTTAATTTAACAATGAAATATCNTTTTTTGAAATAGGGAGACTGAAACTGCACATTGTTCTTATTGTGGTCTTGTCAAGCCCACCTACAATTTTAAAATGACATATTGATTCTACATTACTCATTTATATCACATTGTTTGATTTCCTAACTTCCTGGGAACACAACTGCTTTATTGACCCATCTACCAACTTCAAGATTCGTGGTCTGATAAATCAATTACATTTCGATTAAGCACACGTTCCACAATACCAAATGCGGATTGCTGCACATGCCCCCACTATGATTGAATATTTGACCAACCTCAATGTTGAGGCTCACGTGAGTAATGCCTGCTTGAGGAAGGTATCATCAGGACTCTTGTGAATCTTACATTAGCAAGCAAGCAGTAAAAGCCTCCTTTAAGACAGGATGAAAAATGATGAAGAACATTGGCAGAGGAAACAAAGAATCTATAAGGCTTAAAACCAGTATAATACAGTGACATTTTCTAAGCTTGTTTAAGTAATGGTAATGCTATTTTCTTTTAATATGTGTTTCTGTTTCAGATCTCCACCTGCAGCACTTATGACAGTGATTGGTGCTCAAGAAGAAGATTTGGAAAATATTTTCAGTAATGTACCAGTTGGAGAGTACACAGTAATTGAGCCGCTAAGTGAAGCTTACTACTGTGTTCTGGGCTATCTGCTCGCATGGAAGCTCATTCTTGTTTTTTTCAAAGCATCGCAATCAGAAGTACGTACAGTATGTGCAAATTACAGGATATGGCTTGCAGTATTTTTGTAAATCATTCCCAGAACTATTAAAAAAAAAATCTGTTTCATTCTAAAAATCCAATGGCTAAAGTGTTTGGATTGTTTTGATTTCATACTTAATCTAAATCTAAATTTTTAGCAATTTTTGTTGGTTTTAATTTATATTTCTTCAACATTGTGGGTAGGTTACAAAACTCAATATTTAAAAAACATTGAACAGAATAAATTTTGTGAATATATCCAAGCCACATACTTCAGTACACTATAATAGGAAACTAGCTTTATATGCAAAATGTTAAGACTTGAAAATCATTGTTGCTTTTTTTTTAATAAGGTAAGATAATAGGATTTTTTAAAAAAAGTTGAGCTGTGGAATTTTACTAGGTTCGCTTTTATTTTTCTCCGGTGTTATCCAGCTGCGGGTTCAATATGCAACATATCTCCGTAAAAGTAAATCCTTGCACAAGTTACTGCAGCATCTCTTCAGGCTAATGCCAGAAAATCCAACAATTCCAGGGCAGGTTTCTGATTCTAGCAGTAAAGGAACCAAGACGCTATTCACGGAGCATCATACCATCCTTTTACAAGGTATAAGTAATAATAGTAATCCTTGCATTTGATATAGCGCCTTGTCACATCTTCGATATGTCTCAAAGCGCTTCACAAATATACTGTAAAGTGATTTGATGAATTGACTGTACATTTTGTGAGTGAAACAAGATGAGGATAGATACTGGTAACTCATCCTTCATTTTCATTCATTTTTAAACTTAAATTACCTCCTCCTTTGACTGAAAACATGTTAATAAAATTAAGATTTTCCTAAAAACTGTATTAGGAAATGTATTAAAACTTATTTAAATTACTGTTATTGAACACTAAGATGGTTAATCTGTACAAGAATGGAGTACATTTGGTGTGAAAAAATGTTTGAATAATATTTGGACAGTAATGTGACAGTGTATTATTTTTCATTACAATTGTACTCTTCTGTCACTGGAGGAGGCGCATATTTTATGTTAGGAAAATGAAACTGCCCGTCATGCAAAATAAACCCACATATGAGTCATACTAACCATAACTGTAGTCGTTGGTGGTAAAATAAAAGTACGAACTCCACTGATACAGTTCACCATTGAACAAAAATGGAGGACTCTTACGTTAACAATTGAAAGATACTGTAGGCTGACTGTAACATCATCAAGCACTTTTGCTTTGCTCTTGATGGTTTGTCATCGGAATTCCTTTATTAATCTTGGAACCAAGAAACATGGTTTCACCAATGCATTTTTGGATAGTTTATCCGATCAGTCTGCCCAGAACCTCCAACTCTGAAATCACAGGAATGTTGTTGCGTTAAAATCAAACCTGTATTGCTTTACATTATATGACCAGAGTGCTATGAAATAAAAATATGTAATTTGTATATTCTCTATAATATTTATGCAAATTTTAAATATTCAGAAATACACTTTGCAGAAATATAAAAACAGCATGCTAATTAGGAAAGTTGGAAACATCTTTTAATGATCAGAAAGATTGTACTTAACTTTGATTCTTAAAACTATTTTTATAAATATGTCCATGTATTTCTTGTTTTTGCTTTCCTTTTCCCAGAGACTGAGAACTTACACACAGAACTTCCACAGCTAGCATGTTCTGTGTACTACAGTGTATTGGAAGATTTGCCAGCCACTGTTCGGCTTTGGTGGAACAGCCAAGACAAACGTATTTCAAGCACTGTAGATAGATACACCAGCAGATACGTCAGTCATGTTCTTTCTTCACAGGAAATAGCTGCTGTGCAAACCAGTACACAAACATTCACAAGCATGATGGTTAGTGCTGATTTTTAATATATTCAGAAATGTACTCTTTTCTCTCACTTTCACCCCAGCACTCCAGTCTATAAAATCTTTATTTATGGATCTGTGGAATTAGTTATTTTACAAGCATGCTCTTCTAGATGTATGTCCCCTGAGAGCACAGTGAACAACTTGATATTTCACAAGAGAACACAAGATGTCCACTTCCTACAATAAATCAAGGTTTCAACTAATTATATGGAATCTTTACTCTCCAGTAATGAAACCATTTTTGGTTTCAGTCAAGAGAATTATTTCAGTAAATACTTAATTCTAATTTGGTAACCATAATTAAAGTAAGAGCAGCAGATAATATTGATTGCACATGTAATGCATCTGTAATTTTAACATTTTAAAAAATATAAACTGGATTGCTCTGTTGGAAACCTGCATTAATGAGACATGACTCAACTTTATTGCTAGCACCAGATGCCATGGTTGCTGACCTTTTCAGAAATTACCACTTCATAGAAATGTTATCTTTCCTACTATTAGTAACACAAGTTTGAGAAAATTGAGTTATTACTTGAAAGTACTAGGAATCCACCATCTATTGATGATATTTTGCTTATAAACCCAACACTGAATCTCTGCAGATTTATCATGAGAACATACTCTAGTGACCTGTCACTGCTCACAAGATAGGTGCATCTATGCTTTGGGATTTCTATCTATTGTGATATTAAGATCAGTTGTATGTCGGAAAGAATCATTTACAGTTTTGCAGGAATTGCATGTTCTGTCAGATTGTTAAAAAATGAGTTGCTTATCTTTTCCTGTTTTTCCATCAGGTGAAAGCCCGTCCTGCAGCCCGAGAGGTACTTGCTACCTACTCTGTAGATGATATATTCATTGAACTTGTTATACAGTTGCCAACAAACTATCCTCTTGGGTCAATTACTGTAGAAAGTGGGAAGCGAGTTGGTGTTGCTGTTCAACAATGGCGCAACTGGATGTTACAACTGAACACGTTTCTTAATCTTCAGGTAGCTCAATGTGTTACTCAACAATTACCCATGAGATACTTACATCATCTAATTATTATACTATTTTAAGGAGCCAAGTGTCAGTACTTAAAGATATTATGTAAATGGTTTCACTTAGGGCAAACTAAGTTCAAAGAGTTTCTTTACTGCTTTTCATGTAATGTTTTTTGTCTGTTGATATGTTTTAGCAAATTTGCATGAGGAGTGAATATTGATAAAACAATCAGGAAAACTTTCCCCATTTTTGTGGTGGGGGGTTATTCTATCTGAATCACAAGGATCTAAATTATTGACTCAATAACCTGGGATTAAATAATCAATTTATTTTTGATATAAAATTAATTTAATTATAAAGAATTGACCATCAGGCGATTTAAAGTTTCCTAAAATCATTTAACATTTTACTGTATATAGATGGACACCAGTCAGTATACTTGATTTTTGTTTTTAAAATTAAATAAACAGTAAAATTGAAATTCTAGCATTTTATATAAATAAAATGCTAGAACTTAGATTTTGATACAAATGGAAATTATGTTTTTTAGAATATTTATAGCACAATAGTGGATCTATAACATTTAATTTTTCCTTTCAGAATGGAAGCATCATGGAAGGCCTCACATTATGGAAAAGTAATGTGGACAAACGGTTTGAAGGCATTGAGGAATGCATGATCTGTTTTTCAGTAATTCACGGTTCTAATTGTTCACTTCCAAAAAAGGCTTGCAGAACATGTAAGAAAAAATTCCATTCAGCCTGCTTGGTAAGTACTTTTAGTGTGAAAAATGGCTCTAAATTTCTACAATTGTCCATTAGTCCATTTATCCAGTCAGTTTTGACAGGGCATTTGACCGGAGGACATTGCACCAAAAACATGTATGTGTAACATAACACATACACACTCATTATTACTCCCTTGAATTTAAATAAAGGAGAGTTTCAATTGTACATAGACAAATAATGATATAAACTTAGTAGAAACCAAGTGTAAGTTCTATTAGTATTTATACCATTTCTAACAGTTTTTTTTCTATTTCTAACTATCTTTCTCTAATGGTAATAAACTCTAATCTATGGCTAATATTTGTTTATTTATATATCTACAGTACAGATGGTTTACATCCAGCAACAAGTCCACCTGTCCACTATGTCGAGAAACATTCTTTTGAGATCATTTTACCACGGCCTCTAGTGGAGCCCAAGAGGACTGATAAGTGAATCAGACCAAAGAATTTGGAAATAAAAATCAGAAACTGTCAATGATTGAACACAACAAAAGGAATGGAAAGCTTGTATGAAACACCTCCATCCAAACTGTGACCTCAGTTAGAAAAAGTATCCATATCTTGACATTTTATAAAAGGCAAATTCACTTTTCCACAATTAAACTGCAAATGAAAAATTATGTTGTGCCATATTTGATAAAATGATCCATTTTATTTTTCCTTTGTTTTGGGAATAAAATTTGTTTTCCCCAATACTTGTTCTCTGTGCTCCAATTGTGCTGATTCTCTCTTGAGCCTCCCCCGATGAGTTATGAATGAATCACTAGGTGATCCTTGAGGGATGGTCTGGGAAGACCCTGGTCATTTTCCTTCCCGTCAAATATGAGGCATCTGGCTTCCACCTAGCATCTCCCCATGATAATATGGCTGATATCAGAAATGCAACATATCAAACATACCTAACGCAGTGTTTAAAAATATAATTCTTTGTAATAAATATTGATCTCATTAAATGATAAAATTGTAATCCAGAAATATTATACTGTTCAGATTTGTTGCAAGAAATGACTACTCAAGACAATTAGGTTTTCATCTGCTTGGTTTAGGGCAAAATACAAACTTGTCCTTCAATACAATCTGTTGCCACTTTTACAATGGTGTCCATATTATTAAATTTTTAAAAACTATTTTGTAAACACGAATATTTATTTATGTGAATTCCCTGCTTCCCAACTAACTCTCTGCTTGTCAGCCTTCCCAACTCTTCCCTCCACAAGATGCAGATCCTTCAGAACTCTGCAGCTAGTGTCCTCTCCCGCACCAGGCTCTATAAACTCACAACCCCGGCTCCTCTGCATCTCCCAGAGTTCAAAATCCTTGTCCTCGCCTTCAAAGCCCTCCATGGCCTTGCTACCCCCTATCTCTGGGCTCTGCTAATTCCATATCGCCCTCTCCACTCAGGACTCCAATCTGCTCCATGTCCCCCACATGGCCCGCCACCACTTCGGCGGTCAGACCTTCAGCCTCTCAGCCCCCACCGTACAGAACTCCACCCCACAGTCCATTTGCCTTGCGCCCCCTCGCTTGCCTCCTTGAAGGCCCATATGAAAATCATCCTCTTCGATCGAGTATTCGGTCACTCCGCTAACTCCGCTAACTCTGCCCTCCACCTTCCCTGATCCCAACCTCCAGTGCGGGTCCAAATACTTGGGACGTTCTCCCGATTTGAAGGCACTTTACGAATATAATTTGTTGCTGCTGAATGCATGGATAATCCAGTTCAGAATTAATATTTAATTTTGATTATAGTTATACAGTTGGACTGCTACTTTTCAACATTTTCTTAGTTTTCTCCACCCCCCCCATCCCATCCCCCCAATTGCACATCAATCTCTTCATGGATATCCCTGGATAGTGAATGGTGTGTCTGTGTTGCTCTGTCTCAGTGCTGATCAGTGTCTGTGTCTCAGTGATCAGTGTCTGTGTCTCTGTGATCAGTGTCTGTGTCTCTGTGATCAGTGTCTGTGTCGGTGTCTCTGTGATCAGTGTCTGTGTCTCTGTGATCAGTGTCTGTGTCGGTGTCTCAGTGTCTGTGTCGGTGTCTCTGTGATCTGTGTCGGTGTCTCTGTGATCAGTGTCTGTGTCGGTGTCTCAGTGATCAGTGTCTGTGTCGGTGTCTCAGTGTCTGTGTCGGTGTCTCTGTGATCAGTGTCTGTCGGTGTCTCAGTGATCAGTGTCTGTGTCGGTGTCTCAGTGTCTGTGTCGGTGTCTCAGTGATCAGTGTCTGTGTCGGTGTCTCAGTGTCTGTGTCGGTGTCTCAGTGATCAGTGTCTGTGTCGGTGTCTCTGTGATCAGTGTCTGTGTCGGTGTCTCTGTGATCAGTGTCTGTGTCGGTGTCTCAGTGATCAGTGTCTGTGTCGGTGTCTCAGTGATCAGTGTCTGTGTCGGTGTCTCTGTGATCAGTGTCTGTGTCGGTGTCTCAGTGATCAGTGTCTGTGTCGGTGTCTCAGTGATCAGTGTCTGTGTCGGTGTCTCTGTGATCAGTGTCTGTGTCGGTGTCTCAGTGATCAGTGTCTGTGTCGGTGTCTCAGTGATCAGTGTCTGTGTCGGTGTCTCAGTGATCAGTGTCTGTGTCGGTGTCGGTGTCTCAGTGATCAGTGTCTGTGTCGGTGTCTCAGTGATCAGTGTCTGTGTCGGTGTCTCAGTGATCAGTGTCTGTGTCGGTGTCTCAGTGATCAGTGTCGGTGTCTCAGTGATCAGTGTCTGTGTCGGTGTCTCAGTGATCAGTGTCTGTGTCGGTGTCTCTGTGATCAGTGTCTGTGTCGGTGTCTCAGTGATCAGTGTCTGTGTCGGTGTCTCAGTGATCAGTGTCTGTGTCGGTGTCTCAGTGATCAGTGTCTGTGTCGGTGTCTCAGTGATCAGTGTCTGTGTCGGTGTCTCAGTGATCAGTGTCTGTGTCGGTGTCTCAGTGATCAGTGTCTGTGTCGGTGTCTCAGTGATCAGTGTCTGTGTCGGTGTCTCAGTGATCAGTGTCTGTGTCGGTGTCTCAGTGATCAGTGTCTGTGTCGGTGTCTCAGTGATCAGTGTCTGTGTCGGTGTCTCAGTGATCAGTGTCTGTGTCGGTGTCTCAGTGATCAGTGTCTGTGTCGGTGTCTCAGTGATCAGTGTCTGTGTCGGTGTCTCAGTGATCAGTGTCGGTGTCGGTGTCTCAGTGATCAGTGTCTGTGTCGGTGTCTCAGTGATCAGTGTCTGTGTCGGTGTCTCAGTGATCAGTGTCTGTGTCGGTGTCTCAGTGATCAGTGTCTGTGTCGGTGTCTCAGTGATCAGTGTCTGTGTCGGTGTCTCTGTGATCAGTGTCTGTGTCGGTGTCTCAGTGATCAGTGTCTGTGTCGGTGTCTCAGTGATCAGTGTCTGTGTCGGTGTCTCAGTGATCAGTGTCTGTGTCGGTGTCTCAGTGATCAGTGTCTGTGTCGGTGTCTCAGTGATCAGTGTCTGTGTCGGTGTCTCAGTGATCAGTGTCTGTGTCGGTGTCTCAGTGATCAGTGTCTGTGTCGGTGTCTCAGTGATCAGTGTCTGTGTCGGTGTCTCAGTGATCAGTGTCTGTGTCGGTGTCTCAGTGATCAGTGTCTGTGTCGGTGTCTCAGTGATCAGTGTCTGTGTCGGTGTCTCAGTGATCAGTGTCTGTGTCGGTGTCTCAGTGATCAGTGTCTGTGTCGGTGTCTCAGTGATCAGTGTCTGTGTCGGTGTCTCAGTGATCAGTGTCTGTGTCGGTGTCTCTGTGATCAGTGTCTGTGTCTCAGTGATCAGTGTCTGTGTCGGTGTCTCAGTGATCAGTGTCTGTGTCGGTGTCTCAGTGATCAGTGTTCGGTGTCTGTGTCGGTGTCTCAGTGATCAGTGTCTGTGTCGGTGTCTCAGTGATCAGTGTCTGTGTCGGTGTCTCAGTGATCAGTGTCTGTGTCGGTGTCTCAGTGATCAGTGTCTGTGTCGGTGTCTCAGTGATCAGTGTCTGTGTCGGTGTCTCAGTGATCAGTGTCGGTGTCTCAGTGATCAGTGTCTGTGTCGGTGTCTCAGTGATCAGTGTCTGTGTCGGTGTCTCAGTGATCAGTGTCTGTGTCGGTGTCTCAGTGATCAGTGTCTGTGTCGGTGTCTCTGTGATCAGTGTCTGTGTCGGTGTCTCTGTGATCAGTGTCTGTGTCGGTGTCTCAGTGATCAGTGTCTGTGTCGGTGTCTCAGTGATCAGTGTCTGTGTCGGTGTCTCAGTGATCAGTGTCTGTGTCGGTGTCTCAGTGATCAGTGTCTGTGTCGGTGTCTCAGTGATCAGTGTCGGTGTCGGTGTCTCAGTGATCAGTGTCTGTGTCGGTGTCTCAGTGATCAGTGTCTGTGTCGGTGTCTCAGTGATCAGTGTCGGTGTCTGTCTCAGTGATCAGTGTCTGTGTCGGTGTCTCAGTGATCAGTGTCTGTGTCGGTGTCTCAGTGATCGGTGTCGGTGTCTCAGTGATCAGTGTCTGTGTCGGTGTCTCAGTGATCAGTGTCTGTGTCGGTGTCTCAGTGATCAGTGTCGGTGTCTCAGTGATCAGTGTCTGTGTCGGTGTCTCAGTGATCAGTGTCTGTGTCGGTGTCTCAGTGATCAGTGTCTGTGTCGGTGTCTCTGTGATCAGTGTCTGTGTCGGTGTCTCAGTGATCAGTGTCTGTGTCGGTGTCTCAGTGATCAGTGTCTGTGTCGGTGTCTCAGTGATCAGTGTCTGTGTCGGTGTCTCAGTGATCAGTGTCTGTGTCGGTGTCTCAGTGATCAGTGTCTGTGTCGGTGTCTCAGTGATCAGTGTCTGTGTCGGTGTCTCAGTGATCAGTGTCTGTGTCGGTGTCGGTGTCTCAGTGATCAGTGTCTGTGTCGGTGTCTCAGTGATCAGTGTCTGTGTCGGTTGCTCTGGTGACTGTTACCCGGTGACGGTGGTGTTGGGTGGGGCTGAGGCCCTCTGGTCTGCGCCGCTTTTCCAGACCCCGCGGCCCGGCTGTGGATTCGACTCAGGTACAGGGCCTCCCGGGGGGGGGGGGTCAGGGCTGCCCGGGGGGTGGGGGCAGGGCTGCCCGGGGGGGGGGGGGGGGTCAGGGCTGCCCGGGGGGGGGTCAGAGCCTCCCCGGGGGGGGGGGTCAGGGCTGCCCGGGGGGGGGGGGGTCAGGGCTGCCCGGGGGGGGGGGGGTCAGGGCTGCCCGGGGGGGGGTCAGGGCTGCCCGGGGGGGGTCAGGGCCTCCCCGGGGGGGGGGGGTCAGGGCTGCCCGGGGGGGGGGGGTCAGGGCTGCCGGGGGGGGGGGGGGGGGGGTCAGGGCTGCCCGGGGGTGGGGGGGGGGGGGGTCAGGGCTGCCCGGGGGGGTGGGGGGGGGGGTCAGGGCTGCCCGGGGGGGTGGGGGGGGGGTCAGGGCTGCCTGGGGGGGGGGGGGGGGTCAGGGCTGCCTGGGGGGGGGGGAGGGGGTCAGGGCTGCCCGGGGGGTGGGGGGGGGGGTCAGGGCTGCCCGGGGGGGGGGGGGGGGGGGGTCAGGGCTGCCCGGGGGGGGGGGTAAATCACCAGCCGTCTGTGCTGTTGGTGTTGGCTGCGGCAATAAAGAGCGGCTTTAATACACTATACAAACCGCAGTGAATGCAGCAACTCTCGGCCAAATTTGCAAATTTAAAAAAAATTAAATGGGTCACTTCAATTCACGACTGTTTGTGGGACACTGCTGTGTGCAATTGACTGCTGCATTTTGTCCACAAAACAGTATATTCTGTGAAGCGCTTTGAGACGTCTCGAAGACGTGATAATGTGCTATATCAAATGCAAGGATTAGTATTATTATAGGAACCCGGTTGTTAGTCGATTGGCGGATCACTTTTCCGAAGGTAATAATACCTCCCGCCCCCCCGCTCCACCCGAAAAAAAATTGTGGGAGACACTGCTGTGCAAAATTGCCTGCTGTGTTTTACACACAAAATATACAGTCAATTCACTTTACAGTATATTCTGTGATGTGCTTTGAGATGTTTCACCAACGTGATAAGGAGCTATATCAAATGGAAGGATTATTATTATTATCGCAAGTTTACCTCATGTGGTTAGTATTCTGCCTCTCATATAAATCCATCAGGGTTTCAGAGCAGTAAACATGTGAAAGAAAAGTACCACCTGATAATTTCGTACTAGTTATTTCGTACTAAGTTATTTTCACTGCATCATTTAAGTCAACATGGCATAAATGTGGGAAAGTGTATATGCATATTTCTTGTAAATTTATTTTTCTGATGAATCTCACAATGACCAGGTTTCATCAGGAGGATAACTCGAAAACGTCTTCATATATTAACTACTGAATTGTGAATAATTCAGCATTCGCCTCGCAAGGGAGAGGATTCCCGAGCAGGGCAAAACCTTAGGCAAGTTTCCTTATACCCCTTGCCTCTGCTTACCTAGCAGTAAGTAGGATCCCAGTTGCTAGTTGATTGGTGAATCGCTTTTGCATGGGTAATAATCGCTTCAAAATTATTTTTAACTGAATTCACAGGTGTTTGTGGGATACTGCTGTGCACAATTGGCTGCCATGTTTTGGCCACGAAATAAACTGTCAATACACTTTACAATATATTCTGTGAAGCGCTTATGTGACGTTTCGAAGATATGCTAAAAGTGCTATATCAAACGCAAGGATAATTATTATAATTCTAAAATGTAGGTTTTAATTCCAACACCTTTAATTCTAGTTAACTTTGTCTGAGATTACTTGTCTGAGATATTTTGATGCTCTGGGCCCTATATCAAATACAAGGGCTGACAAAACAAACATGATGTCTTCTTGCTTGTGCTTTTAGAATTAAAATGAACTGGCCCAAATTGGAACCGAGTTCTGCAGAACTTTCACAATTTGTGGAAAAAGAGAGAATTCGTCTGCTACAAACTAAAGAGAAGTGAGTAATTAATACTCGGCTTTTTGTTTGATTTTTACTTGAGATAAGGAAACAGGTTATTTACTTAGAATGATATACAACGTTACAGTATAGAAACAAACCATTCAAACAGTCTTTGTGCCAGTTTTATACTTCACACTTCTCCTATATGATAATAATATCACTCAATTCCCTTCGGCGTCATGTATGCATCAAGTTTATTCTTAAATAATTTGGTGACTTTGTTTACCACCTATTCCTGTAATACATGTGTATATTCCACTGGTAACAATGTCCTGATTCTCCTTTTCTATATGCACTATTCAATCCTTTGGTTGTCTATCATTCTATTTCATTGTTTATTGATCTACCTTTCCATATGTTTGCATTTCACTTACTTTATTGAGTTACCATCAGGTTTTTTAAATTTAAAATCCATTATGTTTGCACCTTCTGAGAAAATCAAGAATTAAGTTACTATTCTTAAAAGTTTCCCAATCCACATGTGGCCAGTTTACTTTTCATTTAGACGCTCTGTAGAATTGATTCTCTGGGCAAGGTCATCTTATATTGTACTGGTCTGTATGAATGTTGGTAATATGAGTTTATAATAACTTTCAACTTTCTCCCAAAGATTTGGTTATGCTTGGGAACTTAGAATAATGTTTTGGAATTTGGGAATATAAAATGTTAATCCACCTCATGTCTGTCTGCCAGAGTGTATTAGTTCCTAATAAGAGGCATAAGAGGCAACTAAACTGGTCTTATAATTGTCTTTGATAGGTAATTACTACATAGTTAAAGTCAAAGTTTACCAGTAATATTTTATTTTACTGCTGGCTTGTTTTGTGATTCAACTATTGCTGGGATCAGAAATACAGGAATCTTGAGGCTTTGTCTGATTATATATTTTTTTAAATCTTGTAGTAGAAAAACTTAAAACTTGCATTTCATATAATGTCTCAACATAAAAACACACTTTACAGTAATTGCTGTCAAAAGTAATAATAATAATTCTTGCATTTGATAGCACCTTATCACTGCTTCGAGACGTCTCAAAGCGCTTCACAGAATATACTGTAAAATAACTTGACTTGTGGGTGAAAAGCGGCAGCCAATTGCACACAACAGTGTCCCACAAACAGTCGTGGATTGAAGTGACCAATTTTTTTTAACAGGAATTATTTATTACCCCTGGAAAAGTGATTCGCCAATTGACTAATAACCGGATTCCTACTTACTGCTAGGTAAACAAAGTAAGGAAACTTGCCCAACATTTTGCTCTGCCAGGAATCATATCTCCTGTTTGCGTGGCGAGTGCTCTAACCACTGAGCTACAGGACTCCAAAGTAGTAACAACGTAGTGCTTTTTTTAGGCAAACATGACAGCCGTTTTGTGTAAAGAAAACCCTACAAACAGCCATGTAATAACTGACCTGGAGGATTACAGACTAGGATATTGGGAGAAATACTATTTTCAGAGTGTCATGGGAGCTTTAAAATCCACTTGAAGAACAGTCAGACAAGACTTTGGTTTAATGACTCAGTTGAAGGATAGAAACTCCCAACAATATTGCACTCCCCCTGTATTGTACAGTATTAGTTGCTGAAATTGGACTTCAACACACCTAAATGTCTGACCAAGTGGAAACACTTTTACCAGCTGAACCAAGCTGATATCTTGTATTGTATATTGTAACAAAATAATGAAGTCATGAGCATAGAAAGATGAATGAATTAATTGTAGTTTTGAAGTTCTAGAAGCAGAAAAATCGATTGAGATATTTATTTTTACTGAGCAAATTATGCATGTTGAATTTATTATAATAATTGTTGTATTTGATACAGCACATTTCATGATGAGAAGATCTCTCAAAGCACTTCCTAGGATTCACTGTAAAACATAGTGCGGTTTTTGTAGGTTAACACTTACATCGCTACATTAAGTGATGTATTCGGCATAGTGTAATTAGATGATCTTCACTCTATATCTTCTAGAATCAATTCATTTTTGGCAACTAAAATTATTCAGAGAACATGGCGTGGCTACAGAAACAAACAGCTATTTCGACTGCTCAAGCACACAATTTGTGCAGCGGTAAGTGTAGAGGCAGAATCATTTGCAGTTTGGAAAGTTGTATTTTCTTGTGTGTGAATTTTTGTGTCCTTGTCAGTTTTTAAAAGCTATTGGTCCAGTGACCTTCAGATCAGAGATTTCCCTGAGCTTATCTGCATTATTGGGACATACTACCAAAGGATCCCTATTGTATCTCCCAGTAGCCAAATCAAGAATGGCATTGATGATTCCTGAAGCAATCTCTAGGCTATGCTGCTTTCTATACAACTATGTGCTGCTGTTAATGTTTGCCCAATATTTGGACACAGGAACCTAGCTAAAAACTGGCAAAGTGCACCGGTGAGATTTGGCATGACTTCCTGATTTTAAATTGAATTCGACCAATTCATATCAACAATCATTAGCTTCCTTGTGGAGCAGAAAACTTAACTGGATGAAGTTATGTCCGGTATCAGAAGACCATAACAAAAGTAAAAAGTTATTTTTAAATTATTTAAAAATATTGTTATTTTAAATTATTTTAAAATTATCTTTTAATTGTTTTTTTCTGAAAGTGTAAATCCACGTGTTGATTATTCTGTTGTATTTGTACGAAAGGCTACATAACTTTACAAGTACTGCCCTATAGGAACACAGTATGACACACGATATCCTGAGAAAACTGAAACCCTCGGAGTATGAAATCCTGAAAGACTCCAGCATGAAGTTCAGAGTGAAATTCAGGTAAGGTGTGGAGTCTAACAATATAATTCTAGTGGCTCTCTAAAGAAAAAGGCAAGAGAGATAAGACATGCTACAGACATCAGTGTGCAATGTGACAGCATTTAGTTAGTTATTCGCATCGAACCATGATAACTTATTTAATGGTAAGCTTGAATTGTTTCATGGCAAATGCATTTTAAAAACTTTTGCTTTTTATCTGCATAACACTAGCCATTGCAATTTTATAAATTACGTTGTACTTTTATGACAGAGACTTGTTTAATGTAAGAATGTGAGTGTTATACAGTTACATAACCGTAAGCAAGTCGCTGGATTTTCAGGCAATTTCAATCTAACATCAACCTGATTCAAACTCTGCCATCTGTACGAGGGGTTTAAATTTAAAGGATTTAAATCTTTCATCTGTCAAATTATTCATAACCTTGAAACTTCTGCTCCACTCTATGATTTGCAGTATATTTTTTGGCATTGCTGTTCCATTAGTCATTGCTTTGTTTTTCAATTTTCTTATTCAACAGATTGACAGAAATTTGCACTGTGCAATTTTTTAAAGTTATTGTACGGTCTTCCACCAAAGTTATATGCATGATTCCATATTATTCTTTCTTTCATCTGTATTGTAATTGATGGCTTAACTTCTAAATTAATTTCCATCTGTGTACCCTCCCATCTTTTTTTCTAAAAAATAAAATGTCTCAAGAAGTGTACATATTCTGATTTTGAAAAGAGTGTTTAAAAATGGAATTATAAAAATATTAATCCTTACATTTGGTATAGCGCCTTTCACATCAGGAGGACATCCAAAGCGCTTCACAAGATATACTGTAAAATTAATTGACTCCATTTTGTTGGCAAACAATTCACAAGAGTGATGCGAATTGCCAACCCACATAATGAGCTGGGTTTATTTTTAAGAGTGATGTCCATCTGAATACTGTATGCCACGTGTTGAATCCAAATGACTGCTTCTCTCGACAGATTCGCACAAGTGGAATTTAAGTTGTCTATTTTTAGAACGTTTTGAAAGACCTGCTTTTATTTGTAAGTAATTATATGATATATAGTCCTGTGTGTAGGTGTGTACCTAAGCTCTGAAAACGTTACTAGTAGCTTTGCACAACATACCCTTATACAGGAATGTTTCTTTCCTGTTTTCCCTAGATTTGCTGGAGAAAACTTTCCTCCGATTCTTGTGTTTAAGATTTTTCAGCACAACATGAACTATAAAACCCAATACTTCAGTGGAAAAGGGCTGATCAAGCCTGCAACTGAGGTAACTGATTTTGCTTGTGAAGAAATTATGGTGCTTTTACACCAGCTGCCCTTTGTTCCCACACCAATGTAACGTCATGTCACTGAGAAAAGCCCAGGCTGGAAGAAAATCTCCTCAGTCTGCGGGTTGTAAGATTGACTTAAGTGGTAGTGACAAGTTAAGCCAGAGTCACGGTGTCAGGAATTTATTGTATGTTTAGTTGCTGGGATGATTCCCTACTTGTGATTCAGTCTGGAAAAACTCAAAAGTGCCTTGAGATGTTTCAAGCCTCATAAGGTGCTACATCAAATGGAAACATTATTATCATATCAGTGACTCATTTTATGAATCACTGGAAATTAGAAACCAGTGTTGTTTTGGAGGAAGGGATGGGCCAATGTAAGTACACTTGTTTTGTCTTTATCATTATACACATAAAAAATCCATTCAGCATTAAATGCATTGCTATTGCATCAACAACAACAACTTGTATTTATACAGTGCCCTCCTGCAGGGTAGCATCCTTAATCACCATCGATTTATAAAATGCATCATTAATATAGGAAGAATGCTTATACAATACTTGGTGTAGCGTCTTATGATGTTGAAACATCTCAAGGTTGGCTATTTATGGGATTTCTCAATGTGCATCACACCTTATTTTATATTATTGTAAAAGGATTATAAATGCTCTGAATTCTTTTTTACAAGGCAGCGGCAGATTCCTGCAAACTTATGGGACATAGGAAGTTCTATGATCTGTTAATAGACGATGAGCTTCAGTTTCAAAGATCCCAAATAACAGATGAAGTTGATATTATCACACTGAAAGATTACATGCAGGTACAAACACTGGTACTACAATTTATTAATAATAAATCCGTGCATTTGATATAGATCCTTATCACGTCATTAAGACGTCTCAAACTGCTTCACAGAGTATATTGTAAAGTGGATTACCTGTATATTTTGGAAGCAAAAAATACAATTATATAAAAATTATTAGCAGTAATTGAATGGGAAATGTTTTCATTGTATATATCTTCCAACTCCTATATTTGTGTATGTTCAAAAACAAGTTATTGTATTGAGACAAGTTAACTGAAAGTAATATTTACCAGTTCTTTCAAAGTTTCTGTAAATTTTAGCAAAATATAAGGGCTGAAATTCTGCTTGCCGTTATATGCAGTGACAATGGTTATACAACTGTAATGGGCAAATCGCATCAGCAGCTGACATCCTTGATGCTACTATGGCCAGTAATACCAACCAGAACATTTCAGCCCACTAATGGGTAAAGGTCACTGTTGGGGCAGCACGCAACTATTCAGACCAATAGGTTGCAGTTTAAATCAATATTTGGCGCCGACTAAGCAGCAGTTGGAGAAGTGTGTTATAATTCGACTCAGTGGGTTAATGATGGGAAATTCAGAAACAGTGCCTACCTCACTGCTGTCTGAAACGCTGTGTGTGGACATTGGCCAAGGTTAATACCCCAGTAGAGGAATACTCTCTCCAACACTCTCCATCAAGACTCAAACATTAACAATAACCATTAGAGAAAGTATTTGAGGGCTTTGAGCCTCTGTGGCAATGTACTATAGCAGAAAGAAAACAAGCAATCTGTAGACGAGTAAATTGGTAGTATAAACGTTGACCATGGGATATAAATTGCTTACACTATTGGTTTGTTACTTGTTTCTGTTGTTGTCCAGTACCTAAGTTATCTGGATGAGACTCCAGCCCATCTTGGAGGCAAAGACAACAACTGGAGGATATTGTCCATGGACAACTTGCCCAGGACAAACCTTCTGTTTGATGTTGTAGAATATGCTCAAAGCAGAATTTTATCTCCACGTTTGAAGGAAGAATTACCAGTTCTACTTTCCTTGCCGACTTCTCAAGATATACAGCTTCAACATATTAAAGTTCTCTCTCAGATCAGGTATCTCAAAGAAGAACTCACTTTGGAAAATCTGTACACTTTCATATACTGTATTAAAAAACTTTTCACTATTGAGGACTAATGCCATCGAAAAAATTAGTTTAAGACTGGTGTTTGTAAACGATTTTCAAAAGCAAATAAATCTTGCGTGTGATTTCTGCAGCCCTGGAGACTTCCAAACATCTCTGGAAGCACCATCTGTGATTTAGTTTAAAATTACATCTTGTGGTCAATTTGCAGAATTTTATGAACCAGCTCAGTTCTCAGCATTATTGGTAAACGATAGAACTTGTACTCTTAGTGTATATACAGTACTGTAGCAATACGGCATTTAAATTGTTTCTCAAACAACAATTTTGGAACAGAAAGATTTCAATAGAACAATATGTTTCATTGTTTAATTCTAGGTCTTCATCTCCAGCTACCTCAGTCTCTCTGCGCAAAGAATCAAAGACACCAAGAAGCTCACAACGTCGTTCTCACAAAGCACGACTAAAATTTAACAAAATGCGAAAGATTTATGGATTGGATTGCAAAAAAAAGGTAGAAACCTGATTACGTACGATTGTTCACATGGCCACTTCATGTAGCACCAAAGTCAATTACGATATTTAAAGGAGAATTAGATGGACAATTAATTGATTGTGAGTATAAAAGGTTTTGGGGGGCAGAATAGAAAAATGGGATTAGAATATTCAGATCTAAGTGGGAGAGGAGAGGTGGATAGCCATCTCCTGTGCTAACATTTGTGTTTCTATTTGAAAGCCTTAGGGTGGGTATTATGAAAGAATGAGATCAAATTTGCCGAGCAGCCTTCTTCATTCGTATCTATTGTGATTTTGTGTTATTGCCTAACAGATGCTGAGTATTTTCTAACTTGACATGATAGATACCTACATAACAGATGGGAAAAGAAAAGTATTATACAAATACAATACAAATTTACAATTAAAGTTGGGTGGATGTCCCAAGGTGCTTGACAGGCCTTGCTTGGCACCCTAGTTGATGGTGGGAGCCGAGGGTGGTGGGAAGGGGAAAGATGATTGAATGTGCAGTCAAAGAGGAAGGTCTTGAGAAGGACATTAAAGAGGTGAGGGAGGGAGCAAGCCAGAGGGACTCCAGGATTGTACTTTAGAATGAAAGTTCTTCCTCTTTTATTGCTACTTATTTGGTATTACAATAACTTGGAAAATTTGACCAGAGGAGCTAAGCAGCAAATACTATTCTAAAGACCTGGAGAATTATCTTATTCAATTTGATAATTTTACAGAAGTACCTATTAAGCACAGTCATCTGCTCCAAACAGTCAGATTCTGTGTTATAACAGGTTGTGTTATATAAATGGCTGCCAGTCATCAAGTTGCTGCTGTTGCTCCTGTCATTTTCCAGCAGCCACCTTCCTGCACAGGAGTGTAACTTGCAGGAAGCCAGCAAGGCAACAGCAACAGATCTTGCCAGTATTTTCAGGGATTGCCAGGATGCTGCCAATACTGGGTGGCTTCCTGTACACAGGAAACAATCAGGCAGTGTCGTAAACCAGAGGTGTAATGCACTTCTGATAAAAGCCAGGTCCATGGAGTAGCCGCGCTATAAGCGCGTACAACAATACTACAGTCATGAACTGCAGTGATGCTATCACTTTAAACTTCTTAATACTATTTTGCACCAATTTGTTTTTCAGGAGGAATTCATAAAAGCAACTCATGAAGCAGCAGATGATCATCCTCAAGGTGTCACAACGTCTGCACTTGATGAAATGTATCCAGTTCCTAATACAGCATCAGATGAAGAGTGGGAGAAAGAAGTGGAAAAGCTGTATGCTTGGACTCAGGAATTGTCATTTGAATTTTAGGATTACATTTTAACTGAAAATGTAATGATTTGTAAATGGCACCACATCAGATCAAGCTAACCCATGTTTTGCATTGTCAAATCTAATGCTGTTATGGAATAGTAGTTTATGGTTGGTAGTTTTGTGAACCAATAAACAGTGTACACAGTGTATTTGATATGTGCTTAGAGTGTACATTAAATACAGCCTGCAATTTTAACGTAATGAAGTTCTGAGGATAGTTATTTATCTGGCTGTTAAATATGGCAGTATCTGAAAGTGTTATATAGCAGAACTTCACGAATCCAGTCACTCAAGTGACCTACTTAAATGAGGTGACTGTAACAGGTCGGGTGATTCAGGTCACTGATGTAATGTTAAGGGCATTGGTAATGGGTAAGGGTGATGAACATTCAACCGTACTTCGCAATCTCAAATAAAATCAAAACATTGTCACATTTAAAACAGATCTCGGGTTTCATTATTCAAAGTTCACATGAGAAGTTAAAATCACAAAGTGTTCATTTCTTGGAAGAAAGAGTCTTGTGTTCTTTGCCTGGCTGATGATTTAACCTGCACTACCTTGGCCAGCAGCTGACCCTCGACATCAGCCAAAGTCTTCCTCACATCAGTCCATGATCAAGGCAAAAGTCCCAACAAACCCAGTGCATCAGCATAAGTGAGAGGGGGCTTTGATGTTGTGGGTTGCTCTTCCTGTTCCTTCTCTGTGTCAGAGGATTGATTTCAAGATCCTCATCCTCACCTACAAGGCCATTCACGGCCTTGCTCCCTCCTACCTCTCCAACCTACTATCCCCCTACCTACCTGCCCGTACCCTCCGTTCCTCTGGCTCTGGTCTGCTCCACGTCCCCCGCCCCAACCGCCCTACCATCGGTGGTCGGGCCTTCAGCCTCTCAGCCCCGAGGCTCTGGAACTCCATCCCCCAGTGCCTTCGCCTTGCTTCCTCCCTTTCCTCCTTCAAGGCCGGTCTCAAAACCTTTCTCTTTGACCGTGCCTTCAGCTCCCCTCTCGACTCTCTTCCCCCTCCTCGCTCCCTCCCTTCCCTCCCCTCACCCTGACCATTTCCCCCTCCTCGCTCCCTCCCTTCCCTCCCCTCACCCTGACCATTTCCCCCCTGCTCGGGTCATGACCCAACTGTGCAGCGCCTTGGGACGTCCTCCTGACGTGAAAGGCGCTTTATAAATGGAATCTTGTTGTTGTTGTTGTTTACAGCAATTTCTTGTGAAATACTTTGATCCACCATAAAAATGTAAATTCTTTAATCCACTGTTGCAAATTAATCTGGTAGTGAATTAAATATCAAAAGTTTTAGGCACGAGTGGTCTAAAATATTCCCCTGGGTCTCAGTGTGTTGTTGTTGTCCTATCCGTCGGTGTCCCTGGTATGAACTCCCCCACTAGACGCGCTTCCCATCCCTCATTCAAGTCCTTAGTAGAGGGCACATCACTGTTGATGGTTGCATACTCGACAGTGAGGATAGGGGTGTCCAGTGACAGGGACCGACTGGCCTTAGACAACAACTGGCAAAGTGGTACATCATCATCAGGGTCCTCCACAGGCTCATCCACACTAAAGCCAGCCTTGGCAAAGCACTTCCTCATTGCTGATCTACACCCCATGTTGACTGCTGAATGAATCCAGGTGAATGCATGAAGAACATTGATGGATTTCACGACTTGTGAAGCCTGCACACCTTTAGCCATCTCTCCAAGAACCTGTCTCCATGTGTAGAAGACTCCACCAGTAGTGCATCTTGACATTCTTGATGATGCCCTGGTCAAGGGGCTGAAGAATGGATGTAGTGTTAGCTGGGAAAAACACTTGACATTGGTTAGAGTAGAAATGCTGTGAGGGTGAGCTGGAGCATTGTCCAGAAACAGCAGCACATGCCTGCTCTGTGCCCGCATTGTTCTATTGAAGGTCTGAAGCCACTTTGTAAAAATGGAACTGGTCATCCATGCCTTCTTGCACCATTTGACGGGAAGCTGTCTTTTCTATCGTAACTTTCCATTCAAAATCTCCCTCCATGTTGACTGTTAAAGACATAGCTCTGGTGTACGCAGAATTAGCATCAAAAGCTTGAGGACAGGTGGGACTTTGAAAGGAGGAAACATTTTCAGGCGTATTATGCTATTTGTTCTCATTCGTTAATAGACATCGTCTCTTTTATGCATGATATATTCTGTCATCAGATTCCCATTGAAGGAGTACTATACAGTACTTTGCATTTCCATTCCTGGCTGGTACACTTAGATTTCTGCTCAAACATCTCTAGTTCCATTGAACTTAATTTCCGACAAAAAAAAAAGTTCCAACTTCAAAGTTTATCACAGTCGCCAAAGAGCAGGTAGGAAGTATCAGTCTCACCCACTCCTCCACCTCTTAGAATCCAAATTCATTAGAATTGCAGCCTCAGGAAAAAGAGGCATGGATTCAGTTTGTGAGTTCCCAACCCCAGAGCAGGGAAAATTAATGCAGAAGTGTGGACTGCACTTATCCACCCTCTAGTGGCTGCTTTCGGAGCAGCATAAGGTACTTGCCCTATGCACTGGGGACACGTGCTTCAAAAAGTGAGAGCTGCATATCAAGTCAAACCTGGAACCTTTATAAACCTCTTAAACACAGAGCCATTGGGAGAAGTTTCATTCGACCAAGAAGAAAATGAAGAAACCATCAACAACAATATGAGTCAACACCTACCGGGTTACCATAATTGTATCATCATCGGGAATGAATAAGGTATTCACTGTTCTTCGACAGATTTTTATAAAGATGGAAATGCAAGTGCACAATTATTGGGTGCTCCCTCTACACTATTTCAGCTCAAGGCTGCATGAATTAAGGAAAATGTTGAGCTGTGCCACATTATCACAAAAACAAGGGTAGGAGCAATAAATTAGAAAACAAACGAGTTTACTCTTTGGCATTAGAAACTGACAGAATTGGGATATAGCTCACAAAACAATTTCTGAGATTCTTCCGTTTAACAGTATGTGGAGGTAGCAAATAGTTTAATAATCTCTTAAGCAACATTGACAAAAAAATAAGGTCCTCTTAAAAGTCAACTTTTATTTAACATTTTTTTACATTTATTACAAATATCTTCAGCTTTAAAAAGTCACAATGTTTTGTGGAGATTTGCCACTGCTTATCAGGTGGACATTTGAATTGTACTGCAGTGTGGTTCCAACTTTTCCAGTTAAGATATACAGTTCATATAAATGATTTGAAGCTATAAATAGTAAAATGTGAACAGTCACAAATATTTAACACGTAAATGCATTTCTAGCTCAGGCCTGCCTTTTGAGTTTCTTAGTGTCTATTACTGTTGATCGAGCTGGTTCTCAACAATACAATATCTGGTACATTTGTGGCTCTTGAATGATAAGATTTATCTTAAAACAAAACATTGTTACAGTAGTGAGAAAATAAGAGATCACTTCATACCTTCCCCTCACTGACTGCTTTAGTGAAATAACCCCCAAGCTCCATATTTAGGATTTATGGGTCATCACAAATTCATACAAAAGCCTGAAACTGAACATCAAACTTTAGATTTGCTGTGTATTTTTAAGTGTCCCGAATTTAGTCACTGAAAAGTAATTTGTCTGTAGAAACCCTCGACAATGTGCGTCAAAACTTAACTTATAGGCACTTAACTCCCAGACTTCACTAAGTTACCAAAATTGTTTGGGGGACAGTGGGAACTAATGTCAGTGTTTCATAGTGCCTGTTCAAAGTGATCTGTACATTAAGGCCACCCTTTTTCCTGATCCTTATTGAAAAACTAGCCTCAGCACAAAAAGGTATCAGATGAAAAGCAGATCATTCAGTTCAGGGAGATATGTCGCAAAACAGTAATAATGTGGATGTTATACCTTTCAGTAGAAAGCCTATTTTTATTAATGGAATAGGATTTACAACCCAACAAAAATGGACCCGTTTTGCAAAGGATGCACCATACAGAACAATTTCTGAAAGGATGAATTGCAATGACTTAAGTGACCTGCAAAAGGTGGATGACACCTCAGCCATTCCTAGCTGGCATTTTGTAATTGACAGGCTCAACTCATTTCAGATCACTTAAACCTTACAACCAAGGCAAACAATTGTATGTGTAAAAGTGCCGAAAAATCAATTTTTAAATACAGTATTTTAGTTCATCTGTAGCCCAAGTTTGCAAGACGACAGCTAACTGAATACATTTAGTTGGAAACATGATATACACCCATCTTCCCACACAGTAAAAGATTCAATATTTACATTAAAACACTTTTTACACTTCCTGATATTCCTTTTACAATGTTTGACCAAAGCGACTCCTAGTTCTCTTGCAATAAAATCCATATATTACTTGTCCAAGTTTTGATTTCTAAAATTTGACGAAAATGATAAATTTCTATATTCAACAGCAAGCTTTGTGGAGGATAAATTGTTATGATGAATATGCAAAGAAAGTATACTGCTCATTCCGAAAAAGAGACCAAGGAAAGGGTAATAAAAATATACATTTAGGTGCATTTTAGAAAATGGCTTGTTCTTAGAACAGAACATAGCTTTTTTTAAAAAATAAAACTGCATTGTGCACCTCTCCACAATACAGATCATTACAACTCACATCCATGTGGAATCTTGACTACAGTAATTTATTTTTTAAAATAATTATCCTAGTGCTCAAATCTTGGATACATCAAACAATGATGAAATCTAAAGTTACAGGAAACACTCCAGGTAACTGAAAGGATCTCCCAGCAATCCTACATGAACCTTGCATTCGTGGAATTAAAGTACTTGGATAATGATCACATGCTGCAGCAATTTTGATTTCTGAAAATGATCATTTCATTTAATACAGCTAAAAAAGTAGAAGATTGTAGTCAAGTGTTTATGAAAAGTTAATATGAGAAGATCCACTGAATTATACATACAATAAGAGACTCAATGCTTCCATTAAGGTTCTCCTTTCAGTTACTTGATTGTACATTTCTTCCCTATTTTCCCCCACCCCCAATGTTCTTGCCTATTCTTGTGACCACAGTAGTCTTATCTGTAGCAAAATAAAGTCCCAATTTCAAAGAAATAATAATAATGAAATCTGTTCACAATTGCTACTGTGCTCGAGCATTTGATTTAGTTAGATTTGATCATGAGAAGAGATTTAGCAAATAGAAATAAAAAGGAAAAGTAAATATTTCTGTAAAAATACAAAGTGGGAAAAAGGGCCAAAATAATTAAAAGTAGAAAGAGGGAAATCAAAAAAAATTGCAAAATGTGAAGAGATTCAGGACAAATATGGTAAACACTCCAGAAGTTGTACAGAATCCAAAAGTGTGAGTAAGAGGCTGCATGGGAACTAGGAGCTAGTCAAGTACAGTTTAAAACTTCAAACAAGCTGCCTTAACAACATCTTAAGAGTCTGCAAAGATACGTTTGTAAAGATAAATGGTACAGACGGTTTATGAATCTAAAATCTACCAATAAAAATCTCAACAAAGCCCACATACCAGAATGAAAATAATTGTTTTTAAAAACACTGAAATGCACAGGAAATATGTACGCAGCTTCTCTTAGTATCTTCTATGTGAAGAACAATATTGTTTGCAATACTGTATGATTGGTTCTGACAGAAATCCTTAAAATGTTACTTTTCCTACTAGTGAATTAATGTAATGTAGAACAAAATCTTAGTCATTCTGAGCCATACCCACATTTTAGGTACATCGTCGAATATGCTCCAATATGAAGTCAGGAAAGTAAAGGCTGCAGACTTGCAGGCCGTCCAGCTTACAAGGCATCCTTGGGTACTCATCTTCTTTCCACTTATTTTCCTCTGGATCAAAGGTAAGTATGGAGTCACTATACTGACCATTGTAACAAAGGCCACCAAGGACCATTATTTGCTTTTCAACTACTGCCACCCCATGTCCACTTCTTCCAATCGGCATCGATGCGAGGATAGTCCACTGATCTGTATCAGGGTCATAAACTTCTGTAGATGGGCAGCCTTGAGACTCAAAAGAAGCCCGTAAAATTACACACACTCCACCAAATACATAGAGTTTCCCATTGTGGGCAATCATTTTATGAAAACACCTTGCATAATTCATTTTGGCCTTGTTCTCCCAGCATGTTGTAACCACTTGTGTTCTCCTTGTCCGCTGTTCTACAGTCCCTTCTTTACTGGGATCAAATACACAGACTTGCTTGGAGGTTGACGAGGACATTATTCCTCCAGTTATGTACAGCTTATTATTGAGAACAGTTCCTTCATGGCCATATTTATTAACTGGATAGGGATCAATGAATTCCCATTTGTTTTGCGTGATATCATAACGTTCTGTTGAATAAAAGGTCTCATCTCGTGTTCTCCCTGCCACAGCATAGATGTACTTGCCAATAATACCAACGGCAAACTCTGACCGAGGGACAGACATGTCTGACATTCTCAACCATGAATTTTGTCGGGGGTCATACCTAAAGACTTTAGAAGAGGCATGAAACTCACCATCTGGCCCCAGCTCTTCCCCACCCAAGAGGAACACAAAGTTGTTGAGTATAGCAAGACAATCTGGTCGCAAAGGTACCTGAGGGCCTTCCAATTCCCACCAGACTCTAGGCCTGTGTAGGAGAAGAATCTTACTATTCACCATGCTGTGTCCAATCATTCCTCGGAAAACTGCTGTCTGCGACTTGGCAGAGCGGATGTGGTTAGATTTCATCTCCAGCAGTGGCTGCTGATTAACATTCTGAAAATAATTTAACGCCTGCTCAACCTCAAAACGTAGCTGCCGAGAGTAGCGATAAAATTCAGATGGCTTTACCTGGGAAGAGACAAGAATAAAATAAAACTGACAATTTAGAAGAAGAGGAGATTACGTTCAAATAGCACAGAAAAGAAGTTCCTATAGTATACTTTCTCCCAGTTAGATTGGTAATCCTGGTTTACAAAAAGATTTACAATATGAAGTCCCCATCCAAAATAATACACTGTACTACAATTCACAAAAATGACTGACTGCTGATAATAATCCTTGCATTTGATATAGCACCTGATCACATCATTTAAATGCGCTTCACAGGAATCACTTTAAAGTATAGTGACTGTGTATTTGTAGGCAAACTCAACAGCCAATTTGCGCACATCAATGTCCCACAAAGAGCCACAAAGCCAATGATTAATTTTATCTTGGGGATTCTTTGCTAGGACACCGGGAGAAATTGTTCTCTTTCCAAACAGTGCCACAGGATCTTTAACATTAACCTGGAAAGGGAGAGGGGACCTCAGTTTAATGTTTAATCCAAAGGATGGCACCTACAAAAAAGCCTCTCCCAGCATTGACACTTCATGCAGCCTTGCCTGTCCTTGAACCCACACCCTTTGACTTACAGACACCAATGTCCTATCGCCACCAGCATTATTCTGTTCAGATGGTCAATCACCTTTTACAACTCCAGGCTGCTATGTGACTTTTCAGTTTAATCACAATGTAATCCCAGCCTTCATGCACCAGTTACTCAAATTAGCTACATTAGCTGTTGCAAATTAGCTACAGGGACAAGGAAGCATTGGCCTGAATCCAATCACAAAACAAAGGTAACACTGTACTGCCATGCATAAATGCAATGCAATTATATTAGATGCAAGGCACTCTATGGATTGAAACAAAATTTGATACCACTCTTAACTTTTCCCACTCAAACCAATGATGGTGACTGAAGACTGAATGTAAAGAACAAATTTACTTAATATTGTACTTGTACCAAACGGCAGACATCTGGAATCTTATCTCCGCAGAAGGTTAAAAAACATCAAGTGGCAAAGGAGTGGTAATAGAATTAGAAGACAAAGTTTTTAAAAAACATATACCAGGTTTAACTACTAAACCGGTAAGCTCCCCTTGATGAAATACTATTTAGACAAGTTTCAATAGAGTCCAATCTGCAGTGCTTCTTAAAAGATTTCTTAAGTAAGAAATTCAAGTTACATCAATGGGGAATCCTTCCAGTAACCGGACGTTGTGTAACACACAAACTCCCAACTGACTTGACTTTTCAGAAGATTAGTTAGTAAAGAATCCCATTAAGAAATATCGCAAATTATGTGACAGCAGATATATCGGAGCTGAATACCACACTAGGTCAATACACTTTGGAGTTTATGTATCAGTACAACCAGCAGGAACAAAGTGTGCATTTCACAGCACTCAAAAGTCTCTCTCAACTACGATGTAGCAATTATTTGTACCAGACATCCTTGTTCATTTGCAAACTCAAGAGCATCAGTGCTCTTACTGGATATAGACCACAGAAGCTGAACATTTGTTTCTGAAAATGAATTCATATACAATACTTTAAAAGATTTGGGAAAAAGTAGATCAATTTATGTACACCGATTCTTTAGACTTCAATGTGATCGTCATCCCAAACAGGGAGTATGATTGATACCAATTTCGAAATCACACACTATATCCTCCACACATGCCACCATCCCAGACAGCACCCAAGTTGAAAATTGAGTGACGACTGCCCTTTGATATTTGCGCAGTTTGATGTAGATAAAATCCAGTGCATTAAGCTTCAGGGTCTGTCGAGCAACACTAGACTTCATTTGGTCATATTACAATAGGACTTTAGGTAATATAATGCGACAGACCAGAGAAAGGGAACGTTCCAATAATATTGCAATAAAAGATTATTGCACAATGGCATATAATGGCTGCTCTTATTTAGTACAAACAAAAGGGGCATTGCAGAACAAATCTCAGTTGTTTTTATGCACAACAAAGATTATAGTTGTATACATCAATTGGAGTGTATGCTCCTGTTTCGTATACATTGCTGAGGTGCAGTAGAACCATATCTGCTAACCTTGTACTGAAGGCTTACAACAACAACTTGCATTTATATAGCACCCCTCATGCACGGGAGCGCCCCAGAGCGCGTAGGCATGTAAGTGCAATTCAGGAAATAGTTTCTTAATTAAAAAGAAAATCACTTGATTATTTATCATTGTGTATTTTGCACAAATAATGATGTAAAACACAAGAACCACCCTTATATTTATTCATGACCTGTCGCCTGAATAACTGATATATAAATAACTAAGCGGTGCAGGGCATTTAGGAACAGATGGACAAAATGGAAAAACAACAGTGGCAGGACTGAGCTGACTTTCCAATCAATTTCTTTTTAAATCACGTGCAGTGGCACAAGGTGGTGAAGAAAGTTGAAAGAATTCATGAAACAGGAAACTGGACAAATTGAAAACTTATTAAAACACAATCGTGGGAGTTTGTCCCCTGCTGCTAAACTGGTGAGCCATTCTGCAGGCAACTGGAGCCCTCCTTTACTTCAGCAAAGTATCCATGAGCCTGAACAGCGAGTCTCACTAGGCTACCCAATAATTCTTGTCATCACAATGCAGTCTTTATCAGTCAGTTGTATTTCCAGAAGGAGTCACTGGACAGTAATGAGGGGAACTTTAACTAATGTCTTCCGTTCCCGAGACTGGCAACCCTAAGGAATGAAACCTGGCAACTTCCTGGACTGTATAGCTCAATAGCACACCATAGGACACCAGGGGAGCTCACAAGTTTAGGATAACCCCAAGAATACATTTATGGGCAATGTTACTTTGATTTCACTCGTATTTGAACAGCTGAGTGCAGGATTCTTAGAACTGGTAATCTTTCACCAGTGTAAACAAGTTGCACGTTTTCCATTGCAGCAACATGCCTCAGATGGGATAATCTCAAGAGATTTTACAGTTTCCAAGAAAACAAAAAACAAGTTTAGCACTGAAAAGGAAGTCAGTTGTAAATCTAGTAAACACACTTACTCAGAATGGAGAAAGCACAGTCCTATAAATTCAACATACAATGAGTGCAATACTGTTTAAATTGAATAATAAATCATATATAATGGCAGTGGGAATAGATTAAAGGATGATGTAGCAGTATATTATTATTTTTTTGTGTGACTGCTTGTCAGTAAGGAAAATTAAAACAGTAAAATAATAATCCAATTTACTTGATTACCTAAAGAACAGAAATGTTTTATCAGACTTTGGAGAAAAACTTGTATTAGTGCACACATTTTGGAAACTAGCGTTTTTAAATACAAGACAAAATGTGTGAATTAAATGTGGCATCAACAGAGGATTCTCTTGGTCCGTGAGGCTGAGCACAACTTTGTCCAGGTCACTGTTCCAAGCTCAGCCTCTTATGGACTGGACACACTGCCAGCTTTCTTTTGATTAACAGGGGAAATGGCAAAACAACATTTCTATATTACTACCTACTACAATATTTTCAAAAGAAAATTTGAAGTCCTTTGGGACATGGCATTAATTTAAGACAATCATAAAATTATACGGAAGGTTAGAAAAAAGGTTGAAATGTGAAATTGTCCACCACAAACTGTGGTTGAAGTTAAGTCTAGAAATTCTTGTAAGACGGAATTAGATGGGATGCTTGAAAAAGTAGAATATTGAATGGTATGGGGAGATAAGCAGGTGATTGCAATGAGATTAGGAGGCTCGTGTGGAGAAAAATAGCTGACTTGGTCTGTGCTGTAAGATTTTATAGTCTGTTTCTGTGCTGTATTATTCTGTTTCTACAACCTAGGTCACTTACCATTAGGTTTTTTAAAACTTATCACATATCATGCCTTTATTCCCCTTAGCTGTGCTCAGAACATCTTGCTGCAAGTCGCAGATTCTACTGTATTTTCTTTTTCCTCTCATCCTATTCCCCACCTCCCCTCCTGAGTCTTAATCAATTTTTCTTTCTATTTCGGAGAGCTCCATGGGTAGCTGCTGATATTTTGTCCAGGTGGCTATTGTGTGTGTGTTCACAGTGCTTTTGACCATTGTGATATCAAAGCAAAGCCTCATGCAATTTACACATGCACAAAGATACTTGGCTGATTTTTCCCTCCCTATCCCGAGGTGATGAGCCAATCACTCTTACCACTCTAGCAGAGATCGGCTACCTCAGCACAGCCTGGAGTATTCCTGGCTCTATGTTTCAGTTTCTCATCAAGCCTTTTATTCAGGTTTTTTTATTCCCAATACGTACACTTTCATGTGCTGGGTTTAAAATGAGGCAGTCCATTTTGCATGGCTGCCATGTTGCTGAACAATATGAGCTGTAAAAGTGTGAATCCGCTTTCTCTTCAACCCAAGTAAAACACCAAACAAACAAAAAAAACACATCTATTTTGCTCAAAAAAGTTTCTGTAATTGTATCACAAACGTGTACATTTTCACATTAAGAATAATGACAATTACAGTTGCTAATACTGCCAAATTGACTGTTTCCCTCCATCTCACAATTAGAAATGAGAAAATAAGGGAGGGTTAGTTGACTGGAGCTCCAACACAATCCATCCGCACAAACACTCTACAACTCAATTCTATTATGCCACAGAAAACTCTTAATATGATGTAAACTTTTCCCCTTTGCTTTGACTTAAATTAAAACCATATGTGGCATCACCAATTTACGCTGTGAATAGTATACAGCATTTAACATGTACTAAAGATATATAGTGAGCACAGTTATGAAATATTTGTGTGAAACTAGAACAACGCTAACTTGGAACAGGAAACACATTTGATTTATTTAATGGATAATTACTAATTATAACTGTATGCATGATGGGCGAAATGGCCTTCTTCTGTGGTATAAGTTTCTATGGGTTATTGTGCTTAAAGGAAAGATGGTGGAATTAGATTTTCATACAAGTTTGGATGATATTGCTGGTCTAAAAAGGATGATTTAAGTCAGAACTCAATCTTACAAAATTAAGTTCAATCATGTTTGCATCAGTGAATGGAAATTCTGAATGTAGATTAAATTCCATTGGATAGAAATATAAATTGCTTATGGTATGGAGGCACAATGCACTGGAGCAGCAATACTGAGCCATGGAGCGTAGGACACAGGTTCAATCCCTTACTCAGACACGCTGCTGTGGGGAGGCATCTCCCTATAGGAGGAAAGGGAGAATCAAAAGGAAGAATAAAGAATACTGCTCAGGCTATTCCCCATCCCAGCCCGTCTCTTAGTGCCTACCCCAAACCCAGGCTGACCAACTGCCACTTAGTTGCAGAAAGTGCACGGCCAGCAGAAGAAAGAGTGAGAGAACAAAGCATTTCCTGTTTAACAACCGTCCCACACTCACACAAATTCAATGATTAGCTTCCACCCATTCCTCACAAAGTTAGAAGACATAATAGGGAATATCCTGCAAACAGGGATATGTACTCAATTCTGGATTTGTGCAGATATGAAAGATACAAGTGTTACAGTATAATTGTCTTCTAAAGGACACGGTCATTATCAAGATCTGCCCAATAAACATTTGTTGGCTTTACATATTCCACTTTCTTTGCATGTATTTGCTTTGACTGTGGTGGATAAAAATGTAATGGGTTCTGCACAGCTTCTCATTAATTGTCGTCGCAAACATCCTGACCTGCACCATGCTGTGTGGAAGACTAAACTTATTATCCAGATGTTTGATGGATTTGAACAAGATTTGTTCACGAATACAAAAGAACCCCCTACCCCAATACCCTCCTCGTCATAGATGTACCGCAAGAAGAGCACAACCAGCATCTCTTTAAACAAAGACCAATTCTGAAATGACTGGAGGAGAGCAATATTTCACTTCATGGGTTCGAAAACAATCGTTAATTCAAATCGATCCCACAAAAGTTACAAAAATGTTCTTCCATCAATGCTGGAAAATCCGCCCAAAGTTTTCTCCAGGCCAATTCCTCAGGGATATTTTCAGGATCAGCCCAGTGAATTGATTTTACTCTTAAGATGAGGATCCTTGACTGTGGGCTTTTATGGGACAATCTTATTTCAAGCATTCATTCTCACAATCATTATACTACACTACCTCATAGTACAAGGGAGCAGGACCAGGTCCCAGTTCCAATGCAAGCAGAGCCCTACCAAAGATCACAAGAATCTGCTTCTCAGTGTCTAGCAACGTAGCTCAGACACTTGGCTACGACACTGTACTAGAACCACAAAGCCCTCTGGTTTAAAATTTGCCACCTGGTTTTATAACACAGTAAAGATATTTACATGGAAAAACTGAAACTATTGGGGACATTTGGTTAGGTTCTTTGGGATGCATCTTTTTAAAAATTTCCTTTGTTATCTTATTTTGAAATAAAATTATGTTTTAAACAACATTGAAATAACACCTCACCAACCCAAGAAATAATGCAAATGTAAAGAATTTAGTAAAAAAAATGGAGGGTAGAGGCAGACAGAAAGTATGTAAAAAATTCAGTGATTACGAGACCGGCAAAAAGATTCCCACAGCTAGATCACCTACTATACATACAGCACTTTAGCTAAGAGACGGCCCTAGGCCACTGGGTTCAAACATACTAACCTTTTCCAAAACGTTTGTTGTGTTCATCAGACAAAACCTGACATTTTGAACAATGGCATCTGTGTGCCTCCAGCGACTTCGGTCATGTCTCAGCCAGGCTTGTGCTGCCTCAAACAGCTCAATCTCTGGGAACCTGCTCAGTTGATCATTCTCCAAACATGACAAAAGCTTTTCAACACTCAAGTAGGACAGAAAGTCAGCTCTAGACATTAGTGGCACAAAATTGTCCAGCAGGAACTTGTCCAGTTGCTCTTTGATACCATCTATATTAACACTGAAATCATCTAAGAGTCGCATAATTTCTGCACAGTTGTCCAAGCAGATTTTTGACAACAGGAAAGAACAGCAGAATTTCACCACTTCAGTTAGTTGGACATACATGGCTGCCTGCAGAATCTCGTGGACTGTGCTCATGTTCAGTTCAATGGAGCCATAATACATGAACTGAAGGACATGGCTGAAGCCTGTTGGAGTGAGACCTTTGAGATGGATCTTATTCTGATCCCGTTCCCTCATGTCTGCTGTGAACATTATTCGAAAGTAGTCGCTCTGTGTAGCTAATAGTGCCTTGTGAGCCTGGAACTGGTGATCCTCGATGACCAGAGTAACATCGAACAGTAATCCCTCTTCATACAGGGTTTTGAACCCCGAAGAAACGCAGGAGTCATGAACAGAAGAGTTGTACACATCCACATTTCCTGCCATTAATAACCTGAAAGAAACAAAACAAGAAACCTTAGGACAGTTCAAAGAGCAACTGTAAATCAAAATCTACGTTTAGGAATCAAACCCAACTAACTGCTCATGTTTTTTGTACATGTAATGGATAAATCCACAAGTCTACACTTTGACTATGAATAATGCTGGTTAATTTCACATTTAAAAAGCCACGCCAGCTAAATCAATCGGTAAGATTCAAAAGCTTCAAGAATTTAAAACGTTTATGAAATAGTAAAAATGATAGTCAAAGTACAGATGGTAAAATGACAAACTGTTTGAGTAATGTTTAAAGAAAATCATCAAGTCCTTGGAATCACTGAAAGTGTATAAATCTTCCTATTTAAGGTCTCGGAAAGTGTCACAGATTTGGAAACAAATGTGACTCTCTAACACCCCCAGAGTTGATAGACTCAATCACAAAGCATCGATGCCTTTTGTCACAACATATAGGGAACCAGTCAATTAAACAAATCAAGTTATTTTTGTATTCACATTGTAGACATCTGATATTCAATTCACATGAAGAAAGTCAGTGACAATTGATATCACAAAGTGCAGATGAAATACTTGATCAATAAACAATACCAGTTTGAAATGCTATTTGCCAGGGGTTTGAGGCAAGTAAAACTTTATATACAACATTTCATTGGCTGGTAAACATTAAAATGGAATGCTCCAGTTTAGTTCTAGCGAGTTCTGTAGAAATGAAAGTCCAGTTTTCCTGTTCAAGACTATATTAAAGACCCTATGGCACTATTCGAAAGAATAGGGAGTTTCTTGGCCAACAATTCTCCAGATAAATTGGTCATTCAAATCATGGCTGTTTGTGGGACTTTGTGCACAAATTGGCTGTTGTGTTTTCATTTAACAGCAAATACCTGTGAAGCAGTTTGACATGTTTCAAAATTGCAGAGCTTATATCAAATTACGATGTGATCCAAGACATCAGTCTCACCACAAAAGTGAGAACAGTATAAGAATGTCACAGGAAAAAGATTGCTGAATCAAAGTTGCAACGTACAATCAACTACAATCTTAAATCCAGACCAACACACTGCCTCACCAAAAAGGAAAAACAGTGACAAGCCTGCTGCAATTTGAATTATTAAAAAGTTGAAATCCTAGCCAGGTCATTGAAAATACTGAGAGCAGATTCTAGCTTCAACTGCTGAGAAGAGGAAACTGGCCTAAGCTTCTCTTCCAACTCTTAGAAGTGTCATAAAGTTTCTTTTCTATCTTCCAACGCCTTTCCCGTTAAGAACAAAATAATTGCTTTAATAGCACTTTATGTTGTCAAAATGTCTCAAAGTGCATCACAGGTAATTACCCATAGTGAGTGTAGTGATTTTGTAGCTAAACAAGCAGCCATTTACACCAGCAAGATACCACAATCAACCATGAGGTTGATTAATTAATCTGGAAGATTGTTGGTAAGCACGGTAGCCAACACAACAGATAGCATTGCCTGCAGTTTTTAAGCAAAAATGATAAGGTACATACAGGTTAAATTTAGAAATGATAGTTCGAGTGCACATAACTGACGGCACAAACCATCATATGTGCTGAACCGATTACCGATGATGGGACAGAAAGGACATATGAAGCAGGCCAGTGCCTGGCAAACAGGGAGTAAGTTGGTGGGTGGGGTCCACCCAAGTTTCTTCCCTCCTCTACTCTCCTCAGTAGATATGAGTTTCCCTAAAGCAAGGAAACCTGTGTAGCATTTACCATTTTACATGTAAAGCTGCTCACTGAGGCCATCACAAAACAATAGAGTCGAATTCAAACTCTGAACGCTAGATAAGATGTACTTTATGGGGAGATCACAGAGAAGGCAAAAACAAAACACATCATGTCCACATGTATTCATTTCCATGAGGGTCACAAAGTATTAATATGAGCAGCAATCCTGGCTGAAGCCCAATAAAAGAGACAACAGTGAATTTGCCAAAAAATCAAAACTTCTGGATTGATTTAAACTATAATGGAAAATCACAGAATATTTTATGTGTATTAGATTGCATCCGACATCCATTAAAACTTCTCCCTCAATGCTCATACCTGTATTCTCAAATGCAATCATGGAAAAAGTACAAAGATCACCAAAGCCACAAGTCAAACAGGAAGGTCTCACACAAACCTCGAAAGAGACAAGGGAGGGAGCAAGGTGAACAGACTGGATCAAGTTCCAGAGAGCAGGGGCAGAAAGGCTGAAGGCCTGACTGCCAATGGTGGGACAGAAAGCACAGGAGATATGAAGCAGGCCAATGCCTGACGAGCAGGGAGTGAGTTGGTGGGTGGGCTCCACACAAGTTTTTTCCCTCCTCGACTCTCCTGAAGAATATAATTCAGCTCGGACTCGAGGCTCACACTCCAATGCAATATTGGATGAAGGTTAGATTGTCAGAGGCGCTGTCCTTCAGAAGAAAGTATATCAAACTCCCTCCTGCCCTTTCAGGTGGACATTAAAGACCTCAAGTCATTACTCATAAAGAACAGGAAATTTCCCCAGTGTACTGGCTAACAATCCTCCAAATAAATTGGTCAATCACCTCATGCCCAGTTTTAGGACCTTGCAATAGGAAAACCTGCTGGAACATGGTTCCATAGTTGTGGTAGCCTCACTCAAGCAGCCAGTCTTTACAAATAAGCCTACACACAATATTATCAGGCCAATTAACCACAATAGACATCATAACTGACTCCAAAGGCATCTTCAAACAATATGCAAACACAATTCAGTTGTTTGAGCAATTGTAGCAAAGCATCACTATCTTAATTCCAATACGTATGTGATAGGCCTAAGAGGAAAGGGTGATATGCTCAAGGGCTTTGTCACTTGGAAAGAGACGGTGGAGGGTTTGGATCATGCCTCTGTTTACCTAGCAGTAAGTAGGAACCTGGTTGTTAATCGATTGGGGGATTGCTTTTCCAGTAAAAAATCCTTCAAAATAAATGGATAGCAATGATTGGAAACAATGAGCATTTTCTCATTTTTTGTGCTCATCATTCTAGGATTGAAAGACATGCAATATTGTTATGAAATTGCAGCTAAACTTATAATTTAATTGTTTTTAAATATTAAATCCTTAGGACGATCACTTGAGTGAACATTTATTTTCATTTAGATTAGAAAGATGTTTTTACTTTCCTCCCAAGCTGATTCAGCTCTATCATGAGCAAAACAATATAGCATAATAATAATCTTTACATTTGTTATAGGACACATCTCAAAGCACTTCACAGAATTTACTCTAAAATGTGGGGACTGTATTATTTGTGGGTGCAAATGCGAACAAAGTAAACTAACTGTATTAATAGCACTCTGTGTTTGCAAACAACCATATTTGCTTACAAAACATTGCTTACAAAATCATATTTGCTTACAAAATCATGGTTTGTGTATCCTTGGAAGAATTTCAGGTGCATCAATAATGGTTTCCCGCATCATTCACTCTGTTCCCACTTCCCTAAGCCTCTGTGCCTCTTCCAGCCACACATTTAAAATATAGACAGCCTTCTGTGAATGGTGCCCCACAATGAAGGATCAGGAAGTTCAGACACTTGAATAACATGTATAACTCTACCTCCCTTCAACACATCTCATTATGGCTTGACCAACTTGTGTGCGTGTGTGTGTGTGTGCACGCGCGCGCGCTTGGGGGGGGGAGGAGAGAGAGTAATGCAAAACGAGAACCCACTATCTAGCAGTTTTTCTACAGTCCAGTTACAGAGGGCAATTTGGTCGTGTACAGCTTTCCAATATGCAGGTGCCTGTGCAATGACATGTTATCTCGGGTAGGCTGTTCATATTTTTAAACTGCTAGTGGCAGAGAAGTTTTGAAAAACGTGAATGTTGCAAAGAATAATTATTTATATATTGAATCCTTATGTGCAGCAAATAAGGCCCATTAAATCCCATGCTTTTAGTGTATTTGCAGCACCATATCCCAGCTAACTTTCTCATTGACAACAGTTACAAATAACCCAGCTTCACTCTCCATAAATGCAGAACATTTTTTTAAAAAAAAGTAACCGAGGAGCTCAGCTAGCATTCTGTCTGCATCTCAAACATACATGTATGGATTGTGCTCCAGGTTTGCCCATCATCCATTCTGGACCAGTTTGCTGACAATGTTGCACTACAGTTGGGCCGACATTTCTTTCTTAAGGGGGGAAATTTGACACAGTTATCTCACCCTGCTGCAAGTGGACCTTCTATGGGTTGATTACGCAGCGACATTGACAGCAGTCGTGGAGACGTCCGCAGGCCAGATCGTCCAGCACTCCTGCCTAAAGGAGGCTCCACACCAGCAAGTGGCTCCTGCAAAAAAAGAGGAAACATTCGGAGTAGAGAACAAAATAAGTTAATGTATTGATTTTGTTCCACCTGCTCATTGCTTATACAGTAGAAAGAGTGTCATAAGGAAGAGGCCATTTTCTTCTCACCCCCAGTCTGCTATTGCATTTTAACAAACATTCATTGTGCTAACTTAGACAGTGAGTGCCAGCACTACTGAGTCCAATCCTGTCCTCACCTAGTATTTGCACACATATCTCCTCCACCATGATTCATTGAATGTAGAGGGGAATCCCCCCCCCCCAAGCCTGAGGCCCCTAACCTAACTATACAGCCCCCTTATAACTGATAACAAAGAATCTTCTCGACCAAGAATCTTATGGTTCAGCTTTACTTCATGCATTTACACTCAATCATCAAGATATGAAATTACATGTTGGAAGATGTTCCTAATATACAATTATTCTTGAAAAAAAGTTTGCCAAACCACAACTATTGAAAAATTAACAATTAACAATTGCAGTTTCTTCCTAGCGATAACTTTCGCCATTTCAGAATGTGTCATTGGTCAATTATTTTTGGTGTTTCTAAAGACAATTAAGCATCTTAGAAATTGCACTATGTCAAAACTAAAATCAATTTTCCTAAACACTGGCGAGACTAACACTGACCTTTTAAACCAATAATATAAATTTATATTGAAAGTACAGCATCTTTATGTTGGGGCAGGCTTTATTACATGGTCGCAGCCCTGTGTCTTTATTCCATTTCACAATAAATCCGCAGCGATAATAAAAAATCTCTGCATTTGCTGCATATATTTTGAGATTTTGTTTCACTGCATCTTTTGAAGTTTACAAAGCAGTTATTTCTTCAACTCCTGCACAAACCAATAAGCGAGATGAGATGCAGACTTCATAGGCAGATGTGAAAGGTTACTTATGTGACAAAAAATGTTTGGAGATGGTGTTGTATGTGTGTGTGTGTGGGGGGGGGGGGGGGGGCGAGGGGAATAGACATCTTCTGGGCTAAGAATAAATAATCCTTGCATTTGATATAACACCTTATCAACAACAACAACAAGATTTCATTTATAGAGCACTTTTCACGTCGGGAGGACGGCCCAGGGCGCTGGACAGTTGGGTCAGGACCCGAGCAGTGGGGAAATGGTCAGGGTGAGGGGAGGGAAGGGAGGGGGCGAGGAGGGGGTAGAGAGTCGAGAGGGGAGCTGAAGGCACGGTCGAAGAGAAAGGTCTCGAGACCGGCCTTATCACGTCGTTGAGAGGCGCCTCAAAGCCCTTCACAGAATACATTGTAAAGTGAATTGACTGTATACTTTGTGGGCAAAGAAGAATCTTATGGAATAACTTGGAAGTTCGGTTTAGAAAACGAACAGGTGGCAAGAAACCGCAAGGAGTCAGCGGGGGGGGGGGGGGGGGGGGGCTGTGAACTCTTCAACCTTCACCTCCCCGGTTATCTCTCACACGGGGTGTGGGTGTGTGTGTGTGTGGGGGGGGGGGGCTACACGCTGAAAGGCTGCTCTTGGCTCAGGGGAAGGCGGGCATTTCACAGCCGCCGCTAAACACCCAGTTATCCCGGGAGCAGCGGCCCGGCCACGGCCCTCACTCACCAGCATCGGCAACAGCCACAGTCGGCACCGCCCGGCGCTCACAGCCCAACCGACCCCCCGCCGCCGCCGCCGTTTATCCGCAGCTCATCGAGGCTCCGGCCCTCGTTGACCCGCGGCTCCCGGGGCCTTGTACCAGGCGGTGATCAGTCGAGGCCGCTTCCTCACCCCTCCACCCCAGGGCTCGCTGTCAGCTCTGAGCCGCCGCCGCCATCTTCTCCTCCTCCCGCACCTCGGCGCCGTCCCGCCCTCACTTCCGGCGAGCGGATCAAAACAAGTGAAACCACTTCCGGGGCCACGGGCGGCACCGTCACACAAGATGGCTCCGGCGCGGCAGGTGAGGGACGCCCTGGTTACAGGCTGTCCAGAGGCCGCTCTGACTGAGGTGCTCCCACAGGGACTGACCAGCACTGGTTCAAAATGGGATAAATCACCATTTTTTTTTGGAGGGGGGAGAGAGAGAGAGAGAGAGAGAGGAGGAAGCGGGGGCTCCAGAACTGAACAACACAAACAACTTGCATTTATATAGACCAACACGCGGAGGGGACAGGGGCTCAGAGCACTTTGAACTGGCTCCAAGGTGACAGAATGTCAGAATCAAGCCAACCCCTCTGAGGTGGGGGCTGAAGCCCTGGGCTGGGGGTGTGGAGGGTCTGCAGTCCACCCGGGGCACTGCTGGTAACTGACCACCCTGGCTCATCCCTCCCTAACGGGTGAAGGTGGCCTTTGCCGGACAGTCGGGGGAAGCTTGGCCTGATATGCCAACCCCCTCCCGCATGGCCAGTGGCCCAGTTAACTGGTTAGCAGTACCTCCAAAAAGCAGACTTGCTTCTCCCCTCAGCCTTGGCTCCAGCCAATTTGCGCCAATTACTTTCCAGGATTAGGTAACAAGGTGCTATCCCTCCAGGCGATGGTGCATTTCATTCCAGACACAAGGACATTTCCCAGCATAGGTAGCATGTCTGTGGAACTCTTATCTGTTAGGTGCTCGTAAGTAATGGTGGTGGGTTTTTGAAAGTGTCAGGCGTGCAGCTGAAGGGAAAATACTCCCAAGAATTACAGCTCTCTGATGAGAAAGAAAAGGAAACAAGGAAAAAGTGAGCAGTGTTGACTGATGTAGCCAATGCTACCACGATAGCTACCGAATACTGTGATAAGCTCGTCAGCCTGTTTCGGATTATTAAAATATAAATGAATGTAAAGGCTTTTTTAAAAAAAACTTTAAAGCCTATCTTTCTGGTGGTGTTTCATACAAGTTGAATTTACAGTACATCCAATGGGCATCCTAACTGGTGTGAGACTACCTTTTGCAGATAATTTCTACTTGACTGAAAATGCTTTGGCCACTGCTGACTAGAAAATGCGATTCAGAAGCTTTAACAACAAAAAGAATATCAGTGAATTCAGAAAAGCTTGATCAGCAATGATATAACCATGAAGTTTAAATAAAGCACGGATAGGTTTGAAAACTTACATGATGGATTCAGGTTCCAGCTTACTTCCGATTTCAAGCTACTTATCCTTTTAAAGCCTTTCACGGTCTTGCCCCAGCTGCCCATTCCCTCCACTTGGCAGGAACTGGCTTGCTTCACGTTCCCCCACCCTACCTGTCCCACCATCAGCAGTTGGGCCTTCTGCCTCCATCCTCTGGAACTTTATCTTGGAGTTCTTCACCTCACCCCTTGCCTCCTTCAAGATTTGTCTCAAGACCTCTTTGAGCGTGCCTTCGGTCATCTTGCCACCGCCCCCAACCCCATTCTAAATGCTGTGCTCTGTCCAGCACCTTGGGACATCCTCCCGACGTGAAATGTAATCTTCTTGTTGAATCCAACCCCCAGATCGAATGCAAACTCTCAACTGATAAGCACCTTGGGATGTGAAAAGCACAATATAAAAGCAATTTGTTGTCGCATTCATGATTTTGGTGTGTGGCAACAACAGATGTATCTGGTCGAGGCATGACTGAAAATTTTACACATATGATTTATATGTTTATCCCAGTTATTTGGTCTTTGTCCTACCACAGGTAGACCCTCTGCAGCTACTCATACTTCATACCTCACCTTATCGAGTACACTTTATAATCTTTACTGTACTGCTGTGTCAGATGGTGGGGAGAATGTGGTGTGTGCACTGCCTCTTTCCTTCAAAAATTACTGACAAATGGAAACTTCAAGGAATAGGAGGGGTTTGATGCAGAAATACAATTTTGTCTGTCTAAAGCCTGGAAGTATCTAGGGCAAGGGAAGCTTTGCTCCCTGTTGTCTGTGTGGACTGCTCCATTTACCATTTGAGCCAACCTAAGTATTGTGTGGCATCTTAGTCTATTAACATGAAAATGATAAGCAGTGATGGGGCCTTATGCACATAAAACATATTTCTATCAATGCCATCCCCCACCTCTTGCAGCATGACCTTTGTTAAATGAAGTTGTCCTGTAACCTTGGCTGTGTGATTTTGCAGGTCGTATTAATCATACAATGAAAGTACAAATTAAATGCAGCTTTCTTCTCCTTTACAAACATTTGAGGCCTTTATATTGCCATGGCTAATATAAAAATACACATTGTATTTTTTAAAACAAATCTTTGGACTGCCGGACAGACTGTAAGCACTATGTTAAAATAGATGATCACTTCTACCCAAGCCCTGTGGGTTTCCAGCAAGGTTTCAGTGGTTAAGGCTATTCTATAACCCAAAAAGTTGCACCCACACAAATTCCAACAATTGCTCATTGAAGTGCATATAATGTTGGCCACACTGTTTTTATCCTTGATAATCTGTACGGCACAGCTATATTACTGCAGTGTATGTATGATTAATCGCCTGCCCAAACCACAACTTTTTGGCTCAAAGGTGAAGCAGGAATGCAACCAAAAAACGGAACCAGGCTGATACCCAGATATCGTCTATCACACCATACAGTGGGATGTCAGCTCATATTCTGCTTTCTGCCCCCTGAAGACAGACTAGGGATGTACAGGTGTTATTCAGAATGGAAGGAGTGCTGGAATGATTCATCGAACCTCCCTTTATACTAATAGCAAAGATACCCAGCATGAATACCTTGCACCATACCCAACTAATGATCCACACATGGCATGAGTTTGCTCAGTTGTTGGGGAGAATGTGCTGATGTGCTTCCCTCCATTCAAAGTCTATGCAACTGATCCATTTTTTTCCTGGCCACAATCCTGGTTTGGGACAATATACAAGCTGGTAATGTAGGCACTCAGAAGATGAGCAAGTTCCCACTTGGTGTGGTGGGATGTCAGTTCATAATCTGCTTTCAGTTAGGGTCACCAGCCATCAGACAATTAACAACAGTTAACTTTCAGGAGAACTGATTTTCCCACTGTCAATCTTATGTCATTCACCTGGAGCCTCACTCTTCAAATGATATGCTTTCCAGACATGTTCAAGGAGTTCCTTAATCTGAAAAAAAGAGAATCTGCATCAAGTCCATTCACTGAGCCAACCAGAGAGGAAAATGTGCAGGAGAATGGAAAACTGAGGGAGTCAGGGATAGGTAATTTTTATTTAAAAAAACAGCCCAAGAAAGCATGATCAAGGCAATGGTTTTATTTTACTTTGTGAATGCTACATGAAAAGGTATATTAAATAAAAAAGCATTACTATTTGTGAAGAAAAATGGCAGAACACACTCTTGGGTGACGCGTTACGTATATGTGTAGTTAGATTGTTATGTGTTACATTACAAGATATATATTTTTTGTGAAAAACAATACTGAGTTGGGGCGAATAGTAAGTACCCCTGGAAGTGTGCAGCTGTCTATGTTTCAGATAAGGACCTGAGACCCTTTGAAAATTTTAGTGTAGGTAGCTAATATCAGAGGCACCCATCCTGTACATAATGATAATAATGGATACTTTGCTTGCAATTTCATTTGTTCTTGGTCCTTGACATTTAGATACTGATATGGAATTGGAATTCCATATTTCACTCTGTTTTGTAAAAGGCTTTGAGAAGTTGTCTGCGTGTGAAAGCCGCTATATAAGTGCAAATGTGGAGTCCTGTAGCTCAGTGGTTAGAACACCCGCTTTGCAAGCGAGAGAGCTAGGTTCGATTCCCAGCAAGGTGAAACCTTGGGCAAGTTTCCTACTCCACACGCCTGATAATAATCCCTCAAGAAAAAATAAATAAATTAGTCAGTTCAATCCATGACTGTTTGTGGGACACTGATGTGCGCAATTGGCTGCCGCATTTCGCCCACAAATATGCAGTCAATTCACTTTACAGTCTATTCTGTGAAGTGCTTTGAGACATCTAGAAGCCGTGAAAAGCGCTATATCAAATGCAAGGATTATTATTATTATTAAATTGTTATATCTGAAATCCATGTTGTGACTGGACTTCATGAACAAGTTTTGATATGGTACAATACTAGGATTCAGCAGAAAAAGTCGAATCCAAGAAGCAAAGGTTTGTTGCTGTGCTACTGAAGAAGTTGTTAATCTTAGTTAAAGCTCAAATATCACATGAAACTGGTAGTGAACTCACAGACAATTGAAGAGGGCGATATGTGGTTTTAACTGGTTATCCTAACGTTGCATTCTGGGGTCCCAAAGCCTTGGCACTTGCCAACCTGTACCTAATACTTTCCAGAATTAGGCAAGCAGGATATGTCCCTCCTAGGAAAGAGTGCACCTTCCATTCCAACCATCTGTCTCTTGGATTTCCATGTGTAGGTGAGATACATGGAATTGTCAGTTTGGTTTGGATACTTTTAAGCATGGTGATAGGTTTCTGCATTTGTCAGACACCCGGCTGACCAAAAAAAACGAAGGGTGGATAAGATGTAAGTAAGAACACAGTTGTTAGTCAATTGGCAGATTGCTTTTCTGGGGGTAATAATCTTTTCAAAAATAAATAATAATTTGGTCACTCAATCCACGACTGTTTGAGGGATACTGCTGTGTGCATTTGGCTGCCGCATTTTGTCCACAAAATATACAGTCAATTCACTTTACAGTATATTCTGTGAAGAGCTTTGAAATGTCTAGAAGACATGATAAGGCGCTATATCAAATGCAAGGATTATTATTATTACATTCTTCATTGACTCATTTTGTAGTCTGACTAATATCAGATTTATTTTGGACAAGGTGATGTGCCCACAGCTGTCCTGCCCCCTCAAACCAAGAGAAATTAGATTATTCACATGAGCGCTCAATCCCTCATTCATTACAGTGCACCTGTGTGAGATTGTGACGTGAGAATATATCCCTTCATGTGATTATGAATGGCAGCACTAATATTCTCCCTGGCAGCCACACAATGCTAATTCTGTGAACTCATTTGTCTGTCTCCGCTGTCCATCTGTTACTATAATCATATATGTTGGCAGTGACATGAAATCTCTGTTTTAGTGATATCACAAAAAATCGGAAACAAAGTCACTATTTCATATTGTCACTCACTCCACTTCAAAGATGAAAGCAGAGGTTTAGGACCTTAAAACTCACCGTCTTTGTGAATGGAATCACAGTTTACTGCACTTTACAGTCAAATACTATAGCGGCACAAAAAGCAACATGGAGAAACAAGCTGCACAACACAACAGATTTGATCCTGATCCACAGAATTGGTGGAAGTATGTGTTAGCTACCACCAGATGGATCGCACTGGCTTAGAAATTGTAGACTACTGGTAGTAACTGACACAGGTGGATAAGTTTCCTGGTAGTGAAACCTGTTATTCTTGGATGTTTATCTCAAAGCAATGGGAGGTTCAGAAATTTGTACACAATTGTTGTAAGTCAGTGCTGTTTGGCTACACATTCTTGACTAGTCTGTTTTACAGTAAGATTAATCACCCTCTACGTGATAAATAATGCTTACGTTTAATATAGTACCTTTCACATTAAGACATCTCAAAAGTTTTTCACAGGATGAAATGTAAAGTGTCGTGACTGTATTTTGTAGGCAAATGCAGCAGTTAATTTGTGCACAGCAATGCCCCATGTGGTAGTTGTGGATTTAATGCTCCTTAATTTGAGACAAATATAATACATTTATTTAATTATACATTACCATAATTGACATAAATGAAACCCATCCAGACTGGATCAGTGAGGTGGAGTGCATCCTTGGATGGTAATGCTGTCAGTGCCTGAGAAGTGGAGATGCTGACAGGAGCCAATCAGGAGGGCTTCAGTCTTGTTGACATTGAACTGGAGAAAGTTAGCTCTCATCCAGGATTTGATGTCTGACAAACATTCTGTCAAGACAGCTGTGGTCCTGGAGTTGAGGGTGGAGGCAGAGAGATAGAGTTGGGTGTCATATACGTACATGTGGAAGTTGACCCCATTTCTGCGGAACCAAGAGGGAGCATATAGATGTTGAAAAGGAGAGGAGTAAGGACAGAGCCCTGAGGAATGCCGCACGAGACAGTGCGGGGGTTGGAGAAGAAGCCGTTTGGGGAGACAAAGTGGAGACGATGTGAAAGTGATGGTGTGAACCAGTCAAGGACAGGACAATAACGTTTGCGGTGAGTGGAGCGTTGGTGGAGGAGGATAGAATGGTTGACAGTATCAAAGGCAGCAGAGAGGTCAAGAAGGATGAGGAGACACAGAGAGCCCTGGTCACAAATGGACCAAATATCATTTGTCACTTTGACCAAGGCTGTTTCTGTGCTGTGGGAAGCACGGAAACCTGATTGGACTAGAAGATACTGCAAGTTAAAACAAACAACTTGTATTTATAACAGATAATAATAATCTTTGCATTTTGTATAGCGCCCTACCATGTCTTCAAGACAACTCACAGAATATACTGTAAATTTGAATTGACTATATATTTTGTAGGCAAAATGTGGCAGCCAATTGCGCACAAGAGTATCCCAGAAACAGTTGTGGATTGAGTGACCAAATTACTATTATTATCCTTTTGAAGATGGTTAAGATTTGAAATTTGAAATTTGTGATGAAACTGAAAAATCATCCATAAAGCATCACATTAAGAAGAATTAAATCTTAAAATGTATTCTCACTTGCTAAGATTTTTGTAAGCAAACATGACAATGTATAGAAAATATCCTTCAATATGGTGTTTCAGCCTCCACTGAGTTCAAGTATCAGCGGAGAGTCTACAGCCCTCTGACCTAGAGGCAAGAATGAACCAGGTTGACAAGGAAACAGTGAAGAAAGAGGAAAATGCTACAAAAGAGAATAACTAAGTCACAAAAACATAATCCAGGTCAAATTGATTGGTCAGAAAGGAGAGGAAAGAAAAGTGGATCAATAACCATGGGAAAACTAATGTTTAAAATATATTGCTGGCTAGGGGGTTTATTGATTGCTGCGATGAACTGTTAATCTTTTCAAAAGTAATGAATGTATCCATTCAGACATTCATAGATCAATGAGGTGTATATATAATAGGGAGCCCCTGAAGCCACTTTATCGTAGAGTCTACTTAATCCGTTTAATCTGTCAGAAAAGTTATGCAAAGTTTCTCCCTATCTCTCAAACGTGAATCGAACAACAGTCCAGGAATAAAACGTCCATCCTATTTATTCCAGGCCACTGGGTAGCCAGTTATTCCAGCTGTGGGTGACAGACACGAAGGTGCCCTCTCGTCCCCAGTCAGAGGCTGTGTGTTGATGCTGACCCTCACGGTCTGGCTCTGGCTCTGGCTCGGGGCTGATTTGAATCTCCCGGTCTGTCAGGAGGTGCGACGTTCTCAATGCAACGTCACAAAGCACCAGGAAGTAGTGGCGCTGGGCAGGCAGTGCTGGGCTGTGCGGGCGGGCAGGCAGGCAGTGCTGGGCAGTGCCGGGCGGGCAGGCAGGCAGTGCTGGGCAGGCAGGCAGGCAGGCAGTGCTGGGCAGGCAGTGACTGCCGGGCAGGCAGGCAGTGCTGGGCAGGCAGGCAGTGCCGTGCGGGCGGGCAGGCAGCCAGTGCTGGGCAGGTAGTGCCGTGCGGGCGGGCAGGCAGTGCCTTGCGGGCTGGGCAGGCAGTGCTGGACGGATAGGCAGTGCTGGGCGGGCGGGCAGGCAGTGCCTTGCGGGCTGGGCAGGCAGACAGTGCTGGGCAGGCAGTGCCGGGCGGGCTGGGCAGGCAGCAGTGCCGTGCGGGCTGGGCAGGAAGTTACTGCCGTACGGGCTGGGCAGAGAGTTAGTGCCGTGCGGGTTGGGTATTGAACCTGTGCGGGCTGGGCAGTCAACTGGTGCCGTGCGGACTGGACAGCGAACCTGCGCTGCGCGGGTCGGGCAGTGAGCGGCTGGGGGGAGAGGAGGCAAAGGGGCAAAGCGGTGGTGCCGCTCCTGCTCCTGGCTTTCCATGCCGTGCGCTCCACTCCCCAAACCGAAGGGGCTGCGAGCCGGAGCCGGAGCCGGAGTGCGGGGATTCCACCCGAGGAGCAACAGGACAGGTCAGGCTTCAGGGGCAACTCTCTCAATCGTTGTCACAGGAAACTCCTACTTTCCTCAATATCCTTTATAAACATTTGCAACGTGGAAAATAACAATTACAAACTCATACCTTCTGTGCTTTTTGAGGTAATGAAGCACAGAGACCTGAGTTTGTACTTGTTACTATGTGTGCCTTCCTGAAATGCACAGTGTTGGGTTGTCTACAGCTGTGAGAAAAAATTCACAACCAGAGAATTTATCTTAAAAGAGAGCAAATTTTTTTTTTGCCGTGTGATAATAACCTTTGCATTTGATTACAGCGCCTTATCATGTCTTCGAGACGTCTCAAAGCGCTTCACAGAAGGTACTGAATTGACTATATTTTGTGGGCGAAACTTCTGCAGTAACTTCTGGAAATATTATTTTCTCCACTTTTGCAATATATGCATAACGTATATCTGAATGGCTTTCAAAATTGTTAAACTGCATTTTTTGGAGGAATGCAGGTATTATCTACATACTGAGTTAGCGGCTAAGATAATACATGTAGAGTGATAAACAAATGTCTGACATTGAGTTCTCAGCAGTAATTTAATCGGAAATTTTCTCATGATGCCTTCAATTCGGAATGATCTTTGAATCTACAGAATGAATTATATTCTGGTGACTTGCTGTAAAAAAAAAAGTGGTTTCATTATGTAAGTTTTTATCATTATGCATGATGGGGGAATACAACATAGACAGAAGCGTAACAAAAGGCAAGTATTACCTCTTGTGAATGGGACTGTATGTAGCACTGTATAATATTTTATGCACATGGCGATATCCGTGATATCAAGATACAAACCTAGACACTGGATAATTTAGAGAAATGACTACTATAGGTTGAAGCTTTTTATAATATAATTTCTTGATATCTTGATATAATTTGGTTTTATAGTCCAACAAACAAAGCTGAAAAGCTTCCTTGCAGGTGGAATTAAAAACCTGTTATAATCTTCAACCATCTGGTGTTCTGAATACTATTGGTATTTTGGAGGGGTTTATACTTTGTTTTGTACTATAGGTGGTGGCACATGGTGATTTCAACTGTGAGCAGAATAGGTTGGGTCATAATAGTAATTCTAAGGTCTCTGTGACATCAACAGATTTGTTATTAATCTGTTGTATACTTTAGTTTTTTTTCCATTAATGTCTGTATGGTATAAACTCTGTACTTAAATGAATTATAAAGACTGTACTGGTTATTGGAGTAAATTCTGTATTACACTTTCCACTGCTTACCCTCTGTAAATGAAATGGCAAGCCATGAAATTACACAGCCATGAAATGCATGATTATATATGTTATATTAACATTATTTATGTTAACACTGTTTAAGTATTTGTGCAATAAGACACAAAAAAAGTGATGAGGAAGGCTAATTTTTAGAAGAATGATGTACGTATTTTAAAATACCTCATGAAAGGTACCAGTTTGATTCAGTTGGTAGCACAACTGCTTTGACAATCAGAGGTTGTGGGTTTGAAATCTTCAGCAGCATCTGAGGTCAAAATCTAGGCTGACACTCTAATGTGTATTTTTGAAGGTGCCGTCTTTTCAGTAAGATATTAAACCAAAGTGGTTCAGATGTGCATTAAAGATTGAATGGTACTATTTTGAAGAAGGGAAAGGAGTTCTCTAAGTGTCCTGGCCAATATTCTTCACACAGACAAAACAAACAGATTTATTGCTCTCATCACATAACTTCTCCAGAACAGCTGGAGAAATTATGTAATAAGATGTCTTGAGATTGAGCACACATCCTTTTTCACATGGCTGCATTGATCAAAAAATATTTATCTTTGATTTTGTTACAAGTATTAGTTACATGGTCTCGATATTGGCATGAATATCAGTTGCATGTTAAATACTGGCAGTTAGACTTTGCATGGATATAATACAATAACCACCACAACTACACAACAAATTGAATTTATGTAGTGCCTTTCACGCCGGGAGGATATCCCGAGGTGCTGAGGGGTTTGGATCCGAGCTGGGGGTTGGGATCAAGAGAGGTGGAGAGCAAAGGGATAGAGGTAAGAAGATGATTGAAGGCACAAAACCAGATTTGAGAAGTTCATACAGGGAGTGGTGGGAGAGGAAGGAATGAAGCTGGAAAGCAAGGGCTCAATCCAGGATTTTGGAAAGAAAGGGAAAGTTGGAGATGGGATGGTAGTTTGAGAAGAGAGGTCAAGGGAAGGTTTTTGGAATCTAGTTTGTATTTTTTCTTAATGGGATTCTTTATTAAGGAATCCTAATTAAATTCTTGTTATGGAATGGAATTCCCGTTAAACTCCAGAAGTGAATGATGTCGGAACAGAATTCCCACAGTTTGGCATAATATACTTTCAGTTACCAGGAGTCACCATTTGCACTAGTTGGAAGGAATCTTGTTAAGAAATATTTTAAATGAGACTCCAGTATTTCAATACTATTAGGTTCTAAGAGATGACCCCGATGAGCCCAGAGAATTGGTGGATATTTGCCATTCAAGTTTTGACTTGCTGCTTATAGCATCTTCTTCTATTTTCTATATACTGATAAAGATAGAATGTCTGTCTGTGTGTCTGTCCGCCAATAAAGCAATAACTGATTGACTTAGAGACATGATTTATACCTCATTGGAAAGTCTTGCAAGGTGGAGTGTCATGGGCTTATTGTTTAGGAGGAATCTCCTATCGTTAATGAGCTATATTAAAATAATGTTTTAATTAAGACCCCAAATAGGTATGCATGGTATTCTGTAACAAAGTAGTTATGCACAGTTTTCTGCAACAAAGTAGCGACAGAGGAAATCACACATCCTTCTTGAGAGATAAGTCTTCCAAGGGGGAGTATCATGGGCATATTTTTTTCTAATAAACACAAAATGTCTGTCTGTGTGTCAATAACGCAATAACCGATTGACGTAGAGACATGATTTATACCTCATTGGAAAGGTCTTGCATGGGGGAGAGGAGTCCTCCCAATAAGGAGTCTTCCCTACAGGAGTCTTCCCTCCGGGAGTCTTCCCTACGGGAATCTTCCTACTGTCCTCCCAGCATGAGTCTTCCCAAAAGGATATGTGTGAAAATATGTGAGCAAGTGATGCTAATGAGTTCAATAGCATATTTTCTTAATCTTAAGGGATAAAGACTCCTTAAAAGTAAATATCAACTCTTTCAAGGACAAATAAAAATGCCAGATGAAAGAGAAAAGACCGATTAAATGAAACTGGTTGCAAGCATAGCTGCAATGGGTATAGCTAGTTATTAATAAGTATAACTAGGAGAGGCCTAAGAACAGTTACCATGAATTCTTATTATTTTGGCTCAATTCAGATAGTCCATATTCAGAATTATCCTATGCCTTCTGCTGTCAAGGCAATTTGTAACCTGATTAGCACTTCATTTTAGATTGCTGACTGTCCATTTTTGATGAAGTGTCTTATCTGATGCATTTTGCTTCTGTTTTTTGACTTTCAAGCATTCCCCTCATTTGTTTTCTCGTCTTAAATAAAATGGGTAGTTGTGGAAAATCTGGAGGTATTCCTTTGATGCTAGTAGACAAAGAAAATAAGATAGCACTTAAGATCTTTACAGATTGATTCATAGAGCTTTTATATTGTTGGAAGCAAACCAATATCAATTGCAGCAGTGCAGGGGTGTGGAGCGGGAGTCCAGATTTATGCTTCAAACTCCATATCAAATTGTGGCTATTAAAAGCATACAGAATTTCAGAATTTTCTCTTAATTTTTTTAAAAAAATGTATAGTTGTAAGATCTTGGTAAATTGATTGGACTGCCCGAGAACTTTCAGGGTTATCTCAAGAGAGTGAAATTGACTGGTGAAAATGGCTTTGCTCTTAAGAAATAATTATTCTGGGTTGATTGCAAGGCTCCATCGCAATTTCTTCTGATCCTTCTCCCTTCCTCTCCTCCCTTCCCCAGTTTATATATTAATGGATGATTGTGGTTAATTTACCAGCAATTTGCTACCAAGTGTGTAGTGTAGATGGAGTATACAAGTATCTGAAATATTCATTATTTTCTAATGGAAAAATATATAGATTTATTCTATGGGTAATCACTCTCTGAGTTTTGTGAGTTAAGTTAACGTGTTTGCATTATATTTGGGTTTGGAGAATACCAGCTTATTGTTTTTCAACAAGCAAACCAATGCATTGTGGAAATTGGAAGCATCTTTATTTCAAATTTCAAAATTAATTCAAATCAAGAATTTCTGATGGCTAAAACCTCAGCTTAGTGCTTCAAATTTAGACTTATTCGGGGGTGGAACAAATGCGGTAATTGATACAGGCAGCCTAAGAACTGTCCTTGGTTAACGCTAGATATTCTGTATTTCCTTGGTGAATCCCTTGCGCATGGAAAGAGTTTACAACAGCAATTTACATATACAGGAAAGCACCTTTCACATGGGAGGATGTATCAAAATGTTTCATAAAGGCAACTAGGAGTCTGAGCTGAGGGTGGGAGGACCTTACAAAGTGGGGGAAGGCTCAGCAGGTTGACCAAAAGCGTGGTCGAAAACAAAGGTTTTGAGATAGGCTTAAAGGTGGGGTCGGAAGTGGTGAGGCAGACAGAGTTCCAGAATAGCTGAAAGTTTGCATGACAATGGTGGGGCTATTATGATTTATTGACTACTTATTAACTGTTATAAACCTATAATAATACTTCTATTTGATGTAACACCTATAATGTTGAAGGTTGTGGCAGTCAATTTGCCCCAGCCAAGTCCCACCAACAGCAATGAAGTGAATAGCCAATCTATGTGTGAGTATTGTTAGCCAGAACATAAGGTAATTTTATTACTCAAGAGGGAGCTAAATATATGCCAGATCAAATAACTTCGATTTTATTTTAAATTAAGAATTTTAATGCACGGGTGTCTGTGTGGGAATTGATTTCTGGATCACGGCATTAGATAAATTCTCCTAAGAGCAAACTTGGGCAAAGATTTAGGTCTCCAACAAATGATTATTCTTGAGTTTTGGAAGAAGCCATGTCAGTTCTGAGTATGCAATTAGACCAAGGAGATACAAATTAAAATGATACATCAGTACAGTAAAATATTACACTAATGGGGATGGTCCCATTGTGGATTTAAAAATCAATGCGGATTTCAGATGACACTGAACCAGATTTATATTATTAAATATTTAATAACCAAATTTAATGTAACACAAGCAGTACTGTATTCTAAAGTGCAAATACATAGAATACAATACTTTACTGAACCATACTCTACCCCCTTGCTGGCTAGGTGCTTAGTAAAATAGACTTTTTACTAAATGAACACTTCTAGCAAAATTATTCTACTTCAATTAAAGTTTTACAGGACTTTAATTACTAAGTTGGTGCTTTCACCTTCAGGAAAAACAAATCAAAGTCCTTTTTTGCAGTTTACGATTTTGCCATCTATCTTTGGAGTTTTTAACTACTTTGTTGAATGAGCATGTGCTTGTCTATCGAGCAGATGTGGGAGCTGCACAACAACAGATTTCACTTATATAGTGACTTTCATGTAGAATATCATGTTGCTCTTGAAGTGCTTCACGGAGACGATAGGGAGTACTGACCAGTAAGGATAGGAAAGATCTTGGAGGTTTTAACCAAAGCCATGGTCAAAGTTTTTAAATGGGCTTTGAAAGAAAGGAGAGAAGGAACAAGGTAAATTAATTTAGGGAGTTCCAGAAAGCTGGGACATAGTGCCCAAGGGCTGCCCACTAATACTGAGACAGAAGAAGTGAGGATTGAGCAGTAGGTCAAAGTCAATAAGCAGATAATTATCACATCACATACCTCTTTTCTCTTCCTTCCCTCTAACTCAGATATACTGTTTTCAATGTGTAGATTAAACATGTATTTTCAGGTAAAAGTTTTTTTCCTCAATGAAGCTTACTATGTCTTGTGCTGATTTTATTTTTCAAAGCGGTCAGCTGTGACATTTTTTGATCGGTGTGGTCCATTGATGCTGTGCCAAACTGGTCAACATAGGGATGCCTTGGCAAGTTTGAGAGCTCAGTGATGGCATGCACATCCGGACAGCTAGAGTTTCATCCTTGAACTTTTAAGAGTACAACTGGCTTAGTAGCAAATATATTTGTGTCACTGCTTTATTAAACGATTCACTGTATGGTTGGAGCTCGGAGGTCACAAATTCTTCGCATTGCATTATTAACTTCAATGGGCAACTGGGCTACTTCATTCAAGAGCAGATTGTCAGATATCAAAAAAAAAGTGTTGGTAAGGTTATTTTTCAGAGTTTGCTTTATATTTTGCTTGGATTCATTTGCATTAGGAAAGCTGATACCAACTTAGTAAGGATAATGCTGTGAGTAAGGCACACTCAATCTGTTATTTAGGATTGTCCTTGTCTCTAAATTTTAACTGTATGCATTTTACAACCTTTGCTTAGAAAAGGTAGACAGCATCATGTTGGTTACTGTCCTGACCAATAATCCTCCATATTATTTGGTCATTCATCTCTGCTTGTTCGTGGCACTTTGCTGTGGGAAATAAGTGGCTCCTGCTTTTTGTTTTTAAAAACAGTCACTACATTTGACTGCAATTTCATGTGAACCACTTAAAGACATCTTGACTTCATAACATCTGAAATCAAAATTGTTCTATTCTTAAATGCATTTGGTGCATTATGACTGGGGATACTTAAGGGAGATTGTGAGAATATTTAAAGTGAGATCAATTAAATCTTAGCAGTCAGAATGGCTTGTTAACTTTAAAATTAATTTATGGACAGTATCTGGCAAAGAAACACAAAATCCTCAATTCCAGCAACAGGATTAAAGAAGAAAGATCCAGTCAAAATCAGGCAGTTGGGAGGAGATTAGCTAGTCCCAAAATTTCATTAAACAGATTTACAAGGACATAATCCAACAGCAATTACTGTACTATTCCTTGATTATTGTCAGTGATTGTTGAGAAAAGGAATGCATTATGTATCGATTTATTGAGGAATACTAACATTTTGACATACCCCCCCCGCCCATAAAAAAATTCTCTTTGCAAGATGAGCTTCGTCACACTGTTGTTTCCTGCAGATTAATGTAAAATACATTTTTAAGAATTATAATGGTACTTATATAATAATACAAACAATAATGCTTGTTTTTGATATGGTGAAGACACCCTGCAGTGCATGCATTTTATCTGGTATTTCAGATCGTTTTCCAAGGCCACTAACTTAGTTTCAACTATTTTGTATTTTGTTTTTTTTATCTGTGTAGTCAATTGAAAAATTGTAACAATAATAAGCCTTGTATTTGATATAGCGCCTTATCACGTCTTTGAGATGTCTCAAAGCACTTCACAGATTATACTGTAAAGTGAATGGACTGTATATTTTGTGGGGAACCGTAATGTAACTGAGCTTCGTTGATTCAGTGGGATATCAACATGAAACTGCACAAGTGCACAGTTAGTCACTTCATATCTTTTTATGCTTCTTTTCAAATATATATTGATATTCTTTACACTTAATTCAAAATTTCCTGCAGTCACCTGCAGACTATCTCTTTATGTAACTTCAGAAATGACTTCAGGATCATAAAACCTTGTGTGAAAATAATAATGCAGTCCAGCGGCAACTACCACCTGCCCTGACTGCAGTTGGCACAAGCTGCCCAAAGCCAAGTCAAACTGCTCACAAAAACATTAAAACAATACATGTTGAACTGAGAACTGGCAGTATGTTCAAGGGTTGTAAGAACCTTTGGTCCTCAGATTCATATTATAAACTGTTCTTACCTAGCATATTTGATCTTCTCAGATTACATACAACCCTAAAGTTACAAAGAAAGAATTTGCATTTTTACAGCATCTTATCTTATTGTCTCTAAGGGCTTCATAAGTTATTCCGATCAAATGAGGTGACTATTTGTATCGGCGAACGATACCATTTGAGAAATGAGTTTATCTAGCTGTCCTAGCAAACAATCTTCTGGATAAATTGGTCTTTTATTTCATGTCTGTTTGTAGGACACTGCTGACCTCAGCATTTCTGCTGTGTTTGCCTACAAATACACAGTTAGTATATATGATTTATTATTATCTGTGATAGCACTGCAATATGTATGTGTAAAAAAACAGCTGGTGAGTGAATGGAAGGTGCAATTAATAAACATGTTAGCTTCACAGAAAAATACAATGTAAAATTGAGAGTCAGACATTCATTACTATTTTCTTTTGGTAGATCTGTAAAAATTAAATAAGAAGTGTGAGCAAAAAAGACAGGATGAAGAAGAAACGTTCTCAAAGATCTGATGAGGATACTACTCTTTGCTGTTGTGAGTACTTTAACCGGAATGGAGAGAGAACACACATCCTGGCCAGCTGCTGTGACTGTGAGGATCTGGATGATGCATGTGACAGGTCAGAGCCAATCTTGCTGTAATTGTTTCAGTCCTTAATATTGGATGTGCACGGAACAGCGAATGGATTATGTTAACTAACATGCTTTCATTTGCAGGTGTCTGAAAGGCCAGTCCATCAATCCACAAAGTCTTGAACGAATAGCAGATACGATTTCTGACCGTCTCCGTGTGCCATGGCTTTTGGGCTCGGGCGCTAAAAAAATTGACATCACAGTACTGCCACCTCTTATCCTGCTTCCTATCTTCCTTCATATTGCAGCCCTTCACCACATCTTGGCACTTATCGTTCTTACAATAGTACCAATATTAGTTCTCTGGTATTACTACATCACCCATCATAAGAAAGGGCAGACTCTGTTTTTCCTCAGTTTGGGTCTCTTTTCCCTAGGCTACATGTACTATCTATTCCTGTGTGAAGTATTTCCTAAAGGAGATGTTAGCCTTGTGCAGTTAATGGTACTAACCAGTGGTATGGTGCTGACACTGGTAAGCTTAAGACAAGCCAAGATGGACCCAGGCTACCTCAGAGCAGACAATGGCAGTACTCCAATAAAAGATATCCACACTCATGTCACACCTGACTGTTCGAATGGCATGCATAAAATTCAACAAGTCGGTAGAAATGGTTCCACAAAGGTGCATCATCTTGGACATAATGGAATGCAAGCAGGGAATGGGAGCCTGGAAAAGAACTGGTGCAACATCTGCAAGATTTCAAGACCACCTCGTTCAGGACACTGCCGGCTTTGTGCAGCTTGTGTACAAAAGCTGGATCATCACTGCGTGTGGTAAGTTTTGACAAGTTGTTTCTGTGTTTAGACTGCCTTGGCTTCCTTCAAGTGAGGGACCTGTGAAATATGGAACCGAAAAATGACTATCGCGGGCAAAAAAGTATGAAGTAGGAAATCCAACGTGTAGTGTAAAGTTTGATCAAGTAGTTCTCTTTTGCTAAAATGGCATTTTGTTTTTCTATTGGTTAACAAACAAACTGTTGCAGAGTAATGTTATCGTTGATATGGATACTCCCTCCAATATTAGAGTGTCATTCTAGACCATGAGTTCAAGTTCCAGTGTGGAGTGTGAAACACAATCTTCTAACCCAGAGCTGAGCATGCCTTATTTATTTCCTAGAATATTTCTTTTTTTCTATTGGTCATCAAACCATTGCAGATAAAGCTATCATTCTTACAATTGTATTATTAGTGAACTGGTTACAGTGTGAATGTTAGTTATGCTGTATTTAAGGTTTTTTCAGACTAGACTGGGAACTGAAATACTTAATTCATATGTCGTCTCAGGGAGTAATTGGTTTGCGGGATACCACATTAACTAAACAAATGTTCAACTGGCATTCCACTAGCTTGCAAGTCCAATGGCAGCCGTGGATGGCTTCAGGTCCAACTGTTGTCACAGATTTGGGGAAGGGGATGTCACATCCATGGCCAGTCTTATTAAGGACAATCTTGATAACGTTCAGCAAAAAAAGTGATAATTGTCCCATCACAAGACACAGTTTGCAGCACAGTTTGTGGTTGCTGAAGTTCTTGACCTTGACCTTGTGTAGTTATAATCGGGGATAGGAAGGGAGGAAATTCCATTATATAATAAATATAACAATAATCCTTGCATTTGATATAGAGCTTTTCACGTCTTCTCGACGTCTCAAAGCACTTCACAGAATAGACTGTAAAGTGCATTGACCGTATATTTGTGGGTGAAAAGCGGCAGCCAATTGCACACAGCAGTGTCCCACAAACAGTCGTGGATTGAAATGACCAGTTTATTATTGTTTTTGTTTTGGAGGGATTATTATTAGGTGTGTGGAGCAAGGAAACTTACCCAAGGTTTCGCTCTGCCTGGAATTGAACCCAGGTGTCTTGCTTGCAAGGCAAGTGCTCTAACTGCTGAGCTACAGGACTCCACACGGCACTGGTTCCAGACCAGCAGAATGTGCTTTCTGGTGTCTGAGTACTGTACTGACGATTGAGCTGGATAGATAATCACTAATTTAAGTTAATCTCAGTCTCCACCATAAATGGTTTCAGAGAAGAAGCAATTTGAAGAACACTTTTATGATTTGATTGCAGTGCATTTGATTTGAACCATTTTCCTTGATCCCAGGATTAACAGCTGTGTTGGTGAAACCAATCACCGTGCATTTATTCTGACCCTCGCCCTTTTCCTGTTGACCTCCCTTTATGGAATCAGTCTGACTTTGAACTCCATATGTAAAGGCAGAAGCGTTTTCATGGCATTGTTCTATTGTCCTGGAGTCTACAATGATCACAGGTAAGAATTGTGCGACGACTGTTTTAGACTGGATTAATTTGGCTATTTTTAGCTAAAGTAACTGTGAATTCAGCTCAATACTTTGTGGCCAGGTTAACCATTTGATAGCAGAGCTGGCTCCACTCGTCGTTGGTGCACATGCATATTCTTGTGAGTGAGCTTCGCAGTTCCTTGTTGATGGCAAAGATTAACATTGTTCACAATGTACGAGATCAATTCTAACCTCTTCTATTGTATAAAACTGGCTAGTTTTAGCACTGCATATGGAGTGAAATATATATTTTTGTATCGATGACTAGTGCTGATTAATGGAATTCTTCTCAAATTTTGGATCCAACCCTCTACACTGTCCTTCCCTTCAACCTGCCCCAGATTCCTGCTTTTACCTTTCCATTTGTATTACATCTTTTCTTCCTTTCCAATGATGTTTACCTAAAGTGCTGTCGTTATCTCTAGCTGCTTTCACAAGTAAATGGAGCAAATGGAATTGGTAAGGAATATAGTACATTAACAACAGCAACAAAATAACATTTGTAAAGTGCCTCTTACGTTGGGAGGACGTCCCAAGGCGTTGGACAGACAGAGCTAAGGACCCGAGCTGAGGGTCGGTTTGGGGAAGGGTGGAGGCCAGGGGGGGAAGCAGGGAGATCGAAAGCATGGTCGAAGAGCAATGTCTTGAAGGTGGCGAGGGAGGGTGCAAGATGGAGGGACTGCGGGATGGAGTTCCAGAGGGTGGGTGCAGAGTGGCGGAAGGCCTGCCCACCGATAGTGGGGCGAGCAAGGCAGGGGACGTGAAGCAGGCCGGAACCCACTGAGTGGAGGGAGTGAACAGGGTGGTACGGGGTTAGCAAGTCGGAGAGGTAGTGGGGAGCAAGACTGTGGAGGGCTTTGAAGATGAAGACCAGGATCTTGAACTGTATCCTCTGTGTGATGGGAAACCAGTGGAGTTGTGCAAGGATGTGGGTGATAGGGTCATGGAGCCTAGTACGGGAGAGGACATGCAGAGTTCTGGATGATCTGCAACCTGTGGAGGGAGGAGTTGGGGAGGCCGACAAGCAGTGAGTTTACATAGTCGAGCCTCAATGTAATGAAGGCGTGTATGAGGGTTTCGGTGGGTGGCCTGCCTGCAGTGTGAGACAAGTGTCGGAGCCGGGTGACGTTGTGGAGGTCGGGGAAGGCAGAGCGGGTCATGTGACAGATGTGGGGTAGTTGAGAGTCAAACAAGACCCCAAGGTTTCGGTCTGCTTAGTAGGTGGAGTGTCCAACCATGGATGGTGATGCTGTCAGTGCTTGAGGTAAGGAGGTGCTGACTGGATCCAATCAGGAGAGCCTCGGTCTTGTTGACGTTCAATTGAAGAATGTTAGCTCTCATCCAGGACTTGATATCTGACAGACATTCTGTCAGCACAGCAGTGGTCTTGCCCTACACCAGGCCTTAAAGGCAAAGAACAATCATAGCAGAGCAAAGAAATTGGAAGTGTAAAACCAGAGGAAAGTGAAAGGTGAAATTAGAATCAGCAACAAGGAAGAACATTATCATGATATATACAACTGTTCAGAACTCTGCAGCTCGTGTACTGTCCCGCACCAGGCTCCGCGACCACATCACTCCCACGCTCGCTCGCCTCCACTGGCTCCCCATCCCCCAGAGGATCGAATTCAAGATCCTCATCCTCACCTACAAGGCTATTCACGGCCTTGCTCCCTCCTACCTCTCCGATCTACTATCCCCCTACTTACCTGCCCGTACCCTCTGTTCCTCTGGCTCCGGTCTGCTCCACATCCCCCGCCCTAACCGCCCTACCATCGGTGACCGGGCCTTCAGCCTCTCAGCCCCTAGGCTCTGGAACTCCATCCCCCAGTGCCTTCGCCTTGCTTCCTCCCTTTCCTCCTTCAAGGGCGGTCTCAAGACCTTTCTCTTCAACCGTGCCTTTAGCTCCCCTCTCGACTCTCTACCCCCTCCTCGCTCCATCCCTTCCCTCCCCCTGACCATTTACCCCCTGCTCGGGTCCAGACCCAACTGTCCAGCGCCTTGGGACGTCCTCCCGACGTAAATGCAATCTTGTTGTTGTTCACAAATTGTGCTTTCCCAAGATGTCATGTGTTTGATAATGGGGTAAAATTTGTGGCATTTCTAATGTAGGTCAGGAAATGCGATCACCCAGCAGGTTGCAATACACCTCACCAGATAAGTGATTGCTTCCTTTTCAGCTTCCAGCTTCCACCATATTTTTAAAAAATCTGAGGCAGGTGATTTTTCTTTTGTAAATGTTATGCCCTACACCAGGTTTATTTTGTTAGATATTTATTTTCTGATGTTGATCTGCCGGAGAGGACTGAAACCCACTCTCTCCTAGACCAAAAAAAAATCCTTTTATTGATCAAAAAAGGCTGTCTGGCAAATTGATGAAAGTCACTTTTTGGTCAAGAAGAATTCAGTCCTCCTTGGCAGAGCAACTTTGAAAAATAATCAAGGAAAAACCCATTGAGCTTGATGTATGGTCTGATATCTACACAATAAAAATTACCTGGCTAAGATTCAAGCAAATGGTGGATGGTGTGGGCATATAAGGAGAGAAACATTTAATATGAGGGATGTGCTTCCACCATTGGGTGATGGTTTTCTCTGCATTAAATAAGGCATGGCAGACATTTCACCCTCATATTTCCTGTGTTTATTCAAGCGTTCTGAAATATGAGTTGAACCTGTCTTAATTGTGCAAATAAATTGCCTGATACTGTATAGTCAAAAATCAATCCTGGCTTTGCAATGTAGGAGAATCTAAAGAATACCCTTCACTCATTCCCCCCCCACTCTCTCCTCCCCCCTCCCTTGCCACGTATGTATCATTAAATACTGTGCTTGCTTGTTCAGTAATATTGTATTTGTGCTTAGGGGATCTTCAATATGGTGGCCCAGTATCTCTGAAGAAAGGTGAAAGGCACATGACTGGATGGTGGGGAGTATTAAAAGTGCTTTTGCATTCATCACCCACCAAATCTAAATGAATGTGCTTATTAAAATATAATTTTTAAAACTCCCGGTGTAAACTGAGTATGTTCCAACAGGTAATTTTGATTGCAGGATTTATTGCTCTGACAAGGAAGCCTCTGGTGAAACATTTGTGCCTTTGTCACATGATTTATCAGATCTTCGTTTCTAGAAATAAATTCTCTATTCCGCAGATTCTCACCAAGTACCAATATTTGTCATCTCCAAGTCATGAAAGATGGGCTGAACAGTCGGGAGTAATATTTGTTATGATGTAAACTGTTCTAAAATGTTAGTATGTAAAGGAATTTTACAATGTAGGGGAAGGATCAACAAAAGTGGAGATTTATTACTGTACACTGAATAACTCTAACTCGCATTGTAGTAGTACTGCTGAACAGTTTGAACCTATCACTATTTTCAGTGGTACAGTTTTTGATTTGAGGCAATTTAGTAGTTTCAGTACTTAATTATTTCAAGGTGCAATTGAGCTACCTGTGAACGAAAAGCAGAAAGCTACTTTGAAATTATTAACAAGGTTATTAGTACCAGGGTATAGCCAGATACATTGTTTAGCAATGTTCAATGACCTACTATGTGATTTTTTAGGCAACAATTACTTATTGGGACATTTACTAATCTAGCATATTCATTGTTCTGTTGGTTTTATTTGTTTAATATTTTTTCTCCTGAAGTTTCCGATGCTAGTGTCTTTGCCAGATGAGGTGCAGATACGTTTTCCAGGATTTGTAGTGGCCTGTTGAACGTGCATAAGATTATTGTGACGTGACTGGTCAGCTGAGCTCACCCTCCCAGTGGAGATGAACCTGTCGTTTGCTTGGGCACATCTATTGTCATTGCTGAGATTATAAACTTGCCATATAAGGAATAGCAGCCCAGGCCTGCACTATACCATTATGCTGTCTATTAAATTCCATTACACCAGTTGATAATTACCTCTATAATTCTATAATAATTATTTTTTCTAACTCTGCCTACCTGCCTACTATTTCATTGGTGATTTCTCTCAACAATTTGATGGTACTGTGTGTGGTCAAGCTGTTCATCATTGAATATATAGCTCGTCCCTTCTGCATCTGAATACCGCATTTCTTGGACATTTCATTAAACTGGAATGCTAATGGAATACAACAGCAGGTTTTAAGTTTTATTTCAGCTTTTGTATTTTTCTGTGTTAAACAATTGTGAAATATGCATGCTGCCTGTTAAACAAAATGCAGTAAATGTTAATGCTACACATTTTTTTATGAACAATAACATTTGCACATCAGGTCTGTTATTTTCATCACATCTAAACTCGCTTTTTGTTGAATAATTTACAAAACCTTTGTTTAAAGAATTGCATACATTACTGTAATCTGCCTAACTCTATTGGTTTATTTAATCTAGGAGCACTGGTTCTTTGAATCTAGGGATTAAATGTTGCTGTAAATTCTGTTATTTTCCTAGTTCTGCATTGTCATTCACCTGCGTCTGGTACTGTATGATCATTACTGCTGGGATGGGTCATCTCTTCATCATCCAGTTTATCAACATCAGCTGCAATGTCACAGAAAGAGAAGCTCGGCTAACCTTGAGAAACAAGACTGGGCACAGATACCTGTGGGGACTGATCATTATAATTGAGGAATACAACCAAGGGTTCATTAACAACTGGATGGCGTTCCTGAAACGTAGGTCCAGTCCTTCAAAGCCATGCATTGAAGACATAGTGTAATGCTTCTGATTGATTTTATTCAAAGACTTGTATACTTGTTTATAATTCAGCTTGTATTTTCTTTGCTATGTATTACAACAACATAACTGTGTTTGGATGGTAAAGCATTTTAATCTTTTTTCATGTTCATCACTAAAATAATGACATTGTTATCTTTTTGCTATGATATACAGTATTCTGAAATCCCATATTGCTGCTTTGAGATTTGATTAGAAGCACGGTAGAAAGAGAAATTACTTTAGCTCAGTAGGATGTTGAAATAGGGCTACTAAAGCGAAATATAAGGTTATAACATAAACTATAAGTAATGCATAGAATGCTCCAATATCTCATTCACACCACTGAAATTGTTTTAACATTAAACTTAATTTAATAGCAACACAACAGCACATATGACTAAACAGTGTTGAACAAGGATGCAGGATCTGAAATTTCTCATGGTTTTAGCCTGTTCACCGTTGCCTTACAATTTTAAGATCTTTCACAGTTTGGAAAAAATCTTAAATCCAATTAATTTAGAAACTAGTTCTTGTTTTAATAACTAGCCATGTTGAAATGCAGAGTTTTTTTGGTCAACAGGGAGTCCGACACAAGCAAAAAGCCATCACTCTGCTTAAGACTATTCAAGCCACACAGAAAGTTCCACGAATGTAAGCCATCTTTACATGTAAATTTCCCCATTTGTTTGGATTGTGCAATCTCTCCTGGAGAGATCCACTCCACTTACCTAAATCTGGAAAGTATTGGGTACAAATTGGCAGAGCAAATGCTTGGGAAATCCTTGGGAAATCTTGGGAGTGAGTGTGTTAGATTACTGCTGGCGTTTAATGAAGTTACATAGCTTGCCATGCAAGCGCTGACTGGCCAATTAGAATTAGAGCCATCTTGTTCGGGCTTTTACTTGCTGGATTAACAAGAGTTGAAAGGGAAGAATTCCTGTCCAGTGCAGAAAACTGACTTCCAAATTAAGGCAGAATTTAAGAACATTTCCAAAATTTGCATAATCTTCAATTCTAAGACAATTAACCTTAATAATCTTAAGGCTAAAACCAGAGGAATTAAGGGCCTCTTGTACTAATAGTACCAACTTAATACTGAATTTACGCAAAAAAAACTGGCAATAGAAAAGCATTTGAACGTTTAAAAAAAGTTTCCAAGTTGCATATTTTTTCTTTCCCCGAGAAAAGCATTGACTGGAGAACAGCTGATAGTCTGGTTCCTGGTAATATCACACTGTTTTCTACTGACAAAAGTGCAAAGAACACTATTTCTTGTCTTCTGCAAGAGAATACTTTTTTAAAAAAAAATGTAATTTACTTTTATATTGCAAATTTCAGGAAGTCTCAGAGCAATTAAAGATACAGCTAGATTTTTTTTACTCCTTCCCCTTGAGTAGTCTTTGTACTCTTGAAAAATAGTGCCTTTTTATGGCATGACCCTAAACTAAAGTTACATCAGGGTGAAACAATAATTTCAACCTTTAGTGACAATTCAAAATATCCATACAAAATTTAAAAACTATTCAGAATTTTTTGTTCCTTTAAGAGAATTCATTTCTAATATGAGTATGTAATTTACAAAATATATACTCATATTATAAATGTAATTTTCTTTTCAAAAATTATTGGTAAACAGATAGATATTAAAAAAAACTTTAATATGAGTTGCAATTTCAATCCAAGCACAGAGGTGTTCAATATGTGTTTATGAAATTAAAGTTTATATTATTCATCTGGGGACAGGGTAGTCGGTTGATTAAATGTTTGCATAACATCCCCTAGTTTCTGAAATATTCTGTATCTTTTTACATTGCTCCTTATAAAGAGACAGTTAGACTAAGTAATACTGGTCTTATCAGATTCATGCCTTAACTAATCCAGAAGTCAACAGTAACCATATATGCTTATTTTCTTTGTTGCAACTGTTGCTTTACCTTCTGCATCAAATACTCCTTATTTGTCGAATGAACTGATTGGGCTTTTTGACTCTGGGTTGAATTGAGTCGATTATTGACGCTCTCCAAAAAACAGCCTGACAAGAAATCCACGGCTGTAAAGGGACTGCAAATTGGTGAGCATTTTGTCATTGTCTTACTTTTAGCTTGACAACCTCCTCTCACTTGTAATGACCACACAGGGTTATCAATATAGTCTTCCATTATGATTTATGGTGAAGTGTGGTCATTCACTCAAGCCATTTATTATCTTTATCAAATGCAAACCATCTTAGAAGCACAACAACAACAAGATTACACTTGTATAGCGCCTTTCACGTTGGGAGGACGTCCCAAGGCGCTGACAACAAACTATTCAGAAAGGGTTCTTTTTTATTGATAATTACAGATGAATATATTAACAATTTACTGGAAGATATGACTTCCACCAGACTCTGAATATTCTATCAAACAGGATTCCAGAACAGTGAATAGCCAAAACCCAATATGCTGATTTACTGGATTGGGCCTGAGGTTTTGTAAACTTTGGATAGTAGTTCGGTATATAGCAGTTATTATGTCACTGAATGCAGTAATAATGCTGCTGTGAAGGATTACATTCCAAATGGTTTACCAGTGCATATATTATGCTCCTTGATTTGTATTAGGCTAGTTAGGTGGACTACAGGAGAGTTTTGTGTTTTATTTGCAACAGGCTCCTAATTCCTCAAGGTCTTTGAGCTCCCAAAACTGGGAGTGCAGTTTGCTTGGAGTTACTTATCATTGATTTCCAAGATCTTGTGTCTAATCCTGTGAGCTGATCTAGAACACTTTGATACTAAAAATGACTGCCTGTCTGGGCTGTTTGATTTTTGTAAATGAGTCCTGTGGCTGGTAGTCATTCATAATCATTTTGAAAACCTTAAAACAAAATTGACACATTCAATGAAACCAAAGACTAGAGACAAAATAACTTTGGGGCTACTTTTATTGACACAATTTCAATGATGAAACTGTACATTTCTAGTGTTGTGTTCTTTTACAGCTTTTATAACTTCTATAACTATATATACTTTTTTTGTAGAAAATGTTAATTTTGAACAAAGGAAACATAAGCACTTTAATCCAGATCAAATGCACATGTATCTTTTTGAATGTGGAATTAAGGATGCAGCAGATCTGAATAAAGTAATGCCACTTACACAGTATAGAAGTCTGCTGTTATAGACAATCATGTTAAAACATTATTTTGGAGGTTACTGAGTAGATGACACTTTCCAATTCAGTCTGAATATAGATGGTGTGTAGTATAAAATATTGATTTACCGATAATGCTACAAATAGTTGTTTCAAAGCTTTATAGAGTACGGTAACCAATAGCATTGAACTTCAAGTTTCATATAACAAATCACAGTTTAAGTGAGGACAGGATACCTGAGGTTCAAAATACATGGTTGTAGCTTTAAGATTTGTTTTTTCAACAAAAAAAGTGTACACTAATGTGAGCACTGTACAAATTAGACTATAACATGTCATGTGAATTAGAAGTGATAGTAAATTAGATACAAATCAAGACAGCTTTGCTCAGGTGGTAGCACTCTTGCCTGAGTTATATGGTTGTAGGTCTACGGCCCAGGTCGGTACTTTAAGCTCATAGACCAATGCTGTACCACATTGTTCGATGTGACGTCCTTCGGATTAGACATCAAATTGAGGCCTGTTAAGGGAAAGATAAGGGAAGGCAGAGTCTCTCCCGCTTTTTTTGGCGAATCCTCCAAATAAAATTCACTTCATGACTGTTTGTGGGACATTGCAAGGCACAAATTGGCTGTCATGTTCATCTGCAAATACAATCATTACCATAAATCCTGTGAAGCACTATGAGAGGTTTTGACGTTATGATAAGAAGCTATTTCAAATGCAAGAATTATTATTATTCTAGAGAGAAAATTAATCAATAGCTGCTAACTTGCAGTATAATGGATTTCTTTTTGAATAAGGAATCTGAGTCACACAAATGTTAACTCGTACATCAGCCTGATGCCCATCCACTCTGATGTGATCGACTTCCAGAGACATTCCTGTGGTCAGGAGGCATTCCTATTGAGATATACTGCAAATCAGAGCGTAATATATTTGCACTGTGCTTTGTGTATAATGAGTGATGATTGTATTATGCAGGTTTTTGAATATATTTGTAGTCTCAGGTCTTATCAAATTAGTTTAAAATTATAGCAATTTCAATAGAAATCCAGAGGGTTTTGTTATCAGCATGTTTGCACGGTGCTCTGTGGTTGTGTCGGTTGTGTTATTGGATGTTATCTCCCTACGGACTAATATCTATTTTATGTAATTTTACCTATGGTTAGATAAATCTATTGGGCATTTGCAGAGTATAAGTGTACAAAAGTGAACAAAATAGAAAACCAGACTTAAGCAATACCTGTTTTTTGGTTTGGTTTGACAGTATAGACTGCACCTTGCCCCTTCCACTATATATCAATGCATTCTTCATGTACGAGTGCTTTTTTACCAGTATCTGGTTTCAACTTCACTCCTTAAAACTTATTCCTTTGACTGTTCCTTTATGAAGATGGCTTACGCAAAAAACATAAACCACCATTATAGTTGAATCTATGAGACTGCATTTACAGTTACATCCCATATTTGATGTGGCATTTTCATTTTGGATAACCGGGATGTACGACTAACTGTTGACCATTTAAGTGGTTCTAAAGTTTAAAGAGTATTGTATAGATTCTACCATTTAGCTGTTTTATTTTGAAAAGCATCTATCCAGCTCTTGAATTATCTGACTACTTCCATAATCTGCCCAGGCAACCAAACATTGGCTACATATCTTACATTAATCTTCTTGAAAACCTGTAACATTTTAATTTTTTCAATTTGGCACAAAGATGGGCCACATTCTCAATACTGGTTTATTTTCTGTTTTCCCTTTTCACCAACTTGGCTCTAATGTCCTCATATCATAGATTCCCACCTAAAGTGACATTAATTTTGCCAACAGTTGTTATATCAAACATCTCAATGGGATCAAATTAAGCATTTCTTAAAATACATCACAATGGTCAACAATTTGATTTTTAAAAAGTGCCTTTTATGATTTGATCCTTGAATTGGTTTGAAGGACCCAAACTGTTAATGCTTTTGCTGGGTTTTCAGACAAAATTCATTGCACAGTGGAAGTAGGTCGGTGTTTTGGGGTTAATTCATTTCTGTCCCAGATTAAATTCCTTTGATGCTGATAAGTACAGATCACAATCAGTATCTGGCTTAATTTTACTTTCTTTAACACTATTTTGTTGCACTTATTTGAGGTTGTTAAATAAAAGAGGTGCAGGTTTGTTGACTGAAGAGGTTTTAATAAACTTTATTAGAATTTGTAAAATCAAGGAAATCTAGGTAAGCAGGCCTTTCCTTCCTAAGGAATCTAAGATAAAGCAAATGTGGACTACTTTCTGATGAAAGTACAAGAACTTTGTTTACTCTGATGTAATTTCATTCCAGAGCAGAGTTTCAACAGGTCTATAGGAATAAGAAATGTTGCAAATTAGATCCTCAGTTTTACATTTGACTGTTATACTGTATAAAGTAGTACTTTCATGCTTGGTATAACCATTTACAATAGATATTTTATGGATGGACTGTTTATTGTATTAATCAATTGATAATCAGATTTGTGGTAGGAATTGTTTTAATACACGTATTAAAACAATGTAGTGCAAAGACCTATTTTTCAAGAATACAATGTTTGTTCATGTGCTGCAATGTTTTGAATATTGATTCATTAAAAGATTCCGCTGTTCAAATTTTGCTCATTTTTATTTCATTGGATCAATTTAAATACAAGACTGGTTAATTTACAAAAAAAAATTGAAAACAATTTTTATTTCAACAATGATTTCTCTTTCCTTCCCCCTCTCTCAATTTATTGCATTTTGCTCACACCTGACAACAGTTAACTGACCTAGGTCACAAAAGTGCTGCTCCATTTTCAGGGAAACGTATTCTGAAACAGTTAAGATTTAGAAATAGATCATACCTTGTAAATAAAAGTGCTTGAAAAGTTATTTTGTTCTCCTGCCCTCTCAGCTGAGTCATTATTCTGTGACTAAACAGTTGGTCTTCAGCATAACAGTCCTATAGCCAGCCACTAGAAGGCAGGCAAGATGTAAGTAAGCTCGGCTTTGCTTCCTCCACCCAAGTGTCTTGCCTCTACTCAAATGCTTCCCATATCCAAATGAACTGCTTCCCAGTCTGTATAGAACTGCTTCCTAAGCAAACCTGAATTAACTGGCAACTCCCTTTAATCATTTTCTTATTCTGTGTGAAAGTCAGGGAGAATTTCACTAACTTTCTTTCTGAGTTGTTGTCTAATCACTTGCTTCTTTTCTTCTTCTTTGATGAGCATTGGTAATCTTTTCCATGCTCTGAAAGCTGTCTTGACTATTCTCCTGAAGGCAAAGAATTAAGTACAATATAGAAAATACTGTATTATGAGGAAGGCAAGTCTCATTCACAATATTTCCTTTAGATACATTGGAAAGCAACAGTCAAAGATATTTTCTATCTTAAACCAAGACAGAATTTCTTTTGAACAATGTAAATTGCACCAATGCCAACATTTAACAGAAAGTATTCCCCCTAGATATTCTTGCTTCAAGAATTCAGGGCAATTTGTTTCACAATGGTTACTCAAATGTATAAACTGTTTCTGTACTTGAAATAAAATCTGATTCAAAAGATTTGTGTTTAGCAGTTTACAACCCTACATTTAATATTTTCTTAAAGCTTACAGTGCAGGAATTTCCATTACCTCTGATTATGTTCTACTCCAATTCTTTCTTTTTCCCGTGATGCAATCTTTTCCTCAGTCACAAAATCCAACCAGAAAATGAAGTAGGTTCTTCTTAAAGTTGCCAGGTAATGTTGCTTTGCTTTCTCTTCAATTATGATGACATAATCCTTGCACTGTTTTAAAATATTTTAGTCAAATGTTACTTCTGTATTAAGTTACTTACAAATATTTTATAGTACTAAGTAGTCTGAACTTTGTCACCAATAGCACCTAATGTACAATACTGTGGTTTAAAACAAAAATGAATGGGCTTCCTTAATAACTGAGTGATAAAATGGGTATTGGGCTGACTGATTTAAGAATATTTTAATTTAAAGCTCTTTCCAGTATGTACCTATTTACTGGGAACCAGGATTAAATCGTACAATAATTAGACCCCATGTTTACATGGAAATGAGTCACCTTGTACAGCTTCTGAGTCAAATAGTTTGGTTTAGAATCCTTTAGTTCTGAACAAAACAATGGTGCATCCATATCAAAATGTCATTTTGAGATTGGGAACTCAATGAGTTACTAGTACAGCTATTGAGGTACCTGGGGAAAACAATTAAAAAGTAATAATCCTCATAGGTGCTCCTGAAACACTCACCTTTATCCAGTTTTTGAAACACCTTTTCAGGAGAATCTCCTGGTATACTTTCTCAGCTTTGAGTATATTTTTAGCCAGTGTCTCTCTTACAATCTGATGCCAGGAACAAAGACATAACCGTAGGATTATAGCCACGTGGTGTTCTTCTGCTAGCTATGTAGTGGTTAAACGAAGATTTATATGAGTAATAGCAGTTGGTTAAACAAAGATTTATATGAGTAATAGCAGTGCAAATTCATTTATAGATCCTATTCAAGCCCCAACCCAAAGAAACAGTTGACCTGCTCAAAAATCCACAATAAGTACAACAACAAGATTACATTTGTATAGCGCCTTTCACGTCGGGAGGACGTGCCAAGTAATTCTGTTGCTGCAATTTTGACACAGATTGAAATGATGTAAACAGCCAGAGAAAGATGTAAACTAGGAAATAATCTCCACATTAGTTTCTTCCTTCAGTTTTCCCCTAGATGTAATACAATGAGTTAAATAGTCAAGAATCAAAATGATGACCAAGCTCCAATAGATATTTAGATATTCTCCCACCGAGAAAGGAGCTCGCTTTATATAAAATTTAGAGTATTACTACACGACAAAAATAATGATAAAACATTCACTTTTCACACAAATTAAATGGATTTTAATTTAAAAATTTAAAAACTTGATAGCCGTTACCTTCATCTTCTGCTTGGACATTTTTACAAGTTTCTTCCATGGTTCCAGACCCCGCTTGTGTAGAAGAAAATCCTGATAGTGCTTCTCTGCAGAAAACTGCAGTTGTTGCTCTCGTTCCAATCTCAGTTGCTTCTCAACTTCCCTCTGTAATTACAATGGGAAATCTGTGTATATTCAGAATTAATGTTTTAATATCCATGAAGGATAACATGCAGCTTTATTTGGGCTCATACTCCTCTAGTTGATGCAATCAAAGTTTGGGTTGTTTCTTAGAATCATAGAATTATATAGCCCAGAAGGAGGCCATTTGGCCCATCGTGTCTGTGCCTGTTCTTTGAAAAGAGCTATCCAAATCAATCCCACTCACCCGCGCTCTCGCCATAGCCCTGCAAACTTGTCCTCCCCAAATAATTATCTAGATTATTATTTTCAAAGATTTGCTGTAAACTTTTAACTGTGCTGACTTGGTTTAAATACTCAATATTCAAAGATGTCATTAAAAACACAATATAAACTTGTAATTACAAGTTTGACCCTGATCTTTTCTTTCAATTCCTGGCTGCACAATTTGCAGCAACTCTGGCCAAACAGTACAGGTCAGTGGTAGGGTTACCATACAAATGGAGTTTCATTTTCACAAGAAAAATCACACATCCAGGAAAACAATTGCCTGCAAAATTTAATTAAAATCTTTTAGTCCTAGAATATAGACATAACGGTGCTAGGCACCTTAAATTCGATAAACGCAGACCTGTTGTTGTAATCTTTTCTCTTTTCGCTTTTTTTCTAGAAGTGTCTGCTTCTCAGCCTCTTGCTGTCTTTGCCGCTCTTCTTCTTCTGCTTTTAACTGTGCCTTGAACCAAACAAGAAACACAACATGTCAAAAGATCTAAACATTCCATCAGGCTTTTCATGCTCAATTTCCCTATTTTGGAGGAGTACTATTGGTGAGGGAATACATCTTTTTAGATTTTCTATCATGACAATCAGATTTCATCCATAGTAGTTTTGTTCACCATGTTTTGGTCACTAAAAATAATTTACATTCATTATAGCTCTTTCACATCAGGAGAATGACACAAAGCACTTCGCACAACTGACTGGAAACCCAAGCAGCTAATGGAGAAAGTAGCCAAAAGCACAGTCAATATGATAGATCTTAAGGCTGCTTATGAAAGTGGGAAAGGAGGCGTCAAGGCAGAGGGACTCCATGGTGGAAAACCCTCCAAAAATCTGAGCATCCTTCACAGACTATTATCCTGCATAAACTATTAATTTCTTTACAGGATAAAGTAAAACAATTAAGAATTCATGCAGCCTGTAGGATTGTTGAAAAATAGTCACCAATCATATGCATCGGATTAAGGGATAAACTGTTTCACTACTGAGCCTCGTGTTATCACGCAAAATTGATTTAATTGCAGTAACCGGCAGTATATTTAAGACCTGAACTGAGAGAGACTGAAATCTAGGAATATCCACCACATTGAATTAGTTATAACTATCTGGCCCAAATTAACTGGATCTACTCCCTTTTCCTATAAATTGGTTTAATTGAAGCAGTTTAGCCACTGGAATTAGAGTAATGTCTGCTAAATCATTGTACAAAAAAAATGCAAATCGAATTTTTTATGGCAGGTCATACCTCATACAGGTAAGTGTTAAAATTATCATTGAACAGGCTGTGAATAACTTACAATTTTCTCCAGTTCCAAGTGTCTCATGAGAAGAATACATTACAGAAATAAAGTATAAAACAAGGAAAATTAAATGTGAAGAAAATGAAAAATTGAGAAACACAGCAGGTAAGAAACGTGTAAGGATGAATTTGTAAAGCTACATTCTCAAATTACTCACAAGTTTTTCTTCCTCTTTTTTTTGTTTGATCTCCTCCAATTCTTTTTTCCGTGCCATGCGCTGCCTTGCTCTTTCCTCCATTGCTAAAAAAAATACCAACAATTCCTTTAAAGGAAATTTGATGCTTGAAAAATATTAAAGGGTATGTAGATCAAGCAAGAGAGACACTCACAGGAAGTTAATGAGGGTCCAAAGAAAAGTTCTTACAAGGTCATAGGCTTCTGAATAATAGCACAGGTGAATCTAATAATCCAACAAAATATGTCTCAACATACAAATCAACTAATTCCAAGATATAATTCTAGCAGTAATGGAACAGCTGTTTTGCAAGTTTTGGGGCACAAGAGAGAGAAAACAGAAGTATATTATTTTGAATACCAGTACATAATGAATTAAAAACATTGCCGCTGTACCTGTCACAACTGGATGAGGTGCAACCAAGTGCCGATTGTTTTTGCTGCAATCAATTACAGTGCTTCTGGCACAGTTAGATTCCTCAACACACAGGGGAGCTGGCGACCTATGCAATTTAACAGACCAGTTTTATTTATTGTAACGTAGGAAGAAAAACCTCCGAGAGTGATGCAGACTGTGGTAAGTTCAGTCGTGCTCACTTAACTTACATTCATAATAAAAATACATCTAATTTATGATGGTGCATAATAAATATGTTTGCATTTGATGCATCACGTTATCCTGTCAAAATGTTTAACACAAGTTATTCTGAAGTATGGTGACTAGTGTTAAGTGGGCAACCCTAGCAGTTAATCTGTGCCAGTAAAAGAAGAGCAATGACATTAATGACCAGATTGAAACATTTTATGGTCAATTTGGATAAGGGGGGATATTACCAGGATCCTGGGAAAACTTTTCAAAATAGTTACAAAACCTTTACCTAAATTTTAAATTACCAGAAAAGGGTGAACGGGATTTTGGTTCAACTTCTCACCTTGGTGTACTGAATTGAATTCCTAGGGTGAAGCTCAAACCTATACCATCTTCTTTGGCCAGAGACAGGAGTGTTGTCACGAAGCAAAGTTGACACTAATATTATTAAAATAGTTGGGAATAATTGTATATTAAAAAAATGGACCATTGGTTCTCGAATGGCAGAGAAAACGGATCGTTCGATAAGATTTAAAAACTCGACATTTGTACCAATTCCTCGATTAAAACACATCCCCAGGTCATTCCTTAAAGCCATAACAAAACGTGGATTTCTCCTAAAATGTTGTTCTGGTATAACACAGCAGCAGTTTTTCATATTTAACATATAAATCTATTAGCGCAGTCGAAAATATTGATCGAAAAAAAACCCACAGCATTTGCATGAAACCGAAACACAGAATTGGTCATTAACCGCACTGCACTGTGTTGCCAATCAATTTTCTTTCCAGGAAGGTGTAAAACCATCAAGGAAGTCACTGAGTAAAATATATTGGGTCCTGGAACTGTCACATTGGCTCAGTACCTGTTGCTAAGCCTATGATGTTTTTATTTGAATGTTATATCACTGACATCATCAACCTGTCCCATATCACTGACATCATCAACCTGTCCCTCTCCTCTGGCTCTGTCCCCATTCCATTAAAAACTGCCATCATCACGCCCACCCTGAAAAAACCCTCCCTTGATGCGTCGCAGCTATCAAGCTACCGGCCCATCTCCAACCTCCCCTTTCTCTCCAAGGTCTTGGAAAGAGTTGTCGCCTCCCAACTGCGCTCTTTCCTTTCCACCCATTCTCTTTTCGAACCCCTTCAGTCAGGTTTCCGTGCTGCCATAGCACAGAAACTGCCCTGGTCAAGGTCACCAATGATATCCTGACCATCTGTGACCAGGGCTCCCTCTGTCTCCTCGTCCTCCTCGACCTATCGGCAGCATTCGATACGGTCGACCACGCTATCCTACTCCACCGCTTGTCCTCCCACCTCAACCTTCAAGGCACTGTCCTTGAATGGTTTAGGTCGTACCTTTCTCACCGTCTACACTTTGTCTCCTTGGTCCCCTCCTCTTCACCCTCTACATGCTCCCCCTTGGTGACATCATCCGCAGACATGGAGTTAACTTCCACATGTATGCGGATGACACCCAACTCTACCTTTCCTCCTCTACTCTCAACTCCACGACCACCGATGTCCTGACAGCCTGCCTGTCCGACATCGAGTCCTGGACGAGAGACAACTTTCTTCAGCTCAACGTGCGAAAAACCGAGGCCCTCCTGATTGGCTCACGTCAGCGCCTCCGCACCTCAGGCGCTGACACCATCAGCATCCAAGGCTGCACTCTCCACCTCTCAAAGCCAGTCAGGAACCTCGGCGTTTTGTTCGACCCTGAGCTGTCCTTTCTCCCTCACATCCGCACCACAACTGGCACCGCCTTCCATCACCTCCGGAACATCGCCAGACTACGGCATTACCTCACCCCTCACGCTGCTGAAACCCTGGTTCACGCCTTTGTCACCTCAAGGCTGGACTATGGGAACTCTCTCCTCGCCGGCCTTCCCGCCACCTCCCTCCACAAGCTGCAGGTCATTCAGAACTCTGCAGCTCGTGTACTGTCCCGCACCAGGCTTCGGGACCACATCACTCCCACCCTCGCTCGCCTCCACTGGCTCCCCATCCCCCAGAGGATTGATTTCAAGATCCTCATCCTCACCTACAAGGCCATTCACGGCCTTGCTCCCTCCTACCTCTCCAACCTACTATCCCCCTACCTACCTGCCCGTACCCTCCGTTCCTCTGGCTCCGGTCTGCTCCACGTCCCCCGCCCCAACCGCCCTACCATCGGTGGCCGGGCCTTCAGCCTCTCAGCCCCAGGCTCTGGAACTCCATCCCCCAGTGCCTTCGCCGCCTCCTCCCTCTCCTCCTTCAAGGCCGGTCTCAAAACCTTTCTCTTTGACCGTGCCTTCAGCTCCCCTCTCGACTCTCTTCCCCCTCCTCGCTCTCTCCCTTCCCTCCCCTCACCCTGACCATTTCCCCCCTCCTCGCTCCCTCCCTTCCCTCCCCTCACCCTGACCATTTCCCCCCTGCTCGGGTCATGACCCAACTGTGCAGCGCCTTGGGACGTCCTCCTGACGTGAAAGGCGCTTTATAAATGGAATCTTGTTGTTGTTGTTGTTGTTGTTGGCTCTGCTCTGCGATGTCTCTGAGCCAGTGCTCCTCGTGGTGACCAGAGGATCGCTGTAGAACCGCTAGACACTCGCGAGGGAGAGGACAACACAGTGCGGTTAATAGGGCTGAGTTAGACTTGGAGCTGTGGGAGGAAGGTGACACAGAGAAGGCGGTTGGTGGTAGCTGACAACGTCGGGTAATAAAAGCTTCCAGCTCCAGAATCTAGGGATCCAGCTCACTGCAACTTCTGTTTTTAAAGTTCCTATAAAGAGGAGTTTGCATCCTTCTCCATCCCACGGTCTCACCCAATCCGTCCACATGAAGGTCCGGGTGGGACACTGAGAGCACACAGACTCCTCCACATTATGAATACTGAATCCAAAAGAAAGCACAGGGGGACTGCCTAACCAGCCAAAGTGCCACAGAAAAAACAGGAGCTACACCAGGACAGCGCCTGATTTAAGCCTCTAACCCTCCACATGAGCCTATTAACTGTCGCACTGAACCCAGCTCACACATCTCTCATTGTGGTTTGTGGGCATTGCTGATATGGATTGCGTTTGCCTAAAATAATAGCATTTGACATTAATTACCTGTAATACGTTCATATTTATTTCCAGATATTTTTCTTGACTCGTGAAATAATATTGTGCTTGAAGTGGACTTTAAGGTATTTGAAAGGAACCTGGAGTTTTTATTCTGGTTAATATTCCCTCCTTATCCACATTTATCCCCAAATTAAATTAATTGGCTGTTCTTGACAATGGTTATACGATGTTTCTAGCCCAAATTAGATATTGTGTTTGCCTACTTAACAAGATGGACTTTATTTCCAATTAATCTCATTTTGAAAAGCACTTTGAGTTGTATCTTTTATGTGAAAAGTACTAAATAAAGGCTAGTGTGCTAATCAACTGAGACAAACTGACACCACATTAGGGTGACATTACAACTAGTACAGAAAGGCACTGCAATAAAAAAAATTCTGGAGTTCCTAGCACAAAACTGTTGAATGTGCTTGTAATGTTTGATATAAAGCTGGAAATACCTTGCTGAGGGAACTCTCATTTCAGGCAGGACGTTTCCAGATTGTGTTGTGTTTTCATGACGGGCTGTGGTTATGTCAGAAGCAAGCTTCGCCTCTTGTTGCAACATTATCACACGTTGGTTTTCTTGCAGCTCTAGGATCATATCCTGCTGTTGCTGAAGCTGTTTCCTCTGCTCCACAATGAGTTGCTGCTGGAAATTGTGACGATGTTGGAAGTTGCTCTGTAAAAACTTTCTCTTCCTTGCAGTGTCAGAGTTTAGTTGTTGACTACTTTGGTCTTCCTCTGACATTTTGTTCTCAGTGTGGAAGTGAGCAATATCCCCTGAGCTCAGTGCAGCATGTTGACGAGTAACTTGCCAGGCATATTTTAGTTTTGTGGGAATTGGATGCTGAGTTTTGCTGCTTTCCCTCACTTTACAATCAACTACAGGGAAAATATCTTCTTTCTTAACCTCTTCCTGTGTTTTTTGAAAACAATAATATTCATTTATCATCATTCCTATGAATAATATTATTGAATGGCAAGACTCAGTTTGGTCCTCTAAACTTTCTATGGTTCCCAAATTATATTCTATGATCAAAAGTAAATAGTTACTTACAGAGATACAAAATGCATATGTTCAACAATTTGTGATTTTGTACAAAAAACACTTAAATGTAAAGAATGATGACCCAATTATGTTTACATCAGTCCAAAAATGTATTGCACTTTATTCACTCCCTACTTACCATTTTCTGTTGAGTAAAGTTAGTCTGCTGAAGCTCATTTGCACACTTTAAACTCCTGCTAGAATCTGGCACTTTGTCTGCCCTCAGTTTCCCTGAAGAAGCAGCATCCAGCAGTGCTGCCATTTTCTGTTTGGTCTCCTCTTTTCTTGCTTCCAACTCCCTCCTTTCTCTCTCAGCTTTGCACCACAGTCGCCAGTCTGTGAAGTAGTAGTAAAGGATCCGTTTCCTGTTGCATTTGATTGCAAGTTGATTTTTCCTATGAACAACACAGGGTGTGCTTGAATTCTTTCAGTTCCATGAATATATCAATTTAGACTTGAACAAAGTACCTTTACTGTAAATGAGTTAAACATTTAAAGCATTCAAATACTGCATTCAACAATTTGCCAAATTCTGGATGCTCTAAAATGCTACATAGAATAATTTTAGTTCCACGTGGAATTTCTCCCAAACTTCATCATAATAGGTAGACTCAACGCAAAAATATTCTTGATGCTTTTCTTACTTAAATGTATCTAGAAAGTGAATAGAATACTCAGCAGTTGGTTTGAACATGTTTTGCAGAAGTTTGCTACCTATTCTCCTCCCGTAATTCCTTTTCAGTGCGCCGAGTCTCCTGCTCCAGTTTCTTTGTCCATACAAACGTTTTCCATCCCTGGAATGCTCGAAACTGACTTCTCCAATCAAACAAAGCTCTGGCTTTCCCCATTTTTATCCTATGTTCCAGGACCACTTTATACCAGGCTGAAAAAGGTTTCTGTAGAGACTGCAGGCAAAAAAATTTAAGCATTGACACTCACCGAAGCCTCAGTCTGATTCAAGCTTTTATGGCTCTCAAGATCATTTTGGAATTGCCAATTGTGCTAGAGGCACCCCCACTCAATGCTCATGCTCATGAGGTTGAGTCACACATTTGATTTCTGGCTTGTGGATTGTGGCTCTCGGCTACCAGTTGGAGGAATAACCTTTTTTTAAACTAAACAAAGAATATGCAGTACAGTGCAATCCTAAAGTCAAATTCATAAGCCAATTTTAAGGATGTTAACAATGAAAACAATTTGGGGTGAGGGGAAGGGGGAAGAGGAAAGATTTCCAGCATATCCATATATTTCACTTTCAATAATTTAGAAATTTCTAAATTCAACCCATTGGGGTCTACTTGACTATTAATCTTCTCTCACCCGGAGATGGTGAGCATTGATCCTGGTTTGAACTTCCTGCATTTTTTGACGTTGCACAAATGCTTGTCGTGCCTGGTTCTGTTGCTCCTGGAATTCCATTAACACATGTTGAGTTTTTCCTTTAAATAGCATCTGCCGGGTTTTCTCTGCTTCCATACATTCTCGTTCACTGTAAAAAGGAAATGCAAACAGATTTGAAGGCTATTTGAAAGATTTTTTGAGCCCACTTTCATTACAAAAGGTGAAAGATTTAGTCCAAAATGCTTTCATTAAAGGAATATTCTGAAGTTACAAATGTTAATTCCCATGATCCATACTCCCCGCAAAAACCATACACCAGGTTGCTGGTTACTGGAAGGGCAAATAATTATGGAAGGTCAACACTTCAGTGCTTTTCAGGAGATTACTAACTTACAATCGCCTTGCCTCTTCCATTATGAGTCTCTTTTCAAGCATTTCTTTCCGTAACTGCACCATCGCTTTCTTAATTTGCCCATCTTCTTTCTTCACCTGTGAAGCTTTCTTCCTTTTTTCCTCCTGAACCAATTGCTGTGCTTTGTCATAAGCTATTTTTTTCCTGATTTCCTTTTGCTTCTGGCTCTCCAATGCAGCCTGCCTTTTTAAACGATTCTCTTTCACCTTTGAAAGTAGATATAATCATTCCACTGAAACTATTGTTTCTTCAGTGCTTAAGAATTTTAAATGTGCTTTAATTTTGTCCAGGAGAATAAAATAGTTTTCAAGTTTGATCTCTTTAAATCATAAATATGTCACCATAAACATTTCAAGGTACATTATAATAATCCTTGCATTTGATATAGCACCTTATCGCGTCTTCGAGATGTCTCAAAGCGCTTCACAGAATATACTGAAAGTGAATTGACTGTATATTTTCTGGGTGAAACACGGCAGTCAATTATATTCCTTCAAAAGGAGTTATATTCAAACTTAAACTAATCTATTCCATAGTTATGCAGTACGCATCATTTATTTCAGAGTCACAGCATATTCCTATGGAATTGAATCCTCACAGGTCAAGATATATGGAGAGAAATAGCCATAAGTCAGTGAAATTGACATTCACTCGTACGAGCCGTAGCCAGGTACATACCTGTTTGTGTCTTGCCTCCATTGTGAGCCGTGGGTCTTGGTGCTTTTTCTGCTGACTTTCAGCATCCATCCCCAGATCATCAAAGAAGCCAGATTCCGCCACCTTCTTTTGCAGCAGCTTCTGTAAGAAGGTCTGAGCTATGGTACTCTCTTTTTCTTGATCCAGGTAATTATACATGTCTACAGTAACACACAATGGATTAGTAGCAGGCAATTAGCAACCAGAAAACATTGCTACTTTGGTCACACATTACTGTTTGAAGAATTTCAATTACCAAAATTCATTTCTAAAGCATATATATTCATCTTAATACAGCTACACAAATATTTGCCTGAAAGATGTTCTGTACACATATAAAAATTCACAATTTCAAATTAATTTAAAAATAATAATAATCTTTGCATTTGCTACAGAGCATACAACATTGAAACATCTCCAATTGGTTCACAGGGAATTGCTGTCCAGTGCAGTGAATGTATTTGTCAGCAAACGCTTCAGCCTATTAGCACACAGCAAAGGTTCCACAAACACCGTGAAGTAGTGATTGATGATGACCAATTTATCTGAGGTTTGTAGGCCAGGAAACTGGGAGAAACTCCCTTCTCTTCTTCACCAGTGCCACGGGATCTTTAACAATTCACCGCAATGCCTCAGTTTAACGTGATAGCTGGAACTTTGAACTGTATGAGATATTCTATGCTGTAAAAAAAACGAAATATAAAGCCATTTTTGATGTCCTTACCATCAAACGTCTCATATTTTGGCGCTACTGAGCTCATTGGTGGGGAATATGTAGGTTCCTCTGAGGAATTCAGATGATGTTGCAGATCTTCACTTTCATTATATTCCAATTCCAGCCTTATTTTAGAGTTCATCCATTCAGTGAGTAATTCTTGAGCTACACAGAGAGTGATTAAACATTCTGAAAGACTTTTTTCTAGACACTTATAGAATCTTACTACATGCCAAATATAATTCCCTCAATTTAAGTATTAGTTTAGAAACTTAATTCCTAAAAAAAACTTATAAAAGGTTTAAGAAACAATTATTGAATCTTATAAAAAGCAAGATTACATTTTTAAAAATCACAGGAATCATTGATGTGTCAAACAAATCCAAAGCCTAAATTACTTCTGTACTATAATAATTGGGTGAGTGTCTGATATAGTTTTCCTGCTCTGAAATTGCATTGTCCCTGGGTTTGGGAGAGCTTTTTGTTCATGAATAATGAAGTAAACGGCAATCCATTGAACACACCAAGAACTGGAAACTACTAAGGTATTGAAGGAGCTTTAGATTTTCAATTAAACAGAAAAGTTTGTGCCCAGTACACCAACACATCTTCTATTGCCAAAAAACAATTAGAGTATAATGCCTGTGTTGTGCCTTTGAATATAGCACTGCTGTATTTATAGTATGATTCTCCTGTGGACCCGCACTAACGAGAAGCACGGTCTACCTGGCTATCTCACCCCCGATGCCACTTACTGTGCATTGTGTGGAACGCATTGGAAGTGAAGTCAGAGGTAAACTAACGACGGAAAGGTTGGCCATTTTTTCACACCTTGCTTGTAATGTAACCGTTGAGACAATGGAACTAATTGGCCATGTTAAAACAAGGTTCCCCTTTGTCCAACATTTTGATAAATGCTGTGTGAAATACTTGGTACTGTAGAAAAAATCTGCCAATGATGAAACACCACTGTACGTATACTCATTCCCAAAGGAGTTTAGTCTTAATTTATCAGAGAACTCTCAGCAGCCCAGAGAAAAAAAGAGGACTTTCATCTGAGCTTGCTGGAATAGATCCAAATCTAGAGGTGAAAAGGCATGTATGCCTCATACCTGATCTGCATAAGCCATAGAGAAGTAGAGAATTGAAGATCATTACCTTCAACATATGCATCATCATGATCATGAAGCTGATCAATTGTCTCCATGACCACAGCATATCCTCGTGCCTTCGAATTTTGATTCGCCTTCTTTGAGAAAAATGTTTCTGTGATAGCACATTCAGATGCTTGTTCGACTTTCTATTTTAAGAAAATTAGGTTAACCTGATTATGCTGAAAGTATAAATATTTTCAAATCATTTAAATAGTTCACTAACTCATGCCTTTCAGTATAAAACCAATTGGTCGCACTTACTTTAATCCAGTCTTGAATATCATCACGTTCCATTTTTGACTACAGATAAACATAAAAATATCATAGTTAATCAATATCTCTGCAACAAGTTAACTCGCAGGCCAAGTAGTTTTTCTTTAACAATGATGAGTTTTGAAAAATAACAAAAATAAAAAGAACCAGAGAGATAGTTTAGTCAAAGATTCTGCAGCTGAAGTAAAAGTAGACCTTTGGATAATTTGCTGTATAGCGAAATAAGCCTCAAGGATATCACAAAGACATCTGAAGGGATGTTGTTTAATATAAATTTTGACATTTTAAAAATGTATTTTCGAAGCCCACTTGATCTCTCTCCATTTCCAATCCAATAATTAACATGAGCTGTCTAATGTCGTTTTTCGTGCACGAATGAAGCTCGATCAGCAAAAACAAATTCATTGTTCAGCTCTTGATTATACCATTATAAACTCTTAAAATTCAATGCATTTGAATTGAATTACACATCACATTAAAGGCTGTTAAATCTCTTTAAGAATGACGTACTTTCTAAATGCTTCTCATCACGTGACAATTTACTTGTGTTGATCTAAAGTAGGATTTGTTTTTACATATATCACACTTTAAAGGAATGTCACATTTAAAAAGGAATTACAAGTTGTGTCATTCTTGCCCATCAACAACAACAAATTACATTTATGTGGCAGGACATCCCAAAGTGCTGGAAATCATAAATGTTAGTCCCAATGTTATCCCAATATTGACAGCTCTATCATATTCAAATATAAAGTGCCAGTTAACCTTTTATGCACATCATCAATAACTATATTGTTTTCTGAAGAGGGATCTTTTAAGCAGTCACAATTTGACATCCTTATGTGATTTTCACAGCTAACCGCTCCAAACTATTAATGATCTCATCTGCTTTGCTGGGAAATAGACAGTTTAAACCTTTTAATATCTGAACACTGATATTCAGGGAATGAGGTCAGTTGTTTAACTGGTGCATCTCTTTAACTGCTGCGTACAATTCACCATCGAGGAGGGAAGGGAAGTTAAAGCCATCTTCCTTTGATTAACCACATGCAGTGGATTTTGTAATCCCTGAATTTGGATTCAGTAGGTAACTTGTCCGAGGATAACACAAATTATCTTCTGTTCGCACTATGTTAATAAGCATTAAGTCAGCACGTTTGACTGCCATAATTATTGTTCTCCAAATTAGAATGTATCATAAATTGTAGCAACGTACCGCAATAAGTAATACTTCATGACTGTTTGTGGCAATATTGTCTGTCACGTATACTTACAAAATATACAACAACAACAACAAAATTACATTAAAAGAGCGCCTTTCACGTCGGGAGGACGTCCAAGTATGTGCTGCATCCAAGATAGTTGTCGAGTACCAGATAAGGCCAAATAGTTATAACTAACTCAATCAGTACATTTTACATCAAGTCCTGTGAAGTGCTCAGACGTGTTGAGGCGCTGCATCCAACACAAGGAAGATTATTGCCGAGTGTGTGAAGGGAATATTCAAAACAACGAGTCAGTCGGATGTTGCCACTTTGAACAGAAAAGAATAAGGCTAAACTACCCTGGGAGCATCTCTTTTGCTGTCGGTAAACCTTTCCCAATGGAAAAGATTAGATTTATTGTGTGCCATGTCCTCTGCGCCTCGTCGCCGGGTCGCCCGTCAGCACTGTCCGAAACAAAACTCTCCTCTCAAGCCGCCATATTTGCAGAAGCGGTGCGCGCGAGGTGTTGTGGGTCCTGTAGTCCTGCTCGTGATCGTGGACCGCTTGCCACCGGAGCGCAGAAATACAACTCCCAGAATGCATTACCGCCCCAAGCGCACCTGCGCATTCGCACGCTCACGTTACTATGGGCAACGATCAACGGACACTTCACGCATTGATCCCGGCCGCCTGTGTGCAACAACAACAACAGCAACAACAACAGGGTTACATTTGTATAGCGCCTTTCACGTCGGGAGGACGTCCCAAGGCGCTGGACAGTGTACAGCATTTCAGACCCGAGCTGGGGTCAGGGGGGGAGAAGGGAGGGGAAGGGGGGTGACCGATGGTAATGGTCGAAGAGGAGGGTCTTAAGGCGGGACTTGAAAGGGCTAAGGAGAGCTTGAGGCGGAGTGACTGGGGGGTGGAATTCCAGAGGTTGGGGTAGAAAAGACAGTTGAGGGTCGAACAAGACACTGTAGTGTGCAACCATGGAGGCTGATGCTGCCAGAGCCTGAGGTGCTGAGGCGCTGGTATGAGCCAATCAGGAGGGCCTCAGTCTGGTTCACATTCAACTGTAGGAAATTTGCCCTCATCCAGGACTTGATGTCCGACAGACAGTCTGTCAGGACAGCAGTGGTCCTGGAGTTGAGGGTGAAGGCAGAAAGATAGAGTTGGGTGTCATCCACATACATGTGGAAGTTGACCTCATGTCTGCGGATGGTGTCACCAAGCGGGAGCGTGTAGATGTTAAAGAGGAGAGGGCCAAGGACAGAGCCCTGGAGGACGCCAGACCTGATAATGTGGGGGCTGGAGGAGAACCGTTGGAGCCAACAAAGTGGAGACGGTGCGAGAGATATGAATCGAACCAGGGTAATTGAACCAGGCAAGGGGAGATCCGCAAAGATTAAGTAAAGAAAGGCGGTGTATGAGGATGGAGTGATCAATAATGTCGAAGGCGGCAGAGGTCGAGGAGGACAAGGAGGCAGAAGGAGCCCTGATCACAGATGTTCAGAATGTCATTAGTGACTTTCTTAGTGACGTGCAGCATATGACTGCTGGCATTAACCAGTGCCCCACTTGCAATACTTCAACTGTGCAAACAATTCTGATAATTTTATTAATCCTTACATTTGGTACAGTGCTTTTCACATCGCAAGGCTTTGCAAAGTCAATCCATTTTACAGTATATTATGTTAAGCGCTAAGCATTTGAGACGTCTCAACGATGTGATAAGGCGCTATATCAAATGCAAGGATTATTATTAAAGCTTCACATGTAAAGTGCAGAGGCTGTGTATTTGTAGGTGTATGCGACAGCCAATTTGCATACACCAATGTCCCACAAACAGCCATGAAGTGAGTGACCAATTTTATTTGGGAGATTGTTGGCCAGAGCACAACAACAACTTGCATTTAAATAGTGCCCTTCACGTGGGCAGGTGCTCCGAGACAAAAGGAGGAACTCGCTTCTCTGTGTCTAACATGAAATTTTTACTGTAACATTTTCTTCACAAAGAAAACCAGTTGGTACTAATTAGCTGCTACTTTGGTCTACATTAATAGCATTCACTTCATTTCTAAAATTTCTTAAGAACTTTGGGGGCCTTTCCATTATGTAAAAGTTTTCTTTAAAAACAAGATGTTGATGTAATAATAATAATAATAATAATCTTGCATTTGATATAGCGCTTTTCACGTCGGGAGGACGTCCCAAAGCGCCTCACAGAACACACTGTAAAGTGAATTGACTATATTTGTGGGCGAACCCGGCAGCCAATTGCGCACAGCAATGTCCCACAAACAGTCGTAGATTGAAAATGACCAATTTATTATAGTTTTTGGTTTTTGGAGGGANTTTTTTTAAATAAGTGTTAAAGAGACATAAATCAGTCAGCAGGCCAGACACGAGGATCTGTTATGTGGTTTTAAGGTACAAAGGATTTGGATAAGTAGCAAACAGAGTGTATTATGATCTGTAATGTCGAAGACAGAGCATTTATGTAGAATTGTAACTTTTTCGTTCGTCCCAACCGTCGTCTTACAAACAGACCATACACCGTGGATATATCCAAAGTAAGATTTAATTGCAATTAAAAGAGCTGATTCAAGAGCAGTTAACAGTCTCCCAAGTAGAGCACCTGACAGTCAAAAGAATGAGCTGCTGATGGTCAGTTAAAGCAGCCTTTTTATCCCCAAAAAGTGCTCAAGGTGGTAACACATACAAAGGCAATTAAAAAAGTATTATCAATCATGTGGCTACAACAACTATTCGAATGGTGACGTCAATCAATCCATATCTCTTAACAAGGTTAAATGTCGTCTACTAATTAGTCTCTATTCATGCTGATTATTATTCTTTTAAGAGTCAAGAAAATATAATTGGCATAGAGTATGTACCTGATTAATACTGTTGTCTAAAGTATACAAGATATATTCTAGAGCTATCTAACAAGAATGCAACCTTTAAATTTATAACACAGAGTAAGAAATAATGAAGGAAGGGGACTCAGGTTGAGGAGGGATTCAGGGACGTTTGAGGCATAAGCTTATCTCTAGATGGTGTTTGTGTCAGACAATGTCTTATTCATTTCAAGGTTTGCAGAAGTTACTGCTTCTCTGGTTCTGTGAAATGCCCAGATAGGGATGCAGCTGGCATTGCCAAGTCTGCGTTTCCCAGGACTTGCTTTTTGTTCATCTAATAGTTGGTTTCAAGGTATAAAATTATTCCTAGGTATAAAAGATTTTTTCTACAATCTCACATTTAAATGAGTAGCAAAAAAATGTATAAATGAAGAAAAAGTCTCAAAGCACTTCACAGAGATGGAGTGAGTGATCTAGTAGGCTGGAGGATAGGAGATGAGGGATAGCAATACATTCTGTTTCCTTTTGAACTCAATCTGTCTGCTTTGGTGGCCTCTTGGTAATTTGTTCTACAAATCTATCTATACGTCTAAACAATAAATAAATTGATGAAACTAGGAATCTTTCTGTTAGGTCTTTATAATGAGTGTCACTTTTTGTGTAACAAAAAGCTTTGTCTAAATCTGTTCCAAGGCAAATAGTAATAATGCTTGCATTTGATATAGCATTTTTTCATGTCTTTGAGACGTATCAAAGTGCTTCACCGAATATACTGTAAAGTGAATTGACTGTATATTGTGTGGACGAAACGCAGCAAATTGCACACAGAAGTGTCCCACAAACAGTCGTGGATTGAGTAACCCAAATTATTATTATTTGCACAACAACAATATAAGATACGCATTACTGGCACATAGACCCAATAATAATAATAATAATCAATATTCATTATTCAAGGGTACACCAGTTCCAGTTAAATAAGACAGCATTGCACACGTTCATAGTAAAACGTAAGGTGAAGGTACATGCACATAGCTCAGCTGCATTTCTTTATGTAATTTCATTCACACACTGTATTATACACTCACACACACTGTGCATTCACACTGTATTATTCACACTGTGTTGCACGCTCACACGCTGACTCAGTGACGTCAATGACTGGAGGCCAGCGCGCTCCCGGAGCAGGGAAACGTCATCAACACGCGACGCCCTGGGTGCTGAGCGCGTGTCGCCGCCGCTGAACAACAGGCGGGAACAGAGGGGAGTGAGACAGAGGGACAGCAAACCAGAGGGAGAGGGGAGATAGCCGGGAGAGCAGAGGGACAGAGAGGGAGAGAGAGAGAGAGAGAGGTGAGTGACTGCGGTGGCTGATCAATGAGCTCCCACCGACTGAGCAATGGCCGGACCCAGAGCGGCAGTAAGTGGTTTCCTCAGGTGGAGGTGACTGGCAGCTCACAAGTTGACACCGACATTGCCTTTGCCTGTGCGGCTTATGGTGCAGAGTCACAGCTTTAATATTCATCTACAATCGAGAGGATCGTTTCTTACCTTCAAAAGCTGGTTCTGAGCCCGGGTTTAGATTATTGACGTTTCACCGGCCAGTCCGGGTCACCTGACAGTCCGGGACTGCTTGGGACAGGAGGATTACCTTCATCAATGAACTCTTATCACCCAACTGCTTCTCCCCCCCCCCCCCCCCCCCCCTCCCCACACAGTCACATACACTGATCGTGTACCGAAACAGGGCGAGTCGGCAGTGTAGGCATTAAGAATCCTCTCGGGCAGAGTGATCACAATATGATTGAATTCTGCATTAAGTTAGAGAGGGAGATAGTTAAATCCGAGGCAAGTATTCTGAACTTAAATAGGGCTAATTTTGTAGGTATGAGGAAAGATTTAGGTAAAATGGACTGGAGAATAAGATTAAGAGGTAAAAATGTAGACCAACAGTGGCAAATATTTAAGGATGTAGTGCAAAATTCTCAGCGGTCACATATTCCCTTGCGGAATAAGAGTACTACAGGGAAAGCAATTCATCAATTCATCTGCCTGGAATTGAACTCGGGTCTCTCACTTGCAAAGCGAGTGCTCTAACCACTGAGCTACAGGACTCCATTTTTTTAATGATGACATTAAAAAAAATGCAGCGCGACATAGATAGGTTAGGTGATTGGGCAGGTAGGTGGCAGATAAAGTATAATGTAGGGAAGGTGAAGTCATCCACCTTGGTAGCAAAAACAGTAGAGCGGGTTATTTTTTAGAAGGGGAGAGATTGGAATGTGTTAGCGTCCAGAGGGATGTGGGTGTCCTTGTACACCAATCACAGAAAGTTAGTCTGCAGGTGCAGCAGCAATTAGGAAGGCGAACGGTATGTTAGCATTCATTATGACAGGATTAAACTATAAGAGTAGGGAAGTCTTGCTGCAACTTTATAGGGCCCTGGTGAGACCACACCTGGAATACTGTGTGCAGTTTTGGTCTCCTTACTTAAGAAAGGATGTACTTGCCTTGGAAAGGGTGCAGCGTAGATTTACTAGGTTAGTACCAGGGATGAAGGGGATGAGTTACGAGGATAGGCTGACCAATTTGGGCCTATATTCTCAAGAATATAGAAGAATTAGAGGGGATCTTATAGAAACCTATAAGATCATCAAAGGGTACGATAGAATAGATAGTGGGAGATTGTTTCCCCCGGTTGGAGAAACTAAAACCAGGGGTCACAACCTTAAAATCAGGCCAGCCCTTACGCACTGAGTTGAGGAAGAACTTCTTCACTCAAAGGGTGGTGAATGTATGGAACTCACTACCCCAAAGGGCTGTTGCCGCTTAGTCCTTGAACATATTCAAGACTGAGATAGATAGATTTCTTATTGCAAAAGGGATTAAGAGATATGGGGATAAGGCAGGGTTATGGTATTAGCTTGAGTTAGATTAGAAGATCAGCCATGATTGAATGGCAGGCAGAATCGAAGGGCCGAATGGCCTACACCTGCTCCTACATATTATGACTGTATCCTCTCCTTTTCATCATCTACGTGCTCTCACTTGGTGATGTCATTCACATGGTAATATTTTAAAAGAAATAGAAATGCAGAGAAATCTACATGTCAACATATATAAATCTTTAAAGATGGAAAATAATTAAATAATTATTTGGGGAGAACAAGTTTGCGAGGCTATGGGGAAAGTAGGGGAGTGGGATTGATTTGGATAGCTCTTTTCAAAGACTGGCACAAATATGATAGGCTGAATGGCCTCTTGTGCTGTAAAAACTATGATTCTATGATTCAGGTGGTCAAAGCTGTGCAGAAAGCTCAAGGAATACTTGGTTGTGATATGGCTGAACTTTAATTTTTGAATGAAAATGATAAAGTGGTTGGTACAAACTAAGGCATTGTTGATTGCTGACCTGCCTGGTCTGGCTCATCTCAATCTGGCCCATCCTAGTCAGGCTTGAAAGTCAGTTAGGTAGAATTACACTAGCTAAAAAAAACAGATAATTGTTGAATACTGTATTTTAAATTTCATGAAAATTTGGAGTTTCTTTTGGTTAATGGTATTTGTTTTTCTCCAACAGAGGTTGCCACACAATTCTGTATATTTTCCTGGATGACAGATATCTTACACTTTAATATCAGATCTGGATTTAGCAGGCGTACAATAAAAGATCAACCTCCGAGAACTGAAATCGAGTTGAAAGTTTGAACTGGAAAGATGAAGTTAATCCTCTCAAGCGTCGTGAATGGATGTCGCCTCGGCAAATTGACTGAAGTAGGACGGAATGGCACTAAAACCATAGACTTTCCTGGTTGCCTGCTTTATACCCGGACAGGTTCAGCCCCACATCTGACCCATGATACGCTCCATTTGATCGAAAAAGTACCTGAACCTGTGCAGCTAACACTGCCAACGCTGTATGTTTAAGTATAAAATCATGTCTTTTCACAATGAATTTTGAATTCTTACTGGTTGAATCAGAGACCTATTCCTTGTATAATAATAATGCTTGCTTTGATATAGTGCATAATCACATCTTCAAAACGTCTTGAAGCGCTTCACAGAATAATAATAATAATAATAATAATAATAATAATAATCCTTGCATTTGATATAGCGCGTTTCACGTCGGGAGGACGTCCCAAAGCGCTTCACAGAACACACTGTAAAGTGAATTGACTGTATATTTGTGGGCGAACGCTGCAGCCAATTACGCACAGCAATGTCCCACAAATAGTCGTAGATTGAAAATGACCAATTTATTATTGTTTTTGGAGGGATTATTATTAGGCGTGTGGAGTAAGGAAACTTGCCCAAGGTTTCGCCCTGCCTGGAATATATTGTAAAGTGAATTGACTGATTTTTGTGAGTGGAACAAGGCAGCTAATTGCGCACAGGGTTCCTGACTTGGTTTGTTTAGTGGCTCATGCAACCATCTGTTGACTAACATCAGTGAGCGACCAACTGTCCTCAACTTCAGACTAATGCAGTGGGAGTGAGAAATATGATTCCAACTTCCACATAGGAACAGGAGTAGGCCATTCAACCCCTCAACCTATTCTGCCATTGTATTAGATCATGATCTGTATTCAACTCCATTTACCTGCTATTGCTCGATATCCCTTGATACCCTAACCCTTGATACCCATAACAAAAATCTATTGACCTCAGTCTTGAAAATTTTGATTGATCCAGCATCCACAGCCTTTTGGGGGAGAAAGTTCCAGATTTCCACTACCTTTTGTGTGGAAAAAGATCATACGGAAAGTAATATTTCTTTGCTTCCATCAATGTAAATAGTATCATAGGCAGTGGACTGTTTCAAAGGGAAATTGACCTCAAGTTTGACCAAATATGTGACCGTTGTTTGTCTGAGATGTGCCGATGTATACTGATTCTTTACTTGTTCTTTCAGAGCTGAACATCATGAAGTTTTGGAAGCATATAAGGAAGGAATTGGAAAATTCATAGGTATTCATTCAATTTTAGAAACTGACTGCTCTTTCCTTTGGTTAAACAAATATGTTCAGTTTGTACACTTTAAATTCTATCCAAGTTATACAGGGTGACTAAAAAGTCATGATACTATTACAATGTCTAATAAGTCTTCAAGAAATTATGACTTTTTTAGATAATAGGGTAGTTATCATGACTTTTTGGTCACCTTGTAGTATCACTAACGGTGCATGTTTTCAACATATGTCAATGGTTGCCTTTACCATGAGTATTGGTCAGGAGTCAAAAGGACTAGTCATATTGCCCACATGACTGAGGAAATAAAGATGTGACACTTTATAAGTATTTGCTATAAATCGTATTTCAGTATGATGCTTTTCCTTTAGTGAAGAAAGCTTGTTGGGATCTAATGTCCACTTCGATGACACATCGTACAGGGCAAAAGCTTAGGCCTTCGCAGCTCATTTCCCCCCTGCTCGGGTCCTGACCCAACTGTCCAGCGCCTTGGGACGTCCTCCCTACGTGAAAGGCGCTCTATAAATGGAATCTTCTTGTTGTTGTATTGCATTATGTTTTTCACTATTATCAGTGTTTTGGTTTATTGAGTAGGTTGTGTTTCTTGAACAGGCATGCCAGACTCCTTACTGTACTGTTCCTTACATGATGCAGCCAGCCCCTGTCCATCAGGGTACAATACAAACAAGGTACAATTTGAAGTAATTTACCGTTGTGGCAAGATTATTTGAAATAAGTTTCCTTATTAATTTACTACAGTATTTAATAGATGCTGCTCTAGCTGATTATTGCCACTGCAGTTTAAGGCAGTACACCAAAATCCAAAACTTAAGAGTATAGTGATGAAGGTCTTTTGCTGGGTCAGATGTAATTTTTAAAATAATATTTAAAAGTTAGAAGAGTTGAAGAATGTTCCAATAAATGCTCTACCTGCTATAGTACTCAGGGATAAGTCTACTGCAGCTCACCAGAATGAGGTTAAAAAGTGCTTGTTGGGGAAAAGGCAGCATAAATAGCTTCTCTGCGCGAAAAAAAGCACCTTAGGACATAACATTTATCTCCTCAGGGAACCCCCTTTATATCTCTGTCTCACAAGAACTCGGCTCCCACCTGAGAACTCATTAGAGCTTAGTTCTCATGGGCCTGATGACATACAGGGGGTTCCCTGGAGGGGATACACTTTACATTCCCGAGGACAATTTTTTTGTGTGAAGTGCCATTTATGCTGCCATTTTCCCAATGAGTCATTTTCTACTTTGCTGTGCAATTTACTTTCCCCTGTGCACTGCTCAGGTAAACATCTTTTAGGAAGATTTCACTTTAACCCATAAGCACTGAAAATGTTCTAATCCCAGTCTCCCACTGCAGTGATGTAATCATTAAAATTTATATCCCTTTTATTCAACTTCATAACTTTCGTAAATCATAATGAGATCATTTTGGTAGAAAGTGGCTGTTTTAATACTTGTAGTCCTATTTTGTGTGTTTTATTTGTGGTGCTTTACATCAATCATGATATTATGCACCTTATTCAGTAATGCTTCCACAGAAATATCAGTAATAGCTATCTGAGAACTGGATAGGTCCACTGACCATGCTTCTGGTGAATTGTGTGGTGATGCAAATAACACCTGATATCTTGTTCTCTTTTACTTACCCTCCTCACTGAGGTGAGTGTATTGTTTAATGCTCAGGCAATAATATATGCATTGTCTACAGAAGAAATGTAATTCAAATTGAAACAACATACTTGAGATAAAGTGTAATAATAAGGGTGACGTGCAATGCAGATGACCTGTTATTGACATTGATGGAACTTATAACCAGGTAATGGACATTTTGATGCAGTTTGTAACAAATTTTTGAGCTTTATCTAACATTCAATATTAGTTTGAATGTTGTTCGTAATTCAGTTTGCAAATACAAATGCTGGTCTAATTATTAAGTTGTGCTGGGTTTGTTAACTGTTTTAAAGTTTTTTTTATATAACCTGTGTTAATGCCTACTGGACAGACTGTATCAGTCTGGGGTGGAGGTGGACGTATTGAACTAACAGTATCTAAGTTCATGGAGATACAACAAGCCTTCAAACCTGACTGGTACCAGTGCATGGCAGATGGGGAACTTCTGCCTCCAGGAACTTCAAGAAAGAGGGCAAAGAAATCTGTGGATCGTACGCTGGCCTTTCTGGATGGTTGCCTTGAGATGCATAAGAAATCTGAGGTAAACATCAGAGCTGGAACATAAGCACCTGCAGCTTGTTTAACAGGCTTCCTGAGCAGCTGTTGTTGCCTGTTTAAGACCATAAACTTTATCAATGCAGCAATTTTTATACAGAGGATATGGTGCAGAGTTTGTTGAATATGACATTTGATTATGGCTAAAATTATACCAGAGCCTTCACTTGTATAATAACCATTAATATTCAATAATTTACTATGTAGTACAGTATTCTGTCAACATCATGTGCCTATCGGGTTTTGTGCAATTTTGTTAAATTGTAAATGAGCTTATATTTTACTAGTTATAGTTCTCTTAGGTGTGTTTTATTGGTGGTGATTTACATCACCCTTCATGTTGTGCTGTTCACCTGCAAATTTGCTTACAAACTACACTGCTACTGCACTTTATTGTACATCCCATTAAGTGCTTGGAGACTCCTCCCCCATGAAAGTTACTTTAAGAAATGCAAGGATTATTATTTTACTGTTAAACAAATTATCAGATCACAGTAGTTCCTCACAGTAATCCAGCGAAGACATGGCTCTATAGTTCTGTAATTTATTAATTAAAATGAGAATATAACCATAAACAAATAGTATTTTGAAATGTTGAATCTTTCTTGAGAAAATGTTGCAAGGCAATCAATCTGAAGAGTTAAAACATGAATTGCAAAGACCATATTTGTATTACAATGCTAAAGTTACCTAGTGTTGAACATTGCAGCTAAACCATAACAAATTGAAAATTCAGTCAGATAATAGAAATGCTTTAGTAGTTTTTTGCTGAGCATTTGCGCTGTAAATGGAGGCCTGCTGGTTTTAATATAAGGTTGAAGGTGGAGACTGGTTATATTTGTACATCCTGATGTCATTGCACTTAATGAAAATACAATTATTTTTTAAATGAAATAAGATTGTGTATTAACATTTATAGTGTACTTATGATTGTGACATACAGTTGCAAGATTAGGTTTAGGAACAACTAATACGAGTCTAAACATTAAACTGAGGCAGAACATACTAAAGCAGAGCAAACTGAGTCCCAATACCTTTTTTACAGTCTTATGAGAAATTCTTCATTTAAATAAAATAATAATCCTTGCATTTGATATATTGCCTTATCACGTCTTTGAGATATCTCTAATTGCTTTGCAGAATATACTGCAAAGTGAATTGACTGTATTTTGTGAGTTAATTCATTAATCAGCAATGTTAGTTTTCACTCAGTGTGGTGCATTGATACACTGCATGAAGAGTTTCACTTAGTAATGAGGGAAGGGCAGCAGACAAACAGGAATTTGTTTGAAACATGGGAGGACCATATTATCTGAATGGGCAACAACAGTCTTTTAAGAGATGTGAAAGGTCAAACATCACAGTTATACTCTAAAACTGATCTCGTAGGTAGCTCTAACATAAAATCTGAAATGTTTCCCAAAATCTCTCTGACTCCTTAGATGTAAGTAATGTCAAGTACATGTGAATAAATAGGCCTTGAAGTAAGTGGGAAGAGAATATTCAGCCAAGTTTTCAGATGGGTGCAATAATAATAATTCTTGCATTTGATATAGCGCTTTTCACGTCTTCTAGACTTCTCAAAGCGCTTCACAGAATATATTGTAAAGTGAATTGACTGTATATTTGTGGGCAAATAAATATTTTTTTGAGGGATTAATATCCCTGGAAAAGCGAGCCGCCAATCGAATAACAGCTGGGTTTCTACTTACTGCTATGTAAACAGAGGTATGGGAAGTAAGGAAACTTACCCAACATTTCGCCCTGGCGGGAATAGAACCCAACTCTCATTTGCAAGACGATTGCTCTAACCACTGAGCTACAATTTGATTTGGGGAATGTTATAAACATGGGTTTGTGTTTCAATCTGAATTGCTACAGATAAACACTGGATTTCTCAGTGTGGTGCCAATCCCACACAGATCAGCCCACTTTGTTTTTTTGATGGCAGATGGATGACTAAATACATTAAATGCCAGTTTGACTTGTATTGTATAGCTACAGGTATATGTTTCTTATGATATGGGAATAATGTGTATTTTATTGGAGTAAAATTTAGAACTGTGGTAGGCCAATTAAGATTGCTCTGTCATTCAACTCTGTTATATTTTCCTTTTTGCATTCCTCAGTATACCTTGATATGTTTACTTCACAAGTATGGATCTACTTCCCTCCCTTGAATAAAAATGTTCTGGTTTCAACATTTAAATGGCTTACTTAGCCTCTTGCATTTAAGATTTTACAGCAGGAAGAGGGGTTTCCTTTTTTAAATACCTTGATTTTTTAAAAAAAGACCTCAATCAACAACAACAACAACAAGATTCCATTTATAGAGCGCCTTTCACGTCGAGAGGATGTCCCAAGGCGCTGTACAGTTGGGTCAGGACCCGAGCAGGGGAGAAATGGTCAGGGTGAGGGGAAGGAAGGGAGGGAGCGAGGTGGGGGTAGAGAGTCGAGAGGGGAGCTGAAGGCACGGTCAAAGAGAAAGGTCTTGAGACCGGCCTTGAAGGAGGAAAGGGAGGAAGCGGCGAAGGCACTGGGGGATAGAGTTCCAGAGCCTAGGGGCTGAGAGGCTGAAGGCCCGGCCACCGATGGTTGGGGCGGGAGATGTGGAGCAGACTGGAGCCAGAGGAATGGAGGGTACGGGCAGGTAAGTAGGGGGATAGTAGGTCGGAGAGGTAGGAGGGAGCAAGGCCGTGAATGGCCTTGTAGGTGAGGACGAGGATCTTGAATTCGATCCTCTGGGGGATGGGGAGCCAGTGGAGGCGAGCGAGGGTGGGAGTGATGTGGTCGCGAAGCCTGGTGCGGGACAGTACACGAGCTGCAGAGTTCTGAATGACCTGCAGCTTGTGGAGGGAGGTGCCGGGAAGGCCGGCGAGGAGAGAGTTCCCAGAGTCCAGCCTTGAGGTGATAAATCAGTTCTTAAACTTTTAAGCTTTGGTAAACGTAATCCACATTTGCCAAGCCTCTCATAAAATCATTGATATTGCAGCCTAGGGGGAAACCAGTTAGCCCATTAAGTGTAGGCTGATGCTCAATCAGCCACTGGAGCCAACTACTCTAATCTGAATTCTGTACTCTTTCCCTGTAACCTGTTATATTCTTTTCCTTCACATGTTTATCTATTGAAGCTAATATATTTTATCCCAGGTGTGATCCTGATGAATCATAGATGGTTTAGTGAAATTGTAACACCTTCTATTCCAATAATGCTTAGAATAATTGAATGACTTTTCAGTAAAGGAGATTTGGTGGAACAGAGGGAAGCCTGCATTGGCTATTATACAGATTTGAATATTTATCCTTCTTTTAGGTGTTGAAGAATACTGAGATCATAGGTGTGGTTGAAGGAGGGGACGTTCTTGAGGAGAGACTGAGATCTGTCAGAGAAACCATTAAGCGACCAGTTGGAGGTTTTCTTCTAGATGGTTTCCATGGAGATGATGTACCAAATGATTTCAAACTGAGCTTGCTTTCCTCAGTCACAGCAGAACTGCCTGAAGAGAAACCTAGGTAAGGAAATGAACAGTGAAGCTATACGCAAAACGTAAAATACTGCAGATGCCGGAAATCTGATCAAAAGCCTCTCCCTCCCAACATGCCCAAGTTGTGACGGAGGGTCGTGGACCTGAAACTTTGATTCACTTTCCTTTCTCCATAGATGCTGCCTGACCTGCTGACTGTTCCCATTGACTTCTGGTTTTATGTTAGTGAAACTATAACTGTGTCTAAAATGAACTACTCATAGCATGCTAATTCTGATTCTGTGGAGTCCTGTATCTTAGTGGTTAAAGCACTCCCATCCAAGTGAGAGGACATGGGTTCAATTCCTGGGCAGGGTGATGTGTTGTTCCATATGCCTATGTTTACCTAGCAGTAAGTAGGAACCCGGTTGTTAATCGATTGGCAGATCGCTTTTCCAGAGGTAATAATCCCTTTTTTTAAAAAAACAATAATTTGGTCACTTAATTCACCACTATTTGTGGGACACTGCTGTGTGAAATTGGCTGCCACATTTGGCCCACAAAATATACAGTCAATCCACTTCACAGTGTATTCTATGAAGCGCTTTGAGATGTCTCGTAGATGTGATAAGGGTGCTATATTCTTTGGAATTTTAGAAAAAAAATTGTGGAGGACATTGTGTATTCCTACAGTCAATGCATGTTTTATATGAAGGGCAAGAATTTTCCTCAATTACTTCCTGGATCTTTTAATCAGAAGTTGCTGACTCAGTCCACGACTGTTTGTGGGACACTACTGTGCGCAATTGGCTGCTGCGTTTTGCCCACAAAATATACAGTCAATTCACTTTACAGTATATTCTGTGATGCGCTTTGAGACGTCTCGAAGATGTGATAAAGTGCTATATCAAACACAGTTATTATTATATCAAATGCAAGGATTAGTATTATTGTTGCTGGACACTAGGTGGGACCAGTGAACTTATGAACAAAACGTGATGGTGATAAGACTGTTGGGCATCACATATCATTTTAGTAATAAAGAACTTGCATTTTTAAAAGCATCTTATCACAGTATAACACCTTTACAACTCTAAAGTAAATACTATAGTCTGTCCTTGGCCAGGGGACCAGGAGAAACTCACTTCTCGTTTTGAAAGTGTCAAGGGATGTTTTTACAAGCAGATGAGACCTTGGTTTAATGTCTCATCTGAATATTGGAACCTCTGACAATGAAATGCTCCCCAAGGTCTGCATTGGAGATTAAGCCTGGACTGAGAGCTCAAACCTCGACAGTCTTGAGTCCAAGGCAAGAGTGCTGCCAACTGACACTCATCAATATTTGCAGTCATTTTAACACAAAAAATAACAAAAGTGAAGTGTTTGTGTTGTTAATTATTTTCTAATTTGTTCAATTTTTCTATAATTTTTCTTTATTAGGATGATCCATGGGATTGGGAAACCAGATGAAGTGTTGGAGTGTGTAACGAGAGGCGTGGACTTGTTTGAGGGATTTTTCCCCTACAAGATGACTGAACAGGGGAGAGCTCTGTCATTCAATTTCAAATACAAAATGGACCCAGAGACGGAAGGTATTAGTTAAAACCCTTCAAAGGTTTGGATCAGTGACAGTACATGAACTCAGATAACTTTGGTCTCCATAGAGAGCAGAGTATAGGGCAAAGATGGGGGAGACAACCCCAGTGTGAGAGGCACTATTCAAATATAATTTATTGTTGCTGATGTTGTTGTCGACGCAACAGCTGACAAGACTACAGAAGGCAAAGCGGGGTGACATCAAAGCACACTGGGCTGCGTGGGTCAAAGATGGGGAGAAGTGAGAGCAACTGGAGGAATATGTGAGGCAACATTAGAATTTTTATAGCAGACTGAGGAACATGGCAATAGCAACAAGGGATACTGGGATAAGTAGATTCAGAACAGGTTGTCGAGAATTACTTTTATGAAGTAAGTTATTTCCAGTCTCTTCTGTGTGGATAAACTTTTATTTGTGCTGCATTTACTCTGTTACAAATGTTCTCGTGTACCTCCTGGTAAGCGGAGAGGCATATAAGAGAGCAGACAACACATGGGATACCTCTGAAGCATTAAAGCATAAACTTTCTAACATTTCTATTGGAACTACTTAGTGCTTTACTGTTCTTAATGTAAAGAAACTGATAAATAACTGCTTTTTAAAAATTTAAGCAAGCACCATTGCTTAAGTTTTGAAAATTGTTTAGAAGTTATTTACAAAATACAGTAAATTCCTGATAACTCTGGTTTAATTTATCATTACCACTTAAAGTTCATGCTGTCAATGTCCCATGCAAATAATTAATAATTGTTAGTAATACACTTTACTTGTCGTTCCACTTAACACGTAACTAATTACCTTCTAGAAATTCTTGTAAGTACTTACAATGTAAAATTTATTGGATAACTCATCCTATAAGATGGCGTGGTAGAGATTTGGCACACATGATTAAATGCATCGCAGAAGTGTCTGGTTTATTGGAAGGCTACGCCATGATCTCCCACCCCGCCTCCCACCCTATTGTGTCACAGGATAGGGCGGGAGGCCACAGCACAGCTCTCCAATAGACCAGAGGCCTCTGTGATACGTCTGAGCATGCGTGCCTAACCTCTGCTGAGCGCCTCGTCACTGGGCTCTTTTTCCCCTTTGAGTTACAAATTATCCAGAGTTTTCTGTAACTCTATAGTTTCAACATTTTCTTTTTTGAATTGTGATTAGATTTGTGAACTGCACAGGGAAATATTTGGAGGAACAACTGACAAAACGTTACTCAGGATCTAGCAGTTCTGGATGTTCTAGCATTGTTTGTTGTAGGTTATACCTGCAACAAGCAATGATTTATTTAGCAAAGCTTTCAATGTAAAACACTACACCAAACACTTTGCACTTTGTAAAAGTGCCAGTGCCTAGGACTGAAGTTCTGGAGCAAATCCAGATTCCTACATTGATCAGAAGAACAGCTCTGTTCCATTTGTGAGAAACTTGATATCATCAAAGAGTTGGTAATTTTTGGCTCAGTATCTAGCATTCTTCTGAGTTAGACTGTTATGTTCCCAGAGTGAGACTTCTAGTACATGAATGATTCTTGTTACATAAATGGTGAGGTCCGTGTATGAGGAGAATTGTTTGACTTCCAAGAGCCACAGCTGCTTTTGAGCCTTGTTTGTGCTCTATAAAGTGCTGCAAGTATCACTTGAGTTTCCTTGACGTCTGGGAATTTACTTCAAGTTAAAGACTTATGTAGACATGTTGCGTTTTGGTGTTATATTTAAAATGTAGCTTTCAAAGAAATGTGCTCTGGGCATTGGGTATTCATCATAAACCTGAGAGAGACTTGCAATTTATGCCACTGCATCTTACTGAGTGAGTTGTGTACCTTTTGCCTGTGTACCTAAATCAATCCCGATTCACACTTCTCACTGTCATCTAAATTTTTTCCAAGTTCTACAGTTTAATGAATTAGAAACAATTTTAGTCAATTGCAGGGAAAATTAAGAGCAATTGTTTCTGCGTATTATGTGGATACCATAGAATCAGAAAATATTGTGTGGTAGCTGTTTTTTATAAATAAACAATGGACTGTAGCCAAATCAAAACCCTAATAGTGTAGTGGGGTCTCCTCTTGGTATTAGTGGAGTAGTTACTGCTCTGAAATACCTGATCTGAGGTTGAGGCTGACACTAGGTGATTGGAGCATTTCTTTCTTCAGTATTGTGCTTTAAAGTGCAAAACTTCACAAAAAGATCACGGCAACACATGTTAGAAACACAGAAAAAGAGTGAGGGAGAAGAGGGAAAGGAGTCTTCGGAGCAATTAGCAAAATGCTAATTTGTACACAATACAAACTTTAGTGAAACGAGATCCCGTGCCTCACCCAAAGTGGCCATTAATCATGTGTGAATGCTAGCAAGCTGTTCAACTGTAATGGCAATATAGTGTGACCTCACCCGACAGGATTATTATTAATCTATGCTAGTTTTATTTGCCTGGATAGTTTTGCCTGTTCTCAAGTCTTTACTGTTTTCAGAAGAGAAACAGAGCTTCATTGTCCTTTACTGACCTTCCTGCATTGTCCTGCCCCGTTGAACATGATATTTATTTGTGTCAAGTGGTTCCCATTAAGTCAGAATCCTTTGCTTACTAACCTTTTTAACTGAGGTTTTGCAGTGACTAGGAAACAGCTATAAAATAATCCATGTATAGGGGACGGTTAGAAGCCACGGTCAGAAGCAAAGTTTGCACTCACTGAAGATAGTCTGATCTAATATTATACAAAAATAGATTTTATCATGGATCCGACAAAATAATGAAATTCTGTTCACCAAAGACCATTCAGGTAATTTCAGGGCTGCTGAAAACTATAGACAAGTGCCTGGAATCTATTTGGACTATCGCTTCCTTTATGGGAGTTCAAATTACTATGACTCTTCCCCCACCCCACCTCCCGTACAATTAAAGCCTTTTTAATTGTTTTAATCCTGAACATATTTATATTAAAAATATGTTCTCTTGTTTCCATGTTAATAAACCTTCACTAAAGTTTGTATTATGTACAATAACAGGGTTGTAGGAAATGGCAGGAAGATCAAGTAGCACAAATAGAATTTTGCTCACTAAGCAGAATTTATGTCAGATTACAGGGATTTGCTGTCACTATCATTTGTACCTTTATATTAAGAATATATATTGTATGTAAGATTTAAAACTGTGTATCAGTGAGAGATATAAAGCTACTATACAGTAAGTGGATATGTGTGAACAGAAGGGAGTCAAATAACTTGTGAGTTCCTCTAACTTTGCTGACTGTTCAAGGTGCCCTGAACATATGTACGATTGCACATACTGCCGCAGGCTCATCTCTAGTTGATAGGGCTCTGCTGATAACACAAACCATGTGCAGTCCCTGGGAGACCACTCTAATTGGTCGAGAGCTGGAAGTTGTCCCTCATGATATGCACCTGAAGCAGAATAAGGCAGCGTGGCACAATAGTAGTACTCTCACCTCTGAATCAGAAGATTATGGGGAATTCAAACCCCACATCAGGACTTGGAATCACATAGTCTTAGCTGACTTTCCTCCCCCAATGCAGTGCTGAGAGTGTGTTGTATTGTCAGATGTGCTGTCCTTTGGATGAGACGTTAAGCCAAGGTCCCGTCTCCTGTTCAGCTGGACGTTAAAGATTCCATGGCACTATTTGAAAAGAGAAGGAAGGTTTTCCCGGTATTTTGGCCAACAATCCCCCAAATAATAAAAAAAATGGTTACTCACTCCATGGCTGGTTGTGGGACATTGTGTGCAAACTGGCTACTGCATTTTGCTCATAAAATATGCAGTCAATCTACTTTACAGTATATCCTGTGAAACTCTTTGTGACGTCTCAATGACATGTTAAGGCGATATCAAATGCAAGGATTATTATGATTATTAATGAACAAAAGTCAACTCAAAATCTTGCACTGGGAGCACAAACTCTTAATTATTCTTAGCCAGACAAATTTCTGGCAAGACTGTGGGCAAAAGACACATGCTTTAGCCAACATTCTGAGTGTGCTTCTGCCTCCAGATGTTAGGAAAAGATACTCGGAGGCAGCAAGCGTCTTGAAAGGGGATCACTCCTGTTTCTCCCTGTGTCGTACAATCCTATACCTCTATGACATTAAACAAACGGACGTAGGAGAACACCTGTCAGTCTGACTGAGCAATGCATGGACCATATGAGGATGTGTGACCTTTTTCTGTCCATAGAACAACCATTACATAAATGGTCCCAGACTTCACTTACCTGCCCAAGCATCCAGAATATTATACAACTGAAATAATGCAAGCATTATCATCAAACATTTTAACCGATCTGTGGCATGAAAGAATTTCAAACAAATTGAATTTTTTGTTGCTGTTTCTCACTGCACTAACTGTCAAATTATTACACAAAGTACAAAACTAATGCAATAATTGGCAAATGACTCTCTTTGGTTTAATCTGCAATTTTTAGATTTAAGATGGCATTAGTCTGAATACATTGTACAGCACAGGGTGACAATCAGGTACTTGGGGAGAATGTAATTGTTGATTTTATTTTAGTTCTAGAAAAGACCAGCAATGGGGATAATGAGGTTGGCAGCAAAGGAGTGCCAAGTGAGGTAAACGAGACTCCCTTTACAATTGACCTGAAAAGAGAAAAGTAAGTCTTAACGTTATTTATTACGAATTCAGTTTTCTTCACTATAAGCACTAAAGCTACTTTACAAATGCTGTCTTTCTCAGCTGTACAGTGCTGTTATAGCAAGAATTTTTGCCCACAAATATCCAGTCAATTCACTTTACAGTCTATTCTGTGAAGTGCTTTGAGACTTCTATCCTGATTGGCTCGCGCAAGCGCCTCTGCACCTCAGGCTTTGAGAGCATCAACCGCCATGGCTGCACACTACAACTCACCAAGCCAGTCAGGAACCTAGGGGTCTTGTTCGACCCTCAACTGTCTTTTCTTCCTCACCTCCAAGCCATGACCCGCTCTGCCTTCCCTCACCTCCATAACATCGCCCGACTCCGCCACTACCTCACCCTTTGGCCGCTGAAGCTCTTGTTCATGCCTTCATCACCTCGAGGCTCGACTATGCAAACGCCCTGCTTGTCAGCCTTCCCAACTCCTCCCTTCACAGGCTGCAGATAATCCAGAACTCTGCAGCCCGTGTCCTCTCCCGCCCCAAACTTTGTGACCGCATCTCCCCCATTCTCGCCCGACTCTATTGGCTCCCTATCCTTCAAAGGATCCAGTACAAGATCCTGGTCTACAAAGCCCTCCATGGCCTCGCCCCACCCTACCTCTGCGACCTCCTAACCCCCTACCAACCCGCCCGTTCCCTCCGCTCAGCCGCTCCAGCCTGCTCCACTTCCCTCGACCCACCCGCCTCACCATTGGCAGGAGAGCCTTCAGCCACTCTGCCCCCAACCTCTGGAATTCCATCCCCCAGTCACTCCGCCTCACCCCCTCCTTAGCCTCCTTCAAGTCCCGCCTCAAGACCCTCCTCTTCGACCATGCCATCGGCCACCCCCTTCCCCTCCCTTCTCCCCCCCTGACCCCAGCTCTGGTTTGAAATACTGTACACTGTCTAGCGCCTTGGGATGTCCTTCCAACGTGAAAGGCAATATACAAATGTAATTTTGTTGTTCTAGAAGACATGAAAAGCACTATATCAAATGCAAGGATTATTATTATTAAACTGTAAACTTTTTAATATAGTGTATCTATTGATGGAGCAACCAGAACATTAACATTATATCGGATGTTATTCCAGAAAGGGGTTACTGTGTTTTCTTTAGCCTATGTGAATTGTGGTTGTTAAGGAGAAATGAACAAAATTATTCTCTGGTATCTCCCTTCTGAGCCATTGGACTGTTCCAGTTCTAATGAATGTACAGAGAGCTCCTCCATAGAACCTTGTAAATACAACCTTTTTAAAAATTATACAAAGGAGTAAGGGGCGGGTGGAGAGCAAAATTATGCTTATGTAAGTGAACTAGGAGCAATTGTAATTAGTAACACAAGACCACAAGATTAGTTCGGATGAAGAAGCCCCTTTGTCCATCTGATGTCATCCTTCAAGAATACTCATTCTCGCATCACACCATCAGGCTGCTTAGAGATACCCTCCATTTATGTTTGCTAACAAAAAAAATCACTCCAGAAAAACAGTGCTTTGAGATGTTTCAATGTATAAGATTCCATAAAGTGCAATTTTTCTCCCTCATATTTTGATGGTTCCAATTCATAACTTGTATTTTTATTTCAGATTTCGCGCTGACTTCAGCCCCCTGGTGGAGGATTGTCAATGTTACTGCTGCAAGAATCACACTCGTGCCTACATCTACCACCTTTTAGTGACAAACGAATTGTTGGCCGGCGTCCTGCTCATGATTCACAACCTCCAGCATTACTTTGGATTTTTCCAGTCAATCCGCGATGCCCTGAGAGACAACAAAATGCAGCAGCTGAAAGAACTCATTACAAAACAAAAATCGTAGCAAAGAATATGTCAGTAAATTGAATCGGAGATAAGTGCTGCATTACTGCATACATTACCCAGGCAGATGTGCGTTGCTTGCAGATACTATAATGAATTACTTGAGTCTTTGGATTTCTTACACCATGGATTAGTAATGGTGACTTTTGATATCCCGATAATTACTGCAGAGTTTGATCTCTTGAACTGCATCATGTTATGTAACATTTACATTACAATAATGTTTGACAGTTATACTGCAGCAAGAATATATTGTAATGTATGCCATATTTTAACTAACTTATTATGCATTTTAATGCAGCTGTGCAAAATTCTTACTTTAGAAGCCGTGATATAACTTATGAAACAAAAAGGTGCCTTTAAATACCAAAATGATGGTAACATTTCATGTGAATGGCATGACAGCTGCTCACAGAATCATAGTGCTGGGTACACGGCTGCTTGAGGTTTGACACAAGCAATTCGTTTTTAACATTCCTATTAATTTTACGTAATTGTGGCAGAGGTTCTCAGAAACTCAAGTAAGTGACAATTTAATAAATTTTAGCTAAACCCTGCTCAGAGTTTAACGATTTGTGTTTTGGTTGTTGTACACAATACATTTTTGACTGACAATCGAGGGGCAAGTTAGAGACTGTTTTGCTCACTAGCCTTTTCCCGGACTTTGCCGACATGGGATTGAAGGCTGTAAATTTCACAAACTGAAAGTTGCAATTAAGATAATAAATGTGTTTTATGAATGTTACAAGACATTTTTCTGTTGACAATGGGAAGAAAGTGTTTTCATGAAGAGCTAGGTGGCAGTATTGTGCAACACATTTATTTTCTTTGTAATAAAAAGTGACATGGTTTTTGCACTTAAATTTTTTTCCCTGAATAATTCAACACCTCACTTGCAAACAGCTTGGAGATTTGCTTTGCCAATTGAACAAAACATTATTACTTTTTGATATCTATAGGTAGAAGATGCTGCATATTGAAGAGCTTGACTTATTTGCTATTTAGTGAGCGTGTCTGCTGCAGTCATGTAACAAGTACACAAAGTATTCTGTACCCTCTGCGCTTGAAATTATTCATCTTTTTTTATCGCTTTTGTGTAACTATGCAAAAGAAAATGGATGCTTTCTACTAAGTTTGAAACATAGAGAGTGATGTTCCAGTGATTCTGAATGTGATCTTAATCATTGTCTAGTCAAGTAGTGACTGTTTTTGTAGGCAAACTCAATACAATACAAATGTACATTTCTATAGAGCCTTTCACATCAGAGGAAGTCCTAAGGCATTTAACACTCCTGACTTGGCAACCAAGATGGGCATGAAAGCCAGCAGGCATGAGAAGGGGGCAGTTGACTGAAAGTGTCAAAAGAAGCAGCTGTTTGCACCTGCAAGGTCCCACAAACAGCAGTGAGTCTAAATAACAAATTCATCTGGAAGATTGCTGGCCAGAACACTAAAAAGTACCATTCTATTTTCAAATGTCCTCCTGAAAATGGTCTCGCCTGGGACCAAAAGACAGCACCTCCAACTATTCTGACCTCTTGCAGTTCAATTTGATCTCTTGACTACCTGGCCAACACTGAATTGAAACCCCAGACTTCCCTTTTTCTGGATGTTAAGGTGTAATTTACAAAAGGAAATTGGTTGCAAGAGCTGTTTGAGCCATGGTACAATGGCCATTTATTCTGTTGGCATGCACATAGTGTAGATGGCTCCTGTCATGTTTTTCATCTGTATCTAGAAGAATTTGGATAATTTCCTGAGAGATTTGGTCGAGCACTGGTTCAGATTGGAAGAATCCTACAACCTTTATTGAAGTGTGGATTAAGTAGCTATACTGTAGTGAGGGTTTCAGGCCCTTCTTCGCAGAACAGCACATAAAGACTGGAAAGCACTGCTGAGAATATTGGAAAAGGAAGAAGAATGATCGTTGAATTGGCCATGTGATCTAATATACCATTTAATCACTTAGCTTACTCCATCCTGTGAATCTGTTTATCATTTGGTTCCCTGGACAGATCTGACAAGTTAAACTTTTATCCTTAAATTAAGTCCTGGGTAGTTTACATACTGAGCTTCCTCAGTACTGTAAAGGACCTCAGTAAGGATCACATTACAACCACTTCTCCTTAATGCACTTAAATGGTTGGGTTTCTTAACACATAATGGACATTCATTGTATTTCAGCTAGTAATTGGGAAGATATATATGTTTAGGTAACTAGCTAATTGCGTAATAGAAGGATTTCATGCAAAATTCTAAGTTTTAATAATAATCCTTGCATCTCAAACTGTTTCACAGTATATACTGTAAAGTGGATTGACTGTATTTTGTGGGCGAAGTTCTTAAAAAAGTCAACTTCCAAACAGAATGAATTTAAGAATATTTCACAACTCTGCTCTTTTCTTAAAGATAAAAGGATCTTTCAAATTGAGACTAGGTGGAATAAGGCCTAATTACTCTGAACTTTGACTTTGCACCTCAGAAGATCTAAGAAGTAATGCATTTTTTCCTTCTACATTTGTATGCAGAATTCCATCACCCTATATTCTGTGTGTAAACTGGCTGACTAATTTCACCCACAAAATCCACTTTACAATATATCGTGTGAAGTGCTTTGAGACGGCTCGATGTTATGATAAGGCACTATCAAATGCAAGGATTATTATCATTACCCACTTTGGATAATCAGAATCAGTGCATTAATTCCCTTTTCCTAAAATTGAGAATGAAATTTTGAACATAAAATTGAGTTTGTTTTGTCATAGTTTCCTGTATATCATCGTAAAACAGGAAACATAAGCTAAAGTAAACATAAGCAGCCTTGAGTTTCAGCATTGGAGTCACACTGAGACCCAGGGGAATATTTTAGACCACTCGTGCCTAAAACTTTTGATATTTAATTCACTACCAGATTAATTTGCAACAGTGGATTAAAGAATTTACATTTTTATGGTGGATCAAAGTATTTCACAAGAAATTGCTGTAAACAACAACAACAACAACAAGATTCCATTTATAAAGCGCCTTTCACGTCAGGAGGACGTCCCAAGGCGCTGCACAGTTGGGTCATGACCCGAGCAGGGGGGAAATGGTCAGGGTGAGGGGAGGGAAGGGAGGGAGAGAGGAGGGGGGAAATGGTCAGGGTGAGGGGAGGGAAGGGAGGGAGCGAGGAGGGGGAAGAGAGTCGAGAGGGGAGCTGAAGGCACGGTCAAAGAGAAAGGTTTTGAGACCGGCCTTGAAGGAGGAAAGGGAGGAAGCAAGGCGAAGGCACTGGGGGATGGAGTTCCAGAGCCTCGGGGCTGAGAGGCTGAAGGCCCGACCACCGATGGTAGGGCGGTTGGGGCGGGGGACGTGGAGCAGACCGGAGCCAGAGGAACGGAGGGTACGGGCAGGTAGGTAGGGGGATAGTAGGTTGGAGAGGTAGGAGGGAGCAAGGCCGTGAATGGCCTTGTAGGTGAGGATGAGGATCTTGAAATCAATCCTCTGGGGGATGGGGAGCCAGTGGAGGCGAGCGAGGGTGGGAGTGATGTGGTCCCGAAGCCTGGTGCGGGACAGTACACGAGCTGCAGAGTTCTGAATGACCTGCAGCTTGTGGAGGGAGGTGGCGGGAAGGCCGGCGAGGAGAGAGTTCCCATAGTCCAGCCTTGAGGTGACAAAGGCGTGGACCAGGGTTTCAGCAGCGTGAGGGGTGAGGTAGTGCCGTAGTCTGGCGATGTTCCGGAGGTGATGGAAGGCGGTGCCAGTTGTGGTGCGGATGTGAGGGAGAAAGGACAGCTCAGGGTCGAACAAAACGCCGAGGTTCCTGACTGGCTTTGAGAGGTGGAGAGTGCAGCCTTGGATGCTGATGGTGTCAGCGCCTGAGGTGCGGAGGCGCTGACGTGAGCCAATCAGGAGGGCCTCGGTTTTTCGCACGTTGAGCTGAAGAAAGTTGTCTCTCGTCCAGGACTCGATGTCGGACAGGCAGGCTGTCAGGACATCGGTGGTCGTGGAGTTGAGAGTAGAGGAGGAAAGGTAGAGTTGGGTGTCATCCGCATACATGTGGAAGTTAACTCCATGTCTGCGGATGATGTCACCAAGGGGGAGCATATAGAGGGTGAAGAGGAGGGGACCAAGGACAGAGCCCTGAGGGACACCACATGAGACAGTGCGGGGGGTGGAGGAGAAGCCATTCGTCGAGACAAAGTGAAGACGGTGAGAAAGGTACGACCTAAACCATTCAAGGACAGTGCCTTGAAGGTTGAGGTGGGAGGACAAGCGGTGGAGTAGGATAGCGTGGTCGACCGTATCGAATGCTGCCGATAGGTCGAGGAGGACGAGGAGACAGAGGGAGCCCTGGTCACAGATGGTCAGGATATCATTGGTGACCTTGACCAGGGCAGTTTCTGTGCTATGGGCAGCACGGAAACCTGACTGAAGGGGTTCGAAAAGAGAATGGGTGGAGAGGAAAGAGCGCAGTTGGGAGGCGACAACTCTTTCCAAGACCTTGGAGAGAAAGGGGAGGTTGGAGATGGGCCGGTAGCTTGATAGCTGCGACGCATCAAGGGAGGGTTTTTTCAGGGTGGGCGTGATGATGGCAGTTTTTAATGGAATGGGGACAGAGCCAGAGGAGAGGGACAGGTTGATGATGTCAGTGATATGTGGGGCAAGAAAGTGGAGCTGGGAGATAAGGAGTGGAGTGGGGATGGGGTCAAGGGAGCAGGTGGTTGGTTTTAGGGATAGGATGAGTTCAGTGACAGAGGGTGGGGAAACGGGTACGAAGGTGTGTAGGGGAGGATGGGTAGGAGTCGGAGTGTGGGAGGGAAGGGGTGGGTGGTGGGTGGAAGTTGGAGGGGAAGTGACCGCGGAGCGGATTCCCTTGATCTTGGATTCAAGGAAATCCAGCATCTCCTCGCAGTGAAGGTTGGAGGAGATGACCTGCGCGGGGTGGCGGGGGGACGGAGGAGTCGGGTTGTGGTGGAAAACAGTAGCCTGGGGTTGTTCTTCGCCTCCAGGATTATCCTGGAGTAGAAGGACGACTTGGCCGAGGCTAGAGTGGAGCGGTAAATTTTGAGGAGGTCCAGCCAGATTTGTCGGTGGACCGTTAGGCCAGATTTGACACAGGTGCGTTCAGCAGCCCGCACCTGGCTTTTCAGTGAGCGGAGGTGGGTGGTGTACCAGGGGAGGAGCGGGAGTAGGAGACAGTGCGGGAAGTGATGGGGGCAAGAGTATCGAGTGTGGAGAGGGTATTGTGGAGGAGGGAGAGAGGAGAAGAGGGGTCGGTGAGGGTTGAAGGCCAGAGGGAGAGGAGTTCAGAGGACTCCAAGGCATCGGTTAGGGATTGTGGGGGTAACTTCTTCCAAGGGCGGTAGAAGATGGTGGTGGGTCTGGTGGAGGTGGGGAGGGGGGTGGAGGTGGTGAAGGAGATGAAGTAGTGGTCAGAGAAAATGGAAGCAAAAATGGAAGCCATTTGTTCCTTCCTCCCATCAAGATGCCAACAAGAATGACCAATTAATCTGAAGGAATGTTGGCCAAGGTACTGGGAGAAACTCATCAAATCTGAAAATAAGGTAGACCAAAAAAACTCAGTTTAACATTTCATCAGAAAAACACTTCTGATTACGGAGTGGAGTGACATCCTAGACCAAAATCCTTGAGTGGCTTGAACCCTCTCCCCTAACCTTTAGCCCCATTGGCAAGACATTGAAATGTGCACACACTTACATGTTTTACTGGAAGACTAGTTAGTGGCATCTTAGAAGTTATGTTATTAAAAAGAAATCTCATAATGACTCGGACAGTTGAATAGTATATTAATGATTACAACATAATTTTGACTCTTCGTTTAAACAAAGTTATTTTCAGCTAGTGTCGTTGCTTTAGTTTG